CCCATATTGAGAGAGATAAAGCTCGGAGAGCTCTCTGCAAATTGTAAAAGCGGTGTCGCAACAAAATGAACGGTCCAGCCACGTAACAGCAGAATAAAAAGCCAGCAATCAACCAAATATTGTCCTACTCTGTCTCTTTATAACATTTTGTGAACTCTGGGCCAAAGACTCCAAGTAGATGCGCTTGGTTTGCTGTTTTATGTAGCTTCGAAAACAAGACCGGTCTGTATTCCATATCAAAGCCCTTGTTCTTTTGTAAAAGCTGGATGGAGCAGCACCAGATGCACCACTTGTTTATAGCACTGAATAGAGCCGCCATTACTTGAATATGTGACGCAATGTCAAAAGATATTATTCGACCAGGGTAGGGTACTGCGTCATTATAGCGAGTCAGATGTCGTCGCGACCGTTGTGGTATTGAGCACACTGCCGGCCGATATGTATGGCAATGCCAATTCCGTAGACACGAGGCGCAAAACGACAAGTCCCTACGATATTGGGCATTTCTCTTGGAGCGTAATCAAATCGTCTGATATTGATGCCTTGTTGCAAGTTTTTTGAAACATGTACCGATGAATCTGTGTGAATAGTTAGCACAACTGTACCGAGCCGTGGCCTAGTGATGTATTACCACCCAGATCGATCTCTAGTTTCTCAAATCAGACATCTCAAATGTCCGTAAGATCTTAGCTGAGTGACAGTGAGGGTTCATAGTCTAGCTTATACACCTCCCCGCCATGTCCACATACTACTTACAAACTGCTTGCATAGACTGTCTCCTTCTTTGCTACTTGCTTATTTCTTAAGCACAAGCTGCCCGATGGTCATTACTATCTCGAGAGGCATGCTCTTGGAATTGCCTACAATTAAAAGCAGCCACATCATGGGGGACTAACATCAACGAAGAATGCAATTAGAATACGGTATTCCTCGTCAATTTGTACAATTCGATAAATTATAAGAGAAGAAAGAGATAGATCGAGAATAAATGTTTAATCAGGAATGTCTAGTTGCAGCGCGCTGCACATATTATTCTTAACGCGCTTAGCCGTGAAGATGTGGGTACAAAGAGGGGCTGCGACCACGGATTGTACGCTCACTCCTCCCCGGGTCAGTCCTTGCGGCAGGCGAATAATCTTTCTAGAACTTAGGGAGTAGTCAAGAGTGAGGTTAAGATTGAGTTACGGACATTGTTTCCTTAGTTGTTCCTTCTCCGTCGTGGGCTACACCAAAACGGATCTAGGGTACCACTTTATCTGATTCATGGAGCTCCACTCTCGGGAAAGGGTCAAACAGTTCGAGGTCACAGGTTTTTAGGTAAAAGAGATGTGCTGACATCCAATATAATGCTAAGAAACCTGATCATATCTACAAAGAAAACACGGGATGAGGGCCTACTATCAGCTCTTGCTTTAAGTTACCCTCGTCCTCAAGCTTGTGACCTGTATCACGGACGGTACTTTTAGGTATCAAGCGGTAGTATAATTATCCATTAGTCTTAAATGTACGAGGAAATTATCCACAGTTCTGTCGAGGCACTTTGATAAATGCAGGCGTCGAATCTAACCTTCTAGGAAATGGTGCCAGCTGGACAACCCAGTCGTCTTCGGGCCTTTGTAGTAATAAGCGTGGCTAACACATCCGCCTGGTTCCAGTAGGGCCGTATGTCGAGTCACTGGAGGTATCCTGTACTCACTATGAGGGACAAATATCGGACTCCCAAACGAGAGCGAATTTAAGGTTCCGAAGACCCCTAGTTGACTCAGCAACACAGCCACACTTACCTTAACAAGGATAGATAGTGGCTAGTGTCGCCATAACGCTCATATGCTCTTGGCCTTCCCCTCGGCCTCGCCTTCTTCTCCTTCTCATGGATTCTCCCTAACTATCTCGCCGTAATCTTCACGCGTGGCTCTCTGCCGAGCCGGCCAACGTACGTAGACGACTGTACCTAGTCGTCGCACGCTATTAGTATTTCGCTTTGGTCCACGGCTCGCCATGGCCGCGTATATCAATCTTAGTCTGCAGGGTACGTTGCTATTATAATACAGTCACAAACGCGCTGTACTGCTTACTAAAAGGATTTTTAAAACGCCTACGCCCTAGTTAAGCTATTACTAGTTTTATAAAAATACTTTAAGTGCAAAAATATTTATAATTATATTAATTTTTTTAAAATAAGTTAAAATAGTTGCTAATTATAGTTTTAAATTTTATTATTATTTTTTTATAGTACTAAATATTAATTTTCTATTTTTTATAACTACTAATAAGTTTAATATAAAATTTAGTTATATAAAGAATTATTTGCTTTTTAAGCTTATATAAAGCTTTTTTGCTTTATAATTTTTAGCTTTTATTTACTGCATTTTTAATATATAATAGTAAAATAAATTTTTTTTTTTTTTACTTATTTTAGTATTAACTTTTTAAACCTGTTTTAATTAAAACTTTAAAAAAAAATTTTTAATAACTTTATTATAAAAAAAACTTAGCAGCTTAAAAAAATAAAAAAAAATATAACTTTAATATAATTTGCTTTTTTTTATTAAAATTATATAATAAATAAAAAGTTTTTATTTTTTTATACTTATTTATTAATAATAGAAGCTATACTAAGTATTAAGCCTATTAAAGTAGCTAAAATAACTATTTTTTACTAGCTACTTTAAAAACTAATTATTAAAACTAAAATTATAAAAAATTATAGCTATATAAACTTTTTTAAAAATTTTAAAAAAATGCTAAAAGTATAGTTATATAAGCTATATAAGCTATAAGCACTAAAGTAATAGTAAAAATTTAATTAAATAAAAAATTAAATTGCTTAGCAGTATTTAATAAACAAAAACTTTAAAAAAATAAAAAAACTTTAAAATTTAATAGTATTTAATTAAATGCAAAAGCAGAAATTAAGTAACTAAAGCTAGCATTATTTTTATTAAAATAGGCTAGTTAAGAAACTATAGTTAAGAGCTATAGACTACTTTAGGTAGAAGAAATTGAACGCGTACGTTAAAGAGACTTTGAAAACTTTGAGATACTGCTCACTAAACACCAGGGACCGTATATTTTGCTGCACGTCGTTCCGCCGAAGATGATGCCATGCTGCAATTGTATTCAAGCAGGCTTGTAGGCGTAGCAAGAGGTGCGTGGTGCTATTATCTCCCGGTATGGACAGAGAAAAGCGCTCATAGGCGTAGAATCTACCTTTGATGTTTTGTACTCTCGGATTGCACGAGATTGGCATCAGCAGGACGACGTCAGTACACCTTCTAACGACCGCCGATGGACTCACGTTCGAACGGTCTGGAATTTTGACCTTGATGGCGATATTTTGCGATTGGACAAGATAGATCGCAACCTTTGGGTTCCTCTCAGCCTCATTCGCCAGCGTTCCATAACCATTTCCGATTTCGAGCCTTACGAACCACCGCCGACTCTTGCTAAACACGCTTTACAATCCGTCTATTCCGCACCGTGCTGGAGGATGAGACGCAAGGAGATCGACCTGCAGCGCCTACAGCGCCGCAAGACTTTCGTCTCCAGGATACTTGCCGACTTTGCGTTCCAGTGGAGGCACATCATCTGTAGTCGTTACAACAACTCTACCTTTCGAAGGCTTGCCTATGCTATCGTCAGGATTGTCACCCTAGACTTCACTGTCGAAGAAGCAACGCTCTCACGCCCAGGCACTGGCGGTTTCTTGGTCTGGATAAATAATATCCCAGAGTGGGACTTTGCAAGTGGACACATCGTTAGGGTCGGTGGGACGTCTATTGTCATATGCCAGCATGTCCCACACGCCATCACGCTGGTCCGAAAAGATTACGCGAAGCGGATCCTGTCCACCCCCGGTTCGGCAGACAAAACTCTCACTTACCTCATACTCTCCGTGCGAGAGCTTATCCTGTATCGGATAAACAGCGAGGTCGAAAGATATACGGAATCCAAGCGTCTATTCGATGGGACATATCCTCCTTCAGAAGAAGCCATCGAAATCCTCCTCCAAGCCACGCAGACCAACATCCTTACGACTCCTTTGCACAAGCTCCCCATTGAGCTACAGGATGCGATCCTTGACAAGGTATCAGCGGGACCAATTGAGAGCGCTAGGGTTGGCTGCCTGCTTGATGCGGGATCAGTTTTTACATGGAGAAGCGGCAAGCGAAAGATTGAAAGGGAAGAGGGCCGTCGGTGTAGATCATCTTGTACTCCTGTAGAGTCGCAGATTTTGTTCGGTGGCTATCCTAGTGGTATAGCATACAAGTAAACATGTTTGAAATGCCAACGGTGAGATATCAATCTATTCCAAAGTAGGAAGCTTGACGATTGCATTGACTATGGATGCATCGTGAGTCGTACTCGCTGTATAGATGTGTTTCCGATTCCATCAAGCGTAGGTACCCCTTACAATCCAATAGCATAACCCGAAAAATCTCCATCCGACGATCATCCAATATTAGCTATACGGTATCCGCCACACCCATTGATGACCCACCTACTAGCCTACACGAATGACAAGGGGTTCTCCTTGATGTTTCGGCCGCAGGCTACAACGTTGTTGGCATCATTGATGAGGTGCATCCGTCCCCCAACCTTGCTGAAACTGAACCTTTCGTACTTGTAAAATTGTACATGGAGGCCAATCTGCACCATTCCGTAGCAATTCTTGGAATCGTTTCCATTTACTTCAAGGTGATTATGGAGATGATTCTCTGTGGGTTCCCAAGCCTCTCCAAGCTTTTTGCTTTCCACAAGCATATACTCATATTGGTACAGGGTTTCGCCGGACCTTTGACACACCTTAAAGAGGCAGAATTCGGGCTCAGTGTTGACAGACACTGTCTCCTGGACAATAGAATACCCTTCATTTGAGGGGAAGATGAAACGAAGGATGTCTCCGATTGGCCTTCGGTAGATGTGTTCGCCTGAGTCTGGTACTCTGACCAGAAGGTCTAAAACAGCCTTGACGTTGATATCGTCGAGGTATGTTTGAGGCGGAGGAGGGTTAGGGTTTATGAGGACTGCCCTCCCCGTTCTACTATTGTTCCTGCATGGCATTGCTCAGCATGGTTTGCAATGCATGCGCCATGCACCGTACGTACCATTGTGGCCAACCCTTTGTCGTGTCGAGGGTCCAGTTATCCTGTCCAGTATTAGCATCAGCGACATGACATTGGGGCCTGTTGAACAACGTACGCCTGCACCATCTTGGAAACCATTCGGTATTGCATAACTCGTCGTCCCTGTAACAGTATCTTGGTAATAGATCTGGCCAGCGGTATTTGCGTATTGGTTGATTCTTCCGCCTACCAATGGTCCTAGGTAGGTAGCCATGGTTCAGTTTTCACGCTTGGTAATTAGTAAATTGGTTGATAAAGATATGAATTGTATGGTAGGATTTGCTTCGTAGTGGTGTAGACTACTGTAATCTCTCAGGGTAAGTATTTTTATGGCAGTGGCCAATATAGCACAGTAAAAACCCAGGCAAGGTGACAAGCGAATGTTGACCGCTATAATGGGAGCAGGCGCTATTTGATAGGTAAGGTATATGTAAGCAACCGCGCGGTTCCGTTGGGATGCATTGCCAAATCAGTGTTGTTCAACAAAGCTGATGTGAAACCAACGCCAGCTTAAGCGCCGATGAATAAACACATTCCTTTACATCAGCACGTTCGTCACTATGAACAACAAAGTTTCTAAGCCGCAGACCGGCCACTTTTGCGTAAGACTACCCGAGGCTTTACTACTGGACATTATTGCGAACATTAGACGAGCACACAAGTAGGTCTGATTAGGTCTGGTTATGCCTCCGCTTGTTTCAATTGCGGGCGTGGCCGAATGAGCCATCGCTGGCGTTTACAACGTCTGGTGGGTATATATTTAATGTGGGTACTCGAGGGGGTGGCTACGATTAGCTCTCCCTATTGGCTGTGCACTTCTATAAGCAAGGTGATTTGATAGCAACTGATCTTGTGTGTGATCCACGTCAAATACTTACCCACCAAAAACAATGTCAAGAGCGCCTTCGCCCAAGTGTTAGCTATTAAGCTATCGCTAGTTCTATAGTGGATAATTCTAAGTACAGAGATATTTATAATTAACTTACATCTTTTAGGATAAGTATAGCTAACAGTTTAATTACAGTATTAAACCTTACTATCGCTCCTCCTATGTAGCACTAACTACTAGCTTAATAAGTCTGATGCGATCCGTGGTTGTATCTACAGAGGAGTCACCCCCACCAGACGTTGTAAAGAGGGGTATCGGCTAGATCTAGGATGACTCGCTGAACGAAATGCAGAGATGGGGCGCCGTTCTGCGATCAGATCTTTGCGTCGCGGTACCGTACCGTTCATTGTGTTGCTACACCGCTCTTACGATTTGCAGAGAGCTCTCGGAGCTTTACAACTTTGTTATTGTCTCTCTGTCTTACTAAGGAAGAAACCTGCGGTAGACTGTCAACACCCAAATATGCCTGACCACAAGGGAGAAAAGTGGAAATTCAGCATGGTTTACATTTCTACCGTTACGTGCTCTTGCCGAGAATGTAGTGGTCATACATCCCGCTCGCCTAAAACTTGCGCATATCATTCCTTTCACGGAGGTGTCACAACTGCGGCGCCTTCCCCAAATCCCAATATACTGCAGCTATGCCATGCATGGTGTTCACCGTTCACTGCAGGTTGAGCACATCGATCAAAAGTGCAGCAGCTGATCACTGTGGCAGCAGAAGGATCACAAACTAAGGTCTGCGATGGTGGCTACTATTGGATGGATACCCTTCGCCGATAGGATCGCGGTAAGTGAAAGGGCATTGAGGCGTGCTGACCACGCATGAGGTGAAGGTCACATGTCAGGTGGTGTGGGAAGGAGTCTGGAAGGCTTTTGGGCGGGATGAAAGTTCATCGAAGCTTACATCGGCCACTGACGAAAGTCCTCGATGGACCGAGGTAAGCGAATTGCCCATGTATTACAAATAGGTAGATAAATGCGCGATGGAACCTCGCCGAGACTGTATGTTAAATCGAGTTCTTCCGGTGTTAGGCTTCATTGTTCAGTCTTGGCCTCTCGAAGTGGCACTAGGTATCCGGGCGGTCTGTTCTGTCGAAAGCCTGCAAGACCCGATACTGGGGGCGTGACTTTCGATCTGTACAAAGAGCTAAAGCAATAGTCCGGTCAGACAACCGGGTCGAATCGTAGAGGGGCTTTGAATAGGCACAGTTGCAGGACCTGGAATGGTCCAGTGCTCTTATCAACCCTACAGGTCATACACTGCACAGCCACCAAGCCCCTTGTCCAGACATCGGAGAGTTTTTGACCTCACAGCGTATGGACCTGCTGATATCGAAGGCCACACGCACTGCGCAAACCGCTTCTATCATGTCCTGGGATGTGGTTGGGCCTGGCGAGATGTGACGTACTCGCTTGGGCTGAGTTCAGTAACCTCCCCGTCCCCTTCCTCTCCTTCCTCCTCGCTTCTTGCGATCACCCCAGTTACCTCTGAAGCCGCGTCCGCCACCCTGGTGTCCGTTTCTTTCGTCTCGTTCGCGCTCTTCTTCTTCCCTCCTCAACATCTCGCGTTCTCGCTCGGCGCGTTCCGCCTCAAGCTCTTCTGGGCTCTTTTCTATGCGTACCTCGGGCTTCTTCAGATCGGTAGGGAATCTAGGGTGTGCCCCATATTTACAACCCTTGCCCTCCGGACAGAATCCACATAAGTAGAAGGGGCACAACTTGTCTTTCTTGTTGTGTTTTAGCGCACAGTGTGGTCCGAGAGGGCAAAAGCCGCGGTCGTAGTGGGGGCATGATGGCCGCTTGGCTTCCGGATCGATGTGGAGGTATAGGCAGTCGTCACCGTTCGAGCATGTCTGAGTGCGGGCGTAGTAAGAGCATTCGGGCATTCGTCGTAGGTTATACTCGTGTAAAAACTCGCATGTATCGCCCTTCTTACAAAGGCCTCGTAACCAATGCTTGCAGACTAGGCTGGCAGAACTCTGTTAGCTTATGGAAGTAGTATTGCTCAATTAGCTGGGGTACATACTTGTTGTACGATGACGACACATGATGCTTATTTGGACACCGATTACCCTCTGGACAGTGTCCCTGTATGTATGCTTTGCATGCTGGCCGCTCGGGATCGAGCCCAAAGCGGTATTCGCGTCGTAGGAAATTGCTGAAGTTGAAGGTATAGATCGGTCTCGCAGCTTGTTCCGAGCTCTGATCGGGTTCAGGCAGAGCTACTGGGGTCTGCACCTCGGTCATGATGCAGGCAGTCGCGTCGTCGGTAGCACTAAGCTCAAAGACCTATGTAATGGCAAGTATTGGCGTGTTGATTGCGATTAGTGGTGATGCGGTGGCGCGCATGATGGATGGGATAAGCACTGAACAATCAAGGGCCCGAGGTGCACGTGATGCCAAGATTCCTTTCAATGAACCTCAGCGATCGTCTGTCTCTCCCGCACCCACCTCTCATGCACATACTATGCACCTCGCAGAATAGCCGCTGTACTACCGCTACACTACATCCTACTCCACCTTTTGCTAGCCCTGGACCTTGCGACTACTTTTCAGGTTCTTGCGCGCCGTGCGACCGATATTGGTAGCTAGTATTACAGCTCCAGATGACGCTGACGCTGACGCCTCGTTTGCGGCCACGTCTCCAGTGACATATCTGCAGTCATTGGTGAGAACCAATTTCTTCCTATTTGCACTCACGTGGGATCGCACTTTCTGTGTCCATTGCAGTCTGTACAACCGCTCAATATGCCCTGGCAACAGCTCCGTTACGCCATCATTCTTACCTACGGATCGTTCATCCAGAAGACTCTTTTTGACTGTGTAACCTGTTTCTCGTGTGCAGCGCATTGAGGAGTACGTCTGCACACCACAGCATGCATGTTATTCAGGTTGCATGACCACTACTCACCATGTCCCTGGCCTTGTCGTCCGTATACGGGAAGGCTCAGCCACTCCATAAGCGCTTCAACCTATCGCGATATCTTGCTATATGCTTTTCAGCTAGCCTCAACTAGCCGGGTCCAAGATCATGGGGAGCTGTCGATTCTGGCAAACTGAGAGCGCTTAATGCGATCAATGCGTCCCAGAATAAGACGCGGGCGAGTTTGCATGACTGGCTTGATCGATACCTTACTATCTTTCATTAGCCAGGGCCTCATTGGGTGAACAGGAGCTACTATGGCAGCACCCGCATTAGAGGCTTTGCACGTTCCGAAATATGTATGCAGTTCGATCATCTAGGGTAATCATCAGGGATTGCATCAACCCTAGCTTCGATGCCGCTATAAACTGTTCAAAGTTAAATATACACACAGGTAGAGCGCGTCTCCATATCATCATCAGACCCAATATCGCCTGTACACCACCGTCCATCCCCATTCAGCTCCCCCAGAGTCACACAGACAATCAGATCATACAGCAACGGCTGCAGTACAACGAACCGCGCAACAATACTAACATCCAGGTCTACGAAGACTTCACGAAAGCCGTAGGACTTATAAGTCGTTCATAGTCCGTCCGAGTATTTTCACACTTCGAACTTTCAAACTGCGGCTGCTAGTCTCCACCTGTCTTGTGCTCTGACGTGCAGGACGAAGACGCAGCTAAGCAGCTAGCTGACGACAACCGAAAATGAGCCGAGCGTACTTCAATTCCCCGCTTGGTCACGACACCACCTTTTCGACACCGCTTCAAGCCATGTACTTTAACGGTGTCTACTATCCCAATTGGCGCATATATCGCGATCAACCACCAGCATCACTGAACTACGATGTAATTTCGCATGTGTTCTATGCATTTGCTTGGTACGCCCTAGGTCCATTGAATCCTTGAGCTTTGCTGACTATGTTCAGGGTTAAGGAAGATGGTACTGTATACGTACGTTTCTCGACTATGATAACAAGGCCTCGGACTGACTGACTGTCTTTGCAGCTTAGTGACGAATGGGCGGACGCTCAGATTGATGTACCCGGCACCGGGGACATTCCCGCAACGAAGGGTTGTTTGAACTCATTTGCCTTGCTGAAAAGAAAATACACAAGGCTTCGAGTAGTATTGTCTGTTGGTGGCGGTGGTAAGGGAAGTGAACCGTTTGCGGGAGTGGCTCGAAACCCAGCCAGCCGTGAACGATTCGCTCAAAGCGCGCTGGGACTGGTGCAGCAGTTCGGTATCGACGGAATCGACAGTATGCTATCCGTCTTGTTCATTTCTCGTGGTATGCTAATTGTGATGCTAGTCGATTGGGAGCATCCCGAGGACAGTAGCCAGGGGGAAGACTACGTCGCCTTACTTGCCAAACTCCGGCAATATCTGCCAGCCCCGCAGTACACGCTATCTACGGCTCTGCCTGCTGGCGAGTGGGCTCTCCAGCATATCAACCTAGCACATGCTTCGCACTACTTGGACATGATCAACCTCATGGCTTACGACTATTCGGGCCCATGGGTCAAGAAGTGCGGCCACCAGGCTCAACTCTTCACACCCCACATTCCACACAGTCCTGAAGCTGCCATCTCTTGCCATTCGGCTGTTTCGTACATGGTACGCCAGGGCGTTCCATCGCAGAAGATCGTGATGGGTGTGCCTGCCTACGGTCGAAGCTTTACTGGAACGCGGGGTGTGGGACACTCATTCTCCGGACAAGCAGGAGAGGAGGGTACATTTGAGTATCGAGATCTGCCGCGTCCCGGTGCAGAGGAGCATGTCGACGAGCAGCTGGGCGCAGCTTACTGCATGGGTGGCGATGGGGGCTTTGTCACCTATGACACGCCTCAGACGGTCAGGATGAAGGCCAACTATGTGCGACAGAACGGATTAGGTGGGCTCTTTTATTGGACCGGGACAGGTGACGCGAGCTCTCTCACCCAGAAAGATCGCAGTCTGGTGTACAATGGGTTCCTGGGCCTGTTCCCGCAATAGCGACATGGGTATGGAGTATGATGTGCATGGACCGATGGCATACAGTAGGATCACGGCATAACATAGTATTTGAGCGTATCATACGAGCAATCTCAGTCTTGAGTCACTATGTTTCGTGGGGTGTCTAGAATAGCTTCCCGAATGTGTGGGGACAAGACATTACTAGCGTAGAGCATGGGCCAGGACGGAAGTGTGAGACGTTGGAGATGCGTGGTGGCACTCAGCATGAAGCTCACTACATTGCCAATACTCGTACTATTGCAAATACTATCGCGCTACAGTGTCAGCAGCGGCCATTGCCACCCCCAAGGCCTTGTATCCCACGCGTAATCGCCTCCTGCGACGAATCTGGCTGCGTACCGCGAGCGCACGCGGGTGTATGCGGTCCTCCGCTGAACTCTATGCCTGCATCTTCCACCTCGCTGGAATCTAGTACGCCACTTCGGTGACAATTATGGGCATGGATTCAGCGCTGACGCTCAATGCAGCTGAATACAACCCCCTCGACCACCTGAACGCCATCTTCTCCCACCCCGCCGCCCTCTCCTCGGTTGCTGCTACGTCCGAGGCGCTCCGCAGCTACCACGATGATCTTGACGAAGATATCGCGGGCATCGTCGCCTCACAGTCGGCCTCAGATGCCGACAGCGTGCAGCGCATTCAGGCCGCCAAGGCAGAGCTGGCGGACCTGTTCAAGACCATCGAGAGCGTGCGCGAGCGAGCCATGCAGACAGAGCAGACCATCACCGACATGACGGCAGATATCAAGCGTCTGGATAGCACCAAGCGGAATCTAACACTGTCCATGACGGCATTGAAGCGGCTGCAAATGCTGACGACGGCCTACGAACAACTGCGGAGCTTGAGCAAGTCGCGGCAGTACCGAGAGTGCGCCCAGCTGCTGCAGGCTGTCATCCAGCTTGTGGCACACTTCAAGAGCTACCGCTCCATAGATCAGATTGCCACCCTGAGTCGCAATGTGGCCGATGTGCAGGGCGAGCTCCTCGAGCAGGTTTGCGAGGATTTCGAGGTCACTTTTACCAAGGGTGAAGTCGCACAGCGAAGGGCTATGCTTGCGGAGGCTTGCAATGTCATTGATGCTCTCGGTGAGCACGCTCGGACGCGGCTCATCAACTGGTATAGCAACACGCAACTCCGCGAATATAGACAAGTCTTTCGCGGCAATGATGAAGTCGGTATTCTGTTTTGGACTAAGTCGTAGTATCGCTGCTAACAGCGAATAGGCAGGCTCATTGGACAACATCTCGAGGCGATATTCTTGGTTTACTCGGATGATGAAGACATACGATGTCGAGCATGCGTCCATCTTCCCGCCTTACTGGCGCGTCAACGAGATGTTGGCCAATTCTTTCTGCGAAGGCACGCGCGAGGACTTCAAGGCCATCCTACAACGTTCCATGCGGCGAGGAGATGGACAAACGCTGGACGTCGATCTGCTACTCTCGTGTCTGCAAGAGACGCTAAACTTTGAGCACGGCCTGGAACGGAGATTCTCCAATGAGGTTTGTCAGCCCTAGTTCACACCGTTAATATGCATCCTTACTCATATGCATCAGTCACGATCTTCCATCGATACCATGGCGTCTAAGGATGATAGGTCGCCTGGCTTTACCCAAGCCATCTCTGAGGCTTTCGAGCCGTACATGAGTCTCTGGGTAGAATCACAAGATAAGTATGTTGTATCCCTCTCATATTACTTACCTTGCTGACCATGCAGACAACTTGCTACTCTGATACCCAAGTACCGGCAACAGCCGCTGCGAAATGCCGAGGAGGACTTCTCGCATCAAGCCGTTATCCCTTCCTCAACCGAGCTTTTCCACTTCTACCGTCTTACCTTGGCTCAGTGTGCTAAGCTCTCAACTGGCACGAGATTGCTGGAGCTTTCCACCACGTTTGCCAAGTACCTAGATCAGTATGGTCAGCAAGTGCTGTACTACTTCCTAAGTGAGAAGTCAGGGGCTCAAGGACCATCCCTAGAGGATGCAATCCTCATTCTCAACACTGCAGACTATTGCTACATCACTTGCAATCAACTAGAGGAGAAGATCAAAGGTCGCATCGATGAAGAGCTTAAAGCGAAGGTCGACCTGCAAAGCCAGGCCGATGCCTTTATGGGCATCGCCAGTTCCACAGTGCGTATGCTAGTAAGAAGAGTCGAGATTGCATGCGAGCCCAGTTGGAGGGAGATGCGCAACACGCCTTGGGCAAAGCTTGAAAGCGTAGGCGATCAGAGTACCTATGTTGCAGAGCTCTTGCGCCACTTCAAGGAAAGGTCTGCCGAAATCCTAAAGTATCTTCATAAACAACAATATGCACGTGCCTTTAGCGACCACTTAGTCGACCTAATGGCAACGACATACATCGCCAACATCGTGCAGAGTAAGCCAATTTCAGAAGCCGGCGCTGAGCAGATGCTGTTGGACTCTTATGTTCTGAAGAAAGGCTTCACGGAGCTGCCCACGCTTAACGAGGAGCCTGGGACAGCACCACCCGCGAAGTAAGTCTTTTCATTTCACACGAGCTTATGTCAGATCACCGCTAACGAACATTCTAGCTTCGTCAAGCGAGTAACCCAATCAATGTCAAAAATCGACCCCCTTCTCAAAACCCTACAAGTTCGCCCCTCGCCCCCCGAGGCCCTCGTGCAAGCCTACCTCATCCATATCGCCGACAAATCTGACACGAATTTCCGCAAAATTCTCGAGCTCAAGGGTATTCGCAAAGCTGAGCAGACACAGCTTCTGGATCTCTTCGCAGCATTTCGTGCGTCACCGAACCACGAAGGCCTTGTGGAGAACAGTCCATTGCTCACGCCATTGCAAATGCAGAGTACTCATGGTGGCACAGGGATTGGGAGTTTGGGTAATGCGGGCAGTGTTATGGGTACGCCGAATTTGGGTGGAGGACGGTTTGACCCCGCGGGTTTGGGAAATATGCTTGTCAATGCAGCGAGGGACGGCGTGGATCGGTTTGGGAGTCCGGCGCCAGGGCAACAGCAAGGTGCAGCGGATGGTGGAGTCGGGGCTGTGGGAGATGCAGCCAAGGCGAATCTTGAGAGCAATTTGAAGAACATTGGGAAGTTCTTTAGAAGAGATGTTGGAGGGTTTAGGGGATTTGGACGTAATGAGGAAGGGCGGTAGCACTCGTCAGAATACAATAATGACCCAAAATGTCCGCAGACTACTGTCTACAGCCACAACGTCTCATACATATAAAGGTCCGCAAAGTCACCCAGGCTCTATCAGGCGGTTACCTGAGCGATCCAGCGATGACTTGCTAGTCTCCTGAATACTTGGTGATTGATTTAGCTAGTATGATTTGCTGGAGTAAGCCGATGAAGTTATTCTGAACTTTTTCCTCGTCTGCTCTGCTCAATGCTTCCCCAATTGACATGCTCTGTACGTCAAGAACACGGCTGCGTAACAGTACTTGTACTGTCAATTGAGCGCGGTAGATACACAACAACTGATAAAGGATGATGTAGTTGTTAGCGTATATAACCATCCTATCGCGTAGCGTGCACGCGACTTCCCCGAAAATGACGTATCGCATCAACCTCCATGCGGGGTTCCGTCCTCGGCCGCGCAGAATCCTTCCAGCTAGAACAAGACAGCGTTAGCAAACGTCGGTACCCATAGCCGTCTTCTAATCTTCACCCTACAGGCTGAGGACGACGACAAGCGCTGACTAAATCCCTATGTGACTCAACGGTGCAGTAGTAGTTGGAGCTTAAACCCGAGCGGGTTTAACTAGTGTATGGCAGGTCTGTCGGTGATATCCAGCCTCTTGGACTTTTCTTACTTTCTTTCTCTTCTTTACCTCTTTTCTTGTTGGTATATTGCTACAAATTGAAATTATAGCTATCTATCTATCAAAGGCAGACTGTGATTTCAACTTGCTGGCTTCTCCGCAGACTTTGGCATCGCCACCATGGCTCCTCCCATCGTATCGCGCATCTCAAGTTTTCTTGGCATCACATCGTTGAATGCAACTGGAAGAGATGCGTACATCATCATCATGCTTCGATCTTTGCGCATGTTCACGGCTGGCATCCCCAGCTTAATCCTAGCCCTCTTCTTCTCCTCGCTCAAGTTTCCAGATTCGCGAATCGGAGTTTTCATGACCTTGACGCTACTCGGCGATGTCATGTTATCGCTGCTGCTGACGCTTGTGGCGGACAAGCTAGGCCGAAGAAAGATCCTGTTCATGGGCAGCGTGATGATGGCTGGTTCAGGTGTTGCTTTTGCGCTATCGGAGAGCTTCTGGATCCTCTTAGTCGCGGCAGTCTTTGGCATTATCAGTGTCACCGGTGCAGATTGCGGACCCTTCAGGGCGGTTGAAGAGAGCATCTTGAGTGGTTTGACAGATGAGAAGACAAGAAGCGATGTCCTGTCCTGGTATGTTACGGCTACGACCATGGCTGGTGCCATTGGCGCTGAAGTGGCTGGGAGAACAGTGAACGCGCTGGAAAAAAGAAGCGGAAATGTGACCAAAGCTTATCATGCTTTGTTCTGGGGATATGCTGCGTTTGGAGTCATCGGAAGTATTCTTTGCTTGGGGCTAAGTGACAGATGCGAAGCTGCAGGGGAAAAACATATGGAGATGAAAGAGAGGGGGCGAAGCAGCGGAGACGGTGAAGAGGAAGAGGTGCTACTAGAATCTATGACGCCAAGTACAACGGACAGCTTCGATCACAACCGCGTGCGGAGTACCGGCCAAGAAGATATACGAATCAAGCCACAAAAGAAGCCAGGCTACTTCAGCCAAATCTCAAAGCAGACGCGATCCATTATGTACAAGCTCTGGATCTTACTAGCGATCGATTCATTAGCAGACGGGATGACGCCTTACTCGCTGATGAACTACTATGTCGACCAGAAGTTTCATCTCTCCAAAAGCACATTGGGAGACATCACTTCAGCATCGCAGTTCTTGTGTGCTGTCAGCGCTGTCTTTGCTGGACCGCTTGCGAAACGCATCGGTCTCATCAACACGATGGTGTTTACCCATCTACCTTCATCCATAGCCAGCGCGTTTATCCCGTTACCGAATTCCGTGGGATGGACAGTCGGCCTATTATTGTTCCGTGCATCACTCAACAGTATGGACCAAGCTCCCCGTGCCGCTTTCATCGCTGCAGTCGTGAAACCAGAGGAGAGAACCGGTGTAATGGGCATCACGAGTATGCTGCGGACACTGTCAATGAGCGTTGGCCCTTCGATTACCGGATTGCTGTCTGGAAACGGCACCTTCTGGGTGGCTTTCGTTGCGACAAGTTTTTGTAGGATTACCTACGATCTAGGCCTCTGGGTTCTGTTTGTCAACGTGAAGGTAGACCAGAGTGATGGAAGGGAACAGGATGCGGACAGTGTAGATGACGAGGCATGGAATGGGCTACTGAGTGATACGGAAAGTGATGATAGCAGCGAGGGAAGGAAGAGCAAAGATCTCGATCGCGGCGATAACAGAGTTTAGAGTACATAGAGCGACGAAGACCATCTTGAAATCGAAGGTTTTCTCTTATCGGTACTACCGGCTATCGCGCCACGCCATCTGAGCGCTTTCACGACACCAAATACTCTCACTTCCGCAGCGCCATATGGTACCACCTCAATTTATGTCATGCACATCAAATTAACCTTCACCGTAGATCCTACCATACTCTGAATCTGCCTGCCCACGGAATCGTGATAAATCCTTTGGTTACAGTGTATCAAGTGAGCGAGTGAGTTAAAGTTGAGGCAGCATTTTTCATGGTTCACTTAGGAAAGTGTCACTGGTACGGGACTGTTGAGTCACAGTGGAACACGACTACTCGCATAAACCCTCCCAGATTTCATCCTGCGCTTCCGAGTTCTATATGAAATAAAGGGAACTATTTTCCATTAGTTATTTACCTTTGTCTTATTGGGACAATCACATCGCCATCTGCTACATCGACCGGATGGTACTAAGGCTTCCCAATGCATCTTTATAGATCAGGCCCCGAATTTATAGAGGAAGACACTAGGGACATGAGTTTTGTGTAGGGGAGAGCTGGGTAGCTGTATGTACCCGAGCTCCCCCAAGCTTAGGTACAGCCAAGTCAGCGAAGGAGACAATGAGAGACCAATCTGGGCCCGGAGATACATTAGAGTTGAATTAGGGAGTCCTCATGACTAACGCACCATGGTCCTCTGTAGATATAGAAGGAATAATCGCGAAGGAGCCGAAGTAGGAAAGTTGGTGAATTGTAGTATAAACTTCGTGCATTGATCTTTGAGCTCGAGAACAAGACAACCAGCTGGACCACTATTCGAAGGCTGAAAAGTTTAGACTATCCTAGAAGATAAGGTAGATGTAGTCCATAGCATAACAGCTCTCAGGCCAACGTAGAGATACTCAATGCTCTGAAGACCATACTTCTTTATCCGCCCATATACGTTCAGTGTATGAGTGGCTCAAACCATGTAGCTTAGACTAACTACTCGTACTATGCGAAGTCGTCGTTTGCGGTAAGAAACTGAATCAAATGATCGCATGCTCCTCCTCGACTAGCTTTACTGGCTCGTCGCTGTCTGTGGCGGTGCCCTCCCATCTACGATAGGTTTAGCTTTCAGTACCACGAAACACTCCAGTAACTGCCTGTACTTACGATGCATTGTATGATACCCATTTTTGTTCCGTTTGTTCCACGTTCCACTCTGCGGACGTGCCTTGTATAGAATGTGCGAAATACTGGCGCACCAAGCGCTCAGTCTCCTGTACCACATCATCATCAGATGTTGCAGCGGCGAAGACACAAACGCATATTTTTTCAAGGTTAGGAAGCAAGCTTGGAAGAGATCTGTACAGACCTAACTCTGATGCATACTGCAAGTCTCGTTCTTTGGTAGTTTCAACCTCAAACTGGATCGAGGTAATGAGCTTGCGTTGATGTGGCTTGAGCGTCTTCTTGAGATAATAAGATACGTGCCTCATACGTGAGAAGGAGAAGATGCTGAGCAGTAATGGCATTTGAGCGGCCTCTGCGTAAATCTGACGGCAGGTTTGTAGCAGGGCCATAGTATTAGCCGGCTCAGTTGGCGATACTGAAAGTTTGGACCGCCCGTGTGCGCCTATGTGGCCTGCTCTGAATACCTTCCCGCCAAGCACCTGCTTCCAGATGTTGTTTCGGATCTCAGGTGGAAGACTTAGCAGCGGCGACATTTGGTTGTTCTTAACCCTGCGAGCACCTGTTAGCATTTGATTCATGCGATGCTCATATCAAGACGAGATCGACTTACAGCTCCTTCTCACCTCCTTTGGGCGTTACGTTGAGCATTCCATTGCGGAACTTGTGATATCCGCGTGCGGGCCGCTTGACAACTTTGTCGGCTCTCTTCGTGGTCGTAGAGGTGGTAGCCACCTTCTTCGCTCTTCTGGCTCTCTCGTCAGCCACAGGCCTGTGGGGAGCCATGGCGACTGGTGGAGTTGGGTAACGGGTGTTGAGGGTTGAGGGTGAGGTCGGCGGTCGCTGTTGACGTGGAGAGATGTTTGGGTGGAGATTGCTTAAGGTGAGAGAGGAGGGGAGGAGCAAAGTGGGCCCAAAACAGTAAGAACAAACGCCGGGGCTAGCGTGGGTGAAACCAAAGTGATGGCACGACTCTAACTGGCGGGGTAAAATATATTAGACAACATAACGAATTGACAGTTGCTCTATAAGCAGCTGTAGGCATAGCTTGAAGGGGTTCGGTGATTAATCTAGCCTTAGCGCTTTCAACACACCGAGACTTTCCAATGCATCATCAACTATCTGCCCACCTCATTTGGTATCGCCTACGGCCTTGATCCTATCACCAACCTTCAAACACAAGTGAACTTCGAGTGAATCCAGCCTGAATGTCAGAATTGAATCAGTTTTCTTACGGAACGGTTCAACTACATCCCCGGAACCCTGAGGTTACCTACTCCGTAACCAGATTTGCATTGCCTTGGGAGACATGCACCCTGGTGGCCTAGAGATATGTTTCGAAATGTTCACGAGCTGTCGACTACCAACTCTCCTTGAAGATACTAGTAAAGCTCTATATGTTCTCGACGAGCACAATCGTGGCCCGCGGATGAATACTAACAGTTAAGGCTAGTACCTGTATAAACAAGTGCCCTGTCCGACAAGTCAGCCTCAATGCGTTTTGACGCGAAGGTCGAGGGGAAATAGAGATCAAGTATGTGGTCAGAGAGAAGATATTTTACTCGTCAGTGACAGTGCCGGACGAGTCAAAGGATCAGGCTGCAAGCAGTCTTTCTCCCTCATCTCAAGCCCAACACCATCTCCGCCTAAGGATGACGATAACGATGTTTTCATCATTGCATGCTGTGGTAGGGAAGGGAGTGGGGTACACATACAGTTCCATGTCTTTAGGGAAATATTTGCGATATACCCGTTCCTTGCATGTAGGCTCCATGGATGTTGAGGCAACTTCTTAGTTGATGAGTTGACACTCGGTGGTTGTAGCGAGGTTGACACTCCGAGATACTTCAGTAGTCCAAATCGACGGTGTCGTCCATCTGCACATCGGGTCCAGTCGCTTGATGCCAGGGATCCCACTCATCACTCTCTTCGTCACCATCCCCTTTAGCCTCTTTTCTTTTCTTATCCTCTTTCTTCTTCCTCCGATAGTTCTTATTGTGCTTTTTGTTTCTGGCCTTCGTCCTCGCGCTACTGGTCGCCCACTGCTGCGTCTTCGGTTTCTCTATCCGGCCTGCCTGGACCTTATCGGTATTCTCAGAAGCGACAACGACTTGTTGTTCGAGGGCTTCGTCGGTGGAAGTCGTAGTGTTAGGTGTGGTTGGGTTGATGCACAGCGATGTTGGGCTGCCGAATTCGGGGGCTGGGCTCGCTGGGGCGTTCCCATCTTCAAAGACCTCACCATCTTCTCGCCGTAGTCTGCGTTCGCGGAGAATAGACTGGATCTCGGAGTGTCGGAACATGGCAATTTGCTCATCCGTGAGGGTGCGCCTCGCGCCGTCGGAATAGTAGCCTAGCCCATCGTCTTCCACCTCGTAATATTCTTCGACAGCTTCGGTTGCAGGTTCGACGCCATGCAAGAAGCACTCGGGTGCTGGTGTGTGGAGAAAGTGTTTCGCGTGGAACGCGCGCAAGTCATCCTTGAGGAATTAGAATTTCACCGTCACCTTGGACTAGGTAGACTTACAACAGTGACAGTTGGAACTTGTAGCGCCATGGCTAAAGCTCAAGCTGCAGAATAAACCTGCAGACGCGCACAGGGGCGCGGCGTCTCACGTTGGGGGTAACATGAGTGGAGTGGGAAGGTGAGAAGGAAAAGTAGAAGTTCACGAAACATAGCGGAGGCTGTCGATCATTCACGCGATCACGGGGGTCTTGGCTTCACCGCGGGATGACGTGAGTGCCTCCTACCTCCAAACGGCGCAACGTACCACCACCTACCACAACGCTCGATGCATAATCTCTGAACGACCATGAAGCCCGGAGCCTTTGTTGCCTACCCTGTCGCTACCATCTGTCTGATCCTCGCCTGCTCAGCAGAGTCCCGGCCCTTCGACAGCATTGTCAAGTCATTCAACGTCCTCAGCGAACAGTCGCCGCTTCGAGAATACATTATGGCCAAGCCCGAGGGCCAAGTGTCAGCTGGCGTCATCATCTCAGATGTCATAGGGAAGACACAGAACATTGCCATCTTCAGCGGTCTCACGCGGGACATCGATGCGGTATCTGGTCGTCTAGACGATGCGGCGTCCAATGCTACGGTGCTGGCGCCAGACAACAGCATTATGCGGGACCTGAAGAGGAAGCCATGGGAAGATCCCGAGGATTACAAGTCATTCGGCGAGAACGCGTATGGTGGGAGCAGCGGAGAAGATCGCGCGCGCAAAAACCTTGAGCGCTTCGTACAGAGGCACATTGTGCCGGAGAGCCCATGGGAAGAGGGCAAGAAAGTCAAGACTCTTGCTGGCAACGAAATTTGGTGGGAAAGTAAAGACGGCCAGAAAAAGGTAAGTCGCATTTGACTACGCCGGTAGCCTTTCCTTGCCGTGGACCCACACCGCACTACAACGAGCAAAACTCTTCCACTTTTCGCACCCCTACTGCGTACATGTATATTCAATTCTTCATACACACTATCAACCAATCAAATTGGTGAGATGGCCGAGTTGGTTATGGCGCCAGGTTAAGGTCTCTCCTTAGCAACGCAAGGTTAATACCCTGCTTCCTGGTCACGAAAGTGGCGTGGGTTCGAGTCCCACTCTCATCAGCATTCGTCTGTCTCAGACAGATCATCCAGGTTTCTTTTTTTTTGCTTTTGGTTACGCGATGAAGATGGTTCAGCGAGAATACCCGCTCCTTCTCCGCTTCACACGCTATCGCTACTCCATTGGCTTCTTTTTTCCAGTCGTCAATCTGTAATTTTCGTTACTGCTGCACGCCTTCGGATACCGAGCTGACCAAACTGGCAGATCCAGCCTGGCGATGTCGAAGTCACGAGCATAGCTGACAAGGTCGCCAACGGCGAGATCTGGATTCTTGGTGGCTCTCTGGTGTAGCTGAGTAATCCCATGGCATAACACGTTGTTGCCTACGCTGCTGCATACGCTACTGGCTATATTTTCAACCTCACGATGATTATGACGGATATGGGAACCCCTGCAGTTCCTCAATGTAGAAGTCAGAGGCGTTATTAGGGCATAGAGGCAATATAGAACACATCGCTATAAGAAAAAGAAAGCATTTCGCTCTAGACTCACAACTTAACACTACACCTTGAGTTTGTAAGCTACTGTGCGGCTGGGGTTTGAGCTATCCTTTTCGAGAGAGCTTTAGAGCTCCCCTCTCCACCCCACCTTTATTAGATATATAAACCCAGCCACGCGGCTGACAAAAAAGAGCCGACACCAAAATCCTTAGCTCACCCTACTACTACCAAATTTTATATTTATTACAGGTTTATACAGCATTTAAAAACTTAAAAAAGCTTTTATATTATAATTTAAGCTATTTAAGTTAAAATATATACGTTATTTCCTTTAAAAAACTTAATTTTAGGTTGAATTTGTAGTAGATATAGCTTTTGGTGTAGGCTCTTTTTTGTCAGCCGCGTGCCAGCATGACTTCACATTCAGCGATGCGAAGCTCAGATACACTTCCCTCAAGCATACATTACGACCGGAATCATCCAACATGACGTTCGAACCCAGCGATCTAGCCGTCTGCGAGACGTGCGGAACTCAATACGATGTCCCGCTCTCTGAACATCCAATTACGTGTCGCGTATGCGATGTAAGTGACGTCAAACCGCTATACTCTTCCCAAATGCCCACCACATGAAGTCTCCAGAACTAACATACCTAGGATCCCCGCCAATACGTTCCCGCATCAGGCCAATCCTGGACCTCGCTCCACAAAGAAAAAGACCTCCAGAAGAACACTTTTGAGACCGACGAGCATGACTCGCGGATCCACTATATCACCACCAGACCGCTCACACCCGCCGAGCTACCACCAGGCCTCTCAGATTCAACTACTTCTCGAAAGCAACTCGGTATAGGCGAGCGCGCAATCCTACTGCAAACTTCTTCCGGAAACGTGCTCTGGGATCTCATCGCGTTCATCGACCAAGCGACCATTGACTTCATTAATCAGAGAGGCGGATTGAAAGCCATAGTGATTTCGCACCCCCACTTTTACACCACGCATCTTGAGTGGGCCGAGATCTTCAACTGCCCTGTGTTCGTAAATAAGGATGACTCGGAGTGGCTGAATCGCGAGGATAAAGCGGGGTGCAGGAAATCAGTTCAGGGCGTGACGGAGATTGGCGAAGTGAACGGGGAGGTCAAGTTCATTCAAGCCGGGGGCCATTTCGATGGGAGTTCGTTCCTGCTGTGGGAGAAGAAGTTGTTCATTGCTGATACGATGATGAGTGTGCCTGTACGTCCTGTCTTTCCTTCCCTCCCACATCCTCATTAGCTCCCAAACTAACATCCCCTCTCCAGTCCGGATTCATCAACGCCCACCGCGTCCCAGACACAGTCTCCTTTTCTTTCATGTGGTCGTACCCTAATATGGTGCCGCTGCCTCCCACGAAAGTCCATGGTATATGGAAGGCGCTCAAGCCGTTTGAGTTCGATAGCACGTACGGAGGATTTCCGGGCCAGTATTTGACCAGGCCGGATCTAAAGGCACAGGTGTTGGAGAGTATGAAGTTATTTTTGAAAGGCGCGGGACATGAGAAGGCAGGCGTTTATGAGGAGACGCTGTGAGTGAGTTGAGTAAGGGGCTGAACTCATGGGATGGAAGGATCAGCCAAGAAAATTTGATATTTGGTTTAGTTAGATGATTCGAATTGACGCCATCGTATTCATACTGTGGAAGACATGCGAGGACTGACTCTTATCCATGTACATAAACTTCACGGGAAAAATGTAGCGTAGAATGAATACCAGAATTGTACAAGATTTGAATGATGTACATATGAACCGCCCTAAAGCCCTCACGCGCTGCAGTAAATCCAACCTGACAACGCCTATTGACACAAGCTTACACTACCGTACTCTCGACCGACCTTCTATCTGTACTTTCGGCACCGCATTTTCAATCCTCAACCACTCACCATTAAACGCGTTGACAAGCCACCATTTCAGCTCTGAACGTAGCATTAGAAAATATACGTGTAATTTCTGGAAAGATATGCACTTACTGTCGTAAACGATTCGATTTGCGTTGTGGAAGTAGATACTATGATCCGAGTCGGGGAAAACATGAACATCGTAATTCTCGACGCCCGCTACATCTAAGCGATCGAGCAAGGTAAGAGTGTTTTGCATGTGCACGTTATCATCTGCCACGCCATGCATGATGAGGAAGCGGACGTTCTTTGACATCGACTGGACGTCGCTAACGGAAGAGTTGTCGTATCCTTGTGGATTGTTTTGCGGAGTGTGCATGTAGCGTTCTGTGTAGATGGAGTCTGTACGCCGTGTTGGTTAGCATGGGGGTTGACGAAGAAAAAGGTTGAGAAGGGGTCTTTACCATAATATCTCCAATCTGTTACAGGCGCAACAGCCATACCATACTTGAACGTCTCGCCACCATCAAGCTCGAGTGTCTTCAGCGTGTTGAAGCCCCCGTAACTCCAGCCCCAAATCGCCAATCTCTCCTTGTCAACATACTTCTTCCCCGCCCATATCTTTGCTGCAGCAATCTGATCAGTCGCCTCATAGTACCCAATGTTACCTCTTGTAATGCATCGTAGCTTACGACCAAGGAAGCCTGTGCCTCGCCCGTCGACTGTAACAACGATGTAGCCGAGGCTGGCGGCAATGTAGGATTGGAAGTCTACTTTGAATTGCTTTTGCACTTGTTGGGAGCCCGGGCCAGAGTACTGGAAGAACAAGACTGGATACTTCTTCTTCTCATTGAAGTGCGGAGGACGGCGTTCCAGGACGTTGAGCTTGAAGCCGTCAACATCGATAGTTTGGTACTTGAGAATAGGGAGCTCGTGTTGGCGTACGAGGCGCTCCAGGGCCTTGTTCTCTTCGAGAATCTTCTCGAATTTTTCGCTGTTGGATGGTGTGCTGATGATTTTCTGCCATGGGATGCTAGGACCTTTGTAGCTCATTAATGCGTAGGAGCCACCGGTAGAAAAGGATGCTTCGTAGAACGCGGAGCCGCTGTCGGCGATGACTTCTCTTTTGCCAGTGCCGTTCAAATATACTGCATAGGCGTGACGCTCAATAGAGCTCTTCTCCGTGGATATATAGTAGACCAAGTTGTTCTTCAAGTCTACACGAGACGGTGCATCGACAACCTCCCACTCGCCCTTGGTAAGTACGATAGGCTTGTCGCTGTCAAGTGGGGTAAAGTACCCAATGTGATCATATCCTTCGTGAATGATGGTGTCGATGTAGCCATCGTCCTTGCGGCCATTCTCAGGATCTGCGGGCACAAAAGTCGTTTTCTGCGAGACCTCGAACCAGCCTCCGTCGAGTTCTGCCACATTTTCAGCCCTGACAGTTTTGCCGGAGCGCTTGTCTACATCTATGAGAACGAGCTTCAAGGTGTCGCTTTCTCGGTTGCTCTCCCTTACGAGTACTTGCTTTGTCTTGCCAGCCCAGACAATCTCAGTGATGAGACGATCATTATCGGGGTAATCATTTTCGATCTTGACGCTGAACACTTCGCCTTTTCCCACATCATAAAACTCTAGCGATACGATGGGGTTAGGTGCCCCAGCCTTGGGATACTTGATGTCGCGAACTTCTGGGTAATTTTCCTCTCCGGCCTTGGGCTTCTCCCCGCTTGGCCGCGAGAGAAAGTACTGCACCGGGTATGTTGGGACCGTAGATTCGTCAGTCCGTAGGAAAGCAATGTATTTGCCGTCTTCGGACCACCATGTTGCACTGTTTCCTTGGAAGACTTCTTCCTCATATACCCAATCCGGTACGCCGTAGAACAGCTCAGAACCACCATCTTGTGTGATCTGCACAACTTGTGTCGACCCGAGCTTCCGTAAGAACATGTTATTGCCTCTAGTGAAGACGACTGCATCTGACTGTGGTGACATGGACGCTAGTTGAACCCTACTGCCTGGGTTCTCTGGATCGAGAGGCTCGGCAGTCTGTGTCTCCACGTCGAATATCCAGTATAGGCCCGTGTACGAGTGTCTCCAGTTCTTCTCCTCATTTGAGAGTACCAAAACTTTCTTGAAGTCCTTGCTCGGCCAGACATTGTTGGGCATGACATATGTTCCATTAACGTCGAAGCCGCTCTTCTTCATCAATGTTGTCTTGCCAGACGCCCTAGCCTTGTCCTTGCTCCTGATATCCTCGACAATTAGGTAATCCTTATTCGCTACGCCTTTCTCAAGCAGCAGGCCGTCCTCTCCATTTGGTCCTGCTATCCATGATACACTCTGTTGCTGCGGCCAGAACTGGCCACCAAGCACTTGATCCATAGAGATCTTCTTTGCAGAACCCTTGGTAGAGCTGGCAAGAGGATCGTGCGGACGACTGGACGCAGGCTTGTAGGTCCCCTTCATCAAGAAAGAGACCAGCGCAAGGGCCCACCCTACAACGCAGATTGTGCCAATAATCCATAACCACCGCCGTGTCTTCTTGTCTACCGTAGTAGGGCCCTGATACCGTCCTTCCTCCACGTCGAACCGCTCGCGTGCCTGGTCAGGCTCATCTCGATCGTCCCTGTACTTCTCTCCTAGGTTCGAACGCAATGTGCCGGTGAGCGATGGGTCATTGATATGCTCGAGGATTAGCGATGTTGTCGAAATCGAAGATATCGAGGCTTCGGAGCCGTCCTCCGAGGTGCGCGTTGACCTCTCGCCCTTGGTCAGAAGCTCTGTCTCCTCCTCATTCACGGCGCGCTCCGGCGGCATTGTAGTGTGTAATGTAAATCGAGATCCGCTATAGTCATATCATTTCTTCTCCACGACCATCTAAATGTATCCAAAGCGCGATGGTGAAATCGTGCAGCGGCCAGGCGAAGTTACGGGGTAGGTGCTCAAGGTGTCCACAGCTGCGGAGTTAAGAGCGGAGGTGCAGGAGCTCGTGTGGGCCGAAACCGACCAAGCCACCCTTTGACACAGGGTGGAAACGTCACAAGCATGCAGGCAAAACAAAGAGATGAACAAGTCTTCTATTCACGCCCTTTTCAGGACATTTGTCGGAATGATATACTAAGAAGCCTCCTGCCTTCCTGTCGGACCTATTACGGCTTGCATTTTGGGTATACCCTCCTGCTACTGGCCTTTGAAATTGGAGCATAGCCTTATGTGATGTTACTCAAGATCGTTGTGTGGAACTTAACCCGCCGTCTATGTAGACCCGTTCCCGCCAATACGGCGTCACTGGACCTTTCAGTGTTGCTGCCCGTTAAAGACGCATACTCGACGTGGCCTACGACGAGGTGTTTTGAGGTTCCAGGTTGTCGTTTCTCGCCGCCTAAATTCCTGCCAAGTGAGGCCATTCTATTGCGATACTAAGAGGGCAACGGGCCAAGGTAATCCTGAACCGCAGGGTTAGCCAAAAGTCTCAAGATCAAGCAGTGCAGTGGGATATTAACCTCTTTCATCGTCCCCACAGCATACATTTTGTCGACCTCAGATCGGAGACCTTTTATCTTTATGCGGATATTGGTGCCCTTCTCAATGACCTGCTCTCCGTTGTCGGTCCATTGTGGGGGCGTGGCGTTTGCGTCGAAGGTAATGTCTGAGGGAATCATCTAGCAGTCATTAGTGGGCGGACAAGTGCCTGACATGTTTGGGCAAATTTACATTACGGCCTACGAAGGCTTGTAATGAGCCGCAGTCGACAAAAAAGCCTGTACGGAGCACTGAAGTGACCACACCGTCCATCTTGAAATCAGTTAGCTTCGGTCGTTGAGCGCTTCTAAGATTTGCACATACCACCTCTCCCTTGTATGGCCGCCATACGATGGCCTTGTAGTGTACGACATATTCCGCAGAACCAGACCCAGGCATCACTTTTCCATCGGAGATCTCAAACGCGTCCAGAATGCACACAATGGTGTACTTTCCCGTGCTCGAACCCTCCTCCTTCTGAAGTAGCTCCCGATGTATGTGCTGACGGATGAGGGGACCGAAGTAGGAAGGATGTAGCTGGATCGTCTTCTCCAGTTCTTTGAGGAAAAACATGGCTGAGAGTTATGCGCCAGGTTTTGACGGACGAGATTTGAGGTGGTGCGCGCGGATTTTTCAGATGTAGGTAGAGGTAGACAATGCACGGGATGAACGGCGGATGACGGTAGTAGGCGACTCGTTCTTATTAGGCGGTTCTATGATCTTATTGTTTCCAGTGATAGCGCCGGTAGCGATACCGTAGAACTGGCGTGCGAGCCTTAATGAGAGGCGCCGGCCACCTGCAACCCAACCCTCAAAGTTATCTTCAGCAGTCCATGCGCCCAGGTTCCAGTGTGTTGGCGCCGCTTATGGGGTCCGTTGACACAGCGAGGGCAATCGTAGGTGGGGTTGGTCGAAGCTTTGAGGAACAATGGTTGCGCGCGCGATGAAGGTTGAGCTCGAAGCCTCTCGGCGCGGAAAATCGTTCGCAGCGACACCTCCCAACAGCCAGCATCCCGTGCCCCACCCATCCATGCCGTGAGACATTTACCTTGCTCTATCTGCTTATCGCTTCGCGTTTTCGGGGTGAAACTTCGCTGTCTGCCGAATATTGCCCCTCTCGCAACTCGTCTTCAAGACATGCATTAGTCTTGTACAAGTAGCTCAACCCTGACACGCGCGAGAGTTCCGCATCCGGTAGCCATGTCTCTCAACCTGGAGAAGCAGCTGGTCTTCGTACGTCCTGTTCGATCCAGTGTATATGCCTAGCTGACTGGAATATAGTATGGAGCATACCATCATAATAAAGTAGGGCCCCCTTTTGCCTGGGGAGCTTTGGCATGTAAAGCTAACATGAAATGTGTCAGGTCAACGTTGGGATACATATACTCTGTGTGCCTCCCATCTTGTTGACATCCTTCCTACTGGTAAGGGCTGCACACGATCCGGAGAAATCCTCTGACATTCCGATAGCTCACAAACACGCCTGCCGTCCCGCTACCGTCATGGCTCTCCGTGCCCAACCTTCCTCTCAACATCGGCACCGTGGGAGCAGTCTTGTATTCGACACTTTACGTCCTTATGGAGCCCGTCGCCGGGGCTCTTCTTGCGCCTCTTCTCATCGGCGGCACAGCGTACGCGAACCACCTCACCTCGACATATGGCGCAACCGCGAACTCGTGGGCAGCCGCAATTAACATTGCGTGCTGGTTGGTGCAGTTCGTTGGACACGGCAAGTTTGAGGGCAGGGCACCCGCGCTGCTTGACAACCTTGTGCAGGCTGTCTTCCTAGCCCCATTTTTTGTCTGGTTTGAGATACTTTTCTCGCTTGGATACCGCCCTGAGCTGAAACGCCGGGTAGACCAGGCGGCTGAGATGGAGATCCAGAAGTTTAAAAAGAGCAAAGAGAAGGGCCAGAATGGCTCTGCAAAGTGATCCAAGGACGCTCAGGCTTTTGATCATGTCTATATGGCAATCCAGACACGGCTAGACAAGCGCTGCTGCGAATGGGAACTAGGCGACGGGTCGAGATGGAAGGGGGCGGCTACAAAGAGCACTGCAAGTACTGTGTATGGATACGGCAGGAGAGCATAGCGTTGCATGGAAGCACGGTGTACGAGGCGTTTGGGTGGATTATTTTTTCTTTCTTCGTCTTTTGCGTTTGGCAAGCCAGCTGCATACCCATTTGGAAGTTGAACCGGTTGGCAGCAAGATACTCTCTTGAATTATTATTATCAATACCTCTGTCAAGTAAACACATGTACATTGCAATGTGATGGGTGAAAGCTTTCCCTACCCACATGAGTGTGCTATTGCTACCTTGATGCAGTAGTCTCCAACCAGTACTCATACTGTGTGAACAGTCAACTACCAACCTTGATCGCTTGGTCTCAAATTGACATGGATGCTTTTTTCCCGCCTTTCGTCGTCTCAGTAGGATTCTCTAGGTCTGGTTGTGGGGTTGGGGCGTGGTCTGCCTAGGCACTCCGTGTTGATTTCGCAGCGGCTTTTTCGGGTTAGGCGTTGCCGCCAAGGGCTGCGCTTTCCTCCCGAACCCGCAGGACTTTCTTCCTCGCAGCAAGAGCTCCCCATCCTCCTCTCCATCACCATCTCCCCTCTTTCTCTCCTGCATCAATCTCAATTGGTTGCAGAGCTCCCTCAATAGTCTCTTGAGCACCGCAGCAATGTTCTCAAGAGCCATCCGCCAGTCGAGCCGCCGGGTCGCTGCAATCTCTGCCTCTGGCAGGATTGCTTCGGTAAGTCCATCGCAACCGCCTGCACTCGTGCCTGTCGCCCTTGCCGCCATCGCCAGCAGCTCCCAGACGCCGACTCCGATGCCATTGGCGCCGCAATGGAGCTTTGTTGATGGAATTGGGCTGCTGCGCTGCCGACAAGGGGAGCTCCCCTCTGCCGAGAACGAGTACTGACGGGTTTTCCTCACCACCAGACGCGCGCCCCGGCCTTCACCAGTGCCATCCGATCCTACGCCTCCGAGGCAAAGGCCACGCCAACCGAGGTCTCGTCCATTCTGGAGCAGAGGATTCGCGGTGTACAGGAGGAGAACAGTCTCGCCGAGACTGGACGTGTGCTTTCCGTCGGGTATGCCGCACTGCGCCATCGCAATCATCACACCAAGACAGGCAGAACTGACGAGGGAATAGTGACGGTATTGCCCGTGTCCATGGCATGAACAATGTCCAGGCTGAGGAGCTTGTCGAGTACGCCAAGCCCATCCCACTCGCTCAACCCCACGGAAGCTAACGGAATCGCAGGTTCGCCTCTGGTGTCAAGGGCATGTGCATGAACTTGGAGGCCGGCCAGGTCGGTGTCGTGCTTTTCGGTTCCGATCGTCTAGTCAAGGAGGGCGAGACCGTCAAGCGTACCGGAGAGATTGTAGGTCGAGGCAAAGCTGCGGTCATCAGCGGAGAGCTAACACGCACAGGTCGATGTACCCGTCGGCGAGGCTCTTCTCGGACGTGTCGTTGACGCTCTCGGTAACCCCATTGATGGAAAGGGCCCTCTCAAGACCACCGAGAAGCGCCGTGCGCAGCTCAAGGCCCCCGGTATCCTGCCCCGTCGCTCCGTCAACGAGCCCGTACAGACTGGTCTCAAGTCGGTCGACGCCATGGTTCCCATCGGTCGTGGCCAGCGTGAGCTGATCATCGGTGATCGTCAAACCGGAAAGACTGCCGTCGCTCTCGACGCCATGCTCAATCAAGGAAGATGGAATTCTGGAAATGACGAGAAGAAGAAGCTTTACTGCATCTACGTCGCTGTCGGTCAGAAGCGATCCACCGTCGCCCAGCTCGTCAAGACCCTGGAGGAGAACGATGCCATGAAGTATACCATCATTGTCGCTGCCACTGCCTCTGAGGCCGCCCCTCTCCAGTACATTGCCCCCTTCACCGGGACATCAATGGTAAGTGTTACATCTGTAAATTGATTGGTGCAAGTACTAATATGACTTTAGGGAGAATGGTTCCGTGACAATGGCAAGCACGCTCTTATCATCTACGACGATCTGACAAAGCAGGCCGTTGCCTACCGTCAAATGTCTCTGTTGCTCCGTCGCCCCCCTGGCCGTGAGGCCTACCCCGGTGACGTGTTCTACCTGCACTCTCGTCTCCTCGAGCGCTCTGCCAAGATGAACGACAAGCTCGGCGGCGGCTCTCTTACCGCCCTCCCCATCATCGAGACCCAGGGCGGTGACGTCTCCGCTTACATTCCCACGAATGTGATCAGTATCAGTCAGTATATCCTAGTTCGCAACCTCGAGACTTTCTTCTAACTTTTTCTCAGCCGACGGACAAATCTTTCTCGAGGCCGAGTTGTTCTACAAGGGTATCCGCCCGGCCATTAACGTCGGTCTTTCCGTCTCCCGTGTCGGTTCCGCCGCCCAGGTCAAGGCCATGAAGCAGGTCGCTGGTTCCCTGAAGCTCTTCTTGGCCCAGTACCGTGAGGTCGCGGCCTTCGCCCAGTTCGGTTCCGACTTGGACGCTGCTACTAAGCAGACCCTGTCCCGTGGTGAGCGTCTTACTGAGCTCCTGAAGCAGAAGCAGTACTCTCCCATGGCCGTCAACGAGATGGTTCCTTTGATCTACGCTGGTGTTAACGGTCTCCTCGATTCCGTTCCCGTCGCCAAGATCCTCCAGTGGGAGTCTGACTTCCTTGCCCATCTCCGATCGAACGAGCAGGATCTCCTGAGCACGATTGAGCGGGAAGGTGCGCTCAGCAAAGACTTGGAGTCCAAGCTGAAGGAGGTTGCTACAAGCTTCACCAAGAGCTTCTCGTAAATGCAGAAGGGATGAAGTGTGGGTTGTGTCTATTCCAATGAGCTTGAGGGATCAAAAGTGCTGATTGGTCTTTGAGAGCAGATGTATAATAGAAGATGCGTCCTCGCCATCAGCTTGTCTCAATATGGAAGATTTGTTCGTTTTCTGAATTGACATGACTCGATGCGCGCTGTGCCGCATCACGCATGCCTACCTCTGACGGACAAAATCGACCAGCCTGTGATTCCCTCGCGTCTGTTAGCGGTACATATCTGGTGGAGTGGAGCTAGATGAAGTGGAGTGGATCTGTATATTGCAATTGAGCTTTTTGTTCTGTTACCCGGTCACCACTGTCTGCTCTACGTGAATTTAACTCCACGTTCTCACCGCCCCTGAAATTCATCTGGCTTTAGTTCTCTACCCTCTTCAACACATCTTACATGTAAACTTCGTGTGGCGAAGAGCTTGAGATAACTTTTAACAGTTGGAACGCGAGCAACGCTGACCACATACGTCATCTTCGAAGTTGTTATATCATCGCTACTCTATGTTTGCTCGGCTGTAGGAGTACCAACAGCTCATTGTGTCCTTCTCTGGCAAACCCTGCATATAAGCAGCACGTAGATCATCACAAGTAAATAGAGACTCCAGTCGGATACTGTCTCGAGGATGGAAGTAAAGCGGTTATATTCAGTTCGATCAGTGCATGTAAAATGCTCCCAAACCCCGCGTATGCAACGTCTAATTCTAGAATTCTATACCAACAGTTCCTCTCAGATGGCCTACAGAAGTGCACCATGACAACTTCTATTTCCTCCCTTTGGCCTCCTCATCACTTGCGTCTCCGTCTCTGAAAGGGTCATCCCCGATCTCTACGGCATCGCCCGTCTCGGGAGGCTCATCCATATACTCCTCATCCCACGTCGTCCTCAAACTAATATCGTCCTCATCTTCCCTCAACCGCTCCGCAGCCTCCAAGGCATCCGGGTCATCCACATACTCATTTTCTAGATCCTCTATACTCGCTCTTCGAATGCCCGCTCTTTCTTCGGCCTCGAGCTGCGCGGCGCGTTGCTTCGTCTTGCGGTACATGAACCAGCCCGTCACTATGCCCGCTACTAACCCGATGGCGATTGAGATGTAGGATAGCGCTTTGGTGCGCGGGTCCATCTTGCCCCCGCTCTCGGCAATCTTTTCCAACTGCGCGCCAATGAAGATATGTAGGATCAGCTTTGGAGTCACTATAGCAGTAGCTAGTGCAAAGCTGGCCCAGTGTACGGTTGGGAATGTTGCTATGGCTCCGTTGGAGATCGAATATGGGAGGGGACACATGCGGATCATGATGAGTAGCTTTAAGCCGTCGTGCTTGAGGGTCAGGGCGAGGGCGGCGAAGCGTGTATCGTTTGCTATGAGGCGGTGCACCATATTCTTGAGAAGGGAGCGTGAGAGGAGGAAGGAGGCTGTACTGCCAGCAACTGTCGCGGTAGCGGCTATGAACCAACTGTTCTGTAGTCAGTTTCTGTCTAACATTGGGAGGTTGGTATGTACACACCCTTTAGGGAATCCGTAGACGAAGCCCGTAATAGTAAGGAGAGAAGCATATCCGATCAACGGTGGAAAAGACACGATAAAGATGGCCACCCATAGTATCAACCAGCCACCTGTGACATCCCTCCATTTCTTCGCAATCGGCAACAACGCTCCAAATATCTTCTTGTTATATACCATGAACAAGATGCTGAGGACGCTCATGACTATGCCGACGACGACAAAGAGGACTTTTTGTACAGGCGATAACTTGTTATACTGGTCGCGAACGCGGCGGCTGAGATTCGTATATTTCTCCATTACGCGCTGCTGCCATGTTGGTTGCGAATGATATGAAGAGGTGCGACGAAAGGAAGATGTGCGTCTGCGACTCCATATTGGGGTGATGCCTGTCTCTTCATCGTCGAGGGGGAGCGCCAGGGCGCGGGCATCATAGTCGGTCGCTGGCATGGTAGGCGTGTGAGGTTGAGAGTAGGCGGAACGCGACGGATGCGACGGAGAGTTGAATGGAGGAGAAGCGGTTTAGGGATTCATGCGAAGGCGTAGGGAGTGGCTTAGCGACAATTACTGAAACAGGACATTCCGTCTGTAGGATGCTTGTAAATCAGTAGTAGGAGGTCAGAGTGAGATGTTAGATGGTGAACTAGCGCTGCTGCTAGGGAGTTGCTGGTTTCATCGTCATGGGAGAAACGCCCGCACTGCCTCACTCCCCACTCTTCAGGGCTGTTTTAAGACAGTCAGACTAGAAGTTGAATCAAACCAAGCAAAACAGTCTCTCTTCCTCCGTAAGCTGCTTGTGCTCGGGGTTATTAGCAGTCATTGTTACGGTTGGCTGGCACGCGCAACTCTGGTCCGTGAGGGTGTCCAGGTACAGCTGTTACACCACATGGAAGCATCATCCAGTTCACCCACTGGCCCTACACGTGACTCAGCCTCAGCTTCGTGGCGCCCAGTGTCCTGCTCTAAACGGTGATGGATGTCTGTGTGTGCAATGTTTCTCCCGGACTACTACGAGGAGGTCTTGTTGCAGGGACACAAAGCTGCCTGCGCCGTCATCCCCGCCCAGCCATCTCACACCGACGTCCCCAGGGCCATGATAAAAGGAAGCTGTAAGCAATGTAGAGGTGCTCGAGTGAGCCGTCGGTAGATTTGGTACGCACTGCTGATGGTATTCGACGAAGCAAAACGCGGCCCTGCAAGCTAATGAACAGTCGTGCAGCATCCATCCCCCACACCCCTACCCTACCTACGTAAGGCTAGTCCTTTGAGCTTCATTCGCGCTCGCGACCCGCCCAGGCATTCACTCCCTCTGCCCTTTTGCCTTAACGGCGCACGTGGAGTGTCTCGCAGCACCTCTGCGGGACAACTTCTTGTCCTTCATTGCAGCTTCATTCCCTGATACGCGCCGGTCGCTGCTCCTCTGCCATCATCCGCAGTTCTTCTTCAGCCCGACACCCCCCAGATCTTCCGTCTCTACCTCTCCTCGACCGCGCGCCCTCCTCCCCTGAGCGCCGAACATACCCATATCCTTTCGAGTTTTTGGAACAGTCTAGTCATGGTTGCCGACGACCTATATGAGAAGTCGCTGCCTGTGCTGCAGGACGAGACGCTAGATGAGGAGGACAAAACAGACAAGCTGGAGGAGCTGCTACGCAAGGAAACCAGCCTTTCGGGGAAGTCTCTGGAGAATATCGTCTTGGATTGCCTCTGGCGCTATCGCGACGCGGGCAGCTCTTCCAGCTCCCCTCCCCCGAGTCGCCATACCATCATCCGCCGTCCTTCGCCAGCTCCGTGGCAGGCCAACCGCGCCCCGACCCCCGTGAACCAGTCGCCGCGCATGATACACCCCCCGCCCGGCTTTGGCATTGCTCCTCCTGGCTTTTCACGTGCAAAGTCTTCGAATGCTTCTCCGTTTACTTCCCCGCGACCCTCGCCGCGCCTTGCCTTTTCAAGTCCGCATATCCCGCATAGCCCCAGTCTAAGTGCATACCAGTTCAGCGAAGGCCCAACTCCCAATTCTGAGCTATATGGTGACCTCGACAGCCAGTCAGTGGACTGGCTGGTAAACGATGAGTCTGGGAGTGAGCCATCCTTGCTCGGTGACGGCACGCTCAATGGAGCCGCGGCAGAGTGGATACAGCCTCAGACCATGGATATGGGCCCGTATGATATGCTACGCTCGATCTTGAGAGATGATCGATCGGATGAGGAGATAGAGAAGGTCCTCGAGGCTAATGGCTTCGACCTCAGTGCTGCTTTGCTTGCGTTGATGGGCCAACAGTTGGATCCGCAACAACTCCCCCCGGCGACCCAAGAGCAGAGTGGCTACATTATTGGAAAATCAATGAGCCCCGCGTTTAGGCCTAGCACACCCAGCCAGCACAAAAGCAACATCGTGTGCAAGTACTTCCTATCAACGGGACACTGCGCGAGAGCAGACTGCAGATTTAGCCATGATACTAGCAAGACACTCTGCAAGTGAGTCATTTGTTTATGCATGACAAATTTGTGAATTACTAACATTGGCCCCAGATACTTCTTGAACGGAAACTGCCTGGCTGGTGACACTTGCTTGTTCTCTCATGACCCTTCAGCGCTCATGGCTCGTATGGCCATCTCAGACGTCTCCACACCCCCTTTACAAGCTGCTATACCCAACTTCCACATGTCCGACTATGATGTGTTTCCCAACCTCCACTCAAGCGGCTCTCCGTTCGGGACACCTTCAATATCAACATCAGAAGCTACCTCTTTGGAACAGCTCTATGGTTTGACTGGTGGCCCAACACGTCCTCCGCCTGGCCTGAGCCCTTACGCGAACTTCACACCCGGGGCCGGTAGCCGTCCGCAATCAAGGACTAGCAGTCGCCAGCACTCTCGTGCCCCTACCCCGTCTGTGCCCGCGGTCGACGACAACGAGGCCTTTCCTAGTTTGGGCAGTGCAGCTGCTGCGAAGATGGGGAAGCGACATCACGGTAAGCGAGGTGGTCATGGGCCCCAAAAAGATCTTTCTGGGCCGAACAACCTTGCAGACGTCGTACGCATGTCACCCTCCCCTGCTCCTGCAACTCCAGCCCGCAAAGCTCTACGAACCACTAAGAGTTTCAATGGCTCTCGTGAGAATAGTGCAGCTGCTCAGGCGATCCCTGCTCCTCAGCATATTCCGTGGTTAGAGACGGGCGAGAAGGGCAACCAGGAATATCTCAAAGCTCGCGCCGAAGCTTTCAAGCATGGCAGCCTGCGGAACAAATTTCTGCAAAGGTAGGTTTGATCTTGAATAGGTGGTAGAATGTATGCTGACCTTACTTAGTGCTGCCCAAGCTTGGAATCGCAGTGACTCGCGCGCGGCTAAAGCTCTTAGTCTTAGGGGGCAGAGCGAGAATAACCTCATGCGCGAAGCACATCGGGAAGCCGCACGTATTCTTTACGAAGAGCGGAACAAGGATGTCGACGATGCGAAGGAGCTGTATGTGGATCTTCACGGTATGTTTAGCTCATCTTCTACTAACGTACCCGTTCTGTTTCTAATATTGCCCCAGGACTACATCCAGACGAATCCGTATCCTACCTTGAAGGCATTCTCCTAAAGCACAGCTCCCACTCCCGCCCCGTCTATGCCATCACAGGAACTGGTCATCATTCCAAGAACGGCAAAGATAAAGTCGGCAAGGCTATCCGTGGCTTTCTCAACGAGTGGCGGTATGCGTTCCGCGAATTTTCCGTTCCAGGGGACCGCAACAATGTCGGTGGCATCCTTGGCATTGACCCAAGTAGCTACGATAAAAGTATTGCAGAGCGGCCGAAGGAGGCCGAAGCCGAAGCCGAAGTAGATAGCGCGAAGAAGGATACGAAAATAAGGATCATGAAGAGAGATGAGGTTTTGGAGATGCCCAGAGGGCCTAAGAGAGATGCTTGATAGTGATGAGTGGAAAGCGGAAAGACCTAGTAGGTAGCATGAAATAAGAAAGAGTCTGACTTCACGTTTCGTCTTGATATATTGTTTGCTGTATTGTTCTTACAACCTGGGATCTCTCGTCATGTTGTGTTGGTTTCCATCGATGGATGGTGCTCGGTGAGGAAGGCGCGTTCGTCGTCGTGCCTCCCTCTTCCAGCACACCTCGTAATCACACCCGCATTCCCTACTCTCATTCATTCCCCACATCTCTCGCGATTACTTCCGTCTTGCTACCGCATTCTGTCTACTTATCTCATCCACTGTAGCTTTCCTTTCGCCTCAAATCAGTCTGCAACGGCTCTCACTTTCACTGATCGAGCGGTCAACTTTGCCGCAGTCATGACACCGCGGAATCCTAGCACTACCTCGACTGACACTGGGCCGCAACGAATGTCTTTCGCTACGGCTGAGGCACTGCTATGGGGCCCGGAATTGAGGAAGCAACATGAGTGGCTTCTCGGGGAGATGCGAGCACTTCAAGGTCAACATGAAGCGTATAACGCTCGAATACAGACAACCGAAGCGGCCGCAGAAGCTGCAGAGGCGGCTACTTCTCGCATGCGGCATATGGAACAACAGATTGCGGCCATGGGGGTGGTAGATACCGACAAAACCTTCGAGAAGTGGGCCACGGGGGAGATTACTCGATTGAGGAACTTTGCAGATAGGAATCAGGCTGTCTACCAGAAGCAGATTGAACTCGCGAAGGAAGTCTCGGTTGTCGCGGACGACTTTGAGAAGATGAAAGATGTGCCTATTAGTCTCAAAGGTCTTGTACGACGTTTGGAACATCTTGAGTCTGGTCGAAAACAGGATGCGCATCAGATCAAAGCCCTCGAAAGGGAGATTTTCAGCCTCAAGACTATGCACCAGAACTCAGCCATAAGCAACATTAGCTCAAGGGCGAATATCAACCATAGGTCAATCTCTGGAAAAGCAAATAGGCCACCGCATGTAGAGGATGTCGAAGACTTGGATACTACGGAGACCGAGGACGAGGGACCCGTTCTTCCTCGAAGATATATCGAGGAGCGAATACAGGTGCCTCGAAGCCCTGAGGCTGGGCAGAAGTGAGATAGACGAACGACATATGATTTCTATGTTCACTAACATCTACAGCACCTCAGATACTATGTTTGGTACATCACCTACTAGATTCCAGCCAGCTGTATCGGCTAGGCTTAGGCTCTTCAAGAGGCCCTCAATTCATAATTCGAAGTTGCCGAGAGTACATGAAGACGGACAGCACAGAGCGCCCGCCCCTAGACCAGAGCCGCATGCGCCTAACCCTCCCGCGACACAATTAGCCCATAAGGCGAGCCCACGGAAAAGGAAGTATCCAGACGATGAGCACTATACTCAGCGTATGACCCGTTCTCAGGCCAAAGGTCAAGAAAATGATTCCAAACAGCCCCAACTTCTAGGGGCAGTCAAGATCACCTCGACTGGGGCATCCCAAGTGACCAGCAAAAGTCCGATAAAGCGGACGAAGGCAGATGTTGCTCTAGCACCAAGCAAACCGACTCCCAGCAAGTTGACACAAGTCATTGCTTCGAGTCCGACAAAGCGAAAGAAGCCTAACGTTGCTCCACTTCAACAGCCAGTAGGCCCGCAAGCTGACAATAGCAGCATTTATTTACCACAAAACGCAGCAGACCGAGTCAAGACTTCGCCCCGAAGAGCAGCAATCATATCGCCATCCAAAGCCCCAATTCGGCTCAGCTGTAATGCCTGTCATCGAAAGAAGACCAAATGCGATCGTGCTCGACCATTCTGTGGTCAATGTGCAAAGCGCTCACAGCGGCACGCCTGTCAGTATGTCCAGTCGCCTGTCGACGAGACTCAGATAGTCTCAACATTGCCATCAAGCCCTTCGAAGAAGACCATACAAGCAAATGCGTCTGTAGATTTGAGCCGACCCGGTTCTGCAAGAAGAGTAATGCCAGAGATCACCGATTATAACACCTACTTGAAAATGAAAGCAGACAAATCGATTCTTTGAACAATATCTGATTGAAGGCAAACAAGCTGGTAAAGGCTTGATTAAGTCTCGCGGAACTCATATAAGCCTTCACGATCTGCAACTGGTACCTCGAGGTTTGCCTCTTCGATATCCTTTCCGTCAACCTTCAACCCCGCCCTCATAACGTCCCCCGTCTTCACAGCCCCGACACCCTTTGGCGTACCGGTCAACACGATGTCGCCTTTCTCCAGTGTCATCACCCTGCTAATATCGCTCAACTGTCTTGGAATCCGGAAAAGCATCAGCTCGGTGTTGTCGGACTGCTTCACTTCGTTATTCACAGAGAGCCAGAGGTGCGCTTTTTGTGGGTCCGGTATGCGATGTTTGGCGATGAAGTTACTGATCGGAAGGAACGTGTCGAATCCTTTTGCGATGGACCAGGGCAGGCCCTTCTTTTTCGCTTCATCTTGGACGTTTCGCGCAGTCATATCAATGGCTAGCACGTATCCTGCGTTTCGATGTTAATGGAGATCTCTCGTATATGTACGAGCATAGAATGAAGCGATCAAATATAGTCACAAATAAAATGAAAGTACCTTCAATAGCATCTAGCGCTCCCTTTGTGTCCTCAGGGTGCAGATCCCTTATCGTCTTGCCAATGACGAGTCCTAGTTCGACTTCATAGTGCATTGATACACCACGCGGGCGGAGAACGGGGCCAGCTCCTGGGAGTAGAATAGATGACGGGGGCTTGAGGAAGAAGAAGGGCTGCTTAGGGGTGGCACTGGAGAGCTCCTTAATGTGGTCGGCATAGTTGCGCCCTATGCACATGACCTGGGGGAATGTTAGGGTGGTGTCTCAATGGCCTTCAAAAGTTCTCTCTCTCTCTCTCTCTCTCTCTCTATCTCTTGTACCATACAACAATCGTACGCAGCTCTTGGCCTGAGTCCCATAGCTCTTTCAATGGCACATATTATTCGACTCCTTCATGTGACGTTCTTTCAATACATCCAGGTCCAAACCAATAATCACGTACCTTGCGACAATTCGCCCTGATTGCCTGTATACTCGCCATGTCTTCCCAATTCCAAAATAAACGATAATGTGCAGAGAAATTTAGACAACACAGAAAAGCGACACGCACAACGACGAGCTTGACGTTGAGCTCCTGAGTCCGGCCGACCTACCGGCAATTAACGGATTTTGAATTGGACCCTTGCTCCGCTACGGAACGTAATCCGCGAAACGTCAGAGCTTCCAATCCATCCCACTTCAACAACAACCAGCAAGCAAGCTATCGTAGCAAAGCGCTATAGTAATCATCACCCGATCTGTAGTCAGACGAGACTCTCAGTTTGGAACAATGGCTACGCAAGAACAAACTCCCCGAGAAAACACCATGCGGCTCGCAGAAATGCTCTCCGACCTCGTCTCGTTGCGCGCCTGTGTACGTTCATTCCCAAGTCCCCCCCACTCCCTACCTCCAGTCTTTCCTTTATTCTTTGACTCTTTGAAAATACCTGCTTACCCACACACCCAGGATCCCAGCGCTGCACTCGCCCTCGTATCCGCGCGCCCCTCCACATCGCACCAAGATGCAAACACGACTATTCCGAGTGAAGAGGAAGATGTGGATCTGAAGAGAGCGAAAGACTTGCTGAAGCTGCATTATGAGGTCAAGGAGGCGCATAAGAGGGGGCAGCTGAGTAATGGGTTGGATGAGGCGAGACGGGCGGTGGAGAAGGCTGTTGGGGGATGAGACTGCTGCGTGTGAGCGTCTTTTGAGGAACAAAACAATCATATGGAGGATTTGGGCATTGAGGCCCTTTGACAAGAGGTAGACGCGCTTGGTAGGCGGAGGAAGAGCATTTATTTGATGTGCGGGAACATTGGGAAGAAAGACAGCGCGGGCGGAAAGCAACATTGGGACATGTCTGCACGTTACGAGGCGGAAGGGAAAGTTGTCGATACTCACTGATCTGGATTTGAGGATTTACGGGTCGTTCGTTAGCTATACGCCAGGCTTCTATCCACCACGCACTGGATCGACATGTCCACCGATTCGTACTACCTAACGGTAGGTTTCACAGATGTTCACGACGTCTTTGAACGGGGCTCCAGGAATCCTAGAGATTAAACAGTTGTTTGGATGTAGAGAATGCCACGGCCACATGCTGGAAGGTCAGCTTACCAGCGACATCACGGACTAAATGAATGTCAAGGAGATAGAGTTGGAATAGGGATTACGAGTTCAACTCCTTGTGTTGAATTGAAGTAATAAGCGCACAACATTAGGCGTACAGTTGTATAGAGAACAACAAGAGGGACAGATTTTTTCGTGGTTACATGCTATCGTCCCGGTATTGAGAGAGTAATTCGCGCCACAATCCAAATGCAAATTGTCAACCGCATCATGCTTCAACGGCCTTCATCATCGCTCCAACGATAGGTTTGATGTCCACGCCTTGCTTCTGCTTCTGTCGCAGATGCGTAACGATCGGTGCCGCTTCCTTGGGGCAACGCAAAGTTGCAATCTTGGGCAGCACTATTGCCTTCAACTTGTCACGCTTCCGTGCCTTTGCGGTGGCGCTAGTGCAAGTCAGTCGCCAATGTTGCGGAAGTCCTCTAGAATACTTACGTAGTTGCTGTTCTAACAGGTGCCGCGGGTAATATTGGGACTTCCGCACCCTTTTGCAAGGGCTCTAGGATTGGCGCAGGTTCAGTGTCCTGAGGTGCTTCCAACTTTTCAGTCATTGGCTCAGGTATTGGCTCCAGCGGGAGTGCTTGAGGTGCTTCAGACGCCGCGACCACCGGTTCGGGCTCAGTTACAAGTTCGGGCTGTGTGGGTGCCGGCGCCGGTTCAGTAGCTGGTTCTGGCTCTGGTTCGATTTCGGGATCAGGTACAGGGCCAGGCGGTTCAGGGGTTTCAGACGTCGCTACCATCGGGTCAGGCTCAGATACTGGTTCGGGATTATGTGCAGTCTCGGGTTGTTCAGGGACTTCAGGTGCTGGCGCTGGCGCTGGCGCAAGTTGTGGTACTGGTTCGGGCTCAGGTATAACTTCGGGATCAGGTATATGTTCAGGCTGTTCAGATACTTCCGGAGCCGCTACTAGCAGTTCGGGCTCATACACGGGCGCGGGTTCAAGTGCCGGTTCGGGCTCAGGTACAACTTCGGGATCTGGTACAGGTTCAGGTTCTTGAGTGGCTTCAGGCTCCTGAGTCGCTGGTGGAGGTGGGTTTTGAGGCTCAACGAAGTCCGACATTGCAATCTGATGCCGAGATCGCGAGAGTGAAGGGCTAATAATGTGATATATAGGTAGCGATGATCGAACTAATGTAAGAATGAACCTCCAATTGTCGGGTGAATGCTAAAGGAGAAGTAAGGTGAGACCGTCTGCTCTTATGTGTTGTTGTCTTGCATGGTTAGAACACTGGTTAGAAGAAGTAGTGACCCGGCTAGAGTTAGGAAGTCGCATATAATGTAGGTAGGCACAGTATGAGCTGCATTGCCTGTCTGACATAGACTCCTATCTGAGGAACTTCCCAACCAAGGAGCCCGGATTGGTTGTATATGCATCGCTATAGTTGGTACTCGATCACCTAGGCTGAAGATATCGGGGCCTAGAGAATAGACGATTCACTCGCGTGATGCCACCTGCAAGTATGCTCTTGCATAATCCAGAGCACCATGTCTAGAAGGTGGTCTCAATAGTTGATTGTCATATTGGTAATCTGGGCCACATCTTGAACGAGCAGAACAAGTTGAGATTGTGATAAGATGCTGGATAGCTTCAACCATTGATAGATAGGTTGGTGAGTAAGATGCGATGTGCGGTCGACTATCATGCGGGAGTGGGTGAGTTGTAGTCGCGGGTCGTGCCTGACTGACGTAATCCCGGAGGATATCCCCCGAACTGCCGATTACCTCTCAAGCTCCGGAGCTCCCAAGCCTCTCACCTACTTCGACCAGTCTTCTTCTGCAATTGCACCCTCCTACTTTATCGCAAGTATGGCGCTCAGCATTGACCAGAAACGCCTTAAAGCGACTAAGTTCCCGCCCGAGTTCGATAAGAAGGTCGACATTGAGAAGGTCAACATTGACTTGATGAAGAAGTGGATCGCCAACAAAATCACCACTATCCTCGGCGATGAAGACGACATTGTAGTTGAGACATGCTATAACCTAGTTGAGCAGAATCAGTTTGTCAGTAGATCCCCTCGCAACGCGTGGTGACACGAACTTACCTATGCAGCCAAAAATCAAGGAGATCCAGATCCAGCTCACAGGCTTCTTGAATAAGGAAACGGCCGCGTTCTGCAAAGAGCTATGGGACTTGATGCTCAGCGCGCAAGACAGTCCAATGGGCGTACCGAAGGAGCTCCTAGAGGCCAAGAAGCGAGAATTGCAAGAGGAACAGGTAAGAGACATCATGGCTGCAGGATTCTAACAGTGCTGACAGTATGCGTAGCTTTCGAAAGCTGCCGCCGAGGCACGCCTGCGCGAACAAAAGGAGCAGGATAGCATGGTAGACTCTTTTCGTCGAAGCGACCGTCCAGAGAGACCCGACCGTCCAGAGAGACCCGAGCGTGGACGTGGAGGTGGAAGAGCCCGAGGAGGAGGAGACCGCCGGGGAAGAGGTAGAGACTTTGATCGAGGGCCGCCACGACGTGATTCAAGATCACCGCCGTACGTCGCACAACTTTTTGTGGAGAAAATGCCCCTGCTAACATGTGACAGCAGACGGCGGTCCCCACCACCCCGTCGAGAGCGCGATATCTATGTTCCTAGTGGTGGAGGTCGAGGTCGTGGACGAGGAGGGCGCCGTGATAGATCTCGTGAGCGCCGTCGCTCGCCATCGGGCAGTCCTTCTGCAACTCCACCAGCTCGTCGCGCACGCCGCTCACCTTCATCAGATCGCTCACGAACCCCGCCCCGACGGCGAGTACGACGATCCCCTTCTCTTGATCGCTCAAAGTCCCCCCCGCGGCGCACGCGACGTTCTCCACCTGCAAGATCCAGGTCTCCACGGGCAGGACGATCAGGTCGACGGAGAGACAAGTCATGGTCGCCTAGTCATGACAGGAGGAGGTTACCTAGGCATACTTCGACATCTGCCTCCCCAACAAAGAAGTCACGCTCACCAGCGCCCAGGCTGTCAAGGTCACGATCCCGAACACCACCGCGCCGTCGTCGAAGATCTCCCAGTAGCTCACGATCTGTGACTCCTGTCAAGGAGAGACGCCGCAGACGTTCTCCTTCGTCTGAAGCAGACTCGCACGGTTCGCGTGCTGATATCAAGAGGCGAAAGCGTTCGCCTAGCTCTAGCAGGTCGAGGTCACCTAGTAGATCCGGTAGGCCCAAACGACGAGTCACGCGTTCCCCAACAGAATCACCAGCTCGGAAAGAGCGAAGCTCAGAAGACTAGGTTGGTATTCGCGGTCTGTTCCGCTCTATGATAACCAAAGGCCTTCCTTGCCATACGTCTCAGAGGCTCACTACAACCTGCTACCGAGCAGTACGGTCCACGTCGGGACTTCTGTCTGCACTACTTCGTATGGATTCTGTGCTCAACCCACCCAAGCAACATCATCCGGACAACCCTCAGGCATGTCTTTGGGTAACTGGACACCGATGAGCGTCCAAGTTACAGATAGCCACGCCCATGCGCACCTAGTAGATGAAGCGACCCTTGTATAGTAGACACTTTTACCAAAGCTGGCTAATAGCAAATTGAACATTACAATAGCGAATGTAATACAGTCGAGTGCTTTGCTGACTATTTCGCATCCTGAAGGTCTTTGGTGTGGCGTGAAGCCTGTTATCCTAGCTTATGTGTTTTCGCTGACGTATTTCCCGACTTGAGGCGAGTACAAGCCGAGAGTCGTTGATTCCTCGACGGTGTCCTCGCTGGAATTGTGATAGGAGAGGTCGATAGCCCAGAGTTTAACTTCCGAAGGCTGAAGCCAATGTGCATCTTGACCTTTCGGGTACTCCTTTCGCGGTCCCTTGGCGAGCATCTTTGGCCGCTGGGAAGGCTAGGGCAACTATGCACTTATGCTAATGGGACGTACCGAGGAAGACTGGGGTCGTCCTGATTGCTGTGGTCGATTTTTGTGCCTGAACCGAATGCGGCGCAAGGTTGTTTTCATCCTTTGTGACGTTTGCACTGGGCGGCTACCACGCTGATATCATCTAGTTTACCTAGAGCAAGGTTAGCAAAGTACAACGAACGGAGTCTCACACATCACATGCCTCCTTCGATCGACAACCCCTCATCAATCGCCTTCTCCATATACGGACTTTCAGCAAACGGATCCTGTGCAATCGCTTTTGCAGCATTGACAAGCTGCTGCGCCACGAACTGCATACCATCGGCATACGTCTGATCCTCTGTATCCTTCTCTTTGTCGCCCCTCCACTTCTCCATACTTTCTAGAACACTCGTAACAACCTCATGCTCCCACAGATTATCTACTACGCCATCGGTCATGGCTATTACTATATCCTCTTCCTCGATCTCCACACGGTCCACGATTGCGTTGTCTGCAGGTGTGTCGGGACTGTTCGTCCCCAATTGTCGTGGACAGTCGAACCAATGCCATTGCTCTTGCGTTTTGAAAATGACTTCTTTGCTACTTGGGCGGATAACAAGAATCTGGCTGTCGCCTAGCTGTGTGACGTAGAGGATTGGGTGTTCTGGTTTGTGATCGTCGGAGCTTAACAGAGCGCCGCACGCGGTCGTTGTGCCATGCCATTCGTTGGGCTTGGTAGTGGCTTGCTTGGTGAGGTCGTATGCGGTTTGGAGGTAGGCGACCGGGTCGGGTGGGGAGGTGGGGGAATAAGACGCTTGATCAACTTCGAGGGCCCAGAAGTGGAGGATCAGACGGGACCATAACCTTTCATCCCAAATCAGCGAAACTCAGTGAATGGTGTAGGGGCACTACGCACGCAGCATGGCCTTTCTTTCTCGTGGCCCACGCTCCTACGCCGTCATTTGCTCCGATGAAGCTTTCACTAACTAGCACCGCATCGTCGCCATTCGTAACTCCTCGTATCATCTGTCCATTGACGGTCGGTCGCCGATCTCTACTCTTATGATGTGTACTCAGGGGCTCAGAGAAGCTCGTCGAAGGTAGCGAGAGGTATGGCGGGGGAAAAGGCCGTGAAGGCCTCTTTGCGAACAGCGCATAGCCAGCTTCGAAGTAGAACGGCGACTTTAATTTCGGTGGTTTCGCATCATCGGGGACGGGTGTAGTTGTACCAGCGCCGATTTGGGCTTCTGATGTTTTCTGGGCGAAGCATCGTGCCGCTCCGCTTGAAGATCGTGGGACTCGTCGGAAGTATTGGTGGTTTCTCCAGGCTTGTGGAAGTTGATGCTGGAGGGGACTGCGCAATCGGAGGGAAGGTGCGAGCATGCCAGCGGCTGGTGGGAGAGAGTAAGGCGCTGAGCGTCCGAAGGTGCTGAATTAGGAGCGCATGGGGAGGCGTCGCCTCGTTCTCGGCATGCGGGGAGCCTAGGAATGCTCTTGTGTATGGCATCGGAAGTGGGTGAGGATGGGGCTGGGCATGACTAAGCTTTATGTGATGACGTTATATTCTTTCTCTTTTTTTGGTGTCTTCAGAGAAATTTCTAAACTCCTACCTTTGAGCGGAAAGGGGTCCAAAATGTTAAGATTCTCCTGTGCGTGAGTAACATATATATGCGTAGCACAGAGCATAGCTTATAAGCAATGACATTCAGTTACACCTCTCAACTGGACCACGTATGATTTCAATTAATCTACAAAGCAGGCAAAGGCCTAAGACCCTTCCTCCTGGAATTTCCCCATGTCTAGTCCGTGGATGTGTTGTGGAGTTGAGGAGTCTCAGGAGTGGTATGTTGAATGATGCCACCCCCAAACACCGCCTATATGGTATCTCAAGTGAACGCCGAGCAATGCAATCATGACTTCCTCCCTCCATCGATTATGCCCTCCTCTTGGCAAAGTTCTCCAGATCCGCGCTCGTTGCAACCCCTAGCACAAATTTCCTACTAGCATCCGTAACGACTGCAAACTCCTGCTTCCCACTCCCATCTACCCCGCCAGCAAAAAACTCCTCCAGCTCCTCCAACGGCGTCTCCGTCGTAATGACCTTATACCGCCTCCCCCTCCTCTGAAACTTGTGCATCGCTTCCTCTACGGGGTCGCTGTCTTTGACTTTGCGGTCTTTGAGGAGCTGTTGCAGATGTGGAATGCTGATGTAGCCGAGGAGCGCGCGGGTCTCTTGTGAGATGACAGTGAGGTGCGTGTAGTCGCGTTCAAGACCAGACATAAGGGCCCATGATATGGGGTCGGAGGGTTTCACTGAGAGAGCGGGCGGCGGGTCGAGGTCTTCTACCGTTGCCTATGGATGTTAGAGCGGGGTACGGAAGTGGTGGGAGTGTCATACTCCTCGGTACTTGTTCGCCCATAGTGACTGGTAGTCGCCATTTGGCGCGCCATTGGTGGTGGACGCTCCAGTCGCCATGTTACAGGAAGAAGATGTCGTGGGGAAGTTGTTGCGCAATCCTGAGCAAGGCACCCGCTGCATGCAGATCTTCAAGTCCTCAAGTCCCCGCGCTAAGCATGCACGAGCCAAAGTAACGTTTAAGGGGCGGTGTCACTTTGTAGTAAGTCAAAGTGGATGTGACAGAAGTTAATTCGGCCGTATGTGGACGCAGCGCAGAGCTAGCGGGACGCTCGCATATACTGTACACCACACAAATTACATACAATACTTGTCAATGTCTCCTTTGGCTCTACCAAGATTCGAAATATATCCTCAATGTTGCAAACACTGGTGTAGCATTTGTCGAAATGATTAATGAGAAAACACGCACATGGCTATTACAGTAGAAATCATGGTTGAGGTTCATGAAACCCACGTGATGGACGGTTAGTCTGGAGCCGCCTAGCGACAACCGCCCAAAGGTCGCTCGCTCGTAGACATGTGCCCACTTCAAACCACCCACGACCGGCTGTCGACAACACCGATCTACTGCGCCAGACATTCACACACAGCTACATCCACTACTTCGGCCGCGAAATATTCCCTCGCCGTCCAACGGATACATGGCTCGCTGCCGCACCGCTTCCCTCGACTGCTCGATGAGATTGCCTCGACAGATAACGGTCGCGTGCATTGGCTGAGCGACTCTTTATTCCGGAGTTTCGAATAATTGGGGGCTCATCATTCCAGAAGTCATGGACAGGGGTTGGCCGGTGTTGGCGATCTCGAGAGCGATGGGCAACAGCTTCGTGAGCAGCCATTCTTGAAGCGTAGCATGGGCTAGGAATGCGATAGGCCTCATGTCCATCATCAGCGCCATGCGAACTCCCAACCATGCTCCACATGCGACGCATAGATCTACTACATCAGCGACGAAAGCACTGTTGCCGCCACGAGCTTCAGAATGATAAGGAGGCAGGACCCCGCACAACAGATACCGGAATTTCACAAAGTCAAAATGTTGTTGGAACGTGTAGTCAAGATGTACAATATCTTGATAGTCTCGCTATGAATGGTGGCTAAGAGTTGGGATGAACATGCTTATCGATAGTCGGCGCGGGTACGGAAGATTACCGCCTTTCCACGGCCACTGATCAGATTCGCATGGTCGGGAACACTCGGAACCAAGGATACACCTTGATTCATGGATCCCTTCCTATGAGTGTACACGTCTATGCGACGTTGATGTTATCGCCTTCCAATAAATCCAGGCCATAGGATGATCCAGGACATGGTTGGGATGATCCCTTTCCGGCCCCAACCACCACCGCATCCCAATCTTCAACGTAGAGGTCTCTGCGGCGCTTCGAACAACCACTTTGGCATGATTACAAAATCTCTGAGTCTTCGTATATGTACGTTCACTCTAACTTTGCGTACAGGTGCTCTCATGGTACATGTCCGATAAATCTCAGGTTGATCTTGTGGTCGCGCTTCATGCAATCTCCGCTTGACTGGAAAAGATACTTGATTTAATTATTTAGCGGGTTTCAGTCGAGCTGCTGAACTCCAACGATCATTTCGAGAAGATATGGGGTTTGGACTATCCATCATGTGGGCCACCCTAGCTGCACCCAGCTTGATATCAGCTAAGTGGACTGCGAGGCTCCCGGTTCGAGCACTCACTGAAGATCACCATTCGACAGGCTAGGTAGACTTCCAAAATAGTGCAGCGCAGGGTTACAGCAGGTACGACTCCTAGGTGGTCGTATCTGAGGCAGTCAGCCATTTCAAGATTACGGAAGCTTTCTATCGCCGTGCCACGATAGACAAGTACCATATTAGGGATATTGGCCGGGTGGAAGGAATTGTTGACTGTTATTGGGCGCGTCTCATGGAGTAATTACTTGGGGACGAGCTTCAGAATGAGGTGGAGACCATAGCAAGTCGTTGTGGTAGAATAGAGTAAGTTTTATCGCTCAACAAGAACGAATGGCCGTGGGCAAAGCTGACGACGTGAATAGTAGCTGAAATGCAATAAGTCCCCAGCAAGCCTGCGACGAGGATGTCCGACACCCCGCAGTTCGGTGGTCTTACTGGTTGCCTCGTGACTCGCCCACTCGAGCTCTCTTTGCTCATCACGAACATCATCAGCATCACCTGGCTAACGTGGCTTTGCAGATTGCAGAACGATAGCTGCCTTTAGGAAGAGCTGGAAGAGTCGGTTTCGACAAAGAGTCGTCCTGGTCTACGAAACGCCCTCTCACCTCACCCCAAAGGCGTTGTCTCGCTCGTCATTCGCGGCTTATCTGTCGAAGCCATAAACCGCTCTCGGAGGCTCAGTCGTGATCAGGAAGCGATAAAGACGTACTCGACATTGGTGCGACAGCAGACAAAGACCATCGCTCTCGTACCGTTTCTCGAGCTTGGTTCGCTCACGTCGGACTTGGGTTGCCTTGCGGAGGCGCGGCTGTGTACTCGTCGCACGGGCGTCATCGCATCCCCCCAACCTTGGAAGGCGGCGATACCACGAACAGCAAACCACACAACATAGCAAACACGACTCTTCACTGCTGCAACACTACCAGAGCTTCGTTGGTCTCTCCCACAATAGTAAGGAATCGCCTCGATTTTTTTCGGCGACCGTAGCGCGTGAGTTGCGTGTAACCCGGGACGCGTCACGTGCTAGGCCTGGCGTTGCTGGAAAGTTCAAGAGGAGCGTCTCCGATCTCTTTCCTCTCGCTCTCCCCACACACCGCGACGCGACCCAGCCACCTCAACCCCCGCGCCTCATCAGCTTACACGATCGCCCATCAACTGCGTCGTGCTCTTATTGCGCCCGACATCTCGACGAGGGAAATCGCGACCACTCGCATTCCTTACGCGTCGACCCACATCGAACAATCGCTCCCACGAGTCACACAATGGCGGACGAGGCGACTGCACCCGTGTCTGGCGACGCTACCAAGGTTGCCCAGGAGACCGCGCGCTCTACAGACGCCATCGCGGAACCTGCCGTCGCCGAAGCAAAGCCAGCTGAGGGTGGCACCGTAGCCACAACAGGCGTCGCTGAAGGTAAGTTCCCATCGCGTGCGAAATAGCACCAAGATGAGCTAACGCGACGATGAATCAGTGCCCACGACCGACGCTCCTGAAGAACACGCCGCCGTGAAGGGGCGTGGTACTGCCGCCGCGCAGCCAGACACAACGACAGCAAGCCATGATGCAGGTGAGACAAACCCGGCAGATTTACTGGAATTGGGCTAGGCTATATCAGCAGCTCAACCCTTTTACGCATATATACTTATCCAATTCTCTAGATGCTACACCTGCCGCCGATGCACCACCAACAAACGGCACCCCTGTGGTTAAGAAGACAGCCAACGGCAAGCGCAAGTCGGGAGCTGGTGTGCCGGAGCACAAGAAGACCCCCGTTAAGGGAAAAAAGAAAGTACCCGAGCTTCGCCTGAACGTGTCGGCTGGCGACATGTATATGGTGGCTATGCGTGGTTACCAGCCATGGCCAGTTATCGTCTGTGATGAAGAGATGTTGCCCGAGCCACTTCTTATCAAACGCCCCGTCAGCGCGAAGCGGATTGATGGCACATATCGAGAAGATTTTGCAGAAGGCGGGAAGAATGCTAAGGATCGCCGGTACCCCGTCATGTTCTTAGGTACCAACGAATTGTACGTGGAAACTCACATCCCACTTGCGTCTCTCGAGTACTGACACACTCCTCACAGTGCCTGGCAAGTCAATACCGAACTATTGAACTTCGACATCGACGATGTGAAGGCCGACGTCGCGTCTGGCAAACAGGGCAAGAAGAACAAGGCTCTCTGGGAAGCATATCAGATCGCTGCTGAAGGTCACGACTTGTCTTATTTCCAGGAAATGCTAAAAGCTCATGAGCAGGCTTTGCAATTAGAGGCAGAGCAACGCGAGCAAAACGAGCTCCAGAAGAAGGAGAAGGCTGAAAAGGTTACGAAGCGCAAGAGTACGGCGGCGATTGACTCAGAGGATGCCGAGATGGAGGATGCCGGTGATGATGCCGCGCCGTCTGCTAAGAAGGCCAATGTCTCCAAGAAGCGCAAGAAGGCTGACGAGAGCGATGGCGAGAATGACAAGGTTTGTGCCATGATCATTTACATTTTGCGACGACTAACCCGTGCACAGCCCGTAAAGACTCCAAAGACGAAGTTGAAGTTGACGACCAAAACCCCGAAGGAGCCCTCAGCGGCAAAAGCGAAGAAAGAGGCCAAGGCAGCAAAGAAATCGAGCGAAGAGGCCGAGCCAACGGCACCAGAAGAGCCAGCCCTGACTGAGGAAGAGTGGAAACAAAAACGCGAAAAGCAAGGTAAGCGTGACTATCCCATCTTTGCAAGGGTTGACTAACATGGTGTAGTTCTCTATCTACGACATCGCCTACAAAAGGGATTCCTCTCGCGGGATCAAGCTCCCAAGGATGAAGACATGGAATTGATGTCTGATTACCTGAAGCAGCTCGAACAAAATCTGGATTTTGAGGCTGAAGTCATCACGAAGACCAAGATTAACAAGGTGCTCAAGGCTATCATCAAACTACACTCGATCCCGAAAGAAGAAGAGTACCGGTTTAAGAAGCGATCGAGCGATCTCCTCAGCAAGTGGGGATATGCTCCAGCAACCGACAACGAGCCAGCAACCGCAACCGCGACTCCTGCGGCTGAGCCGGCTACCAACGGCGTCAAGCATGAAGCCGAGGAGAAGAACCCTGAGCCTGCGAAGAAAGCCGACGCATCCGCTGAACCTGCTGTCACCAAGATTGCCGATAAAGATGGGGATGTGACCATGTCCGAGGCGGACAAGGAGGTGATCGAGAACTCACGGGAAGTGAAGGCCGAGGCAGGATCAAGCGCAACATAACTTTGCGGTGTTGTTTGCGGAATTGGAGTGCGACGGCAGGGCATAGGATGTACGCGTCACTACCGAGGTTGGACGACAGTGCGTGGGTAGTTTGCGTGACCAGGCGAAAGTGTTTTCGGGGACTTTCTTATCGACCATCTTCTAACTCTCACGATTTTGGGTGGAGCTTGGGTCTTTGTACATATATTGCTAGTCGCATGTTTAGCGTGCCTTGTGGAGGGAGGAAGAGCTTATTCCTGCGGCATGCGCTTTGATTCTGAGGGAGGATCCTCGACAGACGGACGTGCTTCAGGCGGAGTACAGGAGTGCCTTAGCAATTGCGATAAAAGAAACCGGTCCACAACGTACTATTCACCCCGTCCGGCGTCACTAAAGTATCCCATGGCTTGCCAACACATGATTTCGTCAAGTGTTCTATGCAATCCTCCGCGGTTGCTAGTCGTGGCGCGTCGCGTACTGTAGCCGCCCCGCGATGATCCGTTCATGACGTTACCTCCCAAAAATCAAAGCTTCACTAACATCTTCATTAAACTCCAAAGCTTTCACCAGCTTTCTTCAACCCTCGGTTTTTGACGTTCTCTCTTCAAGCCTCAAACCAAACTCTTATCGAAAAGCATTCATAATTTCCAATATGGCAGCCGCATCAAGGAAAGACCTCCTCAAGAAGGTGTACAATATAGTGCCGCCGATGCTAGAAAGCTTCCACAAAGGTGAGAGGTAGCGAGTATTGCTTGAGGAAATGTGACATCTAACAACAGACAGGTCAACTGGGTCGTGTAGCTGTAATTGGCGGCAGCGAAGACTATACCGGTGCACCTTACTTCTCCGCCATGGCCTCCGCCAAGCTGGGTTGCGATATGGTATTACTATTCAATGAACACTCTTGTCCACCACTAGCTCACACATATTTAGTCACATGTAATATGCGAGCCTGGCGCTGGCGCCGTGATTAAGACCTACTCTCCTAATCTCATGGTACACCCCTACATGCGCCAGTCCAAGAACCTCACCCAATCCGAAAGCGCCGACACCGTCTCCTCAGAAGTCATTGGCATGTTATCACGGCTCCATGTCATCGTCATCGGCCCAGGTCTCGGTCGCGATAAGCTCATGCAAGATACATGTGCAAAGGTGATTGAGGAAGCCCGGAAACAGGGTATACCTTTCGTACTAGATGCGGATGGTCTGTATCTTGCGCAGACCAGGCCAGAGTTGGTAGACGGTTACAAGGAATGCATTCTCACCCCCAACGTTGTGGAGTTCGGAAGACTAGCCAAGACAAAAGGCATAAACGTCGACGAAGGCGACCCCTCAGAGCTGTGCTCCAAGCTCTCAAAGGCATTCGGCGGCGTCACCATTATCCAGAAAGGAGCAAAAGACTACATCTCCAACGGCACAATCACACTCGTCTCGGATGGCGAGGGTGGCTTGAAGCGCTCAGGTGGACAGGGTGACACCTTAACAGGTAGCTTGGCGACGCTGTTGGCGTACAGGACCGCGTACCATGATAAGATTTGGGACCATGGCACAGACATGGACAGGAGTGAGACGCTGGCTCTTGCAGCGTTTGGCGGTAGTTGCATCACGAGGGAATGCTCCAAGTTGGCGTACAAGGAGAAGGGTAGGAGTCTGCAGGCCAGTGACTTGACGGAACATGTGCACACGGCGTTTTTGAATGTCATTGGGGAGAAGGACGAGACTCCAAAGTTGTAGAGTGCGACTGGATCAGGTAGACGGAAACATGGCGAGCGAACAAAGCCACCTCGTTGTGTGGTCTAATCGGCGAAGCATTGAGGATAGTCTACGAACGATACGATGATTGTATGAATACACAGTGGCATTTTTATCATGCATGTCTCGATTTCAATTGGTAAAGCTACGGTGCTGATTAATGTGCGGTAAGAAACCATTTGCCCTTCGTGTTTCTTTGGGTATTATCGTTTCAGTAACAGTGGTTGCGTTCCAGTGGTTCAGATTGCAACACCGCCTCTACGATTGACTGAGAGCTCTGGGCGGCATTTAAACCTATTCTCATCCAAGTAACCATCAATTATCTTAGGTGGATCTCCATCATATTCCAGAAAAAGGTATCGGTACATCTTAGGCATGAGCCGATCCGTTACCGCCGTTTGGAAGGGAAATGTACGCCTGACATGGAATTCCTGACCGCATCTACACCGTCCTTTCTAGTCTTGTTGCCTGACCGCACTGACTACGTTGGTCACACGCGTTCTCTCATTTTCAGATCTCATATACTCAGCTACCTCGCTCCTTTCCCCGTTACTAAACTCTCGACTTCATAACTCGGCTGAGACAATAGAAGCGAGACATTAACACAGCTTGAATCTAAGATCCGAAGAGATGCTGCCAAACAACAGTGCTGTCATGTAAGAAGCACTTTCCTGAGGTATTCGTTATGTGGTCAGAATACTGACTAGAGGCAGATACATTCGCAATCAACAAGACTCACCACTCCTCCGACTTCCCGCCGAACTTCGAAACAAGAGGTGTGAAGGTCCTGCAACGGATACAATTCTAATAGTGTTGCTAACACACAGATAGTAAGACATTAGTGTTATCTTCAAAACCCTCTTTACAATGTCTCATACGGTATTCGTATCCTAGTTAGAAGAGTGCTAATCGTTTCGCTACATTTAGTCTACACCTTCATCTTCAGCAGCCTTCCGATCCTCATCTGCTTCGCGACATCCCACTGCACCCGCCCAATCGATGCGTGTCCCTTCACCCGCCCAGGCCGCCGTCGATGGTCTCACATGCACTACTCCCGACTTCTTCTATCTCTCACCGAAGCCTGTCGCCAAACACATGCCGAGACCAGACTCCTTCCCTTCATACTGAACACGTTCACTGGATATCCCGAGGCTGTGCTGGCGGCGTTCCCTGGCCGTTTTTACCGCTTTCAACTTGAATCCATATCCACTCTTCATCTTATGGTGCAACGTAGAGATATCGGCAGAGAGTGGCACGGACGCTTGATGACGGGGAATGTGCCTTTGTCTACGGATTTGGGCAATGCGCTGAAGACTCTGTGTGTGCTTACCGGGTTGAGAAATCTGAGCGTTGTCTGGGATGGTGGTATGCTTCCTGCTGATGCGTGGTATGTATTCCGTATGGCGTTTGGGAAGAAGATTGCTGGGCTGCTAGGTTTCATAGAACGAGGATGATAGTGAATTTGTGGCGGAGGATGTCTGGGGGAAGTGGGGAAGTGCGAAGTTGGGATGGATATTGAGTTATACTACGGAAACACACAGTATGCTTAAGACGTCCTGGGGGGAATTTATGTCCTGTTAGTTATCACCTCTTTGTTTACTGTTTTTAGTCGTTTCTCAACTCCTAATATTAATCTCGAATCTATCGTGCATTCATACAGCTTATCTCCTACTCACCCTGAGCTCTATCGCGTGTAGTTACTAAAGTGACGTTAATCTGCTACATTTACTACGTTTACGCCTTCCTCTCCCCTTTACTCAACACATTTTTTTCCCCTCTCTCTCACTTACAAAATCTCGACCTCAACAACTCTACCCACACAACCTGACTTTCCAACCCCGAAATTTCTACCACGACAAGTCGTTCACTACCATGGACACGGCGCAAGAGAAGATCCTCACGCTTGTCGCTGCGGGGTCTGATGGCAGTAAAGCCAGCTCGCAAGACGATCGTGAGGCAAAGTGCGTTCCTAACAAGCCTTTTGAAGCAGTCTCTCACCCACTGACTCAATGTAGAACACTTCGCAACCAGCAAGAGTCTCCGTTCCTTCGCCTGCCCGCTGAATTGCGCAACAAGATATATGGCTATGTTTTTAACAATGAGCTAGTGAACCTCTACATTACAGGAGAACCCGAAAAGTCCTGCTTTGGGTGTGAAAACTTCTAGGGTGTTTATATGGACCACGACCTTGCGCTCACCAAAACCTGTCGCCAAATCCATGCCGAGGCGCACCTCCTACCGTCTACACTAAGGGAGTTATCTGGATGTCCTCATTCTTTGGTCTCGGGTATTACGAACGACTCCCACAAGGCTCAAGTTAGTGCAATTACTGCTATCAATCTCCGCGTATGGAAGGATGCGCTGTATTAGGAGTGGACACCGCGTGAAGGATATAGCTTGGGTGGGCTACAACCGGGTATGCGTTTCCTTGCGCCTTGAATGCAAGTAAGCACGGGAGCCAATCTAGAAGTCGCCATGAGAACCGGCATACGCAAGTCTGCTAGCGAGGATGGCGTAGCAAGGGAATGTAGAGTTAATGTCCTCGATGAGACACAGCAGATTGGAAGGTGAGTAGCAGCATGAAAGAATGATTGAACAATCGAAAAAATCTTCTTTCCAGTCTCAACACGGGTATATACAAGAAAGCCGTGATAGACAAAAACCTACTAATCATGAAGTAGCCAAAAGTGCAAACCATAAGTCCCAAGACAAAAGCGCCGCGCACCATGCTATTCAAAGCACGCTTGAACGATCAAAAAGGCGACCGTGAAAAGGGGGGTAATAAGAGGTAGGCCAACAGCAGAAAAAGCAACTTTCGATCCCAAACACACCCTCAAAGCGCCGGTCATGAAACATAGAAAATTTCCCAAAAGGCACCGTGCTCCAAAGTACAAACGTTTTCGTATAATCCAAAAAAGTGCATCAACAACAACACACAGGGGTCAGTCGCTCTCTAGCAGCTGTCTTATCTTTTCGTAAAAGGACGCAGGATACTGACGTATCTCCTCGTCCGTGGGCGCCGCCTTATTAGGATCTCGGAACCGATCCGCGACTCTCTGGATGATTTGTCCTAATAATTCCTGCGGAATTCGCAAATCCTCCCCGCCGTCGGGATACAAGAAGGGGTCTCGTTCTTCTAGTAACTGAGCGACGTTAGGCCGCCGTGACGGATCACGCAATAGGCAGCGGCGAAGCGTTGCTTTTAGACCAGGTGGAACACGGACGTCTCCCACACCATGGTCTGGGAACTCGATCTGGTAGTCGCGATTTACAATGGCTAGGACGCGCGCCATTTGGTTGGTGATGTGTGCGAATGGTGGTCGGCCGTAGACCATTTGGTACAGGATACATCCTAAACTCCAGACATCAGATGGTTTGCCTAGAGCCATATCCTTGGACCCGTTGCCATTACTTAGTAGTCCCCTCGCTCCGCCCGCAGAGTCTTCTAGGGATTCCGGGGACATGTAGTTCGGAGTGCCGATGTGTGAATCGCGGTGTACATTGACAGTGTGGTCGACTTCGATGGCGTTTGCGATGCCGAAATCGATGAGTTTGAGACGGCCTGAGACAAGAAGGAAGTTTGCGGGTTTTAGGTCCGAGTGCACGATGTCATGATCGTGCACGGCGCCGACACATTCGAGCATTTCTTTCCAGTAGTAGCGTGTGAAGCTCAGGTCGAGTCTACCGTCCCCGTCGGCAGGGTCAAGCTTCATTCGTATTATGCGGGCAAGGTCTGACTCTCCGATCTCCATGAGCTGTGAAGTATTAGCACGGTTTGAGATAATGTCTTGATTGAAGCATCTTTGCTCAGGTGGGATGTATCAGGGTATAAGTAGAGCGAGAGGGAGAAACATACCACGCTCAGAACCTGCCGCTGCTCATCCACTTCCCAGTCATATAGCCGTACAACTCTATCTACATTCTTGAGCTTCTGCAGCAGGTCAATCTCGCCCTTGTAGCCTCGTACTGCAGCTTCGTCCGCATCCTCTAGCTTCACCCTCTTGAGCGCTAGTAGTTTGAAATTCTCTGCCATGACACGATACACCGCAGAGCTGCCCCCTCTTCCTATCCTGTCCATTTGCGAGTAATGCTTCCCGTTCACTGACAGCGTACTCCTTTTCCGTCTCTCTCTCGTCTTCGTTGTGGCAGCTCCAGCGGCAGCAGTAGCGGTCTCCAAAACGGACATCTTCGGCGGTGGTGGCGGTGGAGCTGGTCTCCGAGGTGTATTCGCGCTTAATGCTTGTAACGGCATCGGCCGCTCCTGTTGCTGCTGTGACTGTCTCTGCACAGGCGATTCATGTTGTGGTAGTGGTTGCATATTGCGATCCTCTGCGACCTTCATAACTGAACCGGTCACCTTCAGGACGGAATCGGGGACATTTTCAGGCTGGGCTTTGATCACCGAGATTGGCAAGTTCTCCTGATCTTGCGATGGCGGATGTTCCTCTTCACTCTGAGGTGTCCTTCGTAACCTTCTCATCGGTGCACCCCGTAGTGGCACTCGTTTTATTCGTAAACTTGGCGCAGGAGTAACAGAGTCATGGACTGGCGTATTCGAACCCGAGCCGGTGCGCGATATTCGTAACTTTGGCTTCCTCTTTTCAGGCGAATTGACATCGTTTTGCGCAAGTAGCGCTGTCGTCAAAGCGCTCAGCTTCATGGGTTGCGGTATCTCGTCATCGGAGCTGTCGCCAATGTTTATGTTCTGCATCATGGGCGCGTCTGCCGAGAAGCCCTGGGATTGCCCCAAAACGGAGAGCGGAGAGTCTCGTCTCGGTCGGATTATCGAATGGGCGCGCATGCGTCCGTACGATGAGCCGCCTAGCGGCGTGGGAGAAGCGGTGGCCATTGCGGTGGGAGGGTGCCTTTCGCGCAGGAAGGTGGGCGCGTCGCTATATACGGGGTAGGAGAGCTGTGTGGCTAGCGAATGTTGACTGCGGTATTAGTTGCGCATACATAAGGCCCGTAGGGTAGGCGGCTGTTCGCAGTAGGGATGTAAGTGGGTGAGTTCTGAGGTCCAAGTCGAGATCGCGCGGCAGCCAATCCTGGTCTTCGCGTGGTTCGCGTTGCTGGGCAACTACGCGGTAAGCAAAACAAACCAAACCAGCTCAAGTGAAACGAGCGGATAGCCTCTAGAACATAACATCATTGTTCTACACGCGAATATTGTCTATACACACTCTTCAGATTGACTCCGAGAATTACACATGTGTGCCATACTACTCTTCACTTATACACATGCAATGGCTCCGCCTAAATTTGAATGGCTGCAGAACAACAATTTCTAGCACTGCATACAACAACTGCAAATCCCATACAACCCATCGTCGTGATTGTTGTGTTGACCATCGTGAAGACAGTGCAAGGAAGTTATAGCGACTGGACTTGATCACAAGGTTCCATGTAGATCTTTGATATACAAGAACGTATCTAGTGAAAAGCGGAAATTGCCACCAAATAGCCATCTAGATAGGCACGCTGCCCAAATCTTAGTCATGACCTCTAAACGCCTGCCCATGCAGCGGATCAAAAAGATATCGATACAGAATATTCATAGTCTCGATCGCGGGGACTCCGCCTCGAGCACGACAGCTACTACGGCAGCAATATCGTCCGGCTTACCACCGTGCCAGTTCTCTCCTGGATACCACTTTTGTACCTCTTTGGCGAACGGACCGTCTCGACGAGTGTTGAGCCCGGTGTCCTTGGCTGTCTTTGCAATGGCAACCGCTACCTTCGCCTGGAGGGACGAGCTGTCGGCCTTGCGAGCTGGATCGGCCTGTACGAGCTTTGCTAGATCCTGTCCGACCTCTATTGTGCCATCCTTCTCCACCCAAGCACCAAGATGCACCATGTGACGACTGACAATACCTAGCACATCCTGTGGGCTCAGGTTATCCCAAACGCCATCGGTGGCAAAGACGAGAACATCTCCATGGCGGACTTTGTGATGTGTTACACTCGATTCCTTGGGTAGATCTGAAAGGGTGGTGGGTCCTCCGAATACAGCCATTTGCACGAGCATGCGTTCGGGGGTTTTGGAGAGCTGATATGGGGTGTTGAAGGCGTGTGTCTGGGGCTGCGTGAAATGTCGTACGGCGTTCAATCCGAGATGCATGAATCCCGAGTCGCCCAGGTTGGCCACCTCGATGTTGCCATCTGGTTCTGCAACGGCCAAACATGCGGTGCTGCCACCCCCTTCGATGTTGTTATCCTCGGTGACCTCGTCGTACGCCATCTGGAGCAGATGTTTCGGATGTAACGATGCCGTGTTGGATCCGTGCGGCCATGAGCGCGCTGCGCAAGCCATGTATTCGCACAAGCCGTGGGAGAAATCTGCGGGGTCCAAACCAGACTCGACCCATCCCCCCACTCCGTCCGCTACACCAAATGCAGTGGTATTTGTGTTCCCAACCTGGCTGAAGAAGAAGGCGTCTTGCCCGCTTCTTGCTCGACGTCGCTTATCAATAGAATCCTTGCACTCCCTCAGATCTGTGGTCTTGCTTTCACTGGGGTCATGCACGGGTCGCGTGAACAGGTTCTGCGCCGCATTGAAGCGGTCTTGTTTCGCCGAGTATGATGCCGCAACATGGTAGGTGAATTGTGGCGCATCTCTCGAGTGGTGCGAGGTCGAGTGGAACAATCGAAAGCCGGTTGTGGCCGAACAGACGTCTCTATCCAAAGGACATGTTGGCTGGGCGTATGTGGAGGGGGTTCGTTGGTGCTGACCACGGGCGGTTCGCATTGAATGCGCTGGCGCTATGAGCGAGGACGTCGAGAGAGTGAGGAGCAAGAGGCCGGCAGATGTAGCGCGTCGCGACACAGGTGTAAGCCGAGCCAGTCCCGCCGCGCTGGAAATGGCAAATGACATGGCCGCAGCCCAAACCTAGAGATTACAAGTCAGTACGTAGTGAAGGAGAGGTCATCAGGGTATGATAGTGAAAGCCGCGCATGATGGCGACGCAGTACCTCTGCGACAAGAGACGTTGAAGTGAAAAGAGACTTTCTGGACTAGGGATTCACGCATTGGCCGTCGTCATATTGCCGATCCGGCTAGTCCCTGAATGTAGTACTTACAGTTAGTAAACGCATTGCCGCCGCAAACCAAAGTGAAACAAAGACGGACTGCTGTCAAGTAGAGCAGGGCCAAGTAGGTAGCCTCAGCCTTCAGTCGGGGGAGGGAAGATTTGTCTACACAACCTCTAAACTTTGTCAACCATACGTTGCAGGTGGGTTCGTGTTTCAAACGCGGTGAATGACATAACCGGCGCTAGCACAGCCCTATCGCCTAAACCCCGGGTAGGCGCGACTTGGGGCTCTTCTTTTCCAGCACCAGGCATACGACCAGCAACACTCTGGCCCGCTGCGGGACGATACTTGAACATGAATATACATCCATCGCGGCAAGCATACGTCGAGGAAGAGGATGGCCCAGTACGTATTCAAATTCTCAACGCTTCCACATTCCTATCTTTTAGCTTGTCGACAGAGGCTCCACGTGCTCCAGCAGTTGCCTGCAATAGCTACTAAATCGACACCAGAAGCTGACCAAGATGCACAGGGCGATGCTATGGAGGGCATTGATCTGGCCAACATCCCTCTCGACCGCGATCATGCCATGCCCGGAGGAGGCAATGAGAAAGCGTCCACCCTTCTCGACGAGTTTGACCGAAAACGACGAGCCGCGCAATTGATTGTACCAACCGCGGATCGCGACGTCAAAGCCAAACTGCGCTCACGGGGAGAGCCCATTACCCTTTTTGGCGAAGGGCCAGCCGATCGACGCGACCGACTGCGAGCTCTCTTAGCTGAGGCAGCGGAGGCACAAGGCGAGGATGCCGCAGATGTGGAAATGCAAGAGGCGGACGAGGCGCCTGGGGACGAGCAGGAAGAGTTCTACACCCAGGGTACACAGTCACTGCTCGACGCGCGGCGGGATATAGCGAGCTATTCGCTGCCACGAGCAAAAGAACGTGTCGCATACCAGCGTCGCGAAGCTACGATACCACTGAAAACCCACATCGAGTTCCGCAACAAGATCAAAGATCGGCTGAAAGGCTTCGAATTGTCCGGATCGCAAACCGCAGATCGGCCTGTAAGCATTGTGCGCGTCTCCCCGAATGGCCAGTATGTCGCATACGGCACTTGGGGCGGAAAAGTTGCTCTCTTGGAGATTCCTAGCCTCGAGCAGAAGAAGGCATATCGAGGAGGTCACACTGAACGAGCGACTGGTATAGATTGGATGCCCGGCGCGACACTCCCAGGGAGTAACGTCTCCACCTCTAGCGTGAACTTTGCGTCTGGTGGAGCAGGCGGGAAGGTTCAGCTATGGTCACTAGATGATGACAAGCCCTTGCGAACTCTGGAAGGCCACACCGACCGCGTCTGTCGACTGGCTTTTCACCCTTCTGGACGATATTTAGCGTCAGCATCCGATGACACAACATGGCGTCTCTGGGACGTAAACACTGGGCAAGAGCTGCTCGCGCAAGAAGGACACTCGAAAGAGGTCTATACCGTGAGCTTTAATGGAGATGGCTCGTTAGTCGCAAGTGCTGGTCTGGACAGTATTGGTCGCGTGTGGGATGTGCGCACCGGCCGCGTCATCTACATGCTTGAAAGTCACATCAAGCCCATCTATGGTCTGGACTGGGCTGCCGACGGCCATCGCCTTCTATCAGGCTCTGGAGATGGTTTCATGAAGTGCTGGGATGTCAGGGCTATGAGAGAAACAAACTCGATTGCTGCAAATACCGGAGGTGTCACCGACTTACGATGGTACCAAGGTACCGATGGACCAACTAGCGGTGTACCGTTACAAACAAACAGCGAGGGCGAGCTCACGCCGAAGAAGGCTTCGACGTTCGTCGTCTCATCTGGATTCGATAAGAACATTCAAATATTCTCTGCAGACGACTGGGCGCACTGCAAGACACTACAGGGTCACTCAGGACCCGTCTTCAGTACGGATGTGACGAGCGACGCTGCCTGGATTGTCAGTGGAGGAAAGGATCGAACCATCAAGCTTTGGGCTCGTGACGACAATGAAGGTATATGAGATGCAGCTGCAGGGCGATGAATCGATGACCTGAATTACGAGAGAATGCTGAAATGGGGCACAAGTTTTACCTCTAAGCGAGCGAGGACAATGAGCTTGAGATTGAGCGTACAAGGTCAGTGCCCATTCTCTAGTCTCACCACAACGCGGATGATGAACACAAACTGTCCATAGCTTCAAACGAGATACCCATCAATCTCCGCATGCGCGGAGCTGCGAATACACAGAACGTTGGACAAAGTCCATTTGAGCAACATGTTGTTTCGACCTGCCCTCTCTTCCCATGACTTTCCTCCTTCGTTCCAACAGAGTAGCTCGCTGCTGCTCTCCTATTCACGCCATCTAATCAAAACTGCTCCTGAAGTACCACACTTGACTCAGATCATCGTGGGCAGCTTGGACATCACATGCGATGCACGCGTCACCACCTGCTCATCACCGCCATGCAAACACGTGCACTTGGAAGTAGTCTCGCCGGTATGCGTTACACAGGAGGAGCACGCTGCTACCCTTCCGCCTGTAGCATGGCACCGGATTCATTCCCAATTCTAAAACACTTCCCCACTCAGAGCAAGGGACGACTACGTCTTTCCATTGCGATAATCGGCTGTCTAGCACATTTCAACAATGACTCTTCTTCACCGCAAGATGAACAACATGAAGGTAGGCCTTGTTTTGGACTGGATCTAATTATCGGAGAAGCGGTCTAGCTTCTGAAACATCTGAAACCATGAATTGGAAACTTGACCGCTTCCGCTTCAACTTGAGGATCCACTTTGATCGAGAAGAGATGTTGATCTGACTAGAGCAACCCTGGCTATGCGATGAGCGCGATGCGCGCTTGCCGTCATCGCCCGGTGCTCTGAGCTTTTGGTAATCTCGCAAAGCTATCCGTACTCTGGAGAGTAACAACAAGGTGAGTCATAGTCGTGGAGTTAAACGTGGCCCACCTTGCCAAGGAATCAACGAGTCGAGAGTATCTTATCGACAAGAATAAACATGTAGAGGTAGCGTGAGTGGTTGGGACTTAGCGCGGATGCGGAAAGTGGAACGTCAAGCGGACCATTCACCGCTACAGCCTCACTTTTCTGGTAGCCATACATAGCGAGTCCACCGATTTGGGGGCATTTTGTTATGCGCCCTACAAGTTGGGCTTCAACGCGCTCTATGGGCATGAGTTAGCAGTACAGATTCTGAGATCGGTGAGGTTTTCCGGTCAATAGAGGCTTAGCGTCTCGAGGCAGAGAGAGAGAAGAAGCGTCGTGTATGGCATTCGCTCTAGCACCGAGTTTCCTGCCATGGCCCTGGCTTACGCGTGCGACAGTACGCGCCATGGGCTGGACGATCAACAGTAATGGTCGTTCCGGATCCAGAGCAAGCAGCTTATGCCCATGGGCTCTAACAGTGGCTGTGTTCAGGCCGCCCTGGCTTGTCAAGAGCAACAATGGCGCTTCTACCATTCCCACCTAACGGCGCACTCATTTGGTGTGACGCGATCTGTAGTCTTTTGGTTAGGGATGGATTGTCTTAGTTGGCGGCGGCGGTGAGTTACACCATTGCGGCCAGCGACACAAACAGTTGAAGCCGAGGCCCTGTTACGGCCGCGAAGACAGTGATTGGAAAGCAAAAGCGAGTTTTGGTTGCTTGTCCGGCCACCAGGCGAAGTCTTGACACAAAACCGTCCGATGTTGCTTATGCAGTAACTGACTAGCCAAGAGAAAAAGCGTTGAAAAAAATGGCCAATGACGCACAAAGCAAGACTACTGAAGGCGTCCCGGGCGTATGGTAGATGATTATCGGATGTCGACTGTGGAACAAGCATGGCAGCATTGTGGCTGCGGTGTTTGCCTCAGATGGCGCAAGCAGGCATGCTCCAGCCAGATGGAGACGGCAGTACTTGGGACCTTACACCAGGTACCTCCTCACGATAATGCGAGCGGTCACAGAAGTACAGGAATGGCTGTCTAGCAGCCGAAATGGACCAGGAAGCACGCTGGGGGGGGCAGATAGCGGTGACATGACTCGTGGCCGCCAAAGGGAGCGAAAAGTTGGACACATGATGACACCATGGGTGAAGAGGAAAGGCCAAGGCGAGGAGGGCTTTTTACCTTGCTCTCGACGCGAAGGAGGAGGCTTGCGTGCGGCGGAAGTTGGGTAAGTGGGACCAGAGTCGGCTGACGGCCGATTTGGTGAGGGCAGCGTTGATGGTGAATGGTGGTGATAGAGGCAGGGCCTGTCTCGACGTCGGAAGAAGGCGGGCCGCGTCGTACCCAGCAGATCCGTACTCATGGTATGGTACCAGCACCAGCCCCCCCAGAGTCACAAAACAACCACAACCACAACAAAAACAGCGACAATGGCAGCGATCGGCTTGTCTTGACTGCTTCGAGCAGAGTTTTCACCGCGGCCGGCCTGGCATGGCATAGGCAGGCGGATCAGCGATTCATTCCGGTGGACTTTTGCTGTCCAAGGGCCGGGCCGCGCAGAGCTAGAGCCAGTCATGGTCATGCTGTACAGGCTCCATATCGATAGCACCTACAGTGGCTATGAGCTAGCAGCGGCACGGGAACACCGCCCGAGAGGAGGGCAGCAGCAGCAGCTGGTGTCGCACCAAAGGCCTCTCGCAGCGAGCGACAGGCCCCGCGACTCCACATGTCCAGCGCGCGCCATCCGTGACAGCGGGCGGGCGACAAACGACAGAGAGAGCATCACTCAGGCAGACGGCTGCGATCCAGCGAGATCCACCTCTGGCACGCGTGAGGGAACAAGGGCAAACACTGGGTGAAGAGGGTGGACGAGTGAATGGGCCCATGGCTGGCTTGACAGAAGCCTGCCAGCCTATCGCTGCGAGCAAGTGATGCGTGAAGACCCGACGGCTCCAAGGCGCCCTATAGCAGGGCAGGCCTGTGTTTCGCTCTGCATATATCCCACGGAAGAGAGAGTAACCCCCCCCCCCCAGCACTCCTCCAAGCCTTGATTCTGCAGTCCCCGCCTGGTCTTTATCTACCGCTAGTCCGCCCTCCCCACCTGCCCTACTCACCACCACCACCACCACCACCCTGCTTCACTACGCCGCCGCCGCGTGGTATTTACGACCGCTCGCTTTTGAGACGCGCATCGCCTCTCTTGCCCGTTTCCTGGTCCATTCTAACCACCGTTAACCTCTGTTTTCAAATCGTAGAAATCGTTGGGGAGATCCTACCATCGAGATTACCGAAAAGAGCAATCCACACCGCCAGTCCCGCGGCTACACCGGTACTTTGCTACAAGAGCCCGCCATGGACTTTACTTCCTCCACCAACGCAAACCACATGGATTTTCACAGGCCATCATCCACACTCAGCTCAATCGACCGGAAACCCTCCGTCTTCTCCTTCGACGACAACGCCACCCTAGACTCCAACATCTTGGACACGCCTGTCCTCATGTCGCCCACTTCCAGCACCCAGGGTATCTTCTCCCCGGAGACATCCATCTGGGAGGACTTCTCTACCGGCCAGTTCGTCGACAGGACAGCCACCAGCTCCGTTGTCAACACAAACGGCAACAATCCCTTCTTCACCGAACAGAGCAACAACCCCTTCGCTCGCCTCCCTCCAAACCAAGCTGCAACTTACGGCCAACAGTCATGGCCCGTTGCCGACATCTCGGGATCCAGGACGCCAACAGCTCCCAAGGCCCTCAACCCCTTTGGTCCTGGCGACTTTGGAGCTGCATCCTTTGTAGACCAGCAGCAACAGCAGCAGCAGCAGATGCCGTACCACGGACTCCCCAACGTTAGGCCGAGTGCCGTCTTCCCGCAGTCTGCTCCTGAGCCGCCCATGTCGCCGCACAACCACTCCGACTGGATGGCCTTCAACCAACAGGAGATGGACTCAAGACCCGGACCCAAGCGTATGAGGCCCAACACCCCACCTCGCTCCTTCTCCCCTCGTCGTGACGGCGGCATCAGGAAAAAGAACGCCCGTTTCGACATCCCCGCCGAGCGCAACCTGTTCAACATCGACAATCTCATCCAGAGCTGCACCAATGAAGACGACCTCAAGGAACTCAAGCAACAGAAACGACTCCTTCGCAACAGACAGGCCGCGTACGTACATTCCTTTGGTTTTTGGACTGGCGCTCCTCGTTTGGTTCAATCCGCCGTCGTTTGGTTCGTGCTACCCTCGTTCATACGCTAACATCTTCACAGACTTGACTCCCGGCAACGTAAGAAGAAGCACACGGAAGAGCTGGAAGAAGAGAAGAAGGTATGGATCGAGAAGATGTGCGGCATGCAGGACGAGTTCGCTACTATGCGAGTTGAATATGATGCTCTCCTCGCCGAGAAGGAGAATTGGCATCGCGAGTCCATGGATATGCACCACATGATCGGTCAGCTCCAGTTCGACAAGGAGGAGCTCGTCCGCACGCATACTCTGGAGACTGGCGAGCTTCGCAAGAAGGTCTCTGTTCTCACTGAGCGACTCGAAGCTGCCACTGGCCACGGTATGGCCGTTGCACCCAGCACTACCTTCACCGACTTTGCTTCTGAGATGGACAACCTCAACATGGGCAACAGCGACTGGGACAACTACATCTTCGTCAACGACTTTGCATCTGATGAGCAGACCCCACAGCAGACTCAGGATCAGCCTCTCGCTCTCGTCTCACGCTCAAAGGACGAGGACAAGCCAGTCGCTTCTGGTCTTCTGCTCATGCTTCTGCTGTGCGGTGCTTTCGTCGCAAGCAAATCTGGCAACGCTGCCCCGCCCATTCCTCGAATGCCCGATGAAGTCCGTGCTGCCTCGGCTACTGTGCTCGACAGCATCTTCAAAGATGCTGGTGTCTCGACGACGCTAAGTGAGCAAGGCCTCATGGCAAACCGCGTTTCCGGTCTCGAACCTGCACCCTCCGGTGTCGCTTGGCCCAAGACAACCATGTCTGGCTCTGAACTCGCTGGCATCTCTGGCTCCCATCTCGCTCAACTGCACTCTCAACTCACGGGGCCGACAAAGGAGCAAGAACATGAGCAGTTGTTTTCCATCACGCCTGCGCAATACAACAGTATGACTTCTCTGGACTTCACTCGCCAACGGTATAGCATTGCTAGCGACGACATGTCCGACCCCTTGTCTCCTGGTTCTCAACCTTCGCACCGACGCAACCTTGCCGAATCCCTCGCTGCCATGCGCGAGCAAAACAAGGGTGACTCTGCTGCCGAAATCTACACGCGAAGTCTTCTCTGGGACAAGATCGCGCCTGAAGTTGTCCAGGAATTCAAGCGCATCGTCGAAGAATCTGCTGCCATGTCACGACCAGGCACATCCGACGGTACCAAAATCGAGAACGTTGGGTGAAGCCCACGTCTTCGTCCCAAACCACATTACACTACCTTTTATTTTCCTTTGTCGACAGCCCGTCGTCTTTTGCATGCGCTGCATTATTTGTTGTTTTCCTTCAGCATAGCGCTTCACTTCTACCCTGTCTTCTTCGGGGCACCTGTAGGGACAAACTGCATCATGGGCAGGAATCCGTTCTTCACGCGTTTTCCTTTGAACGCTCACGACGAGCATTGCATCCGCCATGTTTTCTATTGCCTGGCCATCTTGTAAAAATTTGGGACGGCAACGTCGATTTTGGGTATCCACTTACCCACTTCGCCTTTTGAGCATCTATGGCGGCTGCTTTCGGGCTTCTTTTAGCACGTCGCGATTGGTTCCACGACGCTTTTTGTCATGTGGTCATCTTCTTCTTGGCTTACCTTATTTCTTGTGGATTTGATGGATTGATTAGCGAGCTAGCGAGAGACATTTGGGACTCGATCTATTTTGTTTATACTGCAGAGCGTAGCGAGCGTTCCCCTTTCTTTAGCAGATGGATTTTCTTGGTCTATACATGACGAGATGAATGAGCGATGGGACTGGACTGAATGAAGGACATGTACCGAGCTACGACGACTGTATATGATGGCGCGCGAGATGAACTGAAAGATTGGGGACATATTTCTACTTTACGTGTCATGAAGAGGACGAGCGCAGACTGGACATTATTTTGTTATTCAAGAGACGAACTCCCTTTTTTCCTTCCCCAACAACGACCTCACTTTTACCTTCTTCATAATACCCCAGCTGGACCCAACGTCCCAGTTTCCTTAAGATACCACACTTGTCTCGAGATTCTGTTTCTCGAGGCCTTCTTGTTGCGATTGCACAATTCTTGCTTCATGAGCGGGTGTTTACTGGTCGGCTTTGGGGCCGGAAAAGACTGTACCTAGGTATATCGCCGTCATTGGCGAGCAACAATGCATGCTATCCGATCCTCGAGGCGCTTATGCTTACGTCGGTTTCCCACCACATCCACCCAGCTGAGACGTGAAGTATTGGATGGCAGACTTCGCCACGTACGTTGGAGCGTTCGAGACCAGGCCCGAGACCGACCCGAAGTGCACTTCCCCATTCTGATTGATTGAGAGGAAGGATTCAGCAGCAGGCCGCTACTGCCGCGTACCTCGCATCACGCACCCGGCACTCTTCTCCCGATGGAACTGCCATGCCATTCATGCAATGGTTTCACAAGACAATCGTTGATTCAAGCCCTGTCGCTGCTACGTTTCCCTTCACACGTCGAGTGCGTGCGTGCTTGTACGACGCTGCTCAGCTCCCGCTCCCCCGCTGGGGCCTGACAGCTTGCAGGTGCATTCTACATTTGCATCCGCATCATCTACATACCACTCACACCCACACACTCTCTCTTTCACTGAAAGAAAGCAAGCCACGTACCTCCCCCGTCCCCAACCCCACGCAACACTCTCCTTTCTCAGCGCATCTATCCAAGTACGAGCATTTCTCCGGCTCCACAGGAAACCTATCAAGACCAACCGCTTGCAGCGCGGCGGAGACCTAGATGGGGGGCTTGAGCCTGTAAGTGGCGCAAGTTGGCATGCTCCGATTGCGTAACGTAAGAAACCTCGTCATTCATCAAGATAGGCTGAGAGTCGATCATTGCCAAGGGGGACGTGAAGGAAGCAAAGGAAGACGCGGAAATAGCGAAGAAAACAAGCGGTATGTCAATGGTGAAACAAGATAGACAGTGCTAATGCAGCCTTAACGGACCTACCTAGCGGAAATGGCGGAAAAGATATGTTATCATGGGGAGGATAGTCTAGTTTGATAGGTCAAGTTTGTGAATTATTGTGAAAGTCGTGCTTGAAATTGATGGCATGACCTAGCTAGGTATTCCAGATGATGGCATGATGGATAGTCCGGTCATGTTTCCTAGCAGACACACACACACACACACACACACAAGGAGATCAGATGCAGACTGCCTTCGCTAACGCACTCCACAAGCAGGATCTGCTATTTGTTACGGGTTACTGTGCCACTCCGTTGTTGTGTCACCCACCCACACGCATACATTCTAGATTCAGATCTGACAGGAGGAAGGCAGCCTATCGCGTAAAAAATGCAAAAAAAGGCGTAAACTAGACCGTGGCGGAATTCCCTCAATGTGACTGAAAGCCTGATGAGCACTACTGCTTCGCCACACTCTAGAGATTAAGGGCATGATCACGTCTCAAAATAGTAGAACTGGTGACAAGAATCCATGAAACTGTTGATACCGATTACCAGAGCAGCGATCGCACATCGCCTGTTCTTTGCGAAAGGCATGCAAAGCACTCTGCAAAAGGCACCGAGATGTCTCCCGCACGACTACGCTGTGCACACGACATCCCATGACAGCTCCAAAGCAGGCTGTGCTCATGTCGGACCGGCGCGGGGTATCAACCTTAGCGAGTCCTCTTCGGGGTGCTTGCGCTATTTGGCATTGTACTTGTCTTTCCAGATCCTATAGAGAGGTATACGTTAGCACGTGCTCATCTCTCACAATGTAACTTGTCCGGCATGGAGAGTCCAGGTCGCGGATCCCGAGTCCAAAGGAATACCGAACAATCTTAGAAGCCGCCATGCGCGCTCCAGTCGACGTGTGAAGCTTTCCCGCGGATGCCGTTAGTTATCGCGGTAGCCGTCATTATTCTCTCTGCAACACCACTTCCGCACCATCATGCACCCAAAACTGCCTCATCGTAGAATAATGGCACCATCTGACAAGCTTGACCCACGCGCTCAGCTCCGTCTTTGGCCAACCCACACACACCATCCTGCTTACTTTTCACGCTGGAACCGAGGCCAGCAGCAGGGCGCCACGTGTATATCGATATAAACAGGGTCGTAACGGACCCAGTGTGCTGGGCCGGCATGACACTACCACATTCAGATGGTAAATAGAGCCTTGCACCAAACAGGCATGAAGTACGGCGACGTGCGAATGGGATGATGTGACGCAGGTAATGGGCAGCGGGGAACGGGCAGGAAGTGTGACGGTCCTGCTGCGGGCTCGGGCGAGGGCCGTTCAGCGTCCGCACCGGCTAAGCGAGGAGTGCGTGAAAAGGTGCACTGGGGGCCAATCGATTATGCTTGGCACATGCGCGTTGAAACTGGTTGTCCTAGCTGGGCCATAGTGCTGTGTGTTGGATTGTTGGATGATGTATGGTGGCTTGGTGTTGATGTTGTCGATTGTAAATGCGTCGGCTGGAACGGGATGGCGCGCTTCAACGTGACGGCTGCTCGTGCAGTGAGGAACATGTGCCCTCTTCGCACGGCATGAGTGATCGGCAGTCCGGGAGATCTCGATGGCCAAGTAGATCTCGATATCAAAATAGAGATGATGGAAAAAAAGTGGACTTACCATGTGTTGCCTAATGTCTTGTTTCCTTTGGACTCTGCGAGGCGCAGGAACTGAGCCGCTTTGAACTGTGAGGCGTAATATTAGCACCTCCGTATCAGCCGAACGCAGAATGCTGCCCAACTAATGAGGCTGAAGAGAGGGGAAGTTTGGTGTCTCAAAGAAACACCCCGCGTGATGGCCGGAATCGAGACTACACGATTTCCCAAGCTGACCGTTCGCGTACCAGGTTGCATAAACCTCTAGACGAGCGCATTTTGACCGGTGAGGCAGATGCACACGCTCCCCAGAATGTAAAACGGAGCCCAGTTGTACGCAGTAAGGGATAAGAGCTGACATACCTTGTCCTTCTTCGTGCCGAAGCCCTCGGTATAGCACCATGCGACCTCGTTCATGGCATCCGTGTCGCCGAGATTAGCAGCAGTCTCGTAGTATTGCTTTGCAGCTGCGGGATCCTTCTTGATACCCCAGCCGTTACGGAAGCAGTTTGCCAGCTCATACATGGCCAGCACAAGCTCGCCTTTGGCCGCACCACCTTTCTTCATGCCGGCTCCGAGGGCCAGCTTCTCAACTTCAGCGCTGTTCGATGCCGCCATGGAGAGATAGTGAACGGCTTGTTCCTGGTCCGGCTCGCACCCCCATGCGTGGCTAGTAGTTGGTTAGTGAAGCGTTGGGTAGACATTCAGGGCAACATTTGGGTATAGCTTCATCGTGTCAGGCTGAGGTAGCGGAGGTTCAGCTTACCGTAATGCAAGACCGTAGAGGACCTGCGCCAGAGCATTGTTTGCGCCGTTGGGATCTGCCAGTCTTCCGAATAGTGCGGTTGATGCCTCGAGATCTAGTCGTACTGTCAGATCCGTTATGGTAGTCATTCCGCACACCAACGTACTGCCTTTCTCGTGTAACCTGATGGCCTCCTGGATGTTCTCCTATCCACCCATTAGTTCATTGCTTGCCATTCCTACTTTCTTCGCGTACCTCATCCGCAGATGTATGGACGGTTGCATTCGTGTTACTCCTATTGTTCGTCGGCCGCCCCAATGATAGAGGATTCCCATTCTCTAAGCTCGGTGTCGGCGGCGCACTCGTGCCATGCTGCAACCCTTCTGTGACCAGCACCGTAGCCCTCTTCTCCCATTTCGCCTCGTCTTCCTCTGTCCTCGCTACTCCATCTCCTCCGACTTCTGGTAGATTGTCTGGTATGTTCGTAGAGCTACTTGATCTTGTCCGTCCAAAGTGCAAGCGTTCTGTCAACTTGTCATGCTGCTTTGCCCGGCCGTCGTCAGCACCAGGAGCTGGGTTCTGAGAGGACGCGTTGCTAAACTTTCTGAACCTGCCAAATTTGCCCCGCGGCTCAGGTGAGAGAAGGGGTGTGTCGCGCGTGGGATCGCCAGGGAAGCTAGGCGGTTCGATCGTCTCTTGCGTCGTCGTCGTAGTGCGAAAGAACTGGAATTCAGGTACATCAGGCGATAGCGCAGGCCCCTTTGGTGATGGAGGTGCAACTCCCTCGTCCTTGATCCTGTCCCTCTTTTTCAATAGGTCTTTGAGCGTCATGGTGTTGCGCAATTGAGCTTCGCCTTCGGACGCGGTCGAGGTGTATACGGCGTATCGAGGGGTACAACGAGTCTACACCAGGTGCTTGGTGAGTGCTACGTAACTTGGGCTATGCGATCTCGAGGGTAGCTTTATATTTTCGAAGAGTCTCAGCAAAAGTCGCAGCGCACATGGCAATAGTCCTGTTGGCGCGAACGGTCAAACCAAAGGACACCATGGGAATGTAGGACGGGAGCCAAGCACCGCCGCAGCCCACCTCAGCCTCCATCGCCGCGCACCGCCCATGTCAGAACATTGAATAAGGCAGAGATGGCGAGGGTTGGTATTTGACATTTATAGAACATGATGAGGTTAATAATAGTCCCTTGCATATTACTTTGTGTTCATGGATGATTGATTTTTATTGTTTGACACAAGGTTTTCTCGTCTTTCTCATAGTAATCACAAGAGTGTCCAAGCTAGGATACGGTCCTATATACCAGCAAGCAAAGGCTGACTTCGCACAAAAAAGTACCAGAAAAGGTTTGACAGGGAGCTGTCAAACGGGGTATCATCGAAAAATCCGAATACGCACCATATCCAGCAAGCGTAATCTCTGAGCCCTTCAACAGTCAAGACAAGCTACGACAGGAATGAAGTTGAAGGACCTACCGATTCCGAAACCACACAGTAGTCGGAACTTGAGTGCCGGTGATGGATTAGGAAAGAATCATAGACGATGGCAGGTGGCGGGGGCTACCTACAGTGTTCCGAGGGCACATAACCAGCACACAGTCCGCGCTCAATCGTCCGCGTCGAGGGGAACGAAATCGGCCTGCTGGGTGAACTGATGGGGGTTGTGAATAGATCCAGTCTTGGGTTGGATCGTCCATTCCTGTGTATCCTCAGCAGTATCCAAGTCCTCCTCCTCTGGGGTGCCCGAAAGAGAAGCACGATCCGCTGAGGAAGACCGGTTTGCTTTCCTCATTCGAGAAGCACGATGAACATGCCCCAATCGACACTTATCGAAAAATGGACAGACGCCTGTATTGGAGAAGAAAGGGCACTCATGTGCATGGAGGTTGGGACACGCATTTCCATTGACACAGTACCCCAAGCGTCCAAATGCTTCACAATTGTTTGCCGCTGGGTTAATGCGTACATGAGCAAAGCGGCAATTATCGTTCTTGCATCGGCCCTCTTGGAAGTGCAGACAAGTGGGCGAGTTGTGTGGTGAAGTCTTGTGAGACAACGGGCAGAATTCTCCCTTTAGACACTCGTCCTTATAGAGCCAGCGCTTGCAGAGGGCTTGCTGATTCGGATCATGGAGGTGACGGCATCCGTGGCGGGAACATACACCTACTCACGTGTTAGATGTGCATAAGGAGAACAAAGGGAGGGTGGTCCATGTTTCGTCGAAGATACCTGTGGAAGTGAATGCCGGGCAGAGGGTCTTCGGCTCAATCTGCTGTTGGCTGCTCTGGCTCGCAATAGTGTTGTTCGCAGCTTTAGGTGAAAGCGTTCCCGCCTCGTTTGCTCCCGAGGACTCGATAACGACGTCAGACTTGGTAAAGGTAACAGATCGGTTCTTGAACTTCTGTGCGATATGCGGAGGTTGCGAACGCTGATACGGATGGTACAAATTGTAGCCATTACCACCATGTGCGTACCCGCCGCGCTTTGGACCAGTTACGGGGCGGTAGGAGTTGCTGTAGCCAGTTTCCGAGGCCCCTCCGGAGTGCCCATAGTTTGAGTAGCCATCTGACTGATAAGCCTCATACGCAAGCCTGTCCTCTTTTTCTTTCTTCATCCGTGCAATGTAGCCTAATATTACGCCGTCAGAAGCTTTCCGGTATGGTCACCTTCTCTTCCACATACTCTTAAGCTCTGCGCGAGCCCGGATTTGCTCTTCCGGTGAGGTCATCGCGAGGATCTGTTCTAGAGTGTAGGGGGGTGGGCCAGGCGGTGCCATGTCGTGTGCGGTATCGTCGGACTGGTTCTCTTAGTTAATTGCCTGACTGACACACGTTAGTTCTATTTGAACGCGCGACAGTCTTTGTTGCTGCAGTGGGTGTTTGTTGTGGTAAAAGAAAGAAAGACCAACGTGGGGCGACAAATGATGGCAGAGCGGCAACTGGTCTTGGCACAGTCTGAAGGCACGTTCACCTTGACTTTCACGTTCAGCGTGTGGTGAGTCGTTTCCGCTTTACAGTCACGCTCGAAATCATCAGAAAGGGAGTAGGAATTACATATCATTACTATATGGTACTATTTAAAGCAGAGGAAGCATAATGCATACATAGTACAAGAGAGTTCGAAACCACATCAAAGATAGTTAGAGTGTGTGAACCGCTAGACGCAAAGACAGCCATCTACCAGACCCCCATGCGCCGTAATAATGCTCAAATCCCAGACTCCGTAGCAATGCAATGATTCAAGACGTTGACCAACTCCAGGAAAACCCGCTCGGTAGAAGTCTTAGTTACTCGTCCGCTTCCTCGTTCAACTGCTTCTGCTTGATCGCTAGATCCGTCTTCTGTTTATCGATGGTGTTCTGCATACGCTTCTTGAAGATGTTGTTTGTCTGCCTGTCGCGCTGCTCAACACTCTGCGCAATAGCCTTTTCCAATTCAGCAATCTCAGTTCGTAACTGTTCTTGCCGCTGCTCTTCAGCCACAGCAGCCTCATCGACCTCATCAATGTCTTCGTCCGAGTCACCGTCGTCATCATCGTCGTCGTCGTCTGCGGATGTAGCTGCTGCTGGTGTCGAGGCTGCCGTCTCGGTCTCAACAGTGAGGTTACCATTCTGGCTGAGCGCGTGCATGGCGACATCATGGGCAGTAGTCGGGGTCTCAACTTGGAGGGTGTTGCCAGAGCCGCTAAACAACGCGTTGAGCTCATCGCCGTTGCCTGATATCTCAATCTCTTCGTCCTCCATGAAACCTGCGTGCAGCATCTGCTCAAGATCGCCGGCATCAACCTCTTCCATAGCCTCGTCCGTTTGAGGAGCGTTTACCATCTCTTCATCTTCATCCACTTCCTCTTCAGAAGTAGACTCCTCCTCAGAGCTCTCAGCTTCGCTGTCAACCATCTCGTATTTGGTGGATTGGGCGTTATCGTCCTCTGCTAACAGCCGATTCATCTGCGCCTCGGCTCGCTCGACGTCGATGTAGGATTTGCGGGGCCGGAACCGCAGCTTGCGGACCCATCGCATGGGTGGAGTCAGGCCATGGGGAAATCGGTGGGAGTCAGGGTCGACATAGGAGGGGCGAGGGTACTTCTTTGCTTCATCTTCATTCTGAACCCTGCCCAAAACCAGGAGCATCTGACAGACATCCGCGGTCTTGACCCAATCCTTCTTGTTCCAGCTCTTTAGCGATTCAACGACCGCTGGCAATTCGACCATGGAAGCAGCATAGAAGCGACCTTGTATAGTAATCATGGCTCGGCGACCTTCGCGGTCGAAGAATCGGAAGTAGACGCCGGGCCCTCCCTGTGACACGCTCTTGCCGATTGTCTTCTCCTCAATAGACTTCCGTAATAGGTCACAGTCTGGACCTGGTAGCATCCGTAGAACGAACTGCGACTCTATGGCCGGATCTGGTTCCGCCTCTTCTGCCTCGCTGTCATATCCCACGCCATATGGTCTCACTGGTGGTTTCCCCGCGCCCTTGACCTTCAGAATGGCGGTTCCAGTCCTCTGTGGTGCATTCATCCCTTTTGGCTTGATGGAGAGTTTGATAGACTGTGTGCGAGCAGATATTGGCCGTGGAGCCGGAGGAGCTGGTTCGGTCGCGGCAAGATCATCGTCGTCGTCGCTTTCGTTCACCATAGCAAGGCTCTTTGCCGTAGGTTTCGGTTTGCGCTTTGCGGCCGGTGAGTCGTAGTCGTCACTGTCTTCACGGACCCTTTTCTTTGGGCCAGGTTTCCCCGGTGGAAGTGGATTGCCGCTCTCATCAAGCTTGGCCTTCTTGGTGTATTTACGCTTCGGTCTGGGAGCGTCGCCATGCTGACCATCTGCAGCTTCCACAGGCGCAGGCGCAGGAGCAGCCGGTTTGAATTTGATCTTGAGCCCTCCGCCAGACTTTGCGGAACTCGGCGTGGGAACTTCGGCTGGGCGTGGTTCTGAAGGCGCGTCGCTTGCGGTGTTGAGGTTCTTCAGTTTGAGCTTCATCCTGGGCGGAATGAGTTGCAGGGATTTGCTATTGTAGGGTGATTGTGTCCATCTACGGGCGCCGCCGCATTTGTGAGATTGCACGGGTGTGCAAAAGCTGGGGTAAAGTGAGGTCGCGATCGTCGACCATGAACGGAGGTCGGGCTTGGCAGCCGCGAATAGTGAAGGGCCAAAGCTTCCGCGCCGCATCCACCTGCAATTACTTTGTCTACACCAGTCTTTCGACTAAACATATTTCCAACGATGCGCTGCCTGCGCCCGCGATAACTGAGAGACATCAACTGGGCCTGTGCACTCGACCCGACACACAAGCGCGCCAGCATGTCCCAAAACGACCTGTTCCAGAACCTTTTGCGACCCGCCGTCCTCCACATCCTGCGCGCGACGGGCTTCCATCATGGCAAGCCATCCGCTGTCGACACCATTGTAGACCTCACGGCGCGTTATCTGTCTTTACTGGCGGAACAGACAGCCTACAATGCCTACTCGAACCACAACGACCTCACGCCCGACATCACCGATGTGCGCATGGCCATGCAGGATTGCGGCCTCCTTGTGCCGACCATGACAGCCGGAGAAGAGCTATGGAAAGAGATTTTGCGGAAGCCGCTAGATGAGTACAATGCAAACACAACCGCTCGCGAAAACGAGGAAGAGCGACGCGACGCCGAGGACACAGCGGACGTGAAGGAGTTCATCGAGTGGGTCCAGGGCGAGCAGAACAAGGAAATCAGGCGGATAGCAGGCACATACAAGCCAGTGGCGACAAATCCAACTGAACAGCTAGACCAGCTGGAAATGGAGGATTATTTAAATAGTATGTCCCTCTGTTGGGCTATTCTCAAACTTTAAGCTAACGCTATCCCAGCTCTGATGAAGAAACACAGTAAGACTGGTGTTGAGTCTCGCTTTCAGGGGACCGTGTTAGGTGTCCCCGCAGAACCCAAGACTGTCAAGATCGAAGGAGGAGGGGCAGATTCGATCGAAGACTGGTGTCGGAAGACACGCGAAAAGGCTGCCAAAGCAGCAGAGTCGAAGCGAGAGAGCCGCGAACCGACGAGCCACGTAGTAACGAGGGAGCCATCAGAAGACGTGGTCATGGAAACGGAGTGACAATACCCTTACTCGATTTGAAGCATAGCGAAGGCGTTTTGGTTTCATTATATTTTGGCGCCATGATCAATCCGAAAGGCCATCAAACAAGGTGCTTTCCTACTCAGGCAACTAGAAGCGATCTTATATACGTCTCGCGATTGAGTAGACGCGCTAGGAGTGCCTTCGGCTCATGGGCTCACAGCTTCAACCTCCTTGCAAGGTTTAGCTTGAAGTAAATACACAAACTGAGGCTACTTGTACCTCGCACCCACACCACATTCAATTGCCACAAACGAATCGTAACAGGTCTCTCGAGTTTTCCTGCACGTACTCACATGATAAGAAGTCATGGGTGGGGCAGAATGAATGACGGTTGCGCCCCGCATACGTCATCATACCAATCGAAGAATCCCATGGCAGATAACATTACCCATTCTCTAGCAGATCTCCATAGTCTCACCTCTGCAATTCCCTAAACCTCAAATCGTCACAATCTCACGCCTCAAACTTTGTCACAGACTACAAACTTGCCAACAAACTCATCTGTCTACGACACCCTGGCATTGACACTTCCAACTCTACACACCCACAGCAACACCACCAAACATGTCCGGACTCGACCCCAAAGGCCCTTCCCAGCCAACCCAAAATGATGCCTACACCACACCCGGCAACCCCGTCGAAAGTAATCCCACCGAGCAACGGCAAACCGAGTACAACGCCGCCGACAACAGCGCCAGCGTAGGCCAGCGCATCCCCACGAAACAAGCCACAGACGCTCAGGGCCTGAGAAATGCAAAGTTTGGCGAAGGTGCCGGTATCCATGGCGCGCCGGCGGGAGAAGAAGCAAAAGGGCGGTCGGAGGAGGATGTAGGACGGCACAATGAGTTGGATGGCGAGCAGATGGCTGCACCTGGGGAGGGGAGAGTCGCTAATGCGGTGAGGCAGGGAGGGAAGGGACAGGGTGGAGGTGGAGAGCAGCCTGATCTTGCGTCGGATTTGGACAGGTAAGTCATTATTTTCTGGAGGGTTGGAAAGGGGGAGAGGGTGTGTTAAATAGTTGCTAACAAGTACATAGGAAGAAGGCTGAGCAAGCCGAAGCACGGGACGCGATCAAACAGTCTAAGGGCGAGAACACTCAAGATGGAGGGGCTTTGGGTCAGCAAGGCGGTCCTGCAAATGTAGTAGGTAACCAATTACCCTAATTTTGGCCAGGGATGATTTTCGAGATTTGAGGAGGAGCTGTAACGAAGAGAAATGTAAACAGCAAGTAATATAAGAGGGGTCACTACAATGCGAGCCACCCGCCGTGGCGAGCTAAAATCTAGGTACTTCGTTATTAGAGCAATATAGGTCTCCCTCTCTTTTGTGCCCCAAACCGCCACGCGCGCGTACTCAAACAAGGGCGAGCCCTCACCGACATTTTATGAAAGTACGGCGTATCTCCATCTACACTCTCGACCAGAATATTTTACAAAGCGTTCACAACGAGGGAAGACCGATCATGTTCGATGAGTTTGCGGAGAAGAATGGGGACAAACAGTGGGATGAATGGCGGACGCGGGTCCTTGACGCCAAAGATGACATTGCGACTTTCGTCGGCACCCGTCTGGGAGTTAGCGGAGCCAGATATGTGACCTGGCACCAGGGATCCTTCAACCTCTGTCTCCAGATTGCGTTCGATGATGCGCCGAACGCTATAATTCGGTTTCCAGGGCCAGGACACACGACCTTCCGCGACGAAAAGATCGAGAAAGAGGTTCAGGTTATCAATTTTCTCCATGAGAACACCACGATTCCCATTCCCCGCCTGATAAGCTGGGGTTTGACCGACGACAACAACAATCCCATGGGATTTGGCCCTTTCATGATCTCAGATTTTGTCGAAGGAACCAGCTTGTGTACTGTTCTATCTGACCCAGCCGACATTCACAAACCTTACCTAAATCCCAATATTGACGAGAAAGCTCTGGACACCGTCTTTGAGCAGATTGCCGATTTCCTGCTGCAGCTCCACCAGTTCGATTTCTCAAGCATCGGATCAATCTCGAAAACTTCAAGCTCGTGGCAGGTCACCGGAGACCCCTTACATACACGATGAATGAGCTGGCAACCACGGCATTTTTCCCCGTGGATAAATTTCCGACAGGCCCTTTTCAGTCAGCCAGAGAGTACTTTGACTACATCATTCAAGAACACATGACACATCTTCAGACTCAGCGGAATCTCATTTTCAGCAAAGACGAAGCCAAAGAGCGATACACCGCGCGCCATTTGTTCGCACAGCTAGTCGACAAGTACTGCTTGAATGATGATGGCGGCTCTTTCAAACTCTTCTGCGACGACCTACGGCCTCAAAACATGCTTGTGGATCCAGACACCCTACGCATCACGGCCGTCCTCGATCTCGAATTCACTAACGCTCTACCGAGCCAATTTGCATCCGAGCCACCATGGTGGCTGCTGCTCGTGGGTCCAGACATGTTCCTCTACCGAGGCCACACCATGGACGAGTTCTTTGCCGCGTACGAACCACGTCTAGAGCAGTTCCTCCGAGCCATGCAGAGGGCTGAAAAAGCAAGAGATGTACAAGTACAACAGCATGTTGGTGAAAAGGCACTCTCTGATCTCATGCGCGAGTCATGGAGCTCGAAGCGTTTTTGGTTCAACTATGCTGCGCGCAAGCCATACGATGTTGAAGTTCTGTTTCGCGGCGCACTGGACGAGAAGACAGGAGCGGGCATCGAATCGCTGAGCGCTGAAGCGCAAGCAGGGCTGGATGAGTTTATCGAGACGAAGATGACGCAGTTGTATGCGTACATAGACGACTGCAAAGTTCTTCTTTAAGCGTTGAAAGCTCTTTGAGACAGTTACCACGAAGTTCTATTCAGACCAACGACCAAATGAGCGGACGGGCTTTTTGTCCAAGCCCCCAATGTTATCCTACATGTACCCAACGCTTTCGCTCTCAAAATCAGGAACACTGATCCGAAAACGAGTGGCAGTCGACAAAAAAACGAGGTAATGACAGACGCTTCTTTCATCAGAGGGGCAACAACTCAGATCCCTCTCGCTACATGTAGCTCGCGCAACCAAATGACTACCTACCCAAATCAGCTTCCTCGTTTGTGTGGTTAAGATTGTACTCACCCAGGCAAATAAGGCTCGACATTGAAAGCCTTTGGGCCTTTGGGTTAGTCGCGCGTAGCTCAGTTCTGACGGCGCTCCTGGGAAGCTTGTCCTGCTTTGAGGATGGCTTCAGCTGCCTCCCGTTTCTTCTGGGCTTCCTCTCGCTTCTTCCGGGAAGCTTCTGTAGCCTCCCGCATGTGTTTCTCCTCCTCGCTCGTTGGGATTTTGATGAAGCTGCCGCTATCGAGGCGTCGGAACGCCACCTTGCCAGCCGGTGAAACCCTTGGAACTGCATGCCTCCAGCTCAAAGTGGCCGGCAAAGCGTGCAGTTGTATCCTTCAGCTTTGGAAGCATTGCTTGATAGTGCCGAATCTTCGAGACAGGTCGATCTTTGCAATGGAGTAGGGGGGTGAAGCTGAAGCAGGTCTTGACAGCGTCGACGGATAGATTGACAGCGAGACCGAACAACATGAAGGTCCTTGCTGCCGGCTGGTATTTAGAAGTCCAGTGGCCTCACAACATGGCCAGCCTGACGATATCTTCATACGCATATCTTCATACGCATACGTGGGAGAGACTCCAGAAATCAAATGCTTGAATTTGGCTCATTACGTGGTGTGGCTCACCTCCCAGTGACCCCCATTACATCGGTTCCTTTTTCAAGTCTAAACAACGCTTCGTACGAATGACAATCAACTCACCAGGCCTCATGACCTTCCTACCTTGACCTCCAAATCCTAAGTAGCATGCTCAAAGAATGCAGAAACGTCTTTGTACATATAACACTCATGACTAGAGTCCAAGTCACAAAGCCTTGTATCTGGCAGATCAAAGCGGCAGACTCACCGACGACATGCCAACCATTCCCCATGATCTTCCTGGATGCGATATACTGCCCCAGCCGCCCTGCCAAATTTCCTGTTATTTCATACAGAGCCAAAGTAGTATCTACCGCTTTAGTACAAGCCCATCGTGGTGCGGAACGCAATGTCTTCGTAGCCCTCCTCTTGCCTTGTCGGACGGTTCGCATCTTGAGCTCCCACCAAAGTTGCTTGTAAGCGCTCGCAGCCACCAGCATAAGCTCCCTGTCGTTCCAGGCGAGCCTGTCCTGTTCCTCTTCAATGTCGGTGTTGTTGACGGTGAAGAAGTCACGTAGAGCTCGGAATTGCTCTGTGACTGCATGCAAGAACGTGCGTTTCGTCTCTTCCTCTGAGTTGTCTATTGGGATGAAGCACCGCGCTTCGTCACTAGGGTATGAACTCTCAGACCTGATATTCGTGACAGACGGATTCCTAGAGCTTCCGAAACTATCAGAAGACGGACGGCTCCGTCTTTCAGTGCTGTGTTTACTCACTCGGTACGGCGCTCTCAAGGCATGGCCTTTTGGATAGGTAGATCGGACATCGTATTTTGTGTCTGAGTACTTGCGGCGACGAAGGGGTTCGTAGTTTGGATAGTTTGGATGGCGTGATGGAGCAGTTGGTTCTGGCGCGATTTCGCCATCGAAGGGAGTGCAAAAGAAGGTATTTGGTGTGTTGCCGCGAAGGGCAGTCGTAGTGAAGCCTGACATATTTGCTGTGATGCTGGTCTAGCTTACGATATGGTGATATGTTCGAAGCGAGTTGGAAAAGAATGCAGATGTTATCTCAGATAATGCAATAGTAAGAACGTTAACGGGTTGAGATGGTCTTCGTACGAGCTTGAGATATAAGGCAGCTATGAGCACTGCGAGACAGAAAAAAGTCCTTGTCTTGAACAGAGACAATCAATCACATTGTGCGACCAGTTTGAATGGGTGGTCGAGAAGAATGAGACAAAGAAGAGCTGGGAAGGCTCTTTGGCCGTCGAAACATTGTTTGCGAAGTATAACGAGGTATAGACAAGTGATGCGCATTGAAGGGCGAGAAGCTGTGGTAAGGGCAAGTTTTTGAGACGCTCCCATGTTGCTGGAAGGCGCGGACGTGTGCCCACGTTTGCTGCTGGCCAAGATGGGATGGCGCGACGTGACATTATCACTCACCAAGATGCAAAGATACAAACGTTGAATATTCATGTTCGTGAAGTCTATAGCTAAAGCTACGGACAAAGATATTAAAACTTGATACAATAAGAGCGACGCGTTTGAAGACATGACCTCCATTGCAAAGGAAATCGCACACTCAAGTGATGGCGCACTGAAGAACGGCAGTGCAGAAGAACATCCACAACGTACGATGAAAATGTCGCACGCATCTCTCATAGCGCATACACGCTACTAGAAGTTATTGCTACGACCCAAACATAACGCCACAATGCAGGCCTACCGCAACCACTCCATCGGAGTAGCCAGTGGTCTATACATCAAAACTCCAAATCAAAAATCAAATCCCAAGCCAACGTTATGTACGTGAAAAAAAGAAAAACAAGGAAAAATAAGTATATGTCCCTATTGGGGCATATACACATCGAACTGAAAGTTGTTGATGTCGTTCGTCGCGGCGACGTTGGGATCATAAGCCGCGAAGGCAGCGTTGTCATACATCATGATAGGCTCAGTATGCATACTCATTGCATAGTCCATATACTGACTAGACTCAACGGGGACTTGGGTGTTGATCGGCGTTGGCACTTGTAGTTGTGTTGAAGAGTACGAGGCGTCGACGTCGCATGTCGCGTTATACGAGTCGTCATCTTGTTCGGGCACATCGTCGGAAGCGCTCTCAGGCGATGCGTGGCACGGTTTGTTGTCGACGTCCACCTCTTTGATCCAATACTGCTTGAGATACTCCATTGCAGGATGGTCACCCCCACCGATACCACCACGCTTCTCATCGTTCTTGCCCTTCCTGCCCCGCTTTCGGGGATGGAAGTGAGCACGTCGTAGATGAGCAGCAGCATTGTAGTATGCGCCGTAGACCTTCTTGTTGCGGCAGTGCTTACAATTGGCGAGATACTTCTTGTCAGAAGAGAAGTCGACACAAATATACCCTTTACGCCTAGCAGAGTGTGCACGAGCAATGTGGCGGTCGAGTTCATGCGTGCCACGAAAGCCCTCAGGCCGCTCGATGCAGTGCGGACACATGATCTTTGGATGATGAGGGCGCACATACGGTGTTTTAGAGATGACACCAACAGTCTTGGACGATCCGTCATCAGACCTTATCCTTGCCATCTGAGCATTTGATGGCGTAGACTCGGTCTCATCACTACTTTCGACTGCTTTTGGGGCAATCTTGCGAGCGGCAGCTTGCGCGTTGATCTCGCGCTCGCGTCGTGATTGGCGAGAGCAAGTGGAAGACGGCGCCGAAGCGTCGCTTGCACTGCTCTCGCTTGAAGATGTTGAAGCCGACCTCCGCATATCCTCCGCCAGGTACGACTGCTCGTTTGGTGAAGAAACAAGTGCTTGCGCACTTGCAGAAACAGAATGTGACGCAGGGGAAAAGAAAGCTTCACTGGTAGAACCAGTGAAATTAAGGAAATGAGAACCATCAACATGATTGCTGATGGCTTTCGACTCGACATGATAAGGAAACGAAAGAACCCCATCCTCAGGGAGGATAGAGAGCATGCAAGAAGAATCAGACTGAACGCGCAACATGGGAACGTTGTCAAAGAAAAGCGGGTTGTAACTGCTCTGACGGCTCATAGAATTACTTGATTGAGTAACAGGAGTCATCAGAGCAGTTGAGGGTGAGCTGGGTGACGTGGAGCCATCCGAAGATGAATTCCACTCCAGGTTGGGTGTCAGTTGAACATGTAATTGTTGGGGATACTGGGGAAGGGGGAGGGGGAGAGAAGAGCCAACTGGCTCGATGCAAGTGTTGACAAAGTCATCGGGACTGTACTCAACCGTGCTGTCATTAACGAAGGCTGCACCCTCGACAACAGGTTGGAGTGAGGGTTGTCTTCGCATTGGAGTGTCCGGGTAGTGGGTGTAGTCGTTGATTGACTCTTGAGACATGGATTGCCAATCTGAGAAGGTGCTCGTTGACCGTTGCAGGCTGCTGCTGTCTGATGTAGTGGTCGATATCGAGCGGCCCATGGCTGGAGCTGGCGAGTTGCGATGCATGGATCTGAGGCCTGATGTCTAGGGGGGGCGTTAGAAGAGGAGAGCGTAGACCAAAGAGGTGTCATCCATACTTGGAGCTGCGTCAAATCTGGCGCGCAAAAGGGCATTGAGCGTGGGGTCTGGTGTGCCATCGAAGGTTGTGTCGGGTTGAAGGCATTGCTTGGGAGGGTCGAGGCGGCCTGTAACCAAAGCTCCTGTCGCTGCTCCTCTGAGAGGTGTGCGTGACCACTCCAGAAGTCCTGTTTGGCCTGCTCGAGTATTTGGAGATAGGTCGGACTGCTGTTTGCGAGAGTTGCAGCCATCATGTGTGACATGTAAGACAGAACAACAGTAATAACGGTGGTGTTGTTGGAAGCAAACTGCGCGATGACGGAGATCAGCAACGGCGACACCGGGAATGGGAGTCTGTGCAGGGAAAAACGTACGGTTGACAGACGGTGATGATAGTCGGGATTGTCAGGGAGAACGCGAATGGGGCTTTGAGAATGGCGAGGCGATCAGTAGGTGATGAAGCGGGTCGGGGGGACACGACGGGCTTTTAGCACCACTGGGAGTGAGTGGACACATGGGGGATGCGGTCGATGCGCTGGCTCGTGTGGGAGGGGGCGTGTGACGACGGCGGCCCGCGCTGAACGGTGGACGAAGGGCCAAGCCAGGCTGAGAAGGGCACCCAAGCTGACGATCAACATTGATCTCGCAGACGGGCGATTGGACCAAAGGAAATGAGGACGAGTGCCATTCGCTGCCTCACTTTTCTTGTCGTATGATGGAGGACTGGCCCCGGTATGCTTGGCGCCAGCGTCCTCGTTCACACCCGGTGAAGGGCAACAAGTTTCATGCATCCCTTCACATCTGGTCTACTTTGCTGTCAGTGGCAGAGCGCCCTCCTCCACTCACCTTGCCCTCTTGCGTCGCGCCAACGTCCTTTTCGTACCAGATGCCACGCCGCCAGGCAGAATGGCAGCAAACAGTCGTCATCTAGCTAGGGCTTATGGCCGCGGGACCCTTCGGATCGCCTTCCTCGGATCGCCTATCCTTGCCATCGTGTATTGCGGATTGCTTGTTGAGATCATCATTATACTTTCGCGAAATACCATCACGGTGCTCCGCCATTTTAAAATTTGTCTCCATTATTATTCTATCTTCCTTTTCTAGCTTGTCACGACTTCTCAGTTTGTTGTCCCCGACTTACAGGGGGTTTGAGGAAGGCTGCGCCGGGGAGGCCCGGCGACAACAGTCTCCTCAGCCTGATCCGTTGGCGCTTCGCTCGCCTGGGTGGAGGCTCAGAAGCAGTCGACGACCCCGAGGAGAAGGAGAACTTTGACCCGGGAGGACTTGCAGCCTTTCTGACGCTCTTGGACGCAGTTTCCTCTACGCTTATTATGCTGTGCTGCCTACGAGCTGGATGGCTATCATCAAGCCAGTACTTGTCCAGACTCTCCTCTGTTTCCTGTTCGACCACACCAAAGTCTTCGAAGAACATGACTATGTTATCTAATCCTATGATGTCAGAGAAACGGCTTGCCTTGGTCGCTAGCGCCGTGCTGAACAGATCTGTGCTTGCGACGGAGTCTATGCGAGGCTTTCCTGGGTGTTCTTCGAGACAGATTTTACCTGGCAGGTAGACATGCTTTCGGCCGAGTAGGCCTCTGTCTCTCCTAGTATTATTGACTACCTGGTCGCGACTTTGTATGTCAGACTGCGCAGGGGGTGTGCGTGTCCTCGACGAGATGGACATGGTCGGTACCCGCGTTGGTGAGCAAGGGCTAGGGAGCGATTCGGTCGTTGACTGCTTGATCCCATACAGTTCTCTTGGTGTGCTCAACATTGAGTTTGGCGAGTTTGGTATTTCCTTCGCCTCAAAACCTACAATGTTCAACATCTCCATTCGCTTCTTCTTCAGCGTATCCCTTACTCGCGCTTTTCGTGAGAAAGAGCTTGGTGGTTCCTGTTCTGCTGTCGTCTGAGAAATATCCTCGTGTTTCAACGCGTGTGCCATGGGCAGTAACTGTCCTTGCTGTTCCGCGGTGTCGTCACTAAGAATCCCTTTGACAGTCAAAGGACTCCTCTCCATAGGGGCCCGTTCTGGTATCATACTCCCCATAGTTGTCAAACCGCCCATTCTCACACTGATCGCTCGTCTGGGCTGCGGCGGAATGAACATCGACGGACACAGTACGCCCGGAGGCGCTGACTGCGTTTTCCGCGGTCGGTGCGTGCCGTTTTTATCATTGCTCAGGCTTCCCGCCCGGAGTCTCGATCCCTCCTCAGGTGGTGCTGTTATTAAAATCTTTGGCTGTTCCCGTAGCCCCGAGCGTGAAAGTATCCATTGTGTTAGCTTGGTCGGGCTTCGAGTTTGCGTAGTCGTTTCCCTTTCATCATCGCCCGATGAAGACGAAGAAGAAGAGGAGGAGGAGGAGACCATGAACGTCATTCCGTCAAGCATGCTGATGTCGCTCATCGGTCGGTTCGCGAAGTTAGATGTTGGCAACAGTTCAGAAGGCATGTCATAGTAGTCCTCTGCCATAGGCTTCATCATGTTGATCATCTCTAGTCCGACAGTCCGCCGGCTTGGACTCGACTCGGAGAGTTGGTGGAGGAATCTGAAGTGACGAGTGCCAGCATTCTTTGTTTCCCCTCATAACTATATTGCCTCTTCAAAGTCGTACAAGCGAGCACAGCAAGGCGAAATCGGTGCTTTGGAAGAACAAAGAAAGCTACTCTATGGGGGCTGAGCACGTGCATCTTCTCAGACAGGACCATCAACATTCCCCGGCTTAGGATATTGCTCCTGTATTGAAGAACTCTGCTTACACAGATGTAGCGATATACAATAACGTTCTTACGCCCCTTGCACGCACAACGTCATATCTTAGTCCGCGACCAGTCACATCAACAAATTTACAGAACACGTCAATCCATGCGGCGCTTGTAGTACTGGTTTTTTTCCTGATGCATTCGCCCTCTTTACTTTCGTAAGACCATTTTGTTTGACAGTTACACATGTTTGGGAACTGATGTACTAGATACGTTTGGAGTTGCTCGTCTACTGTCATCAAGCCACTCCTTTGTGTATGCTTTGCCTCTCTGATGTCCCAGAACTCTCGCCTTTGCTATGTTTCACGGCTAGTTATCGCCTGCTGCCCGTTTCTCACCTCGCCAACGACCCTGCGCAGGCATGTTCACTAAGAAGCTCATAACCCGTAGCAATAGTCGCTAGCACTCTTCTACTCTGCAGTGCCGGAGATTTACTGCCTCGACCTCGATGTGATCCAGCCTCGGCTCCAGGTCAAAGGCCCGCTTCATCTCCTTGAGCAAACATCCTCGTAAGTACTCCCAGTCGTTGCCCCATAATTGCCCATCCCAGTCCAATGTGACACGTTTGAGCCCAGGTAGTCCGCGGAAAACCAGTAACATATCAGCAAGGGGCCGCTCGAGTCGAGGAGCGCCGCTGTGCTCCTCGACGTCACAACAGCCTATGAGAACCCGTATTTTGGGGACCACAAGCACCAGCGCGCTGTCGAAAAGACCACCGGTAATGAGCGGCTTGAGGTAATTGCGAGATCCCACGAATTCGTTCATAGAATAGGGCAGAAGTTTCGTCTCGGCGTGGATCTGGCGGCAACTTGCTGTCAAAGCCAGGAGATGTTCCGTCATCTCCCACCGCGAGGCATTTGCCGGCCTGGCGACGATGACAAACTGCTTTCCCCAGCACCTGCCTGACATGATGCCGATTTCGAGCCCACCGAGTGCATATCCGTAGATCTTGAGGCGAATCTCAGCAGGCAGACAGAGGAGCCGTGATTCCTGCTGGTTTCGAATAGAACTGCGTTATCAGCTAAGCAAACAACAAGCGCTAGCCGTGGCTTACGTTGCGTCTTGCAGGTTCATCTTGCCCTCATGCGGTTTCATTCTGCCACGTCTTGCTGGCGTAGGAATATAGCGTCGCTTGAGTCGTGTGAATAACGTTGGGGCGTGACGAAATAATAGACGAGGTAGCAGTGACTCACGGTAGTGAAGGAAGCGGGGCACAACAACCGAAAAAAGAAGTCTGGAAGGGAAAGAGTGACCCGCGGTGAAGGCGAGAATATGTAACGTTGGGAAGGAGCAGCCGGCAGATTACTCGTTGCCCGTGCGGTACCACAAAGCAAATGAAGAAAAGGTCGAATGGTATTTTGCAAAGCGTTGCAGCTAGAGAGTATGAGGCTATCTTTTTAATCAAGGCAATGCTCGAGAATGGGCAACGAAAAGATTGATGAATTGAGGCTGGGAAATCAGAAGGACAAGCGGCGTGAAAGAGGTGAAAGACGAGTGCGGCGCCGTGCGCCCTGTGCAGGAAAATGTTGCAAGGTTATTGTACAGGCCAGAATGTCGTGAAGACATCTAGCTGCTTCCATTCGTGTCACCAGAATGGTCCGTTCCTCTAATCCTTCTTAAGAGCACCCCTAAAGTCCCAGTTGTTGAGATAGCCAGACCCGGCCTGTTGTACATTAGCCCCAATGGTGCATAATAAGGATGCTGGTAGTGGTACTTACGCAGAGATAGGTAGCAAAGCCAAGCCAGCCCAGATATGGTGCGAGCAACCAGCCACAAACGGGGTCAACCTGTCCCCAGATGTTGGCAAGACAAGCCACTGTGCCACCAAGGGCGAGAATGTCGACTGTCGCAGCGACGGGACGGCCCATGCCGAAGTACAGTGGTGTCCAGAGGAGGTTGAGAGCGAGCTGGATTGTGTAGAGCGTCGCTCCATGCTATATCATGTTAGATCAGGTGGTTGCAGATATTTGGGGAATCGTGTACTTTGGCAAGAGCGACGGTCTCAGGATTCAAGGATGATATGCCGGTCGTGTACGCGCGATAGGCAGTATAGCCCATGGTGGCATAGAGGGCGGTCCATACGGGCCCAAAGACATAGCCAGGCGGATGTAGAGGCGGCTGCTTGAGTGTTCGGTACGTCGTCTGAGAAACGCTTGCTGCCACGGGCTCAGCTGTGTCTTCATAGTCTACGTCGTCGGGAGCATTGCATGCACTTACGGCTGATGGCGAACCCAGTAGCTGTTCCGCAAACCACGGGAAGCAAGATAGCTACGGCAGGGTTCTCGAAGACGAAGCTCGGGAGGGTCAGGGAGGGGATGTAGCTCGTCATGGCTGGGATGAGGCAATTCGTCGGGTACCTGCGTGCAAAAAGGACTACGGCTCGCGCAATGAAGCCAATGAAGGTAACTTGTATGTCTGCAGCTTCACATGGCCCTTCTCGCGATGCATTTTCCCAAGACTACGTAATGGCGCATCCGCCCAATCATGCCTCGGTCCTTCACGGGTGCACGCGTCGAACCACGACCCACTTGTTTGCTTGCCGCAGCTCCGTTGACTCCATGTTCTGATGTACCAGGCCACGCTAGCCCCGTTTCACCCGTCTTGGGGCTCTCCAGCCGCCTGGCCGCGACCAACCTCACCCTTCTCCTCCATCTCACCTCCACTGGCATCTTTTCCGCCTGGGAGCAACTTCAGCACATCGTGAGTGCAGCTTCTCGTCCTTCCTGCTGCCCCTTGTTCGTACCCTTCCCCCCTCCTCTTGTACCGCTACCTTCATAGCTCCCATAGCTTCGTCCGCGAGGCCTTGCGCAGCTACCTCTCCCAGCTTCTCTTGTTGCGACGCTGCTCGCGTGCCGTCAATCGCATCGGGCGCTGCCGTCTTCTTGTTCAATTCTTCTTCACACGCACTTCCTTACTCGTTACTAACCGCGTCCCGTCATCCTCTTCTTGTCCCTATTTGTCCTCTGTCTAACCCGAGCCGTCATGGCAAACAGCTACCCGCCACGATTGCCTCTCGACTATCGACCATCGACCATCGACTACCACATACAACATCCTCCAGGCGAGATTGCGCGTCCCAGCAAGCAATCTGCCCGTGTGTTGCGCTGATGATCGATTCACCACGCTTCCTACGCTCCTAAAAACCACCAGCCTCAGCCTCAGCCTCAGCCTCACCACCATTCGGTTCCATACAGCTTATAGCCTGTCGGAGCTTCTCATTTACAACGATGGACTCCTATACGTATGCTTGGTTCGATCTATCGTGCTTATGAGCAACGCTGACGATGACTTGCAGTAGCACCCGCGAGGATTCCAGACCTCCCGCAGATTCCTACAGACGGCGCTCGCCAGGTAAGCCACTACTTCTTTTACTCGATGCTCGCGGCACGGTCTGTCGCTACTCATCCTCTTAGCCCATGCGCGAATCTCGTGCCGTTCATGCTCGACTTTGTCCCCATAGGCAGCAGCTCCTTCATTTCCTAAGCCTTGCGTTCACTCTTGCGAGTGGTGCTTTGTTCCTCGACACAGCCAGACCAACTGACACTCGGTTCAACAGGTTCCGGAGATCGCAGAGCTGCTAGACGGCGTTCGCGCTCGCCTCAGAACATCGACCGTTACCAACCTGATCGCGCTCGCGATTACGACCAGCCACGCCGCGATGGAAACCGACGGCGATCTTCCCCTCCACCGGTACAAGCTGGTATCGACCGCTACGTGCCCGGCCAGGACAACTTTGCGCCAACCTTCACCACCAATCCAATACCCAATCCGATGAACCTTGAATACCAAGTAGGCTTCAACTACTTCGCCGAGTGGTGGCGTGTTGAACAGGTCATGAAGGAGGAGAAGGAGCGCGCAAAGAATGGCGGGCGAAAGCCCGTCCTGAAGGGAGAGCGCGAAGCTAGAGAAGAAAGAGGCAAGGAACGTGAACAAATCCAAGCTGCGTACGACGAGTACAAGGAGAAGCTCCAGGTGCAGATGGCAAAGACCTTTGTCGACAAGCACAAGAGTGATGAATGGTTCAAGGAGCGCTACGATCCCGAGTACGATGTTGCTTTTAAGCAGAAGCTCCGTGGATATCGCCAAAGCATCTATATGGACTGGGAGCGACAGTTGGACGAGGGCTACTTTGATGAGTTCACGCTTGAGGGTATCTATAAGAACGACTCGAACGGCGCTGGTGGCATTGTTGAAAAAGAAGAAGGCGAGACAACCGCCGCCAACGAAGTGCTGGGCGTAGGGGATCTCTTGCCTTGCAAAGGTGGCGAGATACGTGATGAATCAGCCTTTCAGCCGACCCTACTTATCAAGACTATTGCGCCAACCGTCAACCGTGAGAAGGTCGAAGAGTTTTGCAAGGAGCATTTGGGCGATGGCCCCGGTGGCTTCAAGTGGCTCAGCATGAGCGATCCAAACCCGTTGAAGAAGTGCCATCGTATCGGCTGGGTCATCCTCCACCACAGCGATGAACAGCCCATGGTGCTCGATGACCGTGGTGATGCGCGCGACGAGGATGCCGAAGAAGGTGCCGTTGATGATACCAAGCCTGAAGCTGCTCAAGGTCCTCTCGGTACTGCGCAAAAAGCCCTCGAGGCTCTCAATGGCAAGACTGTTCAAGATGACGTTCGTGGCAACTTCACGTGCCACGTCGGTATCCACGAACCGCCTGCAGCCCCACGTAAGAAGGCACTTTGGGATCTCTTCTCTGCTCCTGAGCGGATCGAGCGTGATCTGGAGCTAGCCGAGCGACTTGTCCGCAAACTGGATTACGAGCTCAAGGAGAACAACGAAGAGTTTGGAGAACTCGATGGTGTCAGCAAAATTGACCAGCGAGTCGAGGACCTCCGTTCAAAAGGCTGGCTCCAGCCCCCAGCAAATGCGCCGGCGCCGCCCAAGAAAGAGCGCGATCCGGAAGAGCTTGAAGAGGGCGAGGATGAAGCCATGGAAGATGAAGAGGGCGCGTACGACGATGAAGTCGACGACGAAGAGCTTTTGGTCAAGAAGAAGAAGCTCGACCTTCTCATCGAATATCTACGACGGGTGTACAACTTCTGCTTCTTTTGCGTGTTCGAGAGCGATTCCGTTCATGAGTTGATCCGCAAGTGTGCAGGTGGGCATCTTCGCCGCCCTCGTGCTAGTTTGACAACTGCGGCAAAGGCCACAGCAAGGGCAACTGCCACAGGGGAGCCATTTCCGTATAGGAAGCAGGAATCTTCCGGCGATATTGAGAACGGCGAGGGAAGTCCCGTGCAAGAGAGGAAGCCCATGAAACTGAGCGGAAAGAACCAACAGCAACTGCAGCGAGCTTTCAACTGGGTCAAGACGTACGAGGAGAAGCTTCTTCAGCTACTCGAACCGGAGAGTGTTGACATCAGGAAGCTTGGGGGCAAACCTCTGGAAGAAGCTATGGAAGACGAGCTTGCTCGATATGTCAAGCAAGAAGATGAGTCCAAGTGGCGCTGCAAGGTCCCAGAGTGTACAAAGCTCTTCAAGGGGCAGCACTTTTGGCGTAAGCACGTGGAGAAGCGTCATCCGGAGTGGCTTGAGAAGCTTGAGAACGATGTAAGTGTCGCTGAAATTCTACTAAAACACGTTCATGCTAACAGTAACCAGCTCCGACTCGTCAACAGCTATGTCGTCGATCCCGCACACATTGCCCCGTCACGCAGCGATGCGAATAGCAACGGCCACTTCCCAATGGGCAACCATATCCAAGCTACCGGAACACCACGAGGGTTCAACCTAGCTAACATGAATATGGCCATGACCGGGAATAATGGTATGCAAAACGGCCTCAACCTGCAAGCGCTCTTCAACCCTGCCATGGGTGGGAACTGGGATCCCAATGCTGTTCACGATGATCGCGCTGGGGCGATGCGACGAGGCGGTCACCGTTTCAACAATCGCGCTGGACCGTATGATAGGCAGCCTCGAGATGGGCGCAACCGACCTAACGGTGGGGTTGGACGTTTGACACCCCCGCCACGTGGTGGGAGGCCTGGTGGTCCCCAGCGATATGGCGAGGGTGGGCCTGGTCCTGTGCAGTCTGTTCAGGGTCGGTCTATCAAGAGCTACGAGGATCTGGATGCTGTGGGTGGGGGAGGTAGCGGAGAGCTCAACTACTAACTGCGGGCATGTAATCACGGGACTTTAGTCCCACGCATGAGTGGCTAGGTCATAGGACAGGCGTTAAGGGTGGGCTTTCCCTATGCTCGATGCAAGATAGTCATTTGCTTGCACTAGCAAGCCATGGGAAGGGTTGCAAGGGTGGAGTTCTTGGGTCACTTCGACATCACATATGACACTCAGTCCGTGTGTTTGTACACTGTATATTCATCTATAGCGTATGTAGAGGGCGAGCTCAAATCTAAGCATGCGTCAGTAATACTGGTTTGTATTCCATGAAAGCGTTTCCGATGACGGTTCCGAAGGAGGGGCACACAGCCAAGCGCCGCCGCCCAACCAAGAGCTGCATTGCGTCCGTTTTTGCAGGTCATGCAGCGAGTCTATTCACTGTTGACTAGAAAACAAGATAGGCAACATGGAAACCCCCAGGATCCATGTGTGGCTAATAAGCGTGCAAAATGCCGTGTTTTCCTTGTTCGGCCCGCAGTCAAGCTTGCAATTGCTCAGCCCGAGTCTGCGCCATTGCACCGTGACGCAACCAGCAGCAACTTCTCCACATACCTACACTTGCTACAGTGCTTCAGTGCCGGCAAGCGTCGAATTCAGCCTTATTTGCGAAGAAAAGTGGCGCTATAGCCGCTCCGCGAGCCCTCGTCGACTATCCATCTCTCTTCTTGTCATTGCTAGTTGCCTGTACTTTCGGTTGAGCCTCAGCCGCAGCCACCAGGCGCATGAGCGTCATACAACACGCGTCGACTTTCTCTCCCAGGCTCTAGAGGAACCTTATTATAACTACCCTACATCCTACTGGGCTTCCGGTCGCGCTGCCTAGCTCGCGTACCTCAATTTCATACTCCAGTATGCCCGCCGACACCCCGCCTGCGATCAAGCTCAATGGTGCTATAGAGCCCACCACCATGAGCGCTCAACCCTCGGCGGAGAGCAGTCGTAACCCTTCAGAGCGGCCACTCCCACTCGCGCGCAATGACACGACCTACTCCAAATTCTCTTTGATGTCGATCCCGCCAGAAGGGTCCATCTTGACCGGAAAGCAGGAACATTGTACAGAGGCCAGCAGCACGCAGAGAGGAGAACAGTACTAACGTGTATGTAGACCTCAAGCGCGAACTCATTTCCCAGCAGACCAAATACGAAATCTCCGAGCTTTCGTCGCCCACAGCCCTGAGGCGCTTCGGCGCACCCTTCCGCTCAGATGCGGGCGAGGTCGCCCCAGAAGACTCCGAACTCCCCCTCCTCCGCTACATATTCGTACACCACGTCCGAAACTTTCCATTCCTAGATAAGGCCAAGGAGAAGGAGTTCTGGCAGGATAAACTTCAGGTTGTACGTTGCAAAAATATTAATCCTAGGTGGAGGAAAAGCTGACCAGAGGCGCTGTCATAGTTTCTTGAATCCTTTGCGAGCAAAGACATTTCGTCCTCGGAAGATCGACTGGAGGAGACAAAGAGGAAAAAATTGGCGCTGAAAGCAGAGAAGCTGGTGGAGCTTATGATGGTCTCAGGCATCCCCACCGCGTCTGGCTACGAGGAGAGGATTCGCTTCGCAGAAATGGAGATAGTAGATCGGCAAGCGAACGAGCAGGGTCTCACCATGAATGCGCCGAGCGGACATTTCATCAATGGTTGGGATGTCAATGTCGCGGGCGTGAGAACTACATCGGTGAAGAAGCATGTTCGCTACCATACGCATGCGGTACGTACAAGGACAGAGGTGAAGACGAATAGTGCTAATGCGAATCTCTCAGGAATACCTTATCAGAGTAAAACAAGGCGGAGATAAAGACTTCTACGTCGGCCGTCGATACCAAGATTTTGTCCAGTTGCACAAGCGAATACGCCTAGAGCTTCCGGGCAAAGTACTCACTCCACTACCACGAAAGAACAAAAAGGACGGGCTTCTCCAATCGAGTGTTGATGACGATGATGTGAGCTCTATCTCATCAGGCTCTACTCAAGAACCTCCACCAGAGCCATACGAGAGTAGCGGCGGCGGCGGAGGGCTACGGAGCTATCTTTGGGGCGGAGCGCACAAGAGAAATAGTTCGCAAACGTCATTGGGGAGGTCGAACTCGCCTAGGGCATCTGGTGAACGTTTAGCATACAAGCAGCCTCGGAAACTGTACCGAGAAGAGCAACGTGTGTCTCTTCGGGCGTTCCTTCGAAGTTTCTTGCACATTGAGAGAATCGCGCAATCAAATGCCATGGCCGACTTCCTTTCACGGGATCCCATCGAAGTCAACGAGGAAGAGATGGAAGACATTGAAAGGAGAGAAGACATGGATAAGAAGCGCATAGAAGAGCAAAGGCAATTCTATGAAGTCGCTCGACAACGAGCAGCAGAGCTTGACATACACATGGAGAAGTTCAGGAGAGAGATCGTGGAAAGCAATGGCTTGTCACATCTTTTCCAGGAGATCAGGGTCAAGAACACCATCAGAGAGCTCAAGCCCGAGTACCAGAAGTTTGCAGAGTGGCTACGGATAGAAGTGGCTGCCACCATCTACCACCTCTTCCTTGCAGAGGACAATTCGCCGGAGCTCTTCGCGCAAGCGAAACGGATACACTCTCTTGTTCCCTATGGTGTACTCAAGAACGTCATCCGAATCGCCAACCCTGCAGCTGTGATGAGCGGAGTACTGGATCTCTTCCTTGCGCAACCTTTCGGAGCCAGATCTCTCCTGCAGCGGATATTCGGTATGGCCATTAATGATGGTGTCAACTCTGTTCAGAAGACGATTGATACACTCGCATCAACAAAGATCAAAGATGAAGTTCTTTGCGCCAAGATCAAAGCATATGTTCAGGCAGATGAGGATGTGAAGGAAATAATACGACAGGAAGCCGCAAACGAAAACGTCGATGTCGTAGTGACCATCCTACGCTCGGAGTTCTTCCAACCAGAACTAAGCCCACAGCAAGTGGAGAAGGTGTTCAATGCTTACGTTGCTTGGAACAACGCGGTCGAAAATGTGAGATCGAGTCGTTTGAGCAGAAAAACGAGCAGCCGGAGTAACTTCAGCACGAGTACTAACGCGGCCGCTCAGATTGAAAAAGAACTGCGGTCTGGCGCTGAGCTCTTCGCGCACTTGAAGCAATATCTCAAGCTCTGTCTCAGACAAAGAGATAAGCTTATGATGCTACAAATCATTGAGGAGGTACGTTACGTTTCTCAAACTTGAGTTTTTTTGACAGCTGACTGTTTTATAGCCCACAACCCTGCAGCTTTTCAGGGACCTCTTCACCATCTTTTATGAACCCCTGGTCCGCGTTTACAAGTCAGCAAATGTATACAATAGCATCACTGATTTCGCCATGTTCGCCGACGACACCATCAAGACCATCGAAGCCTGCCAGCGTCAGGAAGTCTCTGCCGACCCCAACCAGACTGTACAGGCCTTCATCGACTTGTGCGCCCGTCACGAAGACAACTTCTACAAATTTGTTCACGAAGTACATAAGCACGACAATGGCCTCTTCGACCAGCTCATGGGCTGGTTAGAAGGCATTCTTGACTTCTTGCGTCACGGGCCTGGTGGCGGCAACAAATTAGACATGAACGCGCTATTCCAGGGCGGCATGGACTCAAACGTGATCGACAAGAACAAGGCGATTAGGGAGATTAACCTGTTGATCAAGTGGCAGACCGCGCGGAAGAAGTGGCATGCGGATAAGACGAGGCAGAAGATGGCGAGTGGTGGTGATGAGCCAGACCCGCTAATGGGCGGTATTGCTGGTTTCAAGTCGAGCGATTTCGGGCTCAATGAGGTATGTCACGTCCTTTCCTCCATTTTCCTAATCCGTATATACTTGATTGTTAACGTTTTTTAGCTTGACCTCCAAGACCTCGAACTCGATGATGACGCAAGCGACTCTGAGAACTCTGAAGATATGGACGACGCAGATGTTGCAGATCCCATCGAAGCAGAGCGCAAGAGCAGAGCACGAACTGCTGAGAAGCTAAGACGGAAAGCGGGAGAGCCAAAGAAACCGCCCATTCAGGAGCTGTTCAAGCTCAGTGATGGGTTCAACAGCATGCTAAGGAATGTGCTTGCTCACTAGGCGGGTAGCGGTTGTGTGTATGTAATTTGGTCTGCTGCATTGGCATGAGAGAGTAGGCTTTGACAGTATAACAATGGGTTGCTGAATACTTTCAGCAGACTAATAGACATTATACTAATTCTTTCTAACCATGACGTCGACTTTGCACTGTTACCACTGAGTGCAAAAAAAAAAGATCATCTTATTACAAAGACGGACAAACTACTAACAGAAGTGGATGACTATTATCAGAAAGCGGCTGAACAAATAACCCGAGCTGCACTAGCACTCGGGCTTTGACGAATTAGAGAGGCCATCTAGGTGGAGTTCCGCTTCCAATCTTATATTTGCTTCCCATCGTGGCGCATCTTTTATCCTAGCGTCCTTAGGGTTTAGTTTAACCCTGTTCTAGCTTGTAGAACATGTAGAATATGCACCGAATACCTTCTGATTGAGATTCCGGTTTATCTCCTAAGAACTATATGTAAACACACCACCTGATCTAAGTACTAACCATCCTTTTGATTTGATTCATCGCGATCACAGAGACGCAAGCTTTTGTTTGATTTCCTGATTATTATTTTCTACCTATACTATGGCGTCCAAAAGTAATCGCCAATATGACCTCATCCTTCTCGGCGCAACAGGCTACACGGGTAAGTTGACAGCAGAGTATATCACAAAGCATCTTCCAAGGGACTTGAAATGGGCAGTGGCCGGTCGCAAACATGGCAAGCTAGCAGATGTTGTGGAAGGCCTGCGAGAAGTTGACCCGGATAACAAGCAACCTGCAATCGAAGCGACTGAGTTTTCCAAGGAAGGCTTAGACGTTCTAGTACGCAAGACACGGGTCCTGATAACTACCGTCGGGCCTTTCCATCTCCACGGCAGTGCGGTGATGGAAGCATGCGCAAATGCTGGGACACACTACATTGATAGCTCTGGAGAAACGCCCTGGGTTTACGAAGTAACGCAAAAGTACCACAAGCTCGCCGAGTCGAACCAGGCCATCCTGATCACACAGTGTGCTATGGACTCCGCACCCGCTGATCTTGCCGCCTACGTCCTTGCCAGTTTTCTTCGGGCCAAATTCGACGAAGGCACAGCTGAGTTGGTCCACGGAGTACAGGAGTTCAACAATGCCATGAGCGGCGGCACACTGCACAGTCTCATTACGGTCGCGTCTTCGTATCCATTGAGTCATCTTCGAGAAGCTAGTCGCCCACTGTCGCTCTGTGTTGATGGTGCACTTCCCGCCGTGTCCCCAACTACTCTCAACATGCTTGGATCACATCGAAAACCGGGGATCGGACTGCTGACGGATTCGGTCATTGGCATATCAGATACCAACCTTGTGTACCGCTCATGGAGTTTGATGGGTGGAGGCGAGTACTATGGGCCTAGGTTCAGCTACTTCACTGGCATGAAGGCTGCAAACCGCGCTTCGGGTTTCTTGTGGCATCTTGCTATGACGGCTGCCATGCCGATGCTCCTGCTTCCGCCTGTTCGCAAGCTCTTGACGACTTTCGTTACGCAGCCTGGCGAAGGCCCGACTAAAGAGTAAGTGGAATGCAATGCTTGAATCGCATGTAAATTACCCTTGTTGGTACATACCGAGCTAACCAACCCTTTCTGTGTGCATAGAGCTCAAGGAAAAAACTCGACAACTTGGAAGTCGATTGCACATAGCGATTCTGAGACTCCCCACACAGCCGTGTGTAACATGTCTTTCGCTGGTGATATGTACTCGTTGACGGCGATTCTCTTGGCTGAAGCGGCCATGGTGCTTTTACGTCCTGATCGCGAGAACTGGGCGCAGAAGCTGGGTGGCGGAGTGTTCACGCCAGCGACTCTTGGAGACCAGTTCGTGGAGAGAGTAAAGGTAGCGGGGCTGAAGACTGAGGTGAAACTCGTTGAAGGGTAGGGATGTGTGATAGTAGAGCGGCGTTAGTTGCGTGTGCTGAACGATGCTGGCAGACCCGATAATAATAATATAAAAGTTTCTACACCCAATCTTCACATGTTTCGTCCGTGGAACAAACTTCTACATGCTAGGCCCATGGATGGGCGTTGGTGAAGGGGCCACGTGCGGTTATCTACTGTGGACCGATACGCGCTAGTGTGCTGCAGCGGCCCGGGCTGGTACCTTGAAGCTAGACATGGCATAGCTGTCCTTTATTCAGCCGACCTTGTCGCAACGCCTGCATCTGTCTCACTCATACATTTTCACTTCTCTTGTACAATGATATTACGGCTTTAGCACGGATTGTGCTGATTCATTCTTTTACCACGCCCTACACAAAGAAAGAGAGGGACTTGCGATCGCAATTCACCTGTATACCAAGGTTCAGACAGAGAGACGAGTCTTGAGACAAGCTACTGTACCACGCTTCACCCACGCGGTCTTGCCCTATATCTCCTCCACAGTCTCACCCTAGAACCTCCCTACCCTACCCTACAGCGGTAGTACGCCAATATGCCCGCGAAATCGCGATTCACCAGGCTCGACGCCTTTACCAAGACGGTGGAAGATGCGCGCGTACGCACAACATCCGGTGGCATTGTTACACTAGTGAGCTTAGTCGTCATCTTCTGGTTAACATGGGGCGAGTGGGCCGACTACAGGAGGGTGATAGTACGCCCAGAGCTGGTGGTCGACAAGGGGAGAGGCGAGCGCATGGAAATTAGCTTGAACGTATCGTTCCCGCGAGTACCATGTGAATTGCTCACGCTCGATGTCATGGATGTTTCCGGAGAGCTGCAGATGGGAGTCACGCATGGTATCAACAAGGTGCGATTGAGTCCAGAGCTTGAGGGCAGCCACGTTATTGAGACCAAGGCCTTGGATCTGTGAGTCTACCCAATACCTCGGCTTATGAGGAACGCGAGGCAGTGGAGAGAGGAGAAACCCCTTCTAACAGTTGACAAGGCACCAAAACGAAGCGTCACATCTCGCCCCCGACTACTGCGGCGACTGCTTCGGCGCACCGGCCCCGACCAACGCCCAAAAAGCCGGCTGCTGTAACACCTGCGACGAAGTCCGCGACGCCTACGCCTCGATATCATGGTCCTTCGGTCGCGGGGAGGGTGTCGAGCAGTGCGAGCGTGAACACTACGCTGAACACCTAGACGCACAACGCCAGGAAGGATGCCGCCTGGAAGGTAGTATCAAGGTCAACAAGGTCATTGGCAACTTCCACATTGCGCCCGGAAAATCCTTCTCCAATGGCAACATGCATGTTCACGACTTGGAAAACTACTTCAAAGACGAGTATCAACACACTTTCACGCACAAAATCCATCACCTCCGCTTCGGCCCCCAACTTAGCGACGCGGTCATCGCGGAAATGCAGCGCAAGCGCCTCGCAACCGGTCCCAGTGGCTGGACTTCCCATCACATCAACCCCCTGGACAACACCGACCAGCACACCGATGAGAAGGCGTACAACTACATGTACTTTGTCAAGGTGGTTTCAACGGCTTATTTACCACTCGGCTGGGAGAAAGAAGCAGCACACCCCGCTAAGCAAGATGAGCTCCTCGGCGCTACGATTGACGCTGCATACAAAGGCAGTATTGAGACGCACCAGTACTCTGTGACGAGCCATAAGAGGAGTCTGCAAGGAGGTACGGATGAGCAAGAAGGGCACAAGGAGAGGATTCACGCGAGGGGTGGTATTCCGGGAATCTTCTTCTCATATGTGAGTTTCCCTTCTGCAGATTTGCCTTCACGATTCAAGGCTAATCCTGAGTTAGGACATTTCCCCCATGAAGGTCATCAACCGCGAAGTACGCGACAAGTCCTTCTCGGGCTTCCTCGTCGGTCTTTGCGCCGTCGTTGGTGGCACGCTTACTGTTGCTGCGGCACTCGATCGCGCGCTGTACGAGGGCGTCAATAAGATCAAGAAGATACACTCGCAGTAGTTACACACATACTCTCTCCACCGCCAAAGAAAACGTTTATCGCCCTCTTTCTATCTTCTTGATGCATTTACGTGCGCTTTTGTGTTTGGAGTCTGGCGTTTATTACGGATCATGGGTGTCCTCGACGAGAGGATTTAGATCTACGGGTTCGAGGAGGAGGGACAAGAGTGTAGCACTGGGCTTTCCGAACCAAACTTGTATTATTTAAGTCCGATTCCAGAAATGGATGCATATAGGCTCCATTCAAGTCAAGTAGATGAGAAGTTACTGTTGATACTTAGGTGCAATATGTTTTTCAATCTTTCCTTGCCTTCTCTTGATAGCGTCTAGAAATATGCTGGGTCTCTTTAAGATTAGAAAGGGTGGTGCTTCAGTGTTCGAAAGTACGTTTTGAAAGGTTTCACTTTTTGGAACTATGCTCTTAGGGTCCCAGCCCCGCGGTTAGCAAGTGACTCGAAGTTTCTTTAGTCTGCCACGCTTGTTCCTATCAAACTAGCAAGTGTTCGAGGTTTCTGTGCTTTAATTCATAGCGTTTTCAAGAGAGTAGAGTCCAGCTTCTTTCCCGCACCCAATCGGCCGGTTTGGCTTTGGTGACATAGCTAGGCTAGAAGATCGATTGAGTTTTACATTGTAGCTTAGGTTCTTCTGACTCATGATATTTCTGTCTGATCAGAATCTTTTGACGTGGTGAAAGGCAGACTTTAAGGCTTCCAGTATCCTGCTGCCTAGTTGCCTGATCGCAAGTCATGCACGTTATTTGCTGTAACCATCCATGGCGCAACAAGCAAGAAAAAACTCTACTATGATGAGTCACAACCACAAAAATATAATAAGAGGTCCACGAAACAATAAGTGAAAGGTATAGTGTCAACCTCAAAATGTCACGTCGTCGGGCCAATCAATAACGGTTGCGGCACGAGGATGCCGCGTGGCTTGGCAACGCACGGGCTCAAATCTCTAAAGAAAGACTCGTTTCCTTTCTCTTGCTTCACAAACGCCAAACCCTCCACACACACCAAGTGCAGTCGCAATTGAAACACTTCACATCTCTCTACTCAAGTCAGGCGATTTCCGCAAACACATCCGAGGACATCCAGCCTTATCAATACCGAAAGCTCGATATCAATCAACCTGAGGACATTAGCAATATTTTACACAACCTGAACACAATTTGCGAACGGCACCACCTGGCTTGAAATCATGTCTGGACCACCACGAGGACGAGGTAGGGGTCGAGGAAGGGGTCGAGGCGGCCAAGGCTTTGGACAGCAACAATACCAAGATGGCGATCAATCGATGTCTGACGCAAGGCCCTTCTTTCCACGCGGACGTGGTCGAGGCTACCAAGGCGGTCAGAACCACCAGCAGCGTCCTTTTGATGGCGAAGGAGACGAAGCAATGTACGATGCAAACACGTCACGTGGTCGAGGGCGAGGACGAGGGCGAGGCCCACGAGGCGGTCACGATCATTACCAGCCGCCTCACCAACGCGAACATAAACCCGCAAACGCCGACCGATTGGAGCCAACAAATCCGGCCGTTCAACTCATGAAAGATTTCCTCGGACGACGCTATGATGCAGCAAACAAGCTGCTCAATCTCTCTAGTATCGTTAGTGATCAAGCGATTCTTGAATCCGGCATGTTTGCTACAGAATCGACGCAGAAAAAGTTCTTTCCCGCGCTTATGATCGTTTGCGACGACATGCTGGAAACTCAAGAAGCAAAAGAGGAGGCGATCCAGAGCGTTACGCTAAGCGGCAACGGCCTCCCGAACCTCAACGCAGTCTACAAACTTTGCTGGCAGCTAAACCACATCAAGAACCTGGATCTGAGCAATAACGCATTTGCCAACATAGAAGCGTTGAAACCATGGAAGCAGCGATTCAAGAATCTCGAGCACCTCATTGTCGATCCATTCCCGGTTAGTGGATGGGAAGAGGAGTTGACGTCGTGGTTCCCAAGGCTGAAGATCCTAAACGACACCCAAGTCCGTGGCGGCGACAACATGCCTTCGTTACCAGCACCCATATCCGCTCCAGTACCGGCAATCACCGACCCGGAGCAGCAGAGGAAAGAAGAAATGCTGCTCTACGTCCAGCAACAAACCAATCTCAAGCGCGACTACGCGCTGCAGTGCTTGGAGGCAGCGCAGTGGAATATTGAGCAAGCGGGTGTGCTCTTCACACAGAGTCAAGCGACTCTTCCACCTGAGGCGTACAACTAGGTGATGCACGCTAGCGTAGGGATGGAAATTTGCGAGGCACAAGAGAAGGAACCAGGTTGACAGGTGGTTTTAGACTCGGGCAAGGAATCTATTCATTTAAATCATGCCATTCGCGTTTGCATGGCATGGCACGGTATGGCAGATGCCCGCAGCGTGGCGTTGGTTATGCGGGGGGATCTTTGTGTAAACTCGACTCGCCTCGGCGAACTTGTATTTTTTTCCAGGCGGTAAATATACCCACCAGCAATAACAAGATCATGAATATGAACATGAATTCCAAGCATTTTCAGAGCTGTTTTTCAACGTGAAGACTCATGTACAAATCTGCAAAGTATTTCCCGTGCTGCATGGGTACTTCACATTTCATATCCGAGGCGGGAGATTTTGTGTATGTGATGCGAGAAGAGCGAGAGCTTTTATTTATAGCCCTCGCAATGATATATTACTACTCCAATCCCATTGGAAGGAAACCCACCCGCTGAATACAGTTCTTATACACTCTAATGGCTCTTCCTTTGCGCATTAGCAAGCGCACTGTTGAGCGCAGCAGTAACATCAACATGGAACAGCGGCCTGTTCAATCCTTGCACGACAGCAATCTTACTATTACTATTCCGCACCCCTTGCGCACCAACGCCATACGCCTTGCTGTGCTCCAGCTGTTTATTCAAGCTATCCGAGTCAGACGAGCCCTCCGAGTATGGTGCAGCCTCGATATCCTGACTCCTCACTTGCGAAAGCGTGCGCTGTGCTCTGCGGTTCTCACGGGCTTCCGCCTCAGCGGCGGCGGAGTGACTGCCACCGATCTCGGCGACGCTGAAGATGGGTTTCCAGCGGTGCGAGATGCCGTTATCTGGCATATCTGGGGTATAGTATCCGAATCCTGCGGCAGCGAGGGCGCGCTTGGTCCAGCGGTTGTTGATGTTGCAGAAGTGCCAGTCGACGGTATCGGGCGCGGCGTACTTGTCGAGCTGGTTGCGAACATCGATCAAGTTCTGGACCGAAGTAAGATCGACGTTGTTAACGGAAGAAAGGTCAAGGATGATGGCTTTGAGGGTTGGTCGACCGTCGTGGTCATCGGCTTCCTTGCCAGGGCGTGGGCCTGGGTCGTTCCATGGGCGATCACCAAGTCTGGCATAACTTGAAGGATTTGTACGACGTGTCTTCTTGAAAATGGTTGTTGTCAACTGATCGAGGTAGTGGTTGGCGTTCGGGTAGTTGAAGCCTTCGCTGAATCGGTAGATGAAGATACCAGGATAAGGGTCTTCTAATTGAATGGATGGGTTTGAACCGTCTTTATGATCGATAGGTAAGAAGATTTCGCGAACTGAATCTTCACCTTCAGACGGAGTCTTTCGAGCGCCAGGCTCCCTTTTGCCATCCACTGCTGGGTCCAGAAGATGGTCGCCAACCACGGAGTGAATTTTGGCTTTGCCCATGAAGCGTCCTTTAGCCTTGAACGCGCGAAAGGCGAACAGAGCTGCTGACACAGAAACTGTGACGTAGATGCCGAATTCGATAGTAGTGAAAATTGTGACTATGACACCAGCGAAGAAGATGAATACCTCCAGCGGCGAGATCCTCCAGAACTGGTAAACAGTGTTGGGCGGGGTGATCAAATCACCCACAGCGTGGATAATAACAGCCGAAAGGGTCGCATTCGGGATATACCAAAACATGGCTGGGAGGGCGTAGATAGCGAGAAGCACCACGATAGCGGTGATAACACCAGCGAAAGGAGTGCGCACGCCAGCCTTGGACTTGATAGCTGTTCGTGAGAAAGAGCCAGTCGCAGGATAAGCTCCAAGGAACGGGCCAAGGCAGTTGGATACACCAAGAGCGACCAGCTCCTGAGATGGATTGATGACATAGTTGTTAACTCGACCGAAAGACTTCGAGATGGAAATGTGCTCGATCAGAAGAACGATGATGGTCGACGGCAATTCGGTCGCAAACGACTGGATGATGGGTACTGTAATGTGCGGAACGCGCGCATGCTTGAAACCTGTATAATAAAGTGAGTGATGGAATCCACGAAGCGAGTATATGACTGACCTCGTGGAACGCTACCAAGAGTAGTGACCTTTGGCTTCTTTCTGTGGTGTCGATTGACCAGGTAGCTGAACAAAACATAGAGCAAGATGACGAAGGCTGTCCGCAAAGTGTTCAAGAAGAAAAAGAGCTTCGCCTTTGAGGGAAAGCGTTTTGCGCAAAAGTTGCACGTGAAACGGATGAAGTAGAGAAGAAAGAGGGACGTCAAGCCAAAAGCGGCGTTGAGGTTTGTGCGTCCAAGATGTTTCAGAATGTTGATGATGACCTTGTAAGTCGATTCGCGCGTCGAGAAGCCGGTAATGCCCATCATTGATGGAATCTGACCAACTCCGATGTTGATTGCAGAACCCGTCATGAAGGCTGAGATGGCGGGGAGCGAGATGAGATCCACGATCCATCCAAGTCGAATGAGGCCTAGGAAAAGGACGATTGCGCCACAGACAATGGCCAACGAGGAAGCAATGACATCTTTCGTTATGCCTTGGCCCTTGAGCTTCGCTTCTGCTTTCAAAACAACACTACCGGTGACTGCAGAGAGGACTGCGACTGGGCCGATGGTGATGTCCTTGGAAGTAGCGAAGAACCAGTAGATGAGGACTCCCATGAAGGAGGAGTAGAGACCAAATTCGACGGGAAGCTCGGCCAACTTGGCATAAGCCATGGACTGGGGCACGACGACGGCGCCAACAGTTATACCTAATCACGTCAGCGGACTGTTATCAAGATGGGGGTTCAGCATACCAGCAACAAGGTCTCCAAGGAACCACTGAAGATTATAGCGGGTGATCCAATGAACGAACGGGAAGAGGCTATAGAGGTACTCGGCCATTTCGTGGCTATTGGGTATCACATCGTGAAGCCACTCCCGGGCAGTGGGCTCATACTCGACGTATGAGTCTGCTGCATCGATAGAGAATACGCTCTCTCCTCGTGTGACGCGTTCCGAACCGGTCTCGTTTCGGTAATGTAGGTCAATACCGAAGACCTTTGCGAGGCTGTGGCCGACCTTTGTGGATATCGCCGCCATAGTAGGACAGACTCGAGCTCTCGAGGAAAGTGAGCCAAAAGGGACGAGGTTGTTCAGCACTGGAGGATACCTAGTGCTTCTTTTCCAAGTATACGGTCGACAAGACCGAATAAGCTTTAAAAAGCTTCGACAAGAAATGCCAGGCGCTTGGGATTTATGTATTAGGAAATAACCAGGATAGCGGGGGTGAAGAAGCACTGCGCAAGAGATCGGTGGCTTCTGCCCAGACAAGTCTTATCCGGAAAAGAACGAATGGAGGAGGAGTATGCTCAGAGCCAAGTAGCGGGTGTCCTGGATGTGGGAAGGCCCAGAAGCTTTGGCGACGCCTCAAGATTGCTTGACCTGGTGGCAGTATTGCGTGACGGATAGGATGCAAAGCACCAATTATAGGGAAGAGGAGAAGGAATGGTTTGACAGCCACGCCGCGTTGGAGATGGGCGATATGTCTAAGCTTATGGCGGCGGGCCACACTGGGCGATTGATGGTCCTGTCCGTGTTGGATGCAAGCGACGCTTGCGCGTGGAAGAGTTTGACGGGTGACATAATTGCTCGCAAGTGTGGTTGCTGCCGCGGTGTGGGCCTTGAAGCTGATGGCAGATGGGCCACTTTGCTGGGATACTCGGCTGTGGCGACAGGGGAGTGCCGTGAAGGATGTGATGGTCGGGAATGGGTTGCACTAGTACCCAATGGCAGCAGTCAAAGAGGTACATTGCGTGCTCGGAGCCACAGATGTCGTCTTGCCCTGGTGCGAACGCTAAAGTCGTTTTTCCCTGCCGTGGCACTGCGAATGCTTGCAGTTGGCATCTCAGCACCCTCGCTATTGCAAATTGCCCTCTGGGGATGGGTGTTTCGGCGACCATAGCTGTCGGTCCCTCGGAAGTTGGCTGGCTGAAGACGACATCTGCACTACACCTACGTATGCCATTGTCAGCCGCTATGGAGTGCCAGGAAAGCCGTCTTTGGACACGCTTGGTCGCATGTGTCGCATTATTGACCTTCGCAAGGCCAGAGTTGGGCTGGAGGGCCCAATGTCCTCTGGGAAGCTGCCATCTCTGCTGTTGTCTCGAGTCTCCTGTTGCTGCTACATCGGAACCTCGCATCTCTCTAGAGAGGGCACTAGGGCGATAACGCGCATCTCGGGAGCTATAAGCGGTACGATGCCAGCACGGCAGGCATGAGGTTCGTGGGTCCAACTAAGCTTTTGCGCAGCTCGAGTGCGAGCGAGCGCACGTGCGACCCACCCAGAAACTGCACGTGATTGGACGGCGAGCCCAGCCTTGATGCAGACTTTACATAGCAACGCCAAAGAGCATGCGTATCCACGATAGCTTACTTATGGCCATGACACGACCACGTCCACGGTGTGCGGATGCGCATCCATACTGCATTCCCACTAACAAAAGAAAAACTCTTCCAGGCGAAATCTATCATGGAGCTCTCCATGCGGAGAGAAAGGTCGGGGAACATCGGGCGCTACCGACACTGGTGGCAAGACAACTCTGAAGTCGAAGCAGAACTACCCTCGAGTACTGGTCCTGCTTCATGTGGTTTAGTTGTTGACTTTGCATGTCCAGAGTGCCAGCGACAGCTCAACTAGGGCGTAGGCGCTTTGGAAACCCTCTTAAGAGTGCCATGTTTGGTCTGGCTTAGGCGTTGTAAACTCTTCGATCTCGACAAGGATACCAGGATGTCCATTGTATGCTTCCTCATTCAGCAAAGACGACAACCCACCCCGGGTACTTGCTGAGATCAAGTCATATCCGGGCCAGATTCAACGACTCAGGACCTCGTTGCCGACCTTATTGGGCACCGTCCCGGGATTGCGAGGTTGTCAAACCCTGCATCTGTTATTTGTCTGCACATCTCCAAGTCGTAGAGAAGAACATTAGTAACACTGTTATTAGCAGAAAGAGAGAAGCGATTCGAATAGAAACAAAGATCCAATTCAAAGTTTTTAGACGGCGCTCCTTGGGGTACTGTAGGTGCTAGGCGTCCCCGACGATAACGAGATCATACCATGATTGACTTCGTAGCATACCATCGACTTTCGACCCAAGTTTCATTGCTCTCTCAAGGCATCAAGATTGCGTTTACAAGCAATGTCGCTCATCTATGGCTGTGTCGACGTTTAGTGGTGCATGTAGTTGTCGCAGGTTACTGTGCCGCACTCATGTTCATGTGCCTCATGTTTCATCCACGTCCACAACCTTCACCCCGCGATAACTCGGACCGCATCTGATTGGTCGTGGTTCGGAAAACGTGCCATTTCACCTACTGCCAAATGTGCCAAGTACCCCATACGCACTGTGCCGCACTCAGGTTAACGCCACATGTTTCTTCCTCATCTCGCAGCGCTTACGGTCGCATGGGCCGGACCGCACAGATCAACACTACATTCATGCGAACGTTGTGTCTAAACCGCCGTCTCGGTAGCTTCACGCTTCTACCACGGTGGCTGGTACAGCCTAAGTAGCGTTTGCATGAAGTCGTTGCTAGATGCGGATATCGTGAGGCTCCACAACGACTACTATATTTGACAGAAGCGCCTTTGGTAATGAATCTTAGCTAGGTTACACATTGCCTGATTAAGGCTATTTTCGGGAACACGCATTACCAACCCAGCAGAAACGCGGAACCCTCGTCAGCATCAATTGGTTACAGCTTGCATACTGCCTGTCTACATTCGAACATGGACACCTGCGATCTGTTACAGCCTCATCGTGGACATCACATGCAGGAGCTCACTTCAAAATTAGGTTCACACCGTTGTATGGCGTATATCTACACCAGTTCTTGGGATCATGGCGTCTCCATCGTCGCGCGGAAACCCCGATGGAGAAGCAGGATACACCATCAGAATCGTTCACCCCGTTGGGGCGGGAAGCCAGGATCCTATCCTTTGTCTCGTATTCAAGGTGCGGAGGCCATGCTCTATGCAGGACATGGTACGAAATAAGCGCGCATGCAGAGTGTGTTGCCTCAGTCTGCTTAGATTCGTTTGAACTAATTGGCTTTGAGCCGTTCATGTTCAAAGCCACCGTCGCCTGAGGTACCTCTCAAACATCCAAGTATCAAGCAGTATCATGCCCAGAGGTTCTGTATTACCTGATATTGATTCTCGATGATTGTACGATTGAACGAGGCTGACCATTATAAATAAGCATCTACATGCTTCCAAGCCAATATTTTGCAATTTATATCACTTCACTTCTTCTCCCTCCTTAAAAACTACAGTAATGCAACCCACTACTCCAATCTCTCCAGTATTTTTCGAAGCTCCATCGCGAAGGGCCACCATGGCCCAACAAACCCCCGAAGTCGATACACTCGACCAACTCCAGACCCCACAGCAAGTCGAACTGCTGGACAAGATCGACGAGCTTCGTAACCAAGGCCTGGGCCACCATGGCATCAGTCTCCCACAATTGATCGTATGTGGAGATCAATCTTCGGGCAAAAGCTCCCTACTCGAGGGCCTGACTCGCCTGCGATTCCCTACCAAGGAAGGACTCTGCACTACTTTCGCTACGGAGGTTGTGCTTAGAAAAGAGACGAATGTTGAGATATCATGTACTATTACACCCGGCAAATCGAGATCGCAGGCCGAGCGACATGAGCTATCCAAGTTCAAGCACATCTTTTCGTCTCGTGAAAACTTCTCCTTTCCGTCCGTTCTCGAAGCAGCCAAAGAACAGATGGCACATGGCACAAAAGCGAACCGTGGCCCATTCTTTGAAGATGTCCTACGCGTCAAGTACTCCGGACCCGATCTCCCCTCTCTAACCATCGTGGATTTACCGGGCATCATCGAAACACAGCTCGAAGGCGGCAGTGGCGCAGAAAGGGTCGTGGATCTCGTGACGAGCTACATGCGCGATGAGAAGTCTATCATCTTGGCTGTTGTACCTGCCTGCTACGACCCAGAGATTCAGAAAGTGTTCAAGTACCTGAAAGAGTTCGATCCAAAGGGATCCCGAACTTTGGGCATCATTACAAAGCCGGACATGATTGAACGTGGAGGCGACAACGAGAAAGAGTTGATGAGGCTGGCGAAGAATGAGAAGTATCCACTCCAGCATCGCTGGCATGCAGTCAGGAACCGAAGTTTTGTGACAAGGGAGCAAACCGATGCTGAGCGCGATGCGACTGAACGAAAGTTCTTCAGCGATGGTATCTGGTCCCACTTTCCCTCAGAGGATGTTGGAATATCATCTCTACGAGTCAAGCTATCGCGAGTGCTACTCGAACACATCGGCAAAGAGCTCCCGTCACTCGTGGCTGCTGTTCAGGGTGCTATCACATCTACACAGCATGGTCTGAAAGCACTGGGAGATGCTCGCGAGACCAGTAGACAACAACGTAGCTACCTTACCGGACACGCCGAAAAATTCCAAATGCTTACGCACGACGCGCTTAGGGGCATCTATAGTAACCCCTTCTTTGGCCTATCATCACCAGATGAGCGGACACCGACCCGACTACGGACTGAGATCCAGAATATGAACATCGCCTTTACGCATATCATGTATCGCAAAGGTCACACCTGGGAAATCGCGAATGATCAGTCATCCGAACCATTCGTGTCAAGCGCCGCCGTGGCTTCGTTCCATTCTTCCCAGGAGTACGATGCATGGTTTCAAGACCCAGCTTGGATCAGCAGAGCAGAGTTCCTCGAAAAACATGTAGGCGAGTATGTTCGCCAGAGTCGACCGTCAGGCCTTCCATCCCTCGTGAACCCATGGGTAATTGGCGAAGTCTTCCGTCAGCAATCCATGGGTTGGCGCGAGATCGCTCAGCGTCATCTTCAGCGCATATTCGAAGCCGTGAAAGACTATATCGAAGAAGCGCTAGGATCCCTGGTTGACCCTCGGACTTGCAGCATGCTAATGCTCAAGCAAATTCAGCCTGAGCTGGATAGACGTTGGCGTAGCGTCGAGGCAAAGCTAGAGGAGCTTTTAGTGCCTTACACAGAACAGGATCCGATCACATATGACCCTGGCTTTGTTCGAGAAATCGAAGAGACGAGAGCAGCACGATATCGTCTTTCCGCTTCTCAGACTGGAAGTACAGCCACAGTGGGAGCTCGCGGACTGCAACATAACTCAGTGACTTCTCGAGGTTCAACGCGTTATCTTCTGACTGAGTCGATTGACGGCTTCACGAACTCAGAGATTTTAGATCTGATGCAGACATACTATAAGGTTTGTTAGCCCCTACTAACATGCTATTTGATGCCGATATCTAACACGCTCATAGCATGCTATCTCCGTGTTCATCAACAACATCGCCGTATTAGCTATCGAGAACTGTCTGATCAAGAACCTCTCCGGTATATTCTCTCCTTCACTGATCACCGACTTGAGCGACGAGAAATTGCATGCAATTGCCGCCGAGTCAGACGAAGTGCGTGAAGAGCGCGACTCCCTTCGCCAGAAGCTGGGCGCCCTCGAAAGTGGCAAAGACATCCTGAATGAGCACATCGGTAAGTTCTAACCGTAAGCATTGTTGTGCGAGTATGACTGATCCAAACGCAGCGATGAGACCTACAGCACGAACAGCAAAGAAGGTCAGCCCGCCCAGGTCACGTACTAGCGTGAAAGATACAAGGCCTCGTACACCAGTTTCACAACGAGACGAGGACGACGACGCGAAAAGTGTGCATTTGGCGGAAGTGGAGGACTTAACAGCACAGCTCGATAACCTCGTCGTTACTCCGCCTTCTTCATCTGGCTCGAAGCACAAGCGCCCTCGAGTTGATTCTGTTACTGCATCGCCGACTCCCAAGGGAAGTGGAAGGAAGCGCTCGCCGTACGGCTGGCCCCCAAGGCACGACGTTCCTAGACCGACAATCGAGAATGGTTCCGACGAGGATGATTGAGCTAGCTGGAGCTGCGACATTGGAAAAGCCAACTAAGGTAATAATGCTACTCTGGCGTTTTTGAACCGACTTTTACTTCCTTTTGTTCCCTACTTACAAATAGCGCATGTAAAATTACTAGACGTTCTTCCTGTCTCGTTGGTCCTCTCTTCTCACAATAGATGTTCTTATTCCTTCTGAAATGATACCGTATCGTTTAAGCAAAGCAATCAATGTGTGATCTGCAAAGGCCCCGGCGGACCCCGAGTTTCCCACTTGTGGCAGTCTTCTAGCGCAGCCACAGTCGTTTGGGTTAGGGCTTACGAAGTTGGCTTCGCTTTGCTTTTGGCTAGCTTCAATATTAATGTGCAGTGTTGACATAATCTACGCTGACTGGAATATGGCAGGTGTCATCGAGATAAGAGGGGCAACCGTACGCGTATATGCTGCCAATGATCGAGGTTGGAAGAAAAGTATACAGCTTGTAAAAGGCTGCAACAAGGAGGACGCTGATACCATGAAGATTTAGAATGAATGGAAGCGTCTGTTAACCAGCCTGGGAGTTGTCTACGTGCGGCTAAGGACTGGAAGAGCACGAGAGATATACCAAAAGTGGTAGTGGAGACGCCCTATCTCAGCAGTGCTGCATCTCTACTAAATTGGGTTTCGAGGCCGAAGAGGTCGCACGAGTAAGAAAAAGATCACATACCTGCTACTAGGTCCGAGGTTATCTGCACTCGTACAGCATTACGCACGACACCAAACGATCATCGCTATCACATGCCGATCTACAATTATCGAGCTGTAATCCTGAACACAGCGTTATCGCAATGTCGTATGATGTCGGAGTTCGTATCTGCCTAACACTCCGGAGATCAGCGGAGAAGCTGCATCAGGCGATCTGATACCGAAACACTAGGAGTCCAGGAAGGGTTCAAGCGTCAAGGGCCCAGGAACAAGGAAGGGCGATACCGGAACGGCTGAACCGGACTATCAGGACCGCAAATTCGGCGGTATGGGTATGGAGAAAGCGATATGGTGAATATTACCCCACGATTTGTAAGGAGAACTGGGGTTGTTGGTAACGCCTGCGAATAAGCGAGCGAGTTGAGGAAAGGGGTCGGTAGCTGATCTGGGGTTTGGATTGGTGGAAAATCTGGACAAGCGGCTCAGCCCCAAGTCACATAGCCAAATACATGTTCCTCACACCTCGCTCACCCTGGAAGGTGATGTCCCGAACACGAACACTGTGTAGCAGTCTCAATGGCAGGCAAGGCACACATATGTAAATCGGCCCTTCTGAAATATCGATTACGTGCAGGGCTAGAATGCTGAAAGATGGGGTAAGGTGGAGACGTTAGTCAAGAACGAATGATCTGCTGTTGCGCTATCCCTAAGGAAGCAGTCTAGAGACCTCGGTATCGAACGATTCCGCGAGTGATTGGGTGACGCACCGCTTGACTGTCTCTAAGTAGAGGTAGTAGATTGTCAGAAGAGGTAGATACGCTCTTCACTGTTCCGTGGCCGCGGAATTAGTAGTCAGCTCAAATGATGCTGTCTTTGAACCATTGCGGATAACGTATTGAGGAGTTGTACTTAGCGCGCATATACACAGCTCAACACATCGTGCCCCACTTACACGCCCTATACGCGAAGTGCTATTGTGGAGTGTTATACGTAAGTTTTACTTGAGAATTCCTCTTGTAACTTTGAGCTGGACGCTCCATGTATTGCTAACGCTCGCCCTCAATTCTCCGAGTCGTTTAAGCACGGAGATGGAGCAAGACACAAAGGCGGGCGGGGGGCTTACAATGCATGTAGTTGTACGTTCGTAGCTGCAGTTTCTTTTCCCGATCTCACAAGCAGGATGATCCACGGCCCTCTTCCTACAGAGGTAGTAGCCGTGGCGTCAATAATAGAACACGTTAGCGATGTTGATCCAGGTGACATGGACTATTTGTTTCATAGGGAGGACATTGTACCTTTTCCGTGGTGCACGCCACCATCAATAGTCGAGCGTGGGCTTTAAGGTGCCGAGGAATAGTTTCTCAGCCTCCTCCTTTGAGCTTTCCATCCATCTCTTCTCTTGATCCAGATCATACGCCGCAGCACGGTCTAACGTTATGCTCTTGGAAACCCGCCTGTCTACGACTCTAGGCTATGGTTATAAAATCGCGCAGCTACTGCGGGTCTCATGTTCCGAGTCCAGTCGGTAAGTTTCGGGAGGGTAATCGAATAATGTTTCATCTCGCATCTTGACGTTTGAATGTACCGGTACATCTAAAGACGTAAGCGTTGAGCTCTCTTCAATTCGTGGAATCTCACACGATAGACGTGGGATGTCAACGTCTCCACGACTCAACACTTTGAGCAATTGCCGTGAAGAAATGTTGAGGAGGCAAACTGTCCGACGTAGTATCACAAAGAGACTGAGATGGAGTTGGAAGCATCTAGATATACTTGGCATCCCACGTTGGATGCTCTTCCTGGAAGGCATGCGTACGAGCAAACTGGGGCATCCCACGCGATCGACTGGGCTGAATCGGTGGAGGCCCTAGATGCTGAAATGGGTTCGTTAATGCACGGCAGTGTGGCAAAACAAAGCCAGACGACAACTGTCGCCAGGTATACGTTGCTTCTAGGCGACCTTTGCATAGTAGCATTGACCGCAACCCCCGCAGAAAGATGCAAGACGACGAACTAATGCCGAGACAAAGATATCGCCGAAGACTAGCCACTGCTGCCGGTTTCTAGCGACCAACCGAGCCGAAACGGAGTTCAACGGCGTATGTGACCGTAGTAGATCGGGGATATCCGCTGTCACTAACATAGTCGTAGTTTTTACCGAGAGCACAGCTTAATTCTACGATCCTTCTAACTGGGTCGCAGGTAATCTAGTGGCTGTGTATATTAATGTAGGTCATACGGCGATCACAAGCGAATGACTAAAGTGTCTGGAGGGATATGCGCGAAAGTGCCGATGCGGTCATGATTGTGTGCTCGCAAACGTCGGTCATGTCGGTCAAGAGGCGGCGACATCTGACTCCAGCTGGATATATGTGCCCCGCATACTGTGAGCTGACCCCTCTCTTCTCCCGTGTCAATCTCGGTATTCCCGTGTCACATGTGTTTGTGGCTTAGTGCTCCAGTTGTGACATATTCAGCCACAGAAGTGGTCGCTTGAAGAGCCGCATCACCTTGCTCTTTCTGGCTTTCCGTGAGCGTACGCTTGAAGGTTTGTTGCGATGTCCAAGAAAGAGACGTAGCCACATAGGTACTGTGAAGCTTCGTCCCTGATGCTGGTTAGATTGCAGTACGTTCACACTATGCATGCTACTTTCGAAAGAACCGTCACATGGCTGATTTAGCAAGTTACCATGTCTTGTCTCCCACACCTGCTGCAAGATGAGCGGATGGCTTGGGGTTTCTGTTCCCTTGGGCAGCACCCATGCGACACTCTCTACTATTCTGTGCATATTCGGGGCCTCAATGCATGAAAAGGTAGCACACGACGGCAAGCGATCGCAAGAAATACTGGGCGTCATGCAAGTCAGAAGTCTTGCAGCGGCAGGTCGAGACATGCGGTCAGTGTTTTCGAACGTGGTAAGAAAGCGGGGAACGCCTCTTTTGGATCGCCAAATTGTGGGGTAATAGCGTCGTCGCGTTGGCATGCATGTTCGGTCTGGGTTCGGTTCTCGCTTCGGACGAGGCTGTGTGCATGTCCTGAACAGCGACATGCGCTACACATGTTCTGCATTTCAAAACGCAGCGAGGGCGTGTATCCATGTTCTATTACGAGAGTACTGCATGAGGCCTGCAGCACTTGGAGGTAAAATTTTCCCCTCCTCGTGCCATCGTGACTCTGGAAGTAAATTTGATCCCGTTTAGGGAGCAACTTGCTCCAATTTGGCTTTCAAATCCGTCGGAAGGAATTTCTCAAGTAAGAAGAACCAATGTGTCGTAATAACGGAATAGAGAGATGAGCCGTAATGCTTTGTTGAGTGTCGCTCTCCTCGAAGCGAGTCGCCACGGCAGTTGGCGTGGGGTAATGTGCCAAAGATGCACCGAGGATCAGGTACCATGGACGAGGCGGCTCAGCAGTCCCCATTTCCGTGTCGGAGCCTAACCTTTGGAAACAAAAGCAATGTGTCTCCACCCCTCTGGATCCCAACTTCTTCCGTGAGTGCCGGCGAAGATTTCGGCACATTCCCACCATGTATACATGCACGTCGTATTGACCTTCTGCTTTGGCATTGGACTCTGCTGCACGCCTCGTTCTCGTCCAGCTGTTAGGCGGACAGATAAGAGGGATTGAACGGGTACCTCTAAAGAAAGATAGCGAAATACCTGCAAGTACGACCCGCTAAAGCAAAGGCCGTCTTCCTCCAGAGTCAGGAAGACTTGATGCCAGGAGGCCTCCAAGCTGATGCTGCGCTATGGCCAGCAGCGCCACCACCAAGTGTGACGGGCGTGGGGGCTCAACACCGGAAGCGAATGGCGTCGTCATGCTGGGATCATCCTGTAATGATGAGGCACCGTCTTGAACCCATCGTAATTTTACTTCCTGGATAGCCGCTCGGAATGGTCGAATATCGATAATTCTTGTTGCGCTGATGCAGCATGGTCTTGTGACGACCCTCTGCTACTCGACGTCTGCCACGTCTTGCATCATCGCTGAAGTCCCTTATTCTTGTTACCCTTTGCATTACACCTCCTGCAGGTGCTCAGTGGTCGCCGATTATTAACGGCCGCAGCGACTCGACGACTGGGACCACGATGTGTGTCGGACTGGCCGGGGTCAGTGAGCGATATCAGATGATGAGAAGAGGCGGCGCGCTGGGCCCCTCAATTCACGCCGTCTACCACACTCCCCCCACCCCCACACTAAGGATCCCCCGAACGGTATCCATCAAACGCTCTTCTGAGTCCGCCAGATCGTCACAAGGCGCGACCCCCCGGTCTTCTCCTCCGGCCAAGATCCGATTCACAGCCTCTCATACCCTGTCAGCTGGCTGCAACGTGAGCGAGAAAAAGCAAACGCCACCTCAATCAGTATGCGCGCCTCGTTCATTGGCCGCACAATGCCCAGCCCGCTAAACGCAAAGAGCTGTGCCTGGCATCGGCTACGTGCAGAGCAGCGCTTCGAGCAGGCCATGGAAGTCACCGCCCCTTTGGTCGTCACCAAGATGCCTGCCCATCGCTCACGGATGCACTCTGTGCACCTTGCTCTAGCCCGCCATACCTAGCACTCCTGACGAAGCCGTCAGCTGGACCCCCACACTCATCAATGGCGCGTCGACGGTGGTAGTGCTTTTCCGGCGTTTGACTTATTTAAGTACCTGTACTATCCTCGGGAGGTTACCAAACAGCAATCATCCATTGACGTATTCGTTTCGTTCGTCGTTCCAGCGTTCCGCTTTTCTTTGTCAAAGGGCTCCGCTCCTGTTTGCAAGCCTTTATTAGTATAAAAGCCAACCAGACTGCCTCCCAAAAGTCTTCCTACAATGTCACCACATCACGACGCACCTTCGCCGGCGAATAGCTTCACTCAAACTGCCGGCTTCCATCAATCAATCTACACCATGGACCCCTACAACGACTTCGAAACCAGTTCCGTTGAATCTGGTGATGTGGGCCTCAGGCGATCGCTTGTACCTGGCATATACGTCCCCACAGTAGCATTCTTCGAGCCGTCATCAGACAATGTAGACGTCAAGACAACTGCCAACCACGCCGTTCGTTTGGCGAAAGCAGGTGTTGCCGGCATCACCACTCAAGGGTCCAATGGCGAGGCCGTTCATCTGTCCCACAAGGAACGCAACCTGATCACTAGCACCACTCGCAAAGCATTGGACGATGCTGGTTTTGGCTACATGCCTGTAATCGTTGGATGTGGCGCTCAATCGACCCGAGAATGTATCGAGCTTTGCGAAGAAGCCGCTTCCGCCGGCGGAGACTACACTCTCGTGCTCCCACCTGCGTATTACCAAGGCTTATTTTCCAAGGATACTGTCAAGGACTTCTTCCGAGATGTAGCCACAGCCTCCCCAATCCCAATCCTCATCTACAACTACCCCGGTGCCGTTTCCGGCATGGATATCAATTCGGATACCATCATCGAGTTGGCTCAGCATCCGAATATTGTTGGTTGCAAGTTAACCTGCGGCAACACTGGTAAACTCAACCGTGTCGCTGCCGCCACTCGAGCGGCAACTGTTTCTGATCCCGGATCTGGCTTCATGTGCATGGGTGGCTCTGTCGATTTCACCCTACAGACGCTCGTTGGCGGCGGATCTGGTGTCATTGGCGGCATGGCCAACATTGCGCCCAAGGCCTGCGTTAAGCTTGTCGAGCTGTTCGAGTCCGGTCATTTGACGGAAGCGCGCAGGCTCCAGGCCATTGTAGCTCGCGGCGACTGGGCCGCAATCCAAGGCGGAATCATCGGTACTAAGGCTGGCCTCATGTCACACTACGGTTATGGCGGCTATGCCCGCAAGCCCCTTCCTAGGCCATCCAAGGAAGACGTTCACAAGTGGCGTGATGCGTTCGAAGAGGTCGTCAAGGTCGAGAACTCTCTATGAGTGTATGTGTAGGATATGTGCTATTATCCGCTTCGCAACCGTTTTACCTCTCTTTCCCTGGCTAGGACAATCGCTACATCTTAAGCTGTGAACATGCACTATATCGACACATCATTTAGCATTACCATCGGCGTTGAGCTTTGTTCTTAACTCTTATAGCGTTCCTTTATTTCTATGTCTCGGTTCGCAAACATAGTCTGTGTCCAGAGGCGTCATCTGTCACCAAGGGTGTGAAAAAGCAATTTCAACCGCTTATACGGTCGCTTTCGATTCCCCTTTCCCATTTCTCTGAGGCCTGTTCGGTAGCGGCATATAGAGTTGGTAATATTGGTGTTATTTTTGGCTCAGCCTCGGCTGGCAGTGCGAGCCACGGTCTTGTTCGAATCAGGTCGGAACTGGAGGCCCTGTTTGGCGCTTAAAAACGTCAGATATGTTCTGTAGTACTTGGTAGTTTCTGATAGTCCACATCGTCGATCGATACCGTCAATATGAAGCCATCAATACAAATTTCGAGTCCCGCTTTGCAGCATATTGCGTCCCAATCGCCAATGATGGTGCTGCCGTCGCCCAATCCCAAAGCCTATCACGAGTTTACTTTTTCCGCGACGCCAGCGCCGCCGCCGTCGTCGTCGCGATACCGAACTATGTCAGCTCCACCGCGGTTGTATTGGACGGAGACGATGGAAGAGACTCTTCTGGATGCGCTGATCTACGAGGTTGAGCGCGGCTATCGCGCGGACTCCAGGTACAGAGAAGAGGCTTGGAAATACGCCAGAAATGAGGTATCTCGTGTCGCTCCTCAGGCAACTCTAGTTCTTGTTCGGCACTGTAAATCAAAACACGACAGCCTCAAGAAGGACTAGAGGATTTGGGTTGAACTTGCCGGTCAATCAGGCTGCGGCATCGACGAGGCTGGCGTTGTAACCGGCGATCCAGACGCGCTGACAGCATACTTTGAAGCTCATCGAGAGGCGCGCAAGTTCCAGCACAGGACTGTAAAATATGAGGAGAAGCTCCGCCAACTGTTCGAGGGAGTTCTTGCAACTGGGCAAGACGTTATAGTGATCGGAGACGACCCAACGCCGTCGACTAAGCGCGATCTAACTCCTCAATCGAAGCCCATCGATAAGGGGAGCGATAGCTCTACAGTGCCGCGTAAAAGACCTGCAACTCAGTCAGTGTTTGGCGTCAAAGATCGGGCGAAGAAGCTCAGAACAACTCACAGTCTCAGCCGCGGCCTTCATGACATTGCAATCCACCTCAAAACCCTCGTTGATGCTATAAGCAAGGACTATCAACAACAAGCAGTCCAGGTATTCTTGAAGCACTTCTCCGTGCTTGATGTGGGGCTTCAGCTAGCCTTAGTGGACGCATTTTCTAACGAGTCGTCCGCCAAAACGTTTCTGTTTATAACGCCGCAAATGAGGAAAATGTGGGTGAGGAAGCAGTTGATTGAACGGCGGGAGCGTGCTTGCTGATAGTATTGATATTGACGTTGACGTTGTGATAGAGCGTTATACTTGGGAGGGCGACGGCGATTTGGAGGAGAAAGTTCATATAACAGATGAGCTGGATACTGCTTGAAACGTCGATTTTTCGAGGTGTAAGGGTTAATAGAAGCGTCGATAGGCAGTAGTACTCAGAACTACGGTGGAGGGCCGGCATTGGCGGTGGTTGACTTTGTGGTATCCTGTAGGTGGTCTCCGCGGGCTCCAACTAGCTGAGGGTTTGTCTAAAACAAGTCAAAAAACCATCGGTTTTGGGCGTAAAAACGCTCGAAACTTAATGTGGGCTAGACAGCGAGTTATTAGTAGTAATTCTAGTGGGGTAGCTGGTATAGTGGGTGTTGCCACGGGAAACTGTACAGCTGGGCACGGAGCTAGGCCTATCTAGGTAGTCGGCGATACTTACACATTTGGTAGTTGAACAACGACTCTCAAACTTTTCAATTACACCACCACTTTCTACTCTGTATACTACGCCCAGTTGCCTCACAATACTTGCGCCAAAGTTGATCTCCGATTTCCTCCCTCCTCACGCTCACGGCGTCACTAAAAACACCTAGATCCTCGAGATTCTGCGCTTCCCGATGCTCTAGTTCCTCATCTTCGCCCACATACTTTCCTAGCCCGTCGAAGTCCTCGCCCACTGGGTAGCGCCCGCAGATATCCAACGAGCCCATCGAATACTGGCTGCCGCAGCTGGCTCTCACTGTATAACTGTAGCGGGTCCGGCCTAAGCCGCTTGTGTAAACCAAATTTTATATTAATTATTTATATTCTTTTTATAAAAAACTTTATTAATTATTACTAATTAAATAAATTAATAATAACAGGCACTAACTAACTAATTATAATAATAATAATAATAATAATAATAACAGCAGCTATAATACAATATAATAGTTTTTTTTATTTTTTTAATAATAATAGTACTGCTTTTACTTATTTTAAATAGCTAGCTTTAGTATAATTAAATATAATACTATTACTATTTAAACTTTACTTGCTTTTTTTTAAAAGTAAATATAAAATTTAATTTTATTTTTATTTTTTATTTTTTTTTATTTATAAGCTTACTAAGAGCGTTTTCTTGTAAAAAAGCTTTTATTATTACTATTATAATAGTATTGCTAAAAGTAGCATACTTAAGCACTAAGTAAATAAATATATAAATAAAAATAGCTTTTATACTATTTATATAAGCTTTTAGCTCCCGCGAAGACAGGACCTAATATATTATTAATAGCTTATATTATTAGTATCTTTATTATATATTGTATACTTTTATTTTTAAAATTGCTAAGCAATAAACTTTTAACTTTTAATAATATAATTTTAACTGCTAAAGTGTGGCTTTTTTAATAGCTTTAAGTATATATTTAAATATCTAGCATAATATTAAACTGCTGCTAAGCAGCTAACTAATACTAAGCTTTTAAGTAATAATAGTAACTATTAAATTAATACTAAAAATAGCAATGCAAGCAATAGCAACGCAAATAAATTTTTTTATAATATAATTTTTTTGCTTTTTTTTATTAGCATTATTATTTTTTTTTATTGCCTAGCTTAATTGCTTGCTTTTGCTTTTTAAAGTATATTTATTTTACTTAAGCATTTATATAATTTTTACAGCTATAAAAAATTATTATTTTTAGTTATTAAATTGCTAGTAACCGCAGCAGCCTAAAAATAATTTTTAATATAATTAAATAAGCTTTTTATTTTAAAAAGCTAAATAAAAAGCTTTAAGCTTATTTTACTAATTAGTAATAAAAGCTTTTTAGCCTGCAATTAGGCTGCAGTAAAAAATCTACATTTAGTAGCTAATAATAAATATAGCTAATATATTTAGTTTTTTATAATAAAGCTTTTTTTTGCTAAAAAATTTTAAGTTTTAAAGGCAAATTTAGTTAAAAGTAAAGTACTTTAGTATAGTAAAAAATTTAATATTAAGCTTTTAAAAAAAATTTTAAAGCTTGCTAAAGCACTTAAATGCTTATTTATATTAATTTAATATACTAGTTTTGTATAAAAAGCTATTTTAATATAAAATATTTATTACAATATTTAACAGAACAATAAAGCAAAAAGCAAAATTAAAAAAATTATTAATAAATATTATATAAACTTTGTATAGCTTGCTGCAAAATAATTATATAAAAAAAAAATATTTTTTTATATACATATTATACATTTAAAACTACTATTTATAGTTTTTTACTTTTAACTATTACAAGCTATTAATAATTATATAAAATACTATAGTTTTTAATTTCTTGCAAGCTAACTTGCTAAACTAAAATTTTAATTAATATTTTATATATTATTATTAATTAAATTGCTTACTTTTTTTATTTAAGAAAATATTAATTAAAGCGCAAGCTTATTACTAAATTAAGCTCTTAATAGTAAGCTAAGTATTTATTTATAGTTTAATAAATAATAGTTTTTATATAAAGCTTAAGAACTTAACTAAATACTCTACTTGCAATAAATATTAATTAACTTACTTAATATTACTTAAATAAGTTAGTTACTATTAAAAATTAATAGTTATATTACTATAATTTTTAAATAATAACGTATTAAGTCTGCTAATAGTAATTATTAGTTTTAATAATTTATTTAGCTAGCCTAGTATTATATAAATTTTACTACTTTAATACTATATTAAAGTGCTAAGTATAGCACTTAAACTATAGTTTTATACTAAATTTTTTTACTGCATTGTATAATCTGCTCTAGCGTTGACTTTATTTTTATTTATAGAAATAAGCTTTTAGCTTGCCGTAAATAGCAATAACTTAAATATTAATAATACTAAATTGCTTAAAATAGCGCCTTTTAAATTATAATAGCAGTATATAAAAATTATTAAAAGTAAAGTATAATTTAGTAGTTTATAAAGCAATAAATTTAATAATACTAGTACTAGTATTAGTAGTAATTTAAAAAATTATAAAGTATAAGCAATAAAATAGTTTATTTAAAATAAAAACACAGTAATTATTAAAAATAAATATTATTTTATAGTTAATAATAAACAATAAATAGTAGTAATAGTAGTAGTAGTAATAAATAAAAGTAATAAATAAAAAATATAAATAATATTTTTTAAACAAAGTAGCTGCCTGCCTAAAAAGTTATAACTTTTTAAAAAATATTTTAAAAAGCTTAATAATAATAATAATAATAATAATTTATAATTATATTTTTACTAAGCTTAGCTTAAAGCAGGGTTAATAGTATTTTTAATAAAGCTAAATTATTAAAAAATAAAAATTAGTTTTTAAAGTAGTATTAGTATATTAAACTTTTAGCTAGGCTATTATACTTACTAAGCTTAAGTATTAACTATTTATAATAAATAAAACTAGCGTTTTTATATATACTTATATTTTATTATACTTTTTGTATTTTTTCTTTTATTAGTAGAAAAGATTTACTAGTTTAAACTATTTGTGTCTATTTTATAATACCCTATTTTATTGTCTATATAAAACTCTATAAAATAACTGTAGCAGACTACTTAAACAGGTTGGTTGTGGGTCAAATAAGCACTAGCAAGGGTGTAAAATTACGTAGCGTTGCTAGCAAACTGATACCTCCAGTTATACATGCCAAAACCTCTATATCACCGAACAATCTCCCAGATTCAACTCTATATCAATTTGACGTCCGGATCGGGCGATTATGGCCGCTCCATAGCGGTCTACCGAACAGCCCCTGAGATTTGGAACAAGGAGCGTCGCAATTTTTTTAGAGATCTTTTTAGTTCTGCATAGTAACTGGTGGGCGGAATTTTGATATATCTTTGCTCTTGCAGTCCGTCCTTTTTCAAAAGAATTCATGACAGTATCATCTGACCTCAATCACAGTTCGGACCCAACTTTGGCTACGTCATTCTGTCGTAAATGTATCCCACGCATCCGATCAGGATTACCTTCAGCTTTGTAACGATTGGGGTTGAGACTCCCTGATTGGAAAGTTGAAGTCTAATGAGACCAGCGGTGTGATCGATGATATCTGCAGTGAAAGCAGGCTCATTGTCCGACCTGGTTCGCTTGACACAAGGACCAGCTATTGGTCCATGGTAGCATATGTGGCTTTTGCTTGCGGATGTAAACTCAGACGTGCAAGGCTGCCGGTACTTGGTGACGTCTCTTCCTTGCTGCAGCCTGCAGGTTCGGTGCCGTCTTGCAGGTTTATGCAACCTCCCGCTCTTTGGGCTTGCTGCTTGCATGAGAATCCCTGATAGTGGAACCTGTGCGTAGATGGTAGCTGAAGCTGTGTGATGATCCAGACCATTCTGCCTTCTAGAAAATGATGACGGAAGCGCTATCAGGCTATTACATGTACACAAGTTCACCGGACCATCGTGAACTTAGTGACCGGTGAGTCTAGAACTCAATCCATTTCCGGTGTTGAAGAGCGTTGCCACGCTCTTCACCGCCCGTGTAGTTAGTCGGCTGACTTCCGGCGTGGAGAACACATCCCACTCATGGCTGCCACGTTATCGAGAACGCACAGGCTTGTCGTGCATGAGCCAATCGGAGTATATGCTTATGCGCGCAATATTCATTTTGCTTTTTCCCACTGTGCAACGCCCGTTCTAGGAGAGTTGCATAGTCATTACTCAGTCCTTTCGCTTTGGGCGCAAAAGAGAAAGCATCTCTCAGTGATGCGCTGTGAGAGGAAACAAGCCTAAAAAGGGGCATAGCTTTGAAAGCACCGGTGAGTGACAAGTTTCAGGGAATCTTAATCTCCGCAAACGGCTTTTATCATCCCACGCTTCTGCTAACTTCGCCTGTCCGTCACCGATAGCATGGAGATTTCTGTACGTGTAAAGCCTTCTGTGGATACTGGCCACTTTCGTCCCATCCCACGCTTCCGCGTGGATATAGGCATCAGGGCGTTCGAAAAGCTTCATTGGACCTGTAGCGAACCAGCAAAGAAGTGAGGCGAATTGGGCGGTCATAGCTTCAGAACGAACTTGAGGCGGTAAGTGCGAGGATGTGCTGAAGTATAGTAAAATGATGCTAGCAGGAATTTGTGAGTGACGGGAGAAACAAACAGCGTAGGTGAGTTCCACGGGTACTAGAAAATACGAACTTGTCATAGGCCTGGAGATGGAAAGAGCGTTGCGTGGGCGCGTTAAGCCTTCCCCGAAGGGGATTAGCAACTTTCATGGCCGACACCTGCGCCCAGATTTGCCGTTTCTAGTTGAAGAAGCTCAAACACCTACTCGACAATATTTGATCATTATTGTGGTAATTTATTAGTCACATTAGATACCTCATTCTATATCATCTACCTATCTCTACCACTACCCTTAGAGGGCCCACCAAACCCACGACCACGACGAGCTCCACGGCCTTTAGAAAGCTTGACAGTAAACGCGCCACGCTCGATGGTGTTTACCAAGATGAATCCGGAGGGGAAGAGGAAGTGCGACCAAGTGCCCACAAACTGGACAATACCACCCTGTGCATCATCTTCCGGATAAATATCGAAAAATCCTTCAACCGAGACCCCGCTCCCAGAAGGATCTTTGGCAACAGATCGAATATCGTGTACCCAAAGTCCAGCGCCATAGTTGCTCTGGTACGCAAGGCCATCGACAATGTAGAGGTTATGGTCGATAGCTTTGTGGTCTGTGGCAAAGAAAGTACCTGTTGTTTTGGGGTTGCGAAGATCGGTAAGGTCAATAATGTGGGTAACGGGGCGGCCTGACGCTGCTGGACCGACAGCTCTTTGCTCATCAAGCTCGTCGTTCACAAGAACGTATTGATGCCAATTCCGTTCGGTCCACCATCCTTGATGAACGTAAGTGGCACCGGGGTAAGAGAGGCGAGAAAGCACCTCGGAAGCGGGATTGCCATCTTTCTTCGTTGAATCATACACCGTGATGGTGTCCTCATTGTAGCCAACGCAGATATTTCTCCCACGGTACCTACGATCGGGACCATTGTACGTTACACACTGAGCATCGTGGACATATCCATCCTGACTAGCACAGCCTGGAGACTTCGGCTTGGTAGGGTCCGACAGGTCAATGTACTGGAGACCAGCTTTGCAGGTTTGATTGCGTGGCTGGGCGCCAACAGCAAGGACGTACTCATTGTCCCAATCGACAACAACGTTGTGCGTACGACCAACCGGTAGCTCATCCCAAAGACCAACAAGGTCAGTTTTAGGATCGAAAGTCTTTGGGTTTTTTGGGTCGAGGTCAAGTAGTTTGTTGAGGTCAAAGACTAGACAACAGTAAGCGTTTGCACCACTCAGAGGTACTACCCGCACGCACTCTGAACATTGTGGCCAACAGCTTCGCTTCCGATGATGACCCAATCCTTCAACACGCGAATTTCGCGCCATCTTGAGCCCTCGCTTTGCGCTGGTAGTCGACCCAAGTACTGAATCTGACCGTTGGGAAGGATTTCGACAAAAGCAGCACCAGAGAGCTGCCCTACAATTCCGAATTCGCGACCATTGCGTGCCGCCCCTAAAAGTGGACATACGAAGTCAGTGTATGGTTTACATGAAGTACGTACATGTATGGTACGTACAACCCCAGCTGGAGGAACCACGCCCTTCGGGCCCACCCAAATCAGCGTGGTTGACGAAGTCGTAGAGATCAATCTATCCATTGTTAGCCTGTAGTTGTCACAATGTTCAACGGGCTGACACCTACGTTGTTGCAACGGAAAGTTTGGTTTGCATTGCCTGGTTCAACGATAGCTAAGCCGTTCTTGCACCGGATACGATCCCCCTTTTTCCAATCTCCCTTCTTCCAGGTTTTCCATGATGGCCATTGGTGAGGATCTTGTCTGCCTTCTGCTGCGTCTTGTTCCCATTGATCCTGTTGGAAAAGGTGAGTACTTAACGAAACGTACGTAAGATACAGATCTCTGTGACTTACATTCTTCAGCTTCATTAATCTTTGATGCACGGCACCGGAAGCATATTCTGCGGCCGAGAAGTAAGCAGCATTGACCGCAATAGGAAGTGCCAGTACAGCCAAAGAAAACTTCATCTTGGCGACTATATGTCTAGAGTGCAATTGAGCGAGAATGAGCAGGTTATCTAACAGCACGACATAGGTATATATATGAGCAGCTCATTAGCACAGCATTTTGTCTCGGCCACTGCATCTTCATACGACAGCTTGACTCTCCGTTACCGTCTTGGAAGCAATACTATCCTCTAGGCAGTGGTTGGCGTTTAGTCTCTTTCCGGAAGGTCGAGTCTTGCGGTACCTAGACTCTATCGGGAAGGTCGAGTCCCCGACCCTCAAAAAGTTATACATTCGCCAAGCAACATCATTCATTGCGCCATATTAGTTCGGCGTGCGAATCTTAAAAGGCTTGGTCGTCCTTCTTCGAAGCGGTGGTAGGTTAGGGAGGATAGCGGACGTCATTGCCATGATCCGTTAGATCCACCCCAAGACACGCCCCGAAGACTCGGCGTGCGGAGCGATCTAGAAAAACCTCGAGGAAGTGTTCGACAAATGGACATGATTGACGCGATAAGGTCTAAGGAGTAAGTCAGGTTAGTGCAATATGTACTCGCCTTCGTGGTACGGCACAAATGCGGCAACCTTGGAAACTAGTCCTTCGAGTCCAGGATGCACAGCGCCCCGCTGGTTCCATAGCAGCAGCCTCAGAGATGAATCGCACGCGACTGCTTCGTGTTCGTAGATATAGCTCAATAGGATGGGGGTACCCATGGTTGGGCCCTCGTAGATTCTAGGTCAATTATTACGGTGTTCCTGCGGATGCGTGAGATACCAGTGGCGATTAGAGCACGCTTCGCACATCAGATTGGAGCAAAGTCGTGTTAAAGTACAAGTTGAGAGAAGATACGGCGAGGAAGGATGAAGAGTAGCCCGAGGATAGGAGCGACCAGCAGCACGCCTGGCAACCTTGGAAGCGCTTGAGAAGCCTTCCCCGTTCGAGACTAGTTTCCATTCCCGTCATTTTTACTCCACATTAGAACACAAAAACGCGAAACGGCCACTACAATTAATCGTAGTTTAATGCATATGTAAGAAAGGTCAATTCTTAGCCTAGGAGAAGCGCTTTGGCGAAACGACTGTACAGGTCAATGTTATTCTAGGACGTCGCAACACGCGTGAACTATTTGCGCGGCTATGACCAAAGCACACAAGACAAAGTCACAGAATGGCCTTGCGAGGCGTAACTAATCCTACAATGTCCTACAACTGATTGCAGAGTTAGCCTATCTCACGAACCGCATAGCATGTCGATACCTCGGCGCCAACCCGAAGAAAGGACGACAGACTTTCGAAATCACAATTATCGACAGATTGCAGGCCTCACACAAGAACAAGAGATGGCTCAATGTACATTTGATTATGAGTTATCTGAATGCTAGGGTCCCTTCCTGCTTTGCTCCCCAAAGTGGCAGAGGTAGTTAACGACACCTTTCGTGGGCCGAACATTACATCAAAACAGGCTAGATTACCAAACAGCGTTGCAAGCTGTATATTCCAATCAAACATTCTATGGCGAGATCGGGGACTCTTATACAAGATTCCGTGTGCTCAAACCATAGTTCACAGTTGGTCGCTGTTGTATCGCCGTATCCTCGCCTCCGTGCCATGAAATCTTTCGAAGTCGCGAGTCCGCAAAAGGATCTTCAGCAAACATTTGACTCGTCAGTGGACTTCTCGAAGTCAGCGACATCGTCGTCCATCTCTTACTCCATGTAAGTGGCCTCTTCAGCCTCCTCTTCCTCTTCATCATACTCTTCGCCATTGTCCCCAGTTTCATCGTCATTCTCCTCTACTTCCAGATCCGAGTCCGTATCTTCCTCGTCGTCATCAGCCTCCATTCTACGCAAAACATCCAACTTTAGCTCCTCGCCGCCTAGCACTTGTGCATACATGGTTACTTTGATACCCAGCTGCTTTAGCGCTTCGACAGCGTCAGCAAGGCGGAGTGAGCGCACGGGTACTTCGGCGCTGATATTTATCGTAAGAATCTTGTTTGGTCTGTTGAACGCGCCATCCTTGAGGGACATGAGCGCCTCGCGGTATAGCTGAGACTTGGCTTCCTCCGGGGTGATCCTGAGTAGCAAACGCTCGAGTTTAGCAGGGAGTTTTCGTGCCAACTCGATATCTTCATGGTCTAGGTCGAGCAACGTATCGATCAAGACCATAACGCTCTTCAGCTGAGGATAGTCTTCTAGTGAGCCTAGAGTTCCAGGCTTCCTCCCGTCCGGATAAACCTCTGCGTTCCAATCAGCAATATCGATTTCGTGGTAATCGAGATGCTCTAGCGAGTTCTTGTGCTTGCGCAATGCGTCCCCAATGTCCGTCCAAGAAACGTGTGCCCAATAGCTTCGAGCATCGTCGTCAGCGCCAAGCGGCCTCCAGTGGTCTGCGAGGTACTCATATCTAAAGCTCTTCAGCGCTTTGATAGATGACACCATCTGCGCGATGACCGCACTTGCGATAAAGCTTGAATCCAGATTCAGTTCTGTGATGCTGGAGCTGGACTGTGGAATCTCCCAATTGGTGATGTGGGCGGGCTCATAGAACCGCACTAAGTCCACCTTTGTCAATGATGGAAACCGAAAGATCGGAGCAACATCCTCGATTGACACTTCCGAGTTTCCTGTAATGCACAGATGCTTGAGATGCGCGAAAGAGTTTGATGGGTTGGCGGTGAGACCGCGACCAGCAATGCGGAGTGGCGTTAACCAAGTGTGTTCTCGTGCGACACCGTTTCGATTTATGCGATGGTAATCTCCCAGCTGAGAGGCAATGTAGAGATACCGCACGTTGATAGCAGATACAAGCAGGCGGGTGTACGCTTCCCACTGGTCCTCCATCTCCTTCTCTTCCGAGGCAGTCATGGTTGGAAATGATCTCAAAAATGACCAGTAATCCAACTCGAGATGCTTGATAAGTTCCGCCAGCTTTGAATTGTCGACCAGGGTCTCAATCATACTTAGCCCCAAGAAAGTTCCAGTCCGGACGATTTCGTACAAATTCTCGTCGGCAATTCGCTTATAACGTTTATTCGTCCTACTCAATATCGCGAGGGAACCCTTGCCAAGTCGATTGAATATCTTGACCACCAATTCCTCTGGAAGTGCATCGAGACATGCTTTCGAGCTTTTCGGGCTGAGATAGACTTCCAGGTCGCCAATGGACTCGACAATCGTGTCAACAGTGCTGACCTTGACCGGATTCGCGACGGAGCGGGCGCGTTTCGACGGGCTAGACGCATACGAGACCGAAGCCTTGCGCCTCAAGGGAGAGGGCGGTATGCTGGGCGGATCCATGGCGGATGCGCCGTGCAGGTCGTATAAGGGGTACGGATAGTAGACGAAGTTGGTTGACAAGGTGTTTGAATTGTAGAAGTTGTACAGTGGAGATACCTGGTAGTTGAGGCGAGTGTGGGTGATTAAAGTAGGCTGTGAGGGATAAAAATGCAGAGGGAGTGCAGGTCAGGAATAGGAAGAGCCGCACGGATGCAGTACTTGACGCGCCTGATCGCGTGCATCATGGGTTCACGGTGAGGGAATTCACACGCTATTTGGCGCGTGAGGACCTCGGGAGCGCAGCATTGGCCAATGGGAACCACGCTAGGTGAAGAGTGAAGGGGGTCATGTACTGCACTGCCCTGCCAACCTCAGTGTTTGCAAACAATGTATTGGGTGAGCACCAGGGCTGGTTACTCGGCGACATAGACTCATGCATAGACAAAAAATCCTTTGTGCGCTGTTAAGGACGCGTTGCACCACTTGGTAACTTAGGGGATCACTTACCATTCACCACTACGGCCTGCAGTGACATTCTATCAAAGCAGATAACATATGCAGCTTATCTTAGAAACGCGCGCACAGGAATTCACAGTCTCGTGGAGAACAAAGGGTAAGGCGATGCATGACTTCGTCCAAGACGGCCTGTATTCCACAACCTCCGACTAGACCAAGCTTCCTTGACCATGACACATATCCTGCTACTGCCCCCTCTTCCCAAACAGACCCCAACCTGCCAGCACTTCTCTCTCGCCCCAGAACAACCACTCATCACCACCATACTTCCCGAGTCCCTCCCTCCGCCTCTGCTCGCCGAGTTCGCCCCATCTCATGAGTAAGTTGCCATCTAGCATACCCCGAGCACTGATACCAGCGTCCCACCCGCCTTCCACGATGTCGCCGGATCGGAAGGCCTTTGGATTCAAGCCACACGCGCTGTCCAATGTGTTCGCTAGATATGCTGATAAATTGCTTAGGCGTCTATAACTTGATTCGGATAGCGGTGTGATAAGAGCTAAGGTACCGGACTGAGAGGTGCATAGGACTTGGTGGAGAGGTTGGGGTGGGCCGTCTTCGGTCGTGTCCATGGCGAAGGCGTCAGTCGCAGCGCCGAATTCTGAAGCTGATGGCATATTGAGAGAGGATTGTAGGAGGTGCATTGACGCCGGGAAGTGGCCTGTGTGGAAGGTGGACTTGTGGAGGAGGCGGGACCCAGCTTGGGATTTTGGATCTGGTCATAGGTGTCAGCACACATACATTGAATCCGAAGTCGTCAAAGCGATAAGAGGGGGGAGAAGACATACTGTCAGGGTCGAACTGCAAGACTTGCAGATTCATATCTGCATCAGCAACAATGATGTGTAGCTGCTGCTCGAACGGCATAAAGTCGACAGCCATACATTCGAGGTGGTGCTTGCTGCGACCAAAGAGCGCCATCTTATAGGGCTCTTCCTGTCTACGTGTTAGCGTTGCACTCTCAATCCACACTTAATAGGATCAGATAACGTACCGTATACCCAGTAAACCATACTCCCTTGAACCCATCGCCCATCAACAACATCCCCGTGTTAGGCAGTGACTTGAGCGTCGTAACATAGCATTGCATATCCATAAAGGCAACAGGGAGCAGAGTGCCATCCTCCTTGAGGCCTCGCACCATGCATTTTTGCCCTTGGGCCATGATCAAGAAGCCTTGTGTCCCGAGTTCCGAGATGGCGGATACTGCGCCTTTGACTTCGTCTTTAACAACGAGCTTTAGGCGCTTGTTTGTCTCTGGACGATCAGGCTCTGGTACCACAGTGATGACCTCGAAGATGCGGATGCGACCCTTTGTTGCAAGATCTTCACCGTGCACTATGGAAGTTCCAATTGCGATGAGATCTTTGCGTTCGTGTGTCGTCTCTGAAACCTCCAAGTTTAGCGTCTTGATGCAGAGCACCACCTCTTGAGGGTCGAGGGAATGTGTGTCGATGATTGTCCATGATTTCTCATCCATCAGCTTTATGATACCACGCTCAATATGTGGCTTGAAAGTGAGATCTTCCTTAGGTAACTCATAGTGGTAGGTTTCCTCCGGATTGAGGGTATACTCCTCGAGCTGACCCGTACCAATGATGTATAGCCCTGCCGAGTGGTAAGCAAGGGCATGGACCTCCGAGTCCATTGGCATTCTCCGTGCCGCCCAGCCTAGGTGGCCGTAATGTGTCTGGGCGGGAAGCTGAGATATGCGGAGAGTATCGTTAGAATCGAGATACGCGAATCCGCGTTGGCAGGAGGAAGTATGGAAAGAGGTGAGGCCTTTGACATGTCTACCACTGAGTCCTATTACACGCGGTGCACTTGATGATTCCTTGAGGATGAAAGCTGGCGATGTTCCTCTTTGGAAAACGGTGCTGTAGCCGCAGACGTTGTCCAGTGCTAGCAATGTGCTTTCGAAGCCGCTGTCTTCGGAACCCGCCTCATCTGCATATCTTGGAACATGCTGCTGGGAGAGTTTCACCCATCGTAAGTTTTTCGTCCATAAGTCGGACGATGCTCGAGATGGGCAATGGAACGCTTTGTAGATAACGAGATCATCGGTGGAAGTACGGATCTACCACTCATTAGCTTCGGGGTTGGCTGTACTCGATGGATATAACTTACGATGAGATGTGGAGCTTTAGATGTCGCATCGCCGAGATCAGCGGCTAGAATTTCCGTAATAGTCGCTTTCGCTGCGCTCCGTCTGGGCACATAGTCCACTGTGAGTAAAGGCGGGAGGAAACCTAAAGCTTCAGCAACGTAGCAAGGCTTTTCTAGTTCTGACATCGCAAAGACGTGGAGGCCTCCTTCTGGGGTCAAAAGGAACGCGAAAACCTCCGTGAAGGTAGCTGACTTGAATAGGCTTGCGGACAGCCATTGAGTCGAAGAGAAGCCACTAGCCTCTACATCTTCGAGCTCTCCATCACCGGTGGCTTTAAGAATCTTAACACTCGAGTCTTCTCGCAGAATTAAGAGGTATGGGTCTGCGAAACTAGCGTTGATGACGCGCAGCTCATTGCCATTTTCTTCGTCCTCCATTGGGAGAATTTGATCCATATTCAGTTCTAACCATCCATAAAGTTAGCCTGGGGACTATATGCATCCGCTTGGATGAGCCAACTTACCTGAATCATATGTCCGGACTTCAGTCTGCATGACTTGCACAACTTTGGTCCCTGCAGCTAGTACGCCTACAAAGAGCGTTGAGCCTTCTTCCCGTTCAAAGTCTCCCTTGTCTGTTTCTGAAAGCTCATTCCCCGTGACTTCGTAGACGACCGTACTTTCGGTACCATCCTCGCCCGCTTTACTGACTACAAGATATTGGTCATAGTCGACATCGGATGCCATATTTGCTTCGGTATCTTCACCAAACGCGGTAGTGACACCCCCCGGAGCCTGTTTTCTGGCATGGACAGCCCATATGCCTCGTGCAGATTCGAGTTCAGACTGTGCTAGGCCGACAGGATGCAATTCGCGGTTCAGAGAAGTAATGGCTCCGGCTGCTGCCCGACCAGTTGAAAGCATAATCTCGCCCTTATTCAAGGATGCAGTATCCTTGCCCGGATGTAAGATAGCATCCCGTATTGGTGCTATACTTGGTAATATATCGTGTATCCTAAAGGTATACGTGCCAGGAGCGGTGGGCTCTGACGCGGCGGCTGTGATCTTCTTGACAGTGGGTGCTGTATCGTTATAGAGGTCGTCATCCAAGTCATCAACTTCCTCCTCGTCCTCATCCGAGACATCGTCGTCCCCATCCAGGTCAACGTTGGACTGCTTCCGTCGTAGCTGAGTGGAAGAACTGGTCCAACCTAGTATTACAGACTCCCCGTCTTCGCTACCAATGAACAATCTCCCACGGCCCAGATTGCTAGTGCACGATGCGCGTGCTTTGAGGGCTTGGCCACCATGGTCTTCGGCGACTGTTTGTACTGTCATGCCCGACACGGTACGACCGTCTAGTGTGAAAGTCAAAATGAGGACTCTTCCGTCATTCAGCACAATCAGGGCATCTCCTGTATCTTGAGATAGGAGCTCGATGTTGCATCCCTCAAGGTGCAAAGCCAGATCTGACTGGTCGCTGAGTGGGAACGATGTGCAAGCCCTCGCAAACTCGTTGACAGCCACGCCGTTTGTCTTGCCTCCCTGGTCGACATGTATGATCTCATTACCGCCGATAAGTAGTGCTCCCCCGATCGGGTGTGGTAATGGCACTACTCGTGAAATGTCGTAGGGCAGTCCTGATACTGACAGCAGTGTTGTGGAGGCCTTTTGTTCGAGGTCGAGGGTGAAGACGGAGTATGTAAGGATGTCTTTTCGGTGGGCGAGGAGTGACGGGGCGGTTGCTTGCGATGCAGCGACGATGCCAAATGTTGGTTCGCGATATTCGTGTAGAAAGGCAAGATGTACGGGATGTGTCAGGGTAGGGTCGAGGTTCGTAAGGGGTAGCACGAAGGAAGACGAGTAGGGCGTCTTATGCACATCTTCGCCATTCGTCCCATTTGCTTGTCCGGGTTTGCCCTCTTTTGCGCCCTCGAGGTCGGAATCATACTCGTCCTCAACCAGATCACGCTGTCTGAAGGGCAGAATGGCGAGATTGTGGGTGCCAAACTTGAGGGCGGCGCATCTACTGCTGGGATCTGCCGTCAAGAAGTTGTATGTGTCTTTGAGATCAGCGGACCAGGGGGCAATGCCGGGCAAGTCTGGGTTCTCATAGTAGTGTATTGATATTGTATGGAGATTGTACGTCTCGGGATCCCATTCGACCAAGCTCAGCTTTGCGTCCCGAAATGCCACAAGCAGCGCCTCGCCCCTCGACTTTGTGTTGAGTGCCTTTACACGAGCGAGCGATATAACTGTGCCAGCCAGAGGGAACTCGCCCACTAGCACCAGCTTGGCCGTGTTCTCAGTGCGCTGGAATTGCACGTCGGCGGACTCTGTGTCCAAGTTTGCCGCCGCATTGTCCGCCTCGTTGTCTCCGTCAGGCGTCACCTCGGTGGTGGTAGACTTGAGCTCAAAGATCTGGAGCAGTGCGTTCTTTGCGACGACGAGATTGTGCGCCCGAGACGAAATGAAGGGGAGGCTGATGGCATGGCTCACAGCCGTGGGCGGGGCTAATTCAGTGTAGCACTGCATTGGGACGATAGGAAATACCCGCGACGCTGCTCGTCATAGTATGGGCGTGTACAGAGGGCGCCAGAAGGAACAATGCCGCAATACCTGGCTGGCGTTGAGGCGCGTTCAAAGACGTCCAATGCGCCAAGTTGGTAGCGCGAGGGAGCTGGTGGAGCTCTGGCCCTTGGATGTGCATGGTCGATCCCCGCCCCGTCCAACGTCATTCTGCGCGTGCTTCTAGCTCATTAGAACAGGCGTTCTGTAGAGCGTATCGTCTTCACTTCTCCCTCCCACTCACTTGATCGATCAGGGAGTTGAGAAAAGGTAATATATATCATCTCAATCCTTCATACTAACGGCATAGCTAACAGTGTACAGCGTCTCTTCATCCACCATGGCGCTCATCCAAACAAGCCTGATCTGGGTGGCCTACGCCGTTGCCGTGGCCATTCTCTTCGTTATTGCATCGACCTTTGTCTACGTCTACCAGAAGCCGCGAGACCGCGCCGCAATCGTCACCACTGTATGCATCTTCACGACGCTCGCCCTGCTCGCAACTGTGCTTCTTATCCCCGTCGACGTCGCGCTCGTTTCGTCTACTTCGAAATCTAGTCTCGGCCGCAAGAAGGACTGGGCCACACCTGAGAAGGTTGACAGCATCGTCTATACCCTGCGGATAGTCTACTACACGCTCTACTCGCTCGACGCCGTCCTCTGTCTGCTTGTCATCCCCTTTACCTACTTCTGGTACGAGGAATACGACGAGGATGCGGCAGAGCATGGAGAGCAGACAGCTGGACAGCGCATTTGGGGTGCCTTCAAGTACACCATTGCCTTCATTTTCTTCGTCGTTATTCTCTTCCTCATTGGCTTTTTCGTCCCCTTCGCCAAGCAGGCAAAGGACGACAAACGCCTGGACTTGGACTACTTCAAGCATCTCCTCGCAGAGAACCGTAAGTATCGTCATTTAGCTTTGTAGCAGAACCATCTTACTCACTCTTTCAGATGGTGAACGCGCGCTTTCCTTCGGACTTGGTCTTCTCATCACCGTTGGCACCATTCTCTTCGTTCTCTACACTGGGGCTGGAATGGCGCTGCTCCCCGTTGCTATGATCAAGTCTGCACCTGCCGTCTCAGCACCCACTCTGGCAGCCAACACCGCATCGCAGCTTGATGCCAACCGTGAGCGCCAGAGGCAGCTCGAAGGTCGCAATGAGGGCCGCGATGGTGGACTCGATGCCAGGGACAGGCGCGAACTGGAGTCTCTTATCCGCGAAGAACGCACCCTTATTCGCCGGGAGCGCCTTGCCGCCGAGTCGAGCGGCGAGGACCGCCATTGGATCGTCAAGACATGGATCAAGATCGAAGCAGTGTTCCGGCCCCTCAAGCTCATCGGTGGGCTCATCCTCCTAGTCGTTGCCCTTGTCATCTTCGTCAGCATGCTCATTACTGGTATCGACAAGGCGAAGAACTCCATCTGCGGAGCCCATTGTGGCTACATTCTGGGCCACATCAACATCTTCCAGCCCTTGAACTGGATCCTGGTCAAGTCTTCCAAGGTCTTTCCCATCGACTATGTCCTGTTCCTGCTCATTGTGCTGTTCTTCTTTTCTGCTTCCGTCGTTGGCATTGCCACGGCTGGTATTCGCTTCCTCTGGGTTACAATCTTCAAGATTCGTAAGGGTCATACCTCGCCTCAGGCACTGCTCATGGCTACCGTCCTACTCACCCTCATTGTTCTCGCCATCAACTACTCCGTCGCTATGGTCGTAGCACCACAATACGCTACCTGGGGCCCACAGACCTACTGCGACCTGACCACCAATAGCCTAGACGAGCAACCAGACTGCTCCGAGCATAAAGATCTCATCAGATCTTGCTCTGAGCTCGCTACAAACCCTTCTGCACAGAATGTCTGCACGCCCTCCGTGTTCAGCACATTCATCAACCGCGTCACTATCAACTTCCCCTTCTTTGGTGTCGTCTTGTTTTGGGCGCAGTTCGCATTCCTTGGTGTGTATCTGATTGTGTTTGTGACGACACTTTTCAGAGCGCCTACTCTAAACCAAGAGGACATTGACCGCGATCTCGAGGAAGAGGAAGAGGAGGGTCTACTGGCGAGCACTGGACGTAGGTTTGGAGCGGCCTGGGGTGATGTTACGGGCCGGACGAAGAAGGCTCCCGGATATGGGGCTACAGAGTCGAACGAGGGAGAGAGGAGTGGCGATGGGCAGTTCTAAGCTCTCATTTCATAGGATTGCTACATAAGCTGTAAATTGTGCATCATAGGATGATAGGAACGTAATAACGTGGCGGTATGGAACGGTATATATGGGAGCTAAAAGGCATTTGGGAAGTCTCCAGTACGAGTATGGGATGGTTTGGGTTTATGATACCTCATCGAACAAATCGGCGTTGGCGTCTTTGCATTGTTCCTAGATAAGCTGCTTCAATCTACAAATTTCCTCATACGGCAAACTATCTATTGACATTGCTCGTCTTGCCTCCACTTCTCAAGCCTAGCGTAAAGCCGCGCTGTGGCCTGTGGGTATTATTATGGAATACATCACGAGCATGTGTGGAGGTTCATGAGATTACCGCATTCCTTTTCGACTTCCGAGTTCGATCGACCCTCTTCACAAAGGGACTAACTAACTAAACACCCTTCTAGTGAACGCCCTGTGACTAGTACAAAGAGGTAATGATGCCGCCCGGAAAACTAATAGAAACGACTACTGCTGCTGTTGCAGCCTAAGCAAACGACTCGCACAAGAGAAAAGGGAGACAATGCTTCGATATCACTGAATCCATGTGTCTTCTACTTGGGCCCTTGATGAAACCCAGAAATGACCCCATGCAAAGACTTCCACGACGCCGCCTTTTAGCCCATCCCCTCATGTATCGTCATATCCTCATGTAGTCCATCGCGCTTCGTGATTCATGGTGCTGCTGCGTACGCTTACTGGGACGCGCACTGTACGCGCTCGGCACCACCGTGCATGTCGTCATCATCATCCTCCATGCCAGTCATTCCGCGTGCGCGGGCTGACTCCCGTGAAGGGTCAACACTTTCGAGGGTGAAATCCTCGGTCATGGCATCTGGCGGTGGCAGGGACTCGGGGACCTTGCGGGGTGGTAGAACGGACTCGAGAGCACGGATCTGCTCGGGCGACAATGGGCCACCCTCGGCGTTGCCTAGCTTCTCAGGGAACTTGACGTCGAACTGGATGTACAGGTTGCCGAAGTCGTGGTGTCGGTGTGAGGGCATACCTTGCTCGCGGATAACCTTGACCTCGCCAGGGCTGATGCACTCGCCGGGGATGATGTCGACGGTTAACCACCGCTCGTCGAGGTGCTCGATGTGGATTTGGCCGCCGGCAAGGGCAGTCAGCAGGTCAATCTCGGCGTGGTAAAAGAGATCGTCATCCTTGCGCTGGAAGCGGGTGTGAGGCTTCTGCTCGATTTCGAAGACAACGTCGCCCGGCTCGACGCCAGGTAGCTGGTCACCCTCGCCGCGGAACTCAATCTTGTGACCAGTCTTGACACCACGGTCGACGTGGACGTGCAGGACCTTGCGCTCGATAATGGTCTTCTTGCCGTTGCACTGCTTGCATCGGTCCTTGTCGCGAATAATCTCACCCTCACCCTGGCAGTCGGGGCAGACGGTCTGGAAGCGCTGGATCATAGGACCCATCTGTCGCATCATATGCTTCATGCCGCGTCCGTCACAACCAGCACACTTCTTGACAGCACCCTCCTTGCCGCCTACGCCGTGGCACTTGGGGCAGATGACTGACTTCTGCAGAGCCAGCTTTGAGACTTTGCCGCGGTAGATGTCCTCGAGCGAGACCTTGTGAACGTGGGAGATGGTGCGCGCCTTCTTGGGGCCTTGCTCCCGACCTCCTCCCATGCCGCCGCCGAACATGCCTCCAAATGGGCCACCACCGCCGCCGAAGAACTGCGCAAACAGGTCTTCGGCAGCCATGCCGCCTCCGCCCATGCCGCCCTGCTCGAGGCCTTCCTCGCCATACTGGTCGTAGAGTTGTCGCTTTTGTGAGTCGGAGAGAACTTCGTATGCGTGTGATAGGTCTTTGAACTTGTCGGCAGCCTCGGGGTTGTGTGCGTTCTTATCAGGGTGCCATTTCAGCGCACCCTTCTTGTAGGCCGTCTTAAGTTGCGCTTCTGACGCATCGGGCGACACCTGCTGTTGTTAGTGTCTCGTCGGCCTGGATAGTCGAGGCTGTACATACTCCAAGGATGTCGTAAAACTTGTTGTCTTTTACCATGATGGCGGTGGTAATTTGTGCGCTGGTGGCGGAGACGAGGGGCTAGCGGGGTCGCAAAAGTTGGATCGAGGGGCAATCAAGTGTATATAAGTGATTTGTACAGGCGGAGTCGCTGGAAATCCTAATCGTCTTAAGTAGGTCAGCGGTCAAGTTACGAACCAAGGTTTGCATTCACCAATCTGCGTCAGCCTTGTCAAAGTGGCCCGTATCTTCTTTGCTGCATACCAAGTGGAACAGAAGCTCTTACCTATAATGGCCGATGTGAGCGCACGTAGGAGGCTCCAAGTCAAAGTATTACTTTTGTTTTGTAAGAGTAAGGTCAAAGACGAAAGCTTGTGGATTTAAAAGTAGTCAACCGGGATGTTGCAAATGCACCGGCTGCGCCGAGCGACAGAAGTTTCCAACTGTTTCTATGCCTTTCCACCACGCCCCAACACCCTGAGCGAGCCTGAAAGCGCACGTCTGCCTACGCAATCGTTTCAGCCGACTCCACAAAGTCAATGAATGCAGAAAACCTCCTGAGCTTTCACACTGGGAAGGGTATAATGCAGCGAACGTATGGTTTTTGTATATATAGTTCTTAGGAAAAGCTTCCATGGACCCGCCAATCGGGTGGTTGGAGATCGATAGAAGCTTATCGCCGCGCAGCCGTCGTCCGTCGCCTCGATTGGCGACGCTGCTACCCTGCGTTTGCTTGTGACAGTTGATTCCACTGCGCAAATACAAAAACTCTCCCACGCGCGTCTCGAAACCATGTCTTCAGAGGATGCTGGCTTCAGCGTTGCCTTGGAGGAAGCCCGTCAAGGCAGCCGTGAGGGTGGCGTGCCCATCGGGGCGGTGCTAGTGTCAGCAGAGGGCAAGCTTCTTGGCCAAGGGCACAATATGCGGATACAGAAAGGCAGTGCTACGCTTCATGTGTGTCTCACTCAAATTGATTTGTGCTGGTGGCCTGACCGTACAAGGCAGAGATATCCGCCCTTGAGAACGCGGGGCGTCTACCAGCATCGACATACCGTGGAGCAACCATGTACACGACGCTCAGCCCATGTGACATGTGCACTGGAGCATGTGTCATGTACAGAGTATCAAGAGTCGTCATTGGCGAGAACAAGACCTTCGTCGGAGGGGAAGAGTATCTGAAGAGCAGGGGCATTGAAGTCATCGTGCTCCAGAACAAAGAATGTCAGGAACTCATGGCCAAGTTTATCAAGGAGAAGCCAGAGGACTGGTATGAGGACATTGGAGAAGAGGACGAGTGATACTGTACAGCGCCTTACGCTGGACTATGCATGCATCTAATTGCGTTAAGATTTGGTTAATCGATGAATCTCCTCAAAGTAGAACTTCAGATCATCTGGCTTCACAAACGGAGTGATTCCTAGAGAATGTTAGACCTTGCAGGGTATGCACGTGTAATATTGATTAACGTACCATGGCCGAGATTCGCAATCCAACCCTGCTTGCCGCCACCAAACCCAGCGACCATGTCCTCTACAACCTTGGTCACTCCCTCCTTGCTGCCGTACAAGACGCCGGGATCGGCATTGCCCTGCAGGACCTTACCCTTCGCTCTCGCAGTCTTGTATGCCTCGGCCGGGTCATGCAACCAATCCAGACCAATCGTGTTGTAGTTCGAGTCGCAAAGATCCGACAATGCATACCATGCTCCCTTGGCGAAGACGGTCATTGGGACAGGCTCCAGACCAAGGGCTTGGAGGCGTGGGGGGAGGTTGTCGGCAATATAGTTGAGATATGGAAGGGCGAAGGTCTTGAATGAGGAGGGGGACAATTCGCCGGCCCAGGAGTCGAAAACCTGGATCATCTACCCAAGGGTTAGCTCTGTGCCGCTGGGAGAGTCTAGTTACTCACCTGTGCTCCGGCCTGTACCTGAAGGGCAAGGTATTCCACACAGAGTTCTGCGATCTTCTGTAACAGCGCTTTGCTCTCCTCTGGATACTTGTAGACCCAAGTCTTAGTCTGGATAAAGAACTTGCTGCCTCCTCCTTCCACCATGTAGCACAACAGTGTCCAGGGTGCGCCACAGAATCCAATCAGTGGCACTCTTCCTGCGAGCTTTTGCCTTGTCAAAGTAATGGCCTTGTATACGTAGTCCAGCGATTCGGCCACGTCTACCTTGCGCTCCAGTACTTCCTTGTACTGCTTGTCTTCTGGTGTCTGCAGCGGCTCGGGAAAGTGCGGACCCTTCTTGTCCACCATTATGACCTCCATACCCATAGCTTGTGGAATGACGAGGATATCGGAGAAGATGATGGCAGCGTCAATGAGCCCCTCGTACCTTTCAATGGGTTGGAGGGTGAGCGTCGAGGCAATTTCAGGGCTACGGCAGCATTCGAAGAAGTCATGACCGCCTTTCGCCTCGTGGTACTCGGGTAGGTAGCGTCCAGCTAGGAAATGTAAGCACGAGATGTCGACTTAAGAGAAATGAAGCCTACCTTGCCGCATCACCCATATTGGCGGGCGCTCGACTTTTTCGCCTGCAATCGTTAGCAACATGTACTCTCAATGCGCACCAGAAGCCCCGCATACCTCTCGCCGTCCGCAGAATCAAATCATTCTTCATGGGCTGGAATTGCGGTGCCATTATTGCAGTGTGTGGAGTGGGCGTGGTCGAAGCACAAGCTCATGTACTCGGAATATGTAGAGGATCGATTCCGAGGACCCCGCGTCGGCTCTCAAGCGGTCATACCGGTAGCTGCTAACCATATCGAGACGCGTACCTTGCGTGTCGGCCATCGCATCTTGCGCTATACCATTTATCCTGTCGCTTCTTTGTCCAAGAGGATGCTGCTGAAGCATGTTCGGTACTTGACGCGCGTTAGGCTATCTCGCAAAACACAATGCATCACAACTTGTCAGCGCGCGTACAACACAGCTCTGAGGCCCCCCTTTTCGCCGTCGACGCGACCATGCGCGAAACCACGTGCGCTACAGTCTGTCGAGACACAATGGCACCAAGTGTCCCAACGTCGAGGCGCAAAGAAGAAGACTACGCTGACTCTCGATGACATACCCCAAGGAGCCATCGGGGCAGAGGCTCTACCTCCCCAAGATGATTCTGAGCCAGAGTACCCTCCACTACTACAACAAGTGCGCAATAACATGCTCAAATTCAGCCATTGCGTGCTGGTCACGAGGGTTGGTGGTTTCTATGAAGTAAGTGCACGTTTAGCAGAATGTACTCTACTAAAGCGACTATTAGTTATACTTCGAACACGCCGACGAACTTGCTCCACTTCTGAACCTGAAGAAGGCTAAGAGAAAGACTCTCAGGGGCAGCAAGAAGCCTTCGGTATCCATGGTGCGTACCAGCGTTGCTCTTGTCATACGATACACTGACTTCGATCAGGCTGGCTTCCCTGCCTATCAGCTAGATCGCTACCTCAAGATCCTAGTGCAAGATCTAAACAAGCACGTTGCTATCAGCGATGAGTTTCTCAACGATGCTCCCACCAAGGCAAAAGGCGAGCCTCAATACAACAGAAAGGTCTCGCGCATTATCACGCCGGGTACGCTTATTGATGAAAACTTTATGGACCCTTGGGAGAACAACTACCTCCTTAGCATTCATGTAGATCCAGAGGTGCTGGAGAAGGAGAAGGCTTTGAAAGAAAGCCCTGGCAGCTCCAGCGTGTCTTCAGTGCTCAACTTGCCCCGTACAGAGGTAGGTCTTGCATGGATCGACCTATCGAGCGGCGATTTCCTGACCCAGAGCACGGATATCGCGTCTTTACCCTCGGCAGTGGCTCGCATCAAACCTAGAGAGATAGTGCTGGACAGTATCTTCCAGGAACAAGACCATTCTCGTATTGTGTCTATACTGCAGGAAGACGGGCATATCATCACTTTTCAAGAGCCATCACAGAAGCCCCTGGGGGTGGAAGATTGGGTACCCATGTTGGAAGACGTAGTAGGCGACTTCGACAAAGCCAACTTTAGGCCTAGTGAAGTTGCTGCTGGGGGTTCTCTTTTACATTATGTCAACCATCAGTTGCTTGGCTCGCGAACACGGCTCCAAGCCCCTGTGAGGCACCAGGCCGAAGAACACATGAGCATCGATAAGAACAGTTTGAGGGCACTGGAGATTCGCAGCACCATTCGCGACGGCACTTATGAAGGAAGTCTATTGCACTCACTGAAGAAGACAGTCACCAAGAGCGGAACCAGACTACTAACCCAACGTTTGTGTAAGTGGGATTCCAACAAGGCCTCGAAAATACTAATTGAGTATAGCTGCACCATCCATGTCGTTGTCCACCATCAACGACAGACTAGACTTGGTAGAAGAGATGATTGAATATCCGCAGCTTCGTCAAGATGTCGTTACCCTTCTAAAGCAGACCTTCGATTCACTTCGCCTAGTGACAAAGTTTACTTACGGCCGTGGCGACGCAGATGATTTAATGGAGCTTTCAAAGACTATTTTGAAGACCTCCGATATTGTCAACACCCTTCGTGAACATGCGGCCTCAAGGAACGCTATTCTCGTCGATCCTACGAAAACGAAGTCAGGGACTCGGAGACAATGTGTGTCCGCGATGAAGCGACGATTCGACTTGGAGCAGCCACTGGAACTCGCCCGAAGGATTCAGGATGCTATTGATGAGGAAGGTCTGTCTGAGTACCATCGTATCAAAGATGAAGAGGCGAGTGAGATTGCAGACCTAGCTCAAGACGTCCTAGGACGAGAAGCTGGTGAAGAGGACCTGAAAAACATGCCAAAACGCATCCAACCGAGGCCTCACATGATAGTAGGAAGCTTCAAGAGCGCAACAGACGGACGAGACGATGTATACGTTATGAAGCGTAGTGCCAGTGCCATCTTACAGCGGCTGCATGACAGCCTGGGCTCTATGGTAGAGTCAAAATTGGAGTTGGAGAGGAGGTTGAGGCAGGAGATGGGCACAGAAAGTTTGACGCTGAAGTGGACACCCAATCTCGCACACATTGCTCATGTGAAAGGAAAGGATGCCTCCCGCGTCATGGCTCCCTATCCGCATAGCTTGAGCAGTAGCAAGTCCACGCGCTCTTTTCAAATCCCGGAATGGACAAAGCTAGGGACCCAAATGGACGAGACTCGCTTTCGTATCCGGAACGAGGAGCAGCGTGTGCTAGGTGAGCTGCGTGAAAGCGTCATTCGCAACCTTGTGAAGCTACGACGGAATGCTTCTGTCCTCGATGAACTCGACGTAGCCTGCGCCTTTGCCATCCTCGCTGTTGAAAAGAACTTCGTTAGGCCAATCTTGAGTGCCGAGCCATCGCATAACATCGTTGGTGGTCGGCATACTGTCGTTGAGTCAGGCCTTAACGAACAAGGGCGCAGATTTGCACCCAATGACTGCCGTCTAGGCGACAAAGAGCGCATATGGCTCATCACGGGCCCAAACATGGCTGGCAAAAGCACATACCTCCGTCAGAACGCGCTCATCTCCATTCTAGCGCAAACAGGATCCTTCGTCCCAGCCGAGTACGCCGAGATTGGACTTGTTGACAAAGTCTTTAGTCGTGTCGGCTCAGCAGACAATCTCTACCAAGACCAGTCCACCTTTATGGTGGAGATGCTGGAAACAGCGCAGATTCTCAAAGAAGCCACACCGCGCTCATTCGTAATTATGGATGAAGTAGGCCGGGGTACGACGCCTGAGGATGGCATCGCAGTGGGCTATGCATGCCTTCATCATCTATACCATGTCAATCAGTGTCGGACGCTCTTCGCCACACATTTCCATGTACTCACTGATATGACGAAGCAGTTTGAGAAGTTGGGATGTTATTGTAATGACGTACTTGAGGCCCCGGATGGCACGTTCTCCTATGTTCATCGGTTGAGAAAGGGCGTCAATCGAGAGAGTCATGCACTGAAGGTTGCTAGAGTTGCTGGTAAGTGTTAACACGTTCAATAATTTCATGCACTGACACCACCTAGGTCTTCCCGAAGACGCCATCGCTGTTGCGGCCCAAGTCCTCAAGCAACTGAAGCCTTCCGTTTCTAGTAAATAACATACTAAAGGTAGTGTGGAGGCTGCACAAATACGGCCATGTCAAAAAAGTCGCAGCTGCTTAAGTCCCGTCCCTTGTTACCATAGCTGATATACCATTGCTATGGATGGCTCAACTTCTGCTGTACAATACGCATCACATATCTCTTCTCGTTACCGCCGCCGAGGGACGAAGGCGTAGCATTTCGGCTAATTCGATTACTCTTCTTCCAATGAACGCTAAACATACAAGCGAATCTGTAGTACATACACGCCTCCTAATGTCCCAGTACTATATATAGGGTTCACAACAGCTCGCGACAGCACGAGCTGTCTGTATAAGGCAAGGCGTTATCCAAGTGCAGCTCTCGTGCTACGATCCTCGCAGATGCTTTGCGACCCCCAGCAACGTCTTCGTGGCCTTGTGATGCAGCACTTGCTACCTACCCCACACTGCTGCTAGCTGTACCGTCGTACCTTAGCATCAATTCCATCATCCTACCCTTCGCCTTCTAAGTTTCTCCCATCTCATCCCAATCGTGTTCGCCATCCCACTTGCGTAAACCTGCCATCATGGGCGAGGCTACATTTACCCCACTATCCTCCTCATCTGCCCCTCATCAACCTTCCTACCCTACCCCTCAACAGATATCGGCCAACCTCACGCTCCAGGCACCACTTTCACGGCGAGGTCGCGGCCCAGGTCTGATACTGGTACTGGATCACTATGCGCTAATCCAAAAGAGTGAGAAGCATTTGGATCCGCCGCCGCTACAGAAATGGGCAGAGGAGGGATTTTGTGTTGCACAGGTAAACATGCAAATTACTGAGGCTTAATGAAAAGAAACGCCATACAATGGACTAGCCATGCTGACCAAGTGCAGCTTCTGGTTCCGGGCAAGGTCGAAGATGGCGGTGAATTTCCATTGCAAAAAGCATTGGACGTCTTGAAGAGTTGCGAGGGATGTGAGTTTAGCAATGGCGTTGGACTAATATGTGGGTAATGCTTTAATCCTGTGCTTTTAGATCAGAATGAAAAGTGCTCGAAAAGGTGCCCAAAGATTGATAAACAAACGCTGACGACTCTACAGCATACATCTCCCGCGTCCCCTACTATGTAGAAGAGGCAGCTTTCCTCAGTCCTGATATCAAAGCCCTCGTCTCCTACGGCGGCAGAAAGTTCACCACACTGAACGAATCCGCCATCGCAACGCCTCCGCAACTCATTCATACTGCTGGCACAGATCTACCGCGCCGCGAGTCCTGTTCTATCGTTCCTGATGCTTCGGCTCAGCTACCTCCCTCTGGTACTATTAAATCCTACCGTTATGTCGACGCGAAGAAAGATTCGAATTGGACGCTGCCGAGCGATGAAGAGTATCACAAGCAAAGTGCTGGAATAGCGCACACGAGAAGCCTGACGTTTCTAAAGCCGCTGCTCGACGGCCCGTTCTTTGATCTCGAAGCCGTGTGGGAAGAGCACTGCAAGTATGAGTTCGTGGAGAGGGATGTAGAAAAGACAATGGCAACGATGGTCGATGAGCCTTATGTCAACCACATTCCCACAATGACGTACGTGCGTTTCTGCTTCCTTGGTGGATAAGTTTGGAGTACGACTCAAACTAACTTTGTGCGCAGCGGTGGCGTGGGCAAAGAGCGACTAACAGCTTTCTACACGCACCACTTCATCTTTAGCAACCCGCCCGACACGTCTCTCAGCCTCGTCTCCCGCACCGTAGGCATCGACCGTGTCATCGACGAGTTTGTCTTCAGTCTCACACACACAACACTGGTCCCGTGGCTTCTCCCTGGCATCCCTCCCACAGGCAAGAAACTCGAGCTCCCATTCACCAGCATCGTCGCCATGCGCGGGGACCGCTTGTGTCACGAACACATCTCATGGGACCAAGCTACTGCGCTGCAACAATTGGGCCTGCTGCCGGAGTATGTGAGGTTTCCGTACGAGATTGAGGGGACGGCAGCGCCACAGGGGAAGAAGTTTGAGGTTCCGCTACCAGCTGCAGGGGTGGAAACGAGTAGGAAGTTGGTAGACGAGGGCAGTGAGGAGAGCAATAGGTTGCTAGACAAGGGTTGGAGAGTGGTTGACGATGATTAATCGCCCAGGAAGCATTGGTTTAAAGTTTGTGCAATGGGTGGTATCTGTAATAATTCCGAGTCGATGAAGACTGCATGAGGTTGATTAGGAAATGAAGCAGGGCATATATAAGCGTAGCAGCGAGGTAAAATACACGGGCGTTTAATTAAGGTACGCCAGTCCCTATTGTGTGAGCTGGTGTTCTGATAGACAAGTCATCGGTTCCTTCCTTCCTCAAGCAACACCATAAGACGGCGATAACTCAATGAAAAAAAGTTTCTCATGTGACACAGTTGTGAGGGTCTGGGCTGGGGAGTGACCGCGGTCGAACAAGTCAACCTCGCAGTATGACACCCGGCAGGCAAAGGCGAAGCCCTGAACAATGAATCCCGCCCCCTAAGCCGTCAACCAAGCATAGCACCCGGTGTGCGTTATCAAGGTCACTTCCACATGGCTGAGTCCAGCTCCGCCATGATCCAGGATTCCTCCAAATAGGGTTACCCAGTCTCACCGACGGTGCACCGTGGACGGGATTCCGTAGCACAGTGTCGTCGCCAAGTCCCGCACGCTTTTTTTTTTACCGTGCGGTTCCTAGTCGTTCGAAGAAGTGTAAGCGTAGCGTAACATGACCTGCATGCCCACCTGCTGTTCCCGTACACTGCATGCCTCACGCGCTGGACGCAATGAAAGCCACCATGGCGAGCCCGGACGCAGGCTGGCTGCGACCTACTCATTCCATGGCCCGAACGTTGTCTGAGAAGTAAGTAAGTAAGTGGCGGACGGGAGGCCCGCAAGCATGACACTCGGCCATTACTAATGTCGTTGTATATATTGTGGTTCGGGGTGGGATGTTGTTGAGTATATCTGCGGCATTGAGAATTGATTGACAATGGCGTTGGTGGAGGGGGGAAGCAGCCTGGTGTCAAGAAGAGGTCAGGGTCGGGTAGGCAAGGGCTATATAGGCAGGCGGGCAGGGCTCGAGCTTCTTCGGTAAGGGTGCCCCACCTTCCAAGGCGAATCAACGTGTCACGTGTTGTACATCACGGTGAAGTAGTAGGAAATCACAGCCCTCCATCGGACTGGGTCTAGATATGCAGCCTCATTAGTACTCATTTGTAGGCATAAGGGAGGTGGTGGTTCGATGAATGGTCACCCAGGCACCTTTTTGTAATCAATCTCATGCAAGGTCCCGCACCACCCGTTGGTGATTCATTCACTGCCAAGTTCCCGAACAACGCGCATCTCAGAGGAAGATGACGACGTTCCAAAGAAGGCGCAGTTGTTTTCTACCAATAAGCTACAAGAGGTACAGCTAAATCTCAAGGTTCACAGGTGAACGAGCATGGTCGGAACTGTCCTCATGGTGGAAGCAAAGCCGCGTCTTGACATCAACACCTCGCTACAAAGTCGGTCTTTAGAGCCTGCCTACTGCCTACCACCTTTCTACTCGCGCAAATTTGCACTCTTCTATCATCACCACGATTACAATGTCGCAGTCGCTCTCGATCCTCCGCAGGTACACAGGCTGCTTCGAAAGCTAGAGCGGGGAGCGAATCGTCGTTACAGTTGATGACGGCCACCTCCGCGTCGGGGAACGCAGTAAATACATCTAGGGTATACTAATAAACAGCTAACTAAGACGTCCTAAAGGCATCCTAACTATACTATGATACAGGAGCTAAAATGCTAATAACAATGTGAATACACCTAGGATATACTATTAAACAGACAACAGCAACGTCCCGAAGGCCTCCCAGCTAAACTAATAGTCAGAAGATAGAACTCTAATAATAATGTAAAGACAACCTAGCTACACCACTAGCTAAATGATAATAACATCCTCAAGGCATCCTGGCCATACCATCCTATTAATAGTAAATACCTAATGATGACACACCTACCTCCACGCCGCACTATCAGACTAAGTAATCTACCACATAAACACTACGAACACTTCCAACACGGCAAAAGGCAAGAACAGATGAAGTGCAGACATGTCATTACCACTATATAATCATACAACACTAATAATCCCAACAACCACCCACTATCCATCCATCCTTCCCTCAGCCCATACAAAACGCCATTGCTAAATGTCAAAAACTAGCCAAAGATGCCTTTTCGCGGCATGTAGGGAACAAGAAACGCGCTTTTTGAATACACATCTCATCATCATCGACACTGGTAGGCCGGCTATCAGAAGCCCCACTCGATGTGTGTGAGGAGGAACCTTCAAACCCCCCGATCTTCCAGCTTCCCCAAATTTTACCGAGGAAGCTTCAGTGCCCTCCCACCAGGTGTCGTGGTATCATATATCCTCACCAAACAGTCTCGATCCAATAGGGAAAAAACATCATCTCATCTCCATCATACGTCTCTCTCAGGCGAGGCGTTTACTTCTTTCCGAGCAGACCGCCAACAAGGGGGATGTTGCTCACACCGCCACCCTTCTTCTTGTCCTTGCCTCCACCAAGGGAGTCGGTCAGGCCGCCTAGACCCAGACCACCGAGCAGCTTGTTGATACCAAGGCCACCGAGCAGTCCGTTGACGAGACCACCAAGACCAAGACCGTTGAGCAGCTTGCCGACCAGGTTCAATACACCGGTCAGCAACAAGCCAACAGCGGCGATGATCTGGAACAGCGGCTCCGTGAGCAGGGACCAGAGCGGGTTGAGCTTCTTCTTGGCGTGGGGCATGTCGGAGATCTTCTTCTTTGCGTTGTCGATGGTAGTGACGACAGAAGTAGTGAGTTCCTTGAGGTTGTCGGCCAGCTTGTATTCCTGGGGAGTAGCCTCGCCGGTCTGTTGGCGGCCCTTGGCCTGTGCAGCGATGCGGCCGTCAGGGTCAAGACCTCGGAGCGAGCCGTTGCAGTCGTTGAGAATGCGGGAGCCCTCTTCGATGAGCGGCTTGACGTTGTTAACAAGCTCTTCTTCGTCGAGCTCGTCGCGAGGTGTGCGATCGGCTTGCTCGATGTACTGTATGGCTGTTAGTAAATGTCATCTGGTAATAGAAAGGGAGGAAACATACATCAGTGATCTGCTTCATGACAGGCTGAACACGCTCAAGAGTCTGCTGGCAAATGGCAGACATCTTGTCGGCGAGCTCACCATCCTCACGCCTCTGCCTCTCCTCGTCGGTCTCATCCTCAGGAATTTCTTCCTCTTGGATGTTCTCCAAGAGAGTAACTTCTCCGACCTTGTTGCCGTCATTGTCGACAACATAGCCATTGTCATCAATCTCAAGACCAGCACAGTGACCAAGATCACCAGCAGTGAGACGGCCAACAACATCGCCATTCTCGTCGCGCACCTCACCCTCCTTGTTGACGTGCATGCCAGCCATGGGGTTGACGCGGCGCTCCTTCTCCTCGGGCTCCCAGCGCTCGGCCTTACCAATGACGTTACCGTTCTTGTCATTGATGTCGCCATCCTCATCGACCTTGTGGCCGACAAGTTTCTTAATGTCACCCTCGGTGACACGTCCGATAATGGTGCCTTCAGGGGTCTGAATAGTGCCATCCTTGGCGACGGTGGCGCTGTCGAAGCCAGCGAAGTCACCCTCAGGTCCGGAGGATTGACCGTGGACAAGCTCGGCTTTGCCGATAACATTGCCTTCGTTGTCCCAGATCTGACCCTTACCGTCAACCTTCTTGCCAGCCAAGGTGGCTGGGTCACCCTCGGAGACGCGACCGAGAATGGTACCACTGGAGTCGACGACATTGCCAGCCTTGTTGACAGTGCATCCAGCAAGGGCGCTAAGGTCGACCTCCTCGACCTCCTCCTCAGACCAAGGTTCAGCATGGCCCTTGACATTGCCATACTTGTCAATGATGTCGCCGTCTTCGTCGACAGAGTGGCCGACGAGGCGCTTAGCATCACCTTCAGTGATCTGGCCAACGCGGTTGCCGTCGTTGTCATCGACAAATCCGTCCTTGACCACACGCAGACCCTCGTAGCCGGCGAATGGGCCCTCCTGTTTGGTGACGCGCTCGTTCTCAGGGATGAGCTCGCAGCGGCCGACGACCTTGCCGGTGTCATTGTGGATTTGGCCTTCACCGTCAGACTTGCGACCAGCGAGATCCTTCAGGTTACCCTCAACAAGGCGACCGACAGGAATGCCGTTGCTGTCGACGAGGTATCCCTGCTTGTTCAGGCTGAGGCCATCAAGGATGGAAAGGTCATCAGGCTGGGCCTCCTCCTCGTCCTCGAGCGGCTCTGCGTGGCCCTTGACGTTGCCGTACTTGTCGAGAATGTCACCATCCTCATCAACAGCCATGCCAACAAGGCGCTTAGGGTTGCCTTCGACGATTTGACCAACAATGTTGTCATCCTCATCAGCAATCTTGCCGTCAGCAACGACACGGAGACCTTGGAGGCCGGCGAAAGGTCCTTCAGGCTTGGCCTCACGCTCGTTCTCGGGAATGAGCTCGACACGGCCAATGACCTTGCCAGAGTCGTTCCAGATCTGACCGTTCTCATCAATCTTCTTGCCAGCAAGCTCCTTGGGGTTGCCCTCGACGAGACGGCCAATGGGCACGCCCTCGTCACCGATGACATTGCCCTGCTTGTTGACGGTCTTGCCAGCAAGAATGGAGAGGTCCTCGGGTTCCTCCTCGGCTGCGACCTCCTCGTCAGGCTCCTCGTAGCGTTCGGCGTGGCCGACGACTGAGCCCTTCTTGTCGATGATATCACCATCCTCATCAACGCGACGACCAACAAGCTTCTTAGCGTCGCCCTCGACAACCTGACCGACACGGTTGCCGTTCTCATCCTCAACATAGCCGTCCTTGACGACAATGAGGCCCTCAAGACCAGCAAAGGGAGATTCCTCTTCAGCCTCTTCCTGGGGAATAGTCTGGGCACGACCAATGACGTTGCCCTTGTTGTCCCAGAACTGGCCTTCAGCGTCGGCGGTGACGCCAGACTTGGAAAGCTTCTTAGCGTCACCCTCGGTGAGCTCACCAACGATGTTGCCGTTGGAGTCGATAAGCTTGCCAGCCTTGTTGACTGAGAGACCCTCGAGGATCGAAAGAGGAGGTCGGTTGTCCTCCTCAGCATCCTCAGCGGCATCCTGGGCATCTTCAGCGGCCTCCTCTGCTCCCTCCTGAGCTTCTTCGGCAGCGTCGGCGGCGTCCTCAGCCTCTCCAACCTTTTGCTCAATGACCTGAGGTAGAGCCTTGACCTTACCGATGACATTGCCATCCTTGTCAAGAACCTCACCCTTCTCATTAATCTTCTTGCCGGCGCACTCGGAAGCTTCTCCCTCGATAAGCTCACCGATTGGCTCGCCGTCCTCGTTAAGGACTTGGCCCTTCTTGTTGACCTTCAAGCCTTCGAGCTCATCGATGTCAGGGGTGACCTCAACCTCTTTGACTTCAGGTTCCGCGTCATCCACCTTCTGCTCGACCAACTGGGGAAGGGCCTTGACCTTTCCGATGACGTTGCCGTCTTTGTCAAGGACCTCACCCTTCTCGTTGATCTTCTTTCCGGCGCACTCGGAAGCCTCTCCCTCGATAAGCTCGCCAATCGGCTCACCATCTTCGTTGAGAACTTGGCCCTTCTTGTTAACCTTGAGGCCTTCGAGTTCGTCAATGTCAGGAGTAATCTCGACCTCCTTAACCTCGGGCTCGCCATCCTCGGCCTCGGCCTCACCCTCCTCAGTCTCACCCTCCTCAGTCTCACCAAGACGCTCCTTGAGCTCCTTGATGGCCTCGAAGGCAGCCTCGCCTGCGACGACGTCGACCTTGCCGATGACGTTTCCTTCCTTGTCGAGGACTTCGCCCTTGTCGTTGATGGTCTTGCCGGCACAGTCGGCGATCTCGCCGTCCTTGAGCTCGCCGATTTCCTCGCCCTCAGAATCGAGCACCTTGCCCTTCTTGTTGACCTTGAGGCCATCCAAGATTCTGACGTCGAGAGCACCGGAAGCAGCCTCCTTGAGCTTCTCAGCTGCGCCCTCAGCGAGCTCGACTTGGCCAAGAACGTTGCCTTCAGCATCAACAACCTCACCCTTGTCGTTGACAGTGAGGCCCTTGACGTCTTCGATGTTCTCGAGGTCGCCATCCGCAACGTTGCCGACAACGTCGCCGTCTTCGTTGAGGATCTCGCCTTGGGTGTTAATCTCCATGCCCTCGAGGGCCTCGACACCTGGCAGCTCATCCTCGACATCAGCAGCGGCTTCTTCGACGCCATCCTTGGCATCTTCACCAGTCTGCTCAACGTCGTCCTTGGCCTCTTCAGCCTTCTCGGCAATGCCATCGGCAGCATCGCCTTCCTCATCTTCGTCCTCCTCATCCGCATCCTGGTCGACAAGGTCGGCAGCCTCGGGTGAGAGCTCAGCACGAGCGATGACGTTGCCATCGTCATCAAGGATTTCGCCCTTCTCGTTGAACTCCTTGCCCTGGATCTCAGACGGGTCGCCTTCGACGAGTTGACCAATGAAGTCGCCATCCTCGTTGAGGATTTGGCCAGATCGGTCAGCAGTGAGACCCTTCAGGATGTTGATGTTGGGCAACTTGGGGCTGTCGCCAGCGGCATCCTTCTGTTGCTCCTCAACAGCCTCGGGGGTGAGTTCGACGCGACCAACGAGGTCACCGTCGTCATCGAGGATCTCGCCATCGTCACCAATGGGGTAACCAGCGAGGTCCTCAGCATCACCCTCGACGAGTCGTCCGAGTGTCTTGCCGTCCTTGTCTTGGACTTGACCCTCCTCGTTGACCTCAAGGCCCTTGAGTACGCTCAGATCGGGGGTATCTGGGAGATCTTGGCCTGTGGTGTCTTCGACCGAGTCTTTCGCCTCGTCGGCGGAGTCCTTGACATCGTCGGTCTTGTCTTGGGCGCCCTCGGTTGCGTCTTCAGCCTTGTCTTCGGCAGCATCGGTCGCGTCTTCAGCCTTGTCTTCAGCGGCATCGGTCGCGTCCTCGGCGGTCTCTTCAGCATCTTCAGTCGCGTCTTCGGCGGTGTTCTTGGCTTTGGCTGTGGCATCTTCGGATGTCTCCTCGACGCCTTCAGCTGTGTCCTCGGCTGTCTCCTGAGTGGACTCAGCAGCATCCTCGGCGCCGTCCTTGACATCATCGCCGGCTTCCTGCGCAGCACCTGATGGGTCCTTCTTGGCCTTGCCGGCCAGATTTGAAGCACGGCCAGCGAGGCCGCGAGCACCGCTCAACGCACCTCCACCTGCCTGCTTGCCGGTATCCGCGGCTTTGCTGGCGGTGTCTGTTGCATCGTCCTCGGTGTTGTCGGCAGTGTCTTCAGCAGTATCTTCGGCTTCGTCTCCTGCCTTTTGAGTGGCGTCGTCGGCAGACTCATCGGCATCTTCCTCGTCGTCGTCGATGGGTTTTGGCTCAGCTTGCTCTAGCTCGTCGCCAGCTTGTGAAACCTTGCCTGTCGTCTCCTCTGCGGCGTCCTCGCCCTTTGACTTTGTGTCTTCGGTAGTGTCATCTACCTTCTTCTTGGTGTCTGTGGCGGTGTCCTCTGCCTTCTTCTTTGAGTCTTCGGCAGTGTCTTGTGCTTGGGATTTGGTGTCTTCAACCTTCTCCTCGGCACCTGCTGAGACATCCTCACCTTGCTTCTTGGTGTCGTCTACAGAGTCCTGTGCCTGGCTCTTTGTGTCTTCAGCCTTGTCTTGAGGCTTGCTCAGCTTGGGGGCAGCTGATTGTGGCTTTCGTCCGAGCTTAGTAGGGGTGCGGGGGGTGTCACCCTTTCCTGCTGCTGGGGAAGGCATATTGGGAGTGTGTTGTGGTAGTGTGTAGGGTTGCCTTTGGGGGGTTTGTTGGCTGGTAGATGAAACGTTACTGGATATGGATTGTGAACGTGTAGAGCGGGGGGAATTCCTATTAGGCGTCGGGGGAAACGAGTAATAGGTGTAAGAGTGGGAGGAGTTTTCTGGCATGTATCAATTGACGGGGGGTTCGTCTTTGTAGGGGAGAAGAGGCGGGAGAAGGATGAGACAAGCAGGCATTTATGATATCAAAGTGGGCGTGATGGGCAGCTTTGGTAGAATGACGTCGAGTGCTAAAGCTTAATGAGGCATGTAACAGGGGGAGCTCGCGCCTCAAGTGACTTGCAGGGGGAGCAGAAACCTGCTTTGGCGCCGTGATGGAGTACTCTGTACGACGCGGTGCGAGGAGGGCATAGGAGCATTGCGTCACTTGCTCCAGCCTCGAGCGGGGCGTCAGCTCCATTCAGATGGGAGGGCTCCACACTGAAAGGTCTCACAAGCGGGTAACTACATGTTGCTACAGGGGGGGATGAACTGTGGCTGGACCGGGATGTGTAAGAATCGGTCGATGGCCGCGGAGTGGGCGGACGGCTGCCAAGTTTAGAGTCGAGTTTGCCATATCTGCGGGAAGTGGAGCTGAAACGCTCACGCCAAAGAGCTCCTGGGTTGCTGGGTTGCTGTGTAGTGTATGCTGCTGCTGATCGCTACTTGTTCGCATCGTAGGTGGTAGATATCTGGCATGACTTGTAGAGTGTAACTGTGTCAGTAGCGAAGGTATCTGAATCATCTCGAGCGACACCAACTTGGGTTGCCCACACATCTGACGGCCATGGCGACGGGCAACTGGTGAAGCCAGAGCGGGCAGACAAGCCAGTCCAGGCCCGATCGACAGTGCAGTGGCTGCCATCTCCACAAAAGGGCGTCCATGGAGGCGAGATTTGGTGCTGGAGAAGAATCCCGCCCTATCAAGAGGCACGACAAGGCAACGCATGTTTGGGCGGTTGTGCCGTGTATGCGGCCAAGCAGGATGTGGCGAAGGCGTTTACGATGGATAGTGGATGGATCATGGATGCATGGTTGCATGACGTAGCGTGCTGGGACGTACCCCTGTAAAACGTCGCCTAATCCCTGTTCAGCCGTGGCCCGAGCTTCGGAGCGGAGCCGATGGATGGCCTGCACCAGTCGTCCAACAAGTCTTGTTTAGCAGCACCATGGCGAGATAGAGACTTCTTTCTTATCGCACGGCACATGTCTAGTAGGTGGATTGAGGCTCCCACGGCGGAGACGCTTGCGCAGTCGACCAGGAACAAGAGACGTTGCCGGCATGGGCTTCAGGGGCTGGCAGCAAGCCGAATGGCTTCAACATGGCTGTCATGGCCATGTTCCTGCGTTGAGAAGACTCTACTAAACCACTCTTATACCAAAAGGCTGCGCGGACCACGCACCGGTTGATGGTGACGGGCCACGGGACGTTGGCCGTTTCAAAACATTGCGACACCACGCAGCGCTAAGACATGGGTACAACACTTCATGTCGCAGCAGTGACCTCTGCACCTTGGATCCCACATTCCACAGCGCTCACTGACGCCGCCTTGGGCCTGTACTGTACTCCAACGCTTCCAACGCAAGATGAAAAAAAAAAGTAAAGAAAAAAGTAATTCAAGCCCGTCGCCCTATTCGGCGACCAGCAACCCGTTAGTACTGAGCCACGACTTCAAAAGCAACAAAACTTTGATTTCTTTGTGACACCATGCCGCATCCCCCCGTACCTACCTGACTCAACTATGGACAATGAAGTAAACATGACACGGCAATTTAAACTTGCCACTCTACTCTCATCCTGCTTCGCATGGAAAAACTCGGTCTTCGGGATCCGCCCCATGAGATCGATGATGTCAGTGGGGGAAATTACAACGGGAGGCCGCGTGCGCCCCTCTCGCCTCGGAACCTACCTGTTTTCTGGTTCCTGGATACGCTTTGCTGAGAGGGGGGAAAGCGTGCGCCCCTCGGAGTCTAGTGCTAATCGCTACGAATCACTGCAGAAATGAAATGACACGCCAAAAATGCGCGCCACGCCGCCGTGTCAGGAATTCATCATGCGTCTATTAGACTATTAGACTACCGTGTAGCATGCATGCATCGCAGCTGAATCGAGGATATCACAAGCACAACGCGCGCAACCCCATATTCACTCTCGCATGCAGGAACCTGACGCCAGACCCGCTCATGGTGCAGGTGCCCGCCCTTTCGTCTGCTCTAGATCCCGTTTCCCCTCAGGCGGAATGCTGCTCTCTACGTCCTGTCCCGGCTTGCTCAGCCACTTCTTCTTCTTCTGCTCCCTGGCCTCCTCCCGCTCCTTTGGCGTCACTTCTTCAGATCCCTTTTCGCTTACACCGCGGCTCAGGCTCAGTCTTTTCCAGAGCCGTCGTGGCAGGCTCTTATCCTTGCGCTCTGCTGCTTCCTTCTCCGCCTTGTGGGCTAACAACTGCCTCTCCTTCTCCGCGCTCTTGCTCTTGTCCTTTTGCTCCTCGACCTTGCGCTTGTGCTCTTCAGGGTGCATAATCTTCGTCTCGGTATCCTTGACATGTTCCACGCCATGTTTGATCTTCCTGCGTGTTTTGACGTAGGCTTCGAGGCCGACGAGCACAGCGTAGGACCGGGAGATGGACACGTGCGACATGTCGACACCGTTGTCCTGCATGGAATGTACGAACGCGCGGAAGTTCTTGGTCGGAGGGCGGTAGTGCCCGGAGAGAGGGGAAAGGCGGCGTAGCTGCCCATTCTTGATCTTGATCAGGCCTGCTGCAGATATGCGCGCGCCATGGAGGAAAGAACTATGCTGGAAGGCACCAGATTGCTTGATTCCAACGTAGAGACGAAACGACGTGTCTGCGACCTGCCTGTTGTGAGCACAAAGCCAGAAAGCTGGCCAAGGATACCTTGACTTACAAAGATCCACGAGTTTGGCTTGACCGAGCCGCGCAACATGTGGTTGAGGATGGTGGCTGCCGACACGTACTTGATCTTCGATATGCCTTTCGCTTTGTCCAGATCCTCGTTGACATAATGCTCCGCCTCCGCCTCGCTATGTTCGTGTGACGAGGCCGAGCTCGTCGAAGACACGGACTTGCTCCTCGTCGTCTTGCTTTGCCCATCGTAAATCAGTTTGCCTTTTGGGCCGTACGCTGGCGTCTTGTCATCTGTGGGGACGATTCCCTTTACACTGTCCTTGTATTCCATCGTTGTGCTAATACGCTCTCCGTTCTTGGCCCAGCAGAGCCGCCCCTCCTCGTCAATGGTGACCAAGTAGTGCATGCGTTCCTCTCTTGACAGATAGCGCACCTGTTCATTCTCCAGCCTCTCCCTCGAGACGGTGGGGTGTTCAAAGTTCTTCCCGTCGCCATTGTCTAGCCAGTAGAAGAAATTCTCGTGTGTCTCCGTCTTCTTCCACTGCTCGTGATACGCTCGTAGATTGCTCCCATACCGGTGCTTGTGGTCCACCATCTCGAGGAAGTACTGCAGGTCCATCATCTTGGCAGTCTTGTCTCGCTCGGCTTTGGCTTCGCCTTTCTTCCTCCGCTGCTCTGTCCGATGTTCCGGGGCCTCGTCATCTTCGTCGCCCGTTTCCGATGTATCGTGAGGGTCATCGGCACCCGCTCGCCGCGCGACCTCGCCGATGCGCTTCCAGTGCTGCCGTGCTGTTTCCGAGTTGGCTCGGGCGCGCGCTTCTGGTGTGGTAAGATTTTCTTGTTCCGAGGGTCGATCGGAGCGAGGTTTCGGCCGCGTTGTGTTGCGCCATTTCGCTTGGAGGTTTAGCAGAGGCGCAGAGGGTCATATGTGGTAGACTGCTAACCATCTCGTACAGCCTATACTATATTAGTACTAGAATTCCAAGTTGAGGAGTCTCTAGAGCCTCTCACCTCTGCCCAGCGAGTGCTGGCATTCAAGCCCATGCCCTGGAGCTGTCTCCGTTCTCGGTATCCACGGTAGTTGCGCTGGATCATCTGTGCGGCTTGTTCTTGCTCGACAGACCCTCTATTGTCCGCCTGGTCGGCCGCAACACTGTGGACCTCGTCCATTCTGCCTCTCTATGCAATATGAACGTGTTGATAGACATTGATCAAGTAGCCATCCAGACATGCGCGGGGGAGAGAGCGGAACGTTGCGGTGGAGCTAGCTCACTTCAGCTGTCCACGCAGACATCCCCAGCCACTCGGCAATCCGGCAGGTGGGACATCCATGGATTAATATAAAGTGCAACACCAACCATTCTCATCATGATCAGCGGACGCTGTACGATACTGGAGGGTTCAAGATGCATGTGTGGGTTTTACCTATACCAGCCTTGAATCCCATCACTACTCTTTAAAGGTACATTCAGCCGCAGTGTTGTGTCTTGAAGACTTGCAGCCCACTGGTTATCAGGCCGGCAGAATTTCTTCAGTACCCAGCTGCAAGTACCCAGCGAGAAATCATTGCCATAAAGCCAGCTACCTTGCCGCAATGCTCACAGTTCTTCCCTTGCAGTTCAAACATGACCACTAGTCCTTGTCTCGATGTGGGTTTGGCAGTGGCTCACCCGGGGCGATCGAAACGAGCTTAGCGCCTCGTGTTACCCTCAGCCTCAGCCTCAGCCTCACTCTCCAAGACGGAGCCTGTTCTCGACTCACTGTCTCTCACGCGTGCTTTCAATCTAGAGACTCTAACGCCATCAGCACCGGAGCCCATCGTTTGAAGGTGGTTTGACCCTACCATTCGCGCGACTCGACTGAACGACATGGAGACACTTGATGATGGTCCTTTCCGAAAGCGGACAGACTCGATGCAACTGCTACTACCTGCGAAATTGTCCTCACAATCTTCAACCCGTACAACGCAACCTCGAGTGAACAGTCTTGCTCCGGTAATCGGAAATGCACCAACCTGGAGGTAGGCCGTTCATCTACTGCAAGGCTTAATACAGAACACTGACATGGGTGGAAGACCCATTCCGGATAGTCAACGCGACAACCTCCTACTCCGCCTACCAGCCGAGATCCGAAACTGGATATACAAGCTGGTTCTCGGTGGCAGAACCTACAAATTCAAAGATGCATTCTCCACCCATTACGCAAGATTGGACACGACCGAACAGCACCTATTCGGCCTGCTCTTCGTCTGTCGCCAGATATACTTCGAAGCCGCCCTGCTCCCATATGCGATTAACACCTTCCGCTTCCGTGACTTCGACATAAGCCTCTCTCCATTTCTGAAAGAGAGGTCTCCAGCTCAGTTCCGCTCGATACAGTCACTGGAGTTGGTCACTTATCAAGCCGGCCAGTAAGGCAGTCCCCATCCGTACACATATGAGGCCAACACTAACCCCCTACCCCCGTGTTTCAGGATGTGGGCTGAGGATGAAATGTTCACTGAGAACTTCCACCAAGAGATCAGGGTGCTGGCTCGTTTGCCCAATTTGAGAAAAATACACTTCGTCGTCAACATGCTGGAGTCGTTATACCTAGGATGGTGCGTACACGACCTTGACTACACCTGGATCCGCACGAACATGGACATGCTAGAGCGGGTAATCCATGCTCACAGGCCTGACATTATCGTCACGTCTTGGTGGGTCTAGACACTCCTAGCGGTGTTTGGCAGGCACCACTCTGAAAATGCAAAGGAAGTAGTACGGCAAGTTATTCAATTGACAAACGCAATGACTCAGTCGAGCCAAAACTTACGACCTCGTGTCGGATGATACATCTCAGGTGAAATTTCTTCCCAATTCTCCGTCTCCTGCAACCTTTTATAGAAGCCGTCATTCGCATTCCGAAAGCGAAAGGCTCCCGTCCTACGAAATCGATCATCACCAGTGTACTTCATCAAGATCCCATGCCCCGCGTAGTCGAAATCTTCGTTGTCCCTTGGATCTTCCAGTTCGTCGATCTTCGGGAGCGTACCTCTCCTTTCTAGCGGTTTTGGTCCCATGTTGGGCTTGAACGACGATGGCTTGGTGACTTGCTTCGCAGCTAGAACCGCAAAGTACGGTAACTCTGCAACTGAATCTCCTAGTACCGGAACAATATCTGGAAAAGCCTCCACCTCTACATCGCTGATGCCGTCAATCTGTAGCACCCACTTCTTTCTTGTGTCATCCCACTGCAGTCGTCCACGGCCTACGTGTCCTTGGATCCGAATCGATTTGCTGTAGTACTCCGGCTCCGCATCCCTGTTTATCTTTTCCGGACTACTGCTTCTATGGATTTCTTCTTTGTCGCTCATGCCTAACTGCTCCTTTGCCCGTTGCTCCTTCCGCCGCTGAAGCTCTGGTCCGCTATCGCTTATTCCACGCGCCGGCATGGGCGGCGCCTCGTTTCCAGGTCTTTTTGATGCTGTCCGGACCAATCGCTTTACACCCTTCAAATCGAAGCTTAACGGTCGGCCGTCGTGGTCTTTGACTTTGTGGTGTAGCTGGTCAGATAGACGGTCAGGTACAACGACCGTACCGTCCATGGATGCCCAGGACCACGAAGGAATCTCACGCGCGAATTTAACATCCAAAGACTCGTTCGGACGTTCTGTGAGCTTACAGTCTTCCACTCGCCAGGCCAGTTGATCTTCCAGATTTTCTTCCCACAGGCCCTCGCCATACTCAGTACCCAGCGCATCCCGCACCAGCTTTGCGATGCCCCAAAATGCTTTTAGCTTATCTTTACCCTTTGTCAGATTGCAGCTGGAGTATTTCCCAACTGCCGTCTTCCAGAAAGAGCCTAAAGACTGATCGATTGCTCCGGCCAAAAGCTCTTGGCTACCCTCAGGCTCTTGTAGCCGACCTCGCCAGTGCCGGTCTGGCCCAGCAGCACTATCCATAGGCTGTGGTAGCCCGGCTGGAAGTGTTTCGCACGCACTCAATGAGGGGCAATCCCAAAAGACTTGTGACTTCGCAAAGTGCAGGATTCGCGGCGACAGCATACGTTCTATGCTTCTCTTAGTAACCTCACTGCTGCCTAATAGCCGGAGGTACGTACCTTGGAATACCCATGCGCGACTGTACAGATCTGAATGCAGTAGTTCGCTCTCCCACAAGTTCTTCGCGACTGCTACCCAGCTTTTCCTCCCGAAGAACGGCGAGTCCGTTACAGGTTGGTATTTGACCGGTACCACATCCTCCGGATCCCTGGTACGATAAGCACCATACGAACTATCGGGCGAATCCGCAATAGCGATATTACAGTGACTATTCCGATACACAAGATGCATTCGACTCCCTTCGTAATTCCAGTCATCAGCGGAGTTCTGGATGATACATAGACTATCTATCCAGATATACCCAATGTCCAAAGCCCTGACAATCTCAATCGCATGCTGGAAGTTCGTGGGAAAGAGATGCCAGCCCACTCCCTCCTTCTTGAATTTCTCCTTGTTTTCCACGTGTAGCTGGACGAAGTTGGGTTCGCCCCAACAATGCGACAAGGAGCAATAGGGCCCTTGCACAGAGCTTGATGCCGTTTCTACGAGGCGAACCGGTGCTTCTGGTGGGCCGCTGATGTCGAGAAGGCGGGTAGGCACGAACCTCTTTGACCTTGGTGTAGCTCTCCTCCGTTTCATGCAGTCAGTATGCGTGAGGTCGCATGTCTCGACCCAAGAACGTATTCGGTGGCCACCATTGAGCGCTGGGTTTGTCGAAACGCCAAGTTCCTGCGCGGTCGGCAGCGGCTGAACATCTTCTTCGGGAAAGAGGAAGAAGGTTCGCGTCGGCAGCTCAGCGTTGGCTCCTCCCATATCGTCTATTTCGCTTGTCGGGGGCACATATCGAAATGTCACGACGATGGTTTCGAGACTCTCCCGTATCTTGGCCAGGCTTCTGATATTCCATCGGCACACGGGCCAGGCTGCAGCGTATTCTGCGCTTTGCAGCTTCGGCGCGAGCTTCTCGATATCATCGTGCAGCGTCGAGCAAAAAAGACAGCGCTCCTTCTTCGCTTCCTTCGATGCCTTGGAAGGAGTTTGATGCTCCGCCTCCCATTCGTGACTCTTATTCAGCGACGCGTAGGAGCCGTGGTGGTAGTCCCAAGACTCTGTGCTCTCCAATATGTTTTCGATACAGTACTTGCAAAGCTTCATTTTGCTTCTATTTTCCTTTCCAATCAGCGCAAGAATACTGGGTCGTTACGCAGGCCGGAATGCCGGGTTTCACAGCCTAGTCGTTAGAACAAGCGCAACAACGAGGAGTTACTTCAACCCGAAAACAGCATATGGGCAGTTAGACAGCTACGGATCAAATTACAATGTCTATTTCCAGCCATGAGTCCCATCGGGCCCCGTTGTTGCATATGCGGGTCGTATTGTGGAGGACCTCCCTCAGCCTTGTGGGGGCCGAGATTACGGTGCTTCTGCGGAGTAATACGAATCGCACGGCCGTCGCTGTTGCCTAGGCCAAACGCCACCTACGTGCTAGGTAGGTGCGGTGGAGATTGTGTGGCTGGCCAAATACAATTCTAAAGGCAAGTAGTTCACAATCGCGAATGAGCCCAAGTTCTTGAATATGAGTGAATACGAGGGAATGACATGTAGCACGCAAGCCTCGGCAATCGGCGGCTCTGATCCCCATTAATGATCCCCCCAGCACAAACCCATCGCCAAATCAAATCCCCGCACTAACTAAGCGTCTCTCCTACTTCCCGCCAGGTGCCGTGTACGTAGAACCGCCATTGCCGTCGTTGTGGTAAGTCGATCCATTCGCATTCGAGTAGTAGTATGATCCGTCACTAACACAACGTTAGCAAGCATGTAACATGCCAACCTTACGGAAGCCTTACGTGTTGGAGTAGTGGTAGGAGTTCTGATTTGCAGCTTCGGGGCCATGATCGCGGTGACAGTAGTGGTTGCCCTGATCGTTTGTGCCGGAGCTCGTGACTTCGTAGCCACCGCTACGGCTGCCGGTAGAAGACGAAGAGCTGGTATTCGCAGAGTTGGAGGAGTTGTTGGTCGACATGGTGGGCGTTCGCTTGCTGGTTGAAACGAGGTGGTGTGAGTGGGAAAGGGAAGGCTGTCGGAAAGTAGGAAGTTATATGCTCGGAAAGTGTTTGCTTCCGATCGTCAAGCCGCCGAGCGCGTGGGTGCAGTCGCAACCATCGGAATCGCGCATGGTTCATCTTCGTCGACCCTTCCAAGCTCCACAGATGCTACCTCTGCTTCCAACGCTTGCTCGCTGCCCAAGTATAGAATGATCATGAGGCCAACAAGAAGAAGGACCAGGCCGGCGACGCAGGCGATACTAAGAATTACTAGGCGCTCTTCCCACACCCTCTGTTCTTTCAACTCTTGAACTTGACTCATCATAGAGAAATCTTGCGTGTAAATGCGGTGTCTTGTTGTTTGTTTACTTGTTTCGGCGCGGATGAAGAATGGCTTGCTCTGAAGTCGATTCGCAGCTTCAGAACTGGCTACTGGATCAAACGCTCGTGAGAAACCTGCAGCGTCTGGCGCAAGTTGAACGTCGAGAAGGTTGGCTGAGGCGGTAGATCTTCAGCCCAGATGAGTGCCGGCCCGTGGACAATGACAACGCCGCGCTCACGTAGTCGCCTCCACCTCGCTTTACTGCGCAGATTGTGGAGCCGGAGGCAGCTAACAACGAAAGTGATCTGTAAGATGATGATACCGATCACGCCGAGGAGAATCCAGATCAGCTGCCAGTCGAGAGCGAAGGGCTTGGAGGACTGCCTGGGTAGGAGAGCGACGGGCATGCCAACGGAATGGGTGCTATTGAAAATTGGTGTCTGATTAGAGAGAGATCTGTAGAGGCGGCGAGATTGGTAGAAGCTCGTAGAAACTGCGCGTCGAGGAAATCAAGGTGAACGTGAAAGGGCCGCGCTACATAATTACCGACGTCACTTCAAGTCTACGCCAGCTCGCCATGAGGGACTCTAGTAAATTGAGGGGTAGACTGTCAGCAAGGGCTAAATGATTTTAACGTGCGTCGTGCACCAATTCTACAGCCTGGAGGTCTTCGGCTTTTTATAGCGCTACATAACAGGTTTTCTAGAGAAGACAAGGGAATGTTTGAAGCCATGCGTGTGTGGTCCTCGATGATCCACCTTCAGTGATGCGTGGCTATTTCCAAGCGCGAGTCCCCTTCCGGGTGATGAATAGCTGGGGCGGCTCCTCCTCAATCAATTGCATAGTAGTCGATCTGGCCAGTCTGTGCGGTGTGACTTTCGCTGGTAGTTCAGATACATTCTGGGGCTCGAAGCGAGCTCTAGGAGGGTTGATCTGTAATGAAGCACGATGTATCCCCTGGTGGTATCGCTCCGCAATGTAATAGAAGAAGCTTTGGTGATATGCAGCAAGTTTCTGAGGGTCGTCTCTTATGGTGCCAAGAAGGAAGCCTCTTGTTGCTTCCAGGATATCTTCACCACTGCGAGTTTCCGCAGCACCGTAGTTTTGCAACCTTGCTCGAAGCTCGGGAATGTCTACGCCTTTGATATGAACTGAAGCAGCCGCTATAGCTTTCAGTGCGATGTCAGACTGCTTGGGAGGCTGACCTTCAATGCGCTTAAGTCCAAAATCAAATATTGTAACAATGTTGGCGGGAAGTTGATCTCTTCGTGTCTCTATACCATCGAGTGAATTCATGTTGTGAATGAGATCGAGTCTTGCTTTGGCCAATCCAATGTGTTCGCCAGCGGAGTCATAGACTTCGTTGGCGTGTATCTGAACGGACTTGCTAGCTGTCTTCGAGATCAAAGATTTCCCTAGTGGTGACAGAGGGGGCTTCCGCGCAGAGCTACCAAGGCCAAGATCTCCATGCTCGCGCTCTAGGTTCCATGATATGAAATTCTTCATAGCTAGCTCGGGGATCGCTATTCTGATGTTGACATGATCATAAGGTTCCCGAAGATGGACAGCATCGTGACTCCAAGGGGTCTTAGTCAGATTCGATGTACCAAGATTGGGGATAACTCACCCTTTAGGACAAATTCTGTTTGCATCTCGACAAGTGAGACACAGATCAGCGCCGCAATGGCTGCATTCTAAAAACATGTCCAGGGCTTCTCTAGAGGCCAAGGGCAAAGGATCATCGTCCGGTTGGTTGCCGTGGTTTCGATGGTCGCAACGGACTTCACCCTGTTCGAAGACAGCGAGACGTGAAGTGAGGAGTATACTCAGTCCCACATCTGAGAGTTTGGCAAGTTCTTCCTCTAGCATAAGGCGCAGTGTCTGACTACATCGATCGATGCCATCCAGAAGCAAGAACGCACGTGCCTTCTGAAGAGCTCCGAGGCGTGAGTAAAGCGCTTCACGCAGGAGGCGCAATCGCTCCCTTATCCTGCTGCCCTCTGGAGCACTCGGGGACGAACGACGTTTTTGTGAATAATCCTGATAGATTCCATATGATACATCATTACGAGGCGCCGTTGTTTCGGCGAGCTTGATGTACAAGAGTTCCAGAAAGTCTTCGACAAAGTAATTTTCATGATCGGGGACATCTTGATCAACGTAGATAGATACAATCGGGTAGTGCTGAGTTTCAGGATGAGCTTTCAGGTGTCGATAAACCAAGGAGGATAGGATTGACTGTGACACTTGGTCAGTTTGGCTTACAAAAAGATGTATAGTCGCTCACCTTTCCAGCACCAGGACCGCCAATGCAATGTAGCTGCCAGGTCCTTCTAGCTTCAAACCATCGCCTAAACACACCATACGTAAAGAACCAGTCAAAAGCACCAGGGAAAACATCAGATGATATACCCTTGGACGACTGCAAGGCTGGATGAGGCATCTTTGTTCTTCGTTTCAGTATCACGGAACGCTATACAGTGAGTTAGTTGCCAACGGTGCGGCTCGTCACCGGCGCTAGTTAAGGCTTGTAGCACGGCTGACCGGCGAGAAAGCCTGAGGGCTGAAGCCACCAATCTCAAGCCCAATAAGCAAAGTAAGCTAGGCACTAGACCATTTCCCAAAAAAGTAGATTTGGGGGCGAAACACCTCGGCGAGGCTCCATAACGGCCCCCATTGATGGTCATTCGCGCAAAATTACAACTATGCTAGGGGCCACAAGCTGAAGGCCCAATGCTTTTTATAATGTAAAGGACTCGTGTGTCCCGGCTTATTAACATTAGTCTGTCATTGACCGTTTCTGAATATCTCGATAGCATGTTGTTCGTTCAAGGCCTCGTGGTCGTTTCCCTCGCTGCTTGTAGCTTTGCCCGATCGCTCCCGCAGAGGCTCGATTCGCGACAGGATGGACCGCCGACAACGATTTGTGGTGATATCATCGACGCTGTAAATTCAGGTGAGTACAAATGATACAGTGCATTCTGTTCTGAGGCGAGGGTGAAGCGGTTGATGAGATGAACGAATGATAGAGGTTTGGCGCGAATTACTCAGCACCGTCGCTATTCCCCTTCCAACTCCCGCCTTGCCACAACTCAACTTCCGCCATATATGGTACTGACATTACCAAGGCTCCCAGATCTTCTGGGCATCCGATGCATACAAATGCCTAACCAGCGTTCCATTCAACCCCGCTGTTGCGACGCGGTTCATCAAGTACTGGAACGAGACCATCCAGTTTCAGAGCACGCTTGCATACCTCAAGAACCCTCCCGAAGGGTACCAGCAGCCTGCAGTGGATGTTATCGCAGAACTTGAAAGAATTCAGCAACGAGTCGACGCGAGCTCCTATTCAAACCAATATGACTTCGAAGCGGATTTCCAACTCTTGGTCTACGCGTTGCATGACGGACATGTCTCGCTCACTGCGGGCATCCTTTCGGCCTTCTCCTTCGCAAGCCCGTACGAGATCGCGTCCGTATCTATTGATGGGAAACAGGAGCCGAAGATATACATTACAAGTTGGTGATGCTTCATTCTTTTTAGGTGTAATATCTGACAATTGTTTAGCTGATGTTATAGACAGCCCTATTCAGGGTTGGACGCCTTCTCCAATTACATCAATTAACGGTACTGAGGTCAATGCGTTCTTGACGCATTACGCCGCTCTCAACTCTTGGGGTTATGTAGAACCACATGCTGAATGGAATGCATTGATGTCGCATCCCACTTTGGACATCCAAGGTGGTCTGACAACCTTTTCGGGAAGCGGAAACTTCTACCCTGGCGAGAATCTTACGTTCACATTTGAGAACGGGACTAAGGTTGACACTATCTGGGTGGCAATATACAATGAGCTTGCTAACTATACCGGCCCCTTAACCACGGGAGGTGACTTCTACAATTACTTCGTTCTCGGGCTGCTACCAGAATCATTCGACCCAGCGGCAATCGTCAACTCGCCTTTCTCGGATGATCCTGTGGAAGCACCAAAGAGCTGGTCCAACGACAGCTATGGTGCCTTCCCCAACAACCCTTCAGTCGCACAATCTGATCTAGGCATTTTCCATGGTGGGTTCGTCACTGGATACTTCTACGACGATATTTCAACCGGTGTTCTCAGTCTCCCAACCTTTGATATGTATGTAATGCCTAAGATGGCTGTGGAACATACGCTGACTTTGTCTCTTCGCGTTTAGCTTGGCCGATACAACTGGTAATTACTCCCAAGCAATAAGCGAGTTCGTCGGCAATGCCTCAGATAAGGGTCTAAAAAGAATTGTCATCGATCTTCAACGTAACTCTGGTGGATCTATATTGCTCGCCTATACTACATTCAAGAGCTTCTTCCCCGACCTTACACCCTTTGGTGGAAGCCGGAGGCGCAGCTTTCCATTGGCAAATGTCATCGGAGAGTCGACATCGGAGTATTGGACATCATTAGATGATAATGACGCCGATATCCGGGCGTTCAAAGAATCATTAGCGGGTGATGAGTGGGTTATCAGTATGTAACGGCCATGTACGAACTGCATCTGGGACACACGCTGACTTCGTACACCGACAGATACACGGCTAAACGCTGCCACGGGCAGGAATTTCTCAAATTGGTCTGAGTATCAAGGGCCGGTAACCGATAACGGCGACTCCTTCTCACTGACTGAAAGATACGATCTTGCCAATCAGGTCTTTGATGAGGCTGCCTTCGATGAATGGATCCCAATGCAGTATCTTGCCAACGCCACAGAACGGTCAGACATGCAGCGCAACTGGAATCCCGAACAGATTGTCCTCCTCACTGATGGTCTTTGTGCATCCGCCTGTGCACTATTTGTAGAGTTCATGACCCGCGCTGGCGTTCGTACCGTCGTTGCTGGAGGCCGCCCTTCTGATGGACCGATGCAAGCAGTAAGCGGAAATCGTGGCGCGACATCCTATGCCGCCACCAGTCTCGACGTCGACATGCGATATGCACGAAGCATTGATACCTACGTCGAGGAGAACGCCAATGCCACTATCCCTGAGGTGAGGGAACCAGGCATGTATTTCAGATATGCCAGCTTCAACCTTCGAGACCAAATCCGAAAGGATGAAAAGACTCCCCTGCAGTTCAAGTATGAAGCCGCCGACTGCCGAATCTACTACACACTCGCAAACTTGTACAACATGACACAAACATGGTACGATGTGGCTGCTGCTGCATTCGTCGACTCGTCTCTCTGCGTAAAAGGCTCCACGGGATTTTCAACAACCAACAACACCAGTCCCACGGCACCCCCACCGCGCGAGGCACAACGACCAATACTCGGTCTCAATGTGAATAACAAAGCAGTCAAACAGTTGGAGTGGGATGATAGCCCTGAGGAAGGGCTAAGTAGTGGTATCAGGACCCGAGTTCTGGGCGGTAGCGAAATTCTTCCATGCCCCCAAACCGGACCCTGCCAGGACCTCTCAACGCACTGCAGGGATATCAGCGTGCACTGCTCCGGAGAAGGAAAGAGGAATTTCAGGGCATGTCTGCCGCAATGCGTAACCTGGGAACCAGCATCTTGCCCTGGAACATGTCAACTTTTGCAAACCCAGGACGCTAAGGTCGGCCTCAAGGGTGATGTTGTGTATCGTGAGCAGTTGCACTCAGGACTCTGCTTCCCCAAGGTTGGCACAAAAAAGCTGGGTTGCAAACGGGATCCGTCCCCCCAGTAATGTCTTTTTGCACTCTTTTTTTTGGCTGTATTATGACAGTATAGACTTCTCTTCCTTTCAAAGCAGTGGCTGCGTGAATAGACTATGAATATAATTATCACCGGGAAAGGAGTGATATTCCCAGTTTTCCGTGGTCGAACCTAGCTTTTTTCCCTGACAAGTATGGATATACTATGTCTTCGCTAGCACAAACTATGACTGCGAGAAATATGTTTCCAGGATCCAAGCTATCTCCAAGGTACACCGCACTACCGACCACAACGCCCCAAACCGAGACACGATGTAACGAGAGCGGTATCTGACTAGATCGGTGTAGAGAAAATAAGCTTTCCACCTAGCTTGCTCCTGTGCGAGCTTAGCCACTATTCTTTCCATCCAGATAACCGCATCTGGTATGTTTGCGTTGCACCGTGGTTTGTAGCAAGAAGCTTATCTTAGATGCTTGTTTGTGTTGGGATCCAATAGGCTCACGCGGAGTGACGAGGCTCTGGATAACGATCAAGGAGAAAAAGCTTGGTGGTGATTGATGAGACAACACGATGACGTCGGTGGAGCGTAACACTGAAGACAGTGTTGAAGAGCGTAGAATTGAAAGCATTTGATGATGATGCGGAATCAAGTAGTTGTTGTATGATACCGTATGTATGCAGAAAATTTGTATTTAATGTGTGTTAAACGCCATCTAATGCCAATGTAGTACAAGACTGCTTCCACTAAAACGCCATAGCTATGCACATGAAACAAAATATTCTAAACCGCGGTGAATGAGTTTTGATCAAAAGCCTACAACTCCTCACGCCTCGGGACCTTGATTTCCCAGCTCGGAGGCCCGGGATTCATGCCTAGCCACCAGTTATACAAGCGGCCCATTTCGAGGATGAGGATCCTGCCCCTGTTTCGCGAATTAGCTTCTACACGACTGTAAAGATCAGAGGGGTGAGTGGATGTGACGTACAATCGACCCGGGAGTTGTGACCACTGCCAGAGCACATAGTAAAACGCGCTTTTGACTAGATTGAACTCTGCCCAGACCTCCTCCATGACGGTCATGTTCCTCGAATCCCAATCTCTGCGGAAGTCCGGCATGCCGTCATCATCGCTGACTGGGTTGCTTGTTTCCTTTTCATCCTCGTCAAAGTCTTCCAATGCGAGTTTCGTCTTCAATACCTCTTTGTCTGTCTCCGGAGCCACGGCTCTGTTAAGACCATCGCGCTCCTCGACCATGCCGCGGAACTCTTTGATAGCCGACAGCGAGTGCGAAAGGCGGTCCATGGTATTGATGAGCGCAACAAGCTCGGTACGGCGGAGTGGCGGGTCCTTGGAGGAATCTTTCTCGTCGAACTCGAAGAGGACTTTGAGTGCGGTGCCGTATCCGTTCGTCTGAAGCTTGCCCCACAGTCGGCATTTGTCACAGCCTACGCAGTCCATAATGCGGCTCACGTTCCTGAAGCGATTGCGGAAATCCTCTTTCAGCGCTACGGTGTCGGGGTCCTGAAACATGACTGTCTCGTCGAAGATCTCGGGGCCCGAAGGAAGGGCGGAAGCGAGGCGCAAGACAGAGTTCTTGGTACGCATATCTTGTTCGGGGTCTTCGGAGCAGAAAGAGTAGTCTTGAATGTGTTGCTTAATCTTGCCAACTGCGCGACTAACGAGCGCGTAGTTGAAATAGATGTTGGAGATGCGCTCGGGGAAATTGTGGAGTCGCTGTTCGTAGCAGGCGAGGTTGGGGCTCCATTGGCCTGTGGTCTGGTTCAAATAGTCCCAGCATAGATGTGTGGAGATCGAGGCGTGCATTCCAGAGATTACGCGATGGAAGACGCGCTTCTCCAGACAAGTGTCGTCGAATTCTACGGGATCGAGTTGCTGAACTGGGGTTCCGTGAGCGATCGCTGCCTGCACCTTCTTCTGCATGCCCTGCTCTTTGAAAACATTACGTAGCTGGTTCGCTGCAAGCATCTGCTGCTGGTTTCCGAAGCCACCCGGCAGAGAGGATTTTCCAGTCGAAGGCGCGACCTTTGGAGGCTTGCTAAAGCAATTTTCGCGATAGATGGCTTCCCAGACCTGCTGCGCGCCGACACCAGCATACCCAGTGAAGCGCTCGGGATTGTCCACAAGCGACACATAATCACCTTTTGCTGTGGCCGACTCGTCCTCCGGTATGCAGTAATCGCGCTGATCGCACTCGTCATCGTATTCCACCACGCAACTCTCATCGACGTCCTCGCCTAGACCACCATGTAGCGGTCGTTTCCTGTCTTCCCTTTGTAGCTTCTTCCCCGGATGTTGCGCTGTCGGTCCCTCCAGCTTTCCTAGTTCCTTTGCACGCCAAACCAGCGGAATGTCTTCCTCATTGTCCAATGTATTCACCGCGCATGCCACATTTCCGCACATGCCATTCTCGTCGTCCCAGAAGGGACATTTCTTGCTGAACAAGCTTAATCGGTAATGCGAGAAGAAGTCGGTGTTCTGTGTGATCGAGTGGAGGTAGGGGTGTACGGCTTCGTTGAGTTGCTCGAGGGTATTGTAGCTTGCACATGCGTCTGACACAATCGCGCCGGGCTCCAACTGAAAGATATTATTAGCATTCTCGCGTTCAGCTTGTGTTGGTGAGCAAGACGCTCTGTCGCTTACATCGCAGACGTTTTTCGGAGGACTCGGGGCTTTCGAAGGCGTAGCATGGCTCACAGCGTGCGAGCTACCTAGCAGCGAGAAGACTGCTAGGTAGAAGCCGTATGCTGCTGTGTGCATGTCGTAGAATCACGCTGATTCTCGCTACAGTAGTCCTCGGGTCAGCAAACGTCTGCGACAAGCGTTTTCAGAGCGTGTTGGGATCCTAACACTTACGATTCCTTGTACCGTTACTATATGAAGTCTCCCAGAAGCTTGGAAGCCGGCTGTTGGTGTGGGGGAAAAAAGAGGCCAGAGTGTATGCAATCTCAGATAGCACAAAGACAGAAGATCCTAGATGTGGCGGTGTTCGCGTTGGCCCTATTAGGAAATGTACAATCGAGAAAACAATCAAAATATATGAGAATCATGAAACGCTATAAGCCGAAGATGACAGACAGCGAAAAGAGCGCCTATGCTCAATTAGATTGCGAGATGACGGCCGGAACTGTAATCACACGTTCATGGGGCCATATGAGACATGGAGCAATGTGGCCAGTACCAAGTGTGGCGTCAGACCCTGATGGGCCGCTAGTGGCGTCAGTAGGGCTGACCGAGGCTCAACGGACCACAGTTGGTGCGGCTCAGCAATAGATCCTCGAGAGAACTGAAACGAAACATTAACAAATCGCTGGAAGACATTCATACACATATCCAACCCCTACCTATCAGATGGCAGATCCCACCAACCCTACCACTGTCTCGACTGACGCCTTCCCCGCACCTCGTGCCACAGCACCCATCATTTCACGCGAAGAGGCCCTGTCAGACATCTCGTCTCCAGACTTGCTCATCGTAGACGTGCGACGTACCGACTATGAAGGGGGTACGATCAGAGGAAGCATCAACCTGCCCGCACAGAGTTTCTACATGAACCGAGCAGTCTTGTACCAACTATGTAAGCGTGCAGGCGTCAAAAGGGTGGCCTTCTATTGCGGTAAGTTGAACTCTGTTGATCGATTGCTGCACCGTCCTTGGAGTAGTCTTAGTAATGACATATGTCGTGGTGTGGTGATGGCGTGAGATACGTGTCACGTTGTATTATGTCTGTTGGGTACTAGTACTGTGTGGCTGTGGTAACAATTTGGCTGAAACATGACAGGATCCTCCAATGGCCGTGGCCCGAGATGCTCGGGCTGGTTTGCAGACTACATCGCCGAGAAAGGCGATGATCACATAACATCGTTAACACTGGGTGGGGGCATCAAAGGATGGGTCAAGGCTGGTAAGCTATATACACAATATGTAGATGGCTTCAAACCAGAGTATTGGAAACAGTTTGAGTAGACCTTCGGGAAGTATGTGAAGGGCCTCGCTCGAATCTGCTGAAAAGAGTGAGACGGGAAGTACGACGGTATCTACATTTGCCAGACTACCTCTGGGATTATTTGTAATCGGGTATTAGGACACGCTCTCAGAAATGAGCTCCTCACTCTTCATCTTCGTCATCATCAATGACTCTTCGAGCCCTCTTCCGAGGCACAATGAGCTCCTCCTCGTTCTCAGAGGCAGAGTCTATCACAAAAGGTGCCTTCTTCTCTGCTAGCGGCGCATCCTCCTCACTGTCGCTACTCACGATTGCGTCATCGTCCGTCGGATCGCTGGTAAATATCTTTTCGCGTTTCGGTGGCCTCTTCGGTCTGCCAGCCTTGACGACAGCTTGCGTTCCTCTTCCAACGCCAGATAGATCAAGACTAGGTAGACTGGAAGGCGGGATGTCCACTTCCTCGTCCTCTACAATGAAACTGGCGAGCTCAGAGTCTAGTTTGTATGCCTGCGTATCCTGCACCTCGTCTTCGCCCATGGTGTCGTCAGAACCAATTGTGTCAGCTTGAGAGGCGATATGGAAGCGAGGATCTGTTGGCGGCGGAGACGACTCATCACCCTCTTGCGCCAGGCCGGAGACACGCCAATTGGGCGTCTTAGTTGGAGGTGTGACGCTCTTAGCTTGTGGCTGACGGGTCGGCGTCTCCAATTCAATCTTGTCTTTCCGCGGCCTGCCTCGCGGCGCAGGAGTTTTGGGAGTAGTCTTTGCCTTGGGCTTTGGACCAGGTTTTGCCTTGACCTTGGCCTTCGGAAGTGGCTGTGACGCTGGGTCATCATCAGCCCACGCATCTTCGTGAACCGGAGGCGCTGGCTCCGTGTCCGACACAAGGTAATTGTTGCCTGCATCCGATTCGCAATCAGAGCAGTGCAAGTTCTGCTTGAAAGAATCGAGACGCTCGTGGTCCACATCACGCATACGTTGCATCATACCAACGAAGCTCCGTGTAACGCGGCCAGGCCCAGAAAGATGCTGCGTACGGCATAAAGTTCGCTGACGCTCAAAATGACGACCAAGATCCAGCTCATTGACCATGGGAGAATCGTCGTCGTCGAAAACAGTCTGAAATCGCCTCTCTAGATCCTGGGTCGCCTTCTCATCTAGTAGGACAGACTGTAGCGGTGGCAGGTCGAATACCTCCTCACTGGGGCGTATTGCTGCGGTCCCTTTGTTTCCACGACGCTTGGGTACAATTTCTTCGTCCATGCGACCTGCAGTGACGAAGCCAGTCAGGACACCGTCAGGCATGTGAAACTTCTTAGGAGGCTTCTTTGTTCGACGTCCCTTTTTCGGCTCTGGGAGCCAATCTTGCTGTTGAGAATTCTCTGGTGGAATATCCACCACACGTCGGTCAACAGTCGGCTTCACATCTTGAGGCAAAATCCGGCGCGATATCTCGTCATGGAAGTTGAAATGTGATCCGTTCGCAATGATCTCCTGCATCTTTTCATAGCTATCCTTTGCTTTGTTGGCATCGGTTTCCTCTTTGCCTTGCATCTGGAGCATGACAATTTTCCCCTCACGTTTTCGACCGGTACGACCCATCCGCTGCAACATGCGTATCGGGGATGCCTTTGAGTCATAACAGATGATGAGGTCGACTTCACCAATATCGAGTCCTTCTTCTCCAATCGAGGTGGCAATGAGAGTGTTGTGAGTGCCTGACTTAAACTTCTCAATGACGTCCAGCTGCTCCTTTTGACTCATACCCTCTGAATTTTTGCCATGGGATTGTCCAACGAAAACACGAGGTCGAATCATGGGCTGATGTCTCTTGAGAATACGGGCTATCTCTTCGGCACTGTCACGGAAATGGGCGAATACCATAATCCTCGTTTGTGTAGGCGATGCATCCTCCGAGCCGCGTCCATCTCCTGCATTGACGAAGTGATCCAGGATAACTTGTTGTAGGAATTCCAGCTTCGGATGACCAACGAAGTTGTCGTCATTAACCCATCCGTGAAGTCGGCTCATAAGCTTCTTCCAAGCGTCGCTGTCAAGAATTTGCTTCTTGTACTTGGACTTGGTTTTAACGCTCTCGTCTTGGAACTCCTTCATCTTCACGTAGAACGGCCCTATGCCGTGATACTTTAGTAGGTCCATCCCGTGCGATATTGACGCAAGTATTGAGAAGACCGTGTGGACAGTGGACTTGACGCCTTGGTTTGCGTTTCGCCCAGCTTCCAGAGACCATTTCTTCTTTGCTTGCTGACAACCGTACGGGGTCAGGTCGCGAGGATTCTTGCTCCAGTAGGCATTCAAGCCAGCTATGGTATTTACCAGAGGCTGCAGAGCCTGGCTGTACAGATCCATACACAACTCCATCTCATCGCTGTTTTGAAAAACATGCTTCTCGATCTTGCGTTGATGTACATAGCTGCAGATATCCATGGAATTCTCGGTGCGGATTTCGACTCGCGAAATGTCCAACCCATCGATGACCTTCTGGACTGCCTCGACGTCCGCACCAGGAGTAGCGGTAAGGGCCAAGACGCGGAAGCTCTGGTTAAAGCGCCTTAGGAAACTGACCACTTCCACGTATGCATAGGCGCCAGTTGCGCGATGTGCTTCGTCGACAACGAGCAACACTATCTTCTTGGGGTCAGCGTATCCTCCTTTAAGGTCGTTCAGCAGGGTTTGAGGTGTCATGAAGAACACTCTTTTATCCCGCCACTCTTCTGATCTCAAGCCTGGCGAAACGCCTCCGGTGAGCATTGTCGTGTACGAGCGCGGAATACCGACGGTTTTATAGCAGGCTTCGACCTGCTGAGATACAAGCGGCTTGGTGGGCGCAACGAATACTATCTGAGCTTCCGTTGTCCAGCGAAACCAGTTGAGCATAATAGTAGCGGCGATAAAGGTTTTCCCGAGACCAGTTGGAAGAGCGACCAGCAGGTTACTGAAAAGACCCCTTTGTACGATGTTGAACTGGTAATCTCTTATTGTGCCCAAGTTAGTCGGGTACACCCAGGTCTTCATCGCTTCAGCATCCAGCTTGTGATGAGTTGGCGGCTCTTGTTTCTGGTCGACGACAAAACTGTAACGCTTGTTCGCTTGTGAGGGTGGAACCGTGGCATTATTCCCCGCACGCCCAAACAGCGTAGTTTGTCGTAGGCCTGTTTTTGGGGCTATCAGATGCTTGTGAGCCCCTGTCACTAAGACATCGCCATTCTGCTTCTGGGGGGACGATGAGGAGGATGCGAAAGCATCCGAGGGCAAGTCCGCCAAGTCTTGTGTAAAATCGTAGTCCACGGTTGCACCGTTCGTCAATGGCAATCTTGGTGACTCTTCGACTTCAAGAGGCGAGTCAGAGTCGTACAGAGATATTGGAGCTTGCGGTTCTGGTCGTGACGATATGGACTGCCCACCAGGTAGCGAACTAGTTTTCATAGCATCCAGTCCAGTCCACTTCGTAGGCTCTGACGGCCTGTGTACTCCGATTGTAGCTGTCTTTTTCGCCCATATCGCTCCTCGGGGCTTCCAAGGCGGTGAGTGCTCCTGTGGTGGTTGTGTATAGAAAGTATCGGTCATGTCCAGATTCGTGGTGGGTACATGGATTCGTTCCTGCCTCTTTTGTGCCTTTGTCTCTTTGACAGGCGATGCATCGTCCATTTCGAAATCTCGGTCAGCCTTCTGCTTCGAGTGAGCCGCCTTCTTGCGACTCGCGGGTCGATGTTCTCGAACACGACTGCCATTGGGCAAGGCTCGTGTGCTACCTGCGTCGGATAGTGTATGGTCAGTCTCGTTATCAGTGTCCTCCTCGTCGGAAGATATAAAGGGGCCGCGTCGAGCACTCTGTTGTCTTTCAGGCGGAATGGATGCGGTCCTTTGATTTATAAGGTTGACCTTCCGACGCTTGGCAGGTCTCGGTGATGCCTGAAATGTCGGCGAGTCTTCCTTCTCCGCTTGCGTGGCGGCATCCAGGAACTCAGTGTCGTCGAACTCGTCACCGTACTCATCACTGTCGGCCATTGTATCGACAGTGGTGGTGCGGCGATGTTTTATAGTGGCGTTGCGAGCTGGGGGTCACGACGCGTCGTTCTGCCTAGCGCGTTTTGGCCGTGGATGGACAGCAGAGACACTAGCGTGTAGGTACTACCTGTCACGCTGGGGTAGTAGGCACCATACACATGTCCACGGGTACACTATCTACATTGTATATCAATCGCATTCTTTTCATAATACATAAGAGCATCCGTTATGCCACCAAATTTGTTGCTGTTAACCATGTGACCAGCACATGCTTTGAAACTAAGCGCCTTGAGCACCAAGCCTGTCGCGCCATATTGCACTATCCATGAGCGCCTGCCTGCCTTCGTGGGCCGAACTTCAACTCAAGGATAATTGCGCGGCCTGTTGCGCTTCCGAAGATATTGCTCTATTGACTGATTTCAACCGTACAGCTGGAGCCGCTTTGTGACTTTATCGAGTCGACAAGCCAGTTAATGAGTAGGCAGATACGGGTGCTACGTTTGGCGATGGATATCGCCCAAGATGTATACTGACTTCCGCGCAGGGCTGCACGTCGGACCTTACTTGAGCACCCCTCATACATCGCGAGGCTGACTTGAGATGGTTCCCGAAGCCCAGACATGACCTCGGCGCCAATTGTTGGGGGCCAATACATCTTTCCACCCCTCAATCCCTACTAAGTCAGTTTCATGTCTTATGTACCACGAGCACACTAGATCCTTAATCGCACCATAGAAACTATATTTGACCTATGAGCTTGCAGGGTATAGCCCATGTTTGGGGGCGGTACTCGCCGCGAGATCGCATGCCAAGGCGGGGCAAACCCTGTCATCTTTGAGGCTGATGTCCCTGTTCAATCTCACTGGTGCTAAAAGAGGATTTTCCAAGCGCCTACACAGCGCCTACACCCTGACTGAGCTCTCGCCAGTAGTGTGAAGATACTTCGAATGACCCGATGCTACCCCATCTAGACTCACCATAATCGCGCTGGACGCCCTATTTCCATGTTCATGGCGCAGCTGGCTAGGGACATCATAGTCCCTACAGCGAATTGAGACTCCTCCATTGTTGAAGTAGACGTGTAGAGGTGCAAGAATGAGGGTTCTACAACTTAAATTTCGTTGACAGGTATTACATGCAGAATGTGTGTTGGAATATACTGAATTCTCTAAGATAATGTTGGTCTATATACTTGGAGAAACATTGTGGACAACAAAATCTAGGGCTTGACTTAGCGTCGTGTCAGCACAACGGGGCGTACTTCGGACCGATTTTGCATACTATCGATTCCAAGAGCGCGAAAAAGTGTAAGCTTAGAAGGAGAATTCTTGGAGCTTAAGGCTATGGGGCCGTAGAGCGAACGCTATATAACTGACATTGGAATCTACAAAAAAAATCATCAACACACATCTCTCTCCAGATTTCCTACCTAGCATTGCTTCCTTCTTTTTACTATTCCAATTCCCTGCATTTCAAACCTCATTTTCAGCCTCATTACCGCATAGTCGTTGAAGGAGTTGCAGCAGCGATCATGAAGTTCTTCAATTTTCCTTCTATCGTTCTTCTTGGGACTATAGCAGGACCAGCTCTTGCACAAGAGCGACCTCCCGTCAGCGATGAGTTACAGATCCCTGATAAGCGGGTGCTCAATTACTGGGCTAAGTCGACTTGCTTCAAGAGAGGTGATCGTTCAGAGCCGAACGTGAAAGAGCAATGCAGTAAAGTATGCTTCCCAAACCCGGATCCCAACAAGATTGCGGCGTCGACCTGTTGGTTTGGCGATTCCAAATGGCTTGATGGTTCTTCTGGAAAGCCGCTGGAAGACCAGAATAAGAACATACCAGGTAAGGAAACTTTCTTTGATGCTTTAGTTTTCTTTCCTAACTTTTGATAGGACTCGCTATCAAGGGTGGCTACTGCGGCTGTGACGATCCCATCATTCTGTTCGCCGGCGACTTCTTCCTGAAGTCGGTTACAGAGATGGGCAAGATCATCGAAAAGGTCGTTTGTCCAGCGTTGCAAGCGCTGGACATTGTTATCGAATTCGGCTCACTCGCTATCCCGCCACCTGGTAAAGCTATTCAGGGTGGCATGATCGCCGCAGTCAAGACTGCAAAGGCCTACAAGTATGCATATGAAGCCCAAGACGCCGCTCAGGAATGGGCCAACATGATCTTCGGTGGTCTATCGTTATCTAAATCAGCCGGATGTGGTGAACCTCCATTTTCACTGGCCAAGCTCGTCGCCAAGTTTCTCGATTTCGCAAACGTTCCTGACGCTACATTGCCAGGGGGTCTGGATTACAAGGCTTTACCATGCCCCAAAGGTGGTTGCAAAGGCACGAGGCAGGGCGAAAAACCGAAAGAGAACCCAAAAACCGACACTCCTGCGAAGACCAGCGCCCCTCCCAAGTCAACCGCAGCTTCTTCCTCTTTCAAGCCGTCTGCTACGGCAACAGCGGATTGCAAGATCCTTGGAGAGCGACTACAGGATGCACAGCCAGCAGAGAAGAGGGAAATTACTGATACACTTCATAGCCGCCGCCTTGAGAAACGTAAGCCAAAGTCTGGTACTGCTTGCATAAAGCTTAATGGCGAATGGAAGATTTCCAGCTTCAATTACCCATCCAACCCACAAAATCCAGACAGTAAATCTGCCAAAGAATTGGGATTTGTACGTTGACCCACTGTCAAAAACAATGAGTGTAGCAACTAACCATATGTCTAGGACTCTGAAGCATATGGATGGTCCACCCCACACTCTTGCGACAACTACGAATGGGGACAGGCTCATTTCAATGGAAAAGACAAATATGACACAGAGCACATCCTGGAGTGGTCTGTCATTACCAACTTCTTTACAACAATGGACGGCCAGTTCAAGCAAGATGAATTCGTACATCCAGATCCCACTCAGAACGGGAAAAAGGTCAACTTCTGCAGTTATTGGAAGGAGTCGTGGGAGTTCACAGACCTACAAGAAATCCCAAATCCTGCACCTCAGTCCGGTGCCAAGAGCAAGTTCACACAACTCAAGCCCGTCGAGTGGATTGCCGCAAATTATCCTTACAAGGACAGGGATGGCGGTGATTTCCTGAACGAGTTGACCTTGCTGCAAAAGGTGATCAACTCACCAGCCAAAAACAATGTAAGTCACAGTACTGAGAATATTTACCTAATCTCAATTGCTAACTTTCGTGACTCAAGATGTTTGGGACTGAGCCAATCTACAACGACGACGATATGGAGAAATACATCAAGCGGACAGTGAAGAATGTACAGCCACAAGACTCGCCCCGTGTAGCCATTCAGCGCATAAGATCCGTTGTGGGTGCATTCAAGTACATGCAAGAGAAAGAAGTCGTAAAGATCTTCAAGGATGAGAAAGTCCGCATCGGCGTCGTCATTGATGGTATCGACAAGAATCTTCCGAAAACTCCTCGAGTGTCAGGCACGAAGAAATACACACCCTGGAAAACACTGGGTCTCGGAGCAAAATGGGATGTGTACATGGACGGGGTGTTCAAGACTGCCAAGGATAAGGGCACCAAGTTCGTCGAGGACAATATCAAGCGCCTGAAAGATGAGTACACTTCTCAAAAAGCAAAGGATGCGGCCAAGGACGATGACAAGAAGACCCCCAAGGAGAGGAACGAGATTGCCGAGTGGGCAAAGCTGCGCGAAGACATTGAGAAGATCATTCCTAAGCTCGAGGCTGAGTGGAACAAGGCCAAGGGCTGGACCAAACCGTGGTAGATTTTTCAGGTTCACATTGTACTTCTTGCTTTTTGCTTCTTAGCCTCCATAAGCGTTGCATGATAACCATATACTCTTAGCTCAGCTCTGGGATCTGTCCCATGACTTCTATCTCATCTTGTATAAAAGACTCGAAGTAGTGCCAGTGCACTAGTCCTTCTCCATACGTGTCGTCAATCCAGTGCTCTTTCAGACCATCATCCCCTGGCTGGCGTCCAATTTGCTGGAAAAGTCCATGGAGCTCGGGATCGGGGCGCCACTTGGAAACTCTCCACCAGAGTTGCGGGACCTCTGATGGAAGCCTTTCGGGGTGTGTCAAGTCCTTCTCCCCTGATGCTCGATAATAGACTCCCCAAGCAAGTGATCTGTAGTCTCGCATTTTCTCTGAGAGCCACTTATCCTCTGCGTGATCATCATCATCGCTATCATAATCACTACCATACTCGGGCTCCCAGGCAAGAGAGCACCAGAGTGCTGCTTCTTTAAGCGATTTCATTTGTGCCGTTGCGCTGGCGAAAGCTGCTAGGAACGGTCGCAAGGTATCATCGTTTGGAACAATGCGAAACTGGCTAGAGAGGGTATCATTTTCACGATGCCCATCGTCTTGGATGTTTCGTTGCATCTCTTCGTCATATTCGCTCTCTTCCAAAGGCGGATACGAGGCGTCAGTGACTTCAAAGCCCACCGTGTCCCGCCCTTCACCATTAGGGCCTTGAAAATACCATTTCCCCGACGGGCTGACCATGTGAAACATGACAACAAGACTCTCCAAGTTTGGCCAAGAAGTATTGCCACCGTTTTCAGGCCAGAATAGTGACTCGTCTGCTACCACGCGGAGGTGGAGCCGTCGGAGCTGGTGTGAAAGGTGATGTAGACTGGTGCTGAAAGGATCATTGGGCGCTGGCATTACCAGGTTCGGTTGCGCATTGAGATGATCGATCCCCGTAACTTCGTCAAGTGGATGAAGGAAATCGAGACAAATGCGCCGGAGTGAGTTGGGCAGACGCGCAGACTTTAGAGCTTCCGCAAAATCCCTTCTTGTGTCTCTTCGAGGCCCAGCCCAGTCCCGGGAGAGATATCGTGCGGCTTTTGTCTCCCACTTCGGCTGCCACTCATCGCCCCCGATACGACAGCCCAAATATTCAAGGTTTGGCAATTGGACAGCGAGATCTACCATCACACGGTAGTCCAGCTTCACGGTCGCTAACCCATAATCTTCATCCCTAGTCTCAAACGGTGCTTGCACACCTCGACTTATTTCCAAGGCGCGGATCGATCCAAGCGTCGGAAGACTCTCAGGCTCTAGCAAATGGACGCGCCAGCTCAATTGTCGATGGTAGGCGAGTGTTGGATGCTTGTTTGACACCCATCGCAGAGGAGCGTATAGCTTGAGCAATATCTTGCCGGGGTTATTCTGTTCTCCCGCACGTTGTTCCACCGTTTTGATGGTATCAAAGAGGAATGTGATTTGCTGGGTAAGACTTCTGTCATTCTGCCTCAATTCGTCCGCATTGTCGCGACCTTCTGGATACGTGTATTCAATGCGCGGAAGGCGAATCCAGAATTCAAGTTCGCGCAGATACGAAAGTCGATGGCCAGAGAAGGTGTCCACGAACTTGTTGGCGTTTCCTTCATGCAGGCCGAATCCATGGAAAGCCCTCGAGTACTTCTCAGCAGAAAAGCGGAAGGATTTCGAAAGTAGTAGGGTGCTCTTGAGGTCATCGTGTTCCAGATAACTGCTGATTCGATCAATTAATTCCGGTGGAATTTTGTCCATGGCTGTAACTCGATGGTAGACCTTGTAGTGGTTGAGACGTGGTGTTGTAAAGATTGGCAGTAAACACTCACAAATGAGAACCAAGAGGGTAACGTGTTCTGCTGCGGCCTAACCCCCGCCCCACCCAAGACCCAACATAAGCGCTATTTTTGAGTCTCAGTCGCGAAACCATAACCCTTGCACTTAATTAATATGTCGAACACAGGGCCAAAATTACGGCGCGAGACTTTCTATCACCCGCAAAGTTAGAGGCTAGATAATTTTCGTATCTTAGCATACTGTACCTTTAATTGACTATGGTGAACGTGAGACGCAGCCTTGCATAACGGGTAGCAACATGTTTATTGCAAAGAATTTACCTGCAAGCACGGCCACTGAACTGATCTATGGGCTTTGCCGTCAATGTGGTGACTTCAATGTATCGGGCGCTCATACACATGACGAGAAGGCAGGCATGTTACTTATCACGTGATGGGCTGTGCCGCTCGAGCGAATCAAGCAGACAAGCGGAAGCGAAACCGGGAAACAGGCCCCTGCATGGAGCCTTCCGCAAATAAGGCTGATCAGACGCCAGACATCCCTGCTTGTCGGCTGTTCTAGCCCAGAACAGGATAGTGGATTCCAGAATCAGTTTAGACGACGGGAGTGACTATTTGCAGAATGCCCCCTAACATTGGCGATACATTGGCAGTACAATAAAGCTGTGTCAAACTGCCCCAGGTGGCTTCCTGCTATACATCGACACACACACACTCGTTTTGTACTTCCACACACTCGCTCACAATTTATCTATAGTATATATATATTAATACTCGTTGCACCGTACCACACGATACACCGTTCCGTTCCGTGTCACACCACCCCCAACATTACTCCCACAATGAAGTACTTTGCCATCCTCGCTTTCGCCATTGGCGTTCTCGCCATTCCTCAGGATGCCTCCGTCACCAGCGCTCCCACGTCGTCTGCTATCCCTGGGCTCACGCCCTCTGTGAGCTGCGCAATGGCATGCAAGGCTGGAGATGTCGACTGCCAGGCCGCGTGCTTGGGCAACGCCCGCCCCAACGCTTCCCAGGCGATCGCAACCAACGAATGCGCCGCCAAGTGTGATCAGGGCTCCGGCTCGACTGAGGATACAAAAGCATTTGCGAAGTGCGTCGACGCCTGTATCAACAGCCTCTTCCCCAGCAGCCAGACTGCCTTTGCTCCAGGTGGTGCCGCTGCCTCGAACGCTGCGAGCGCATCGGGCACCAACGCTGCCAACCCCACTGCTTCTGCTGGTATGTTATATTGGCGGCCGCACGATGTCAGTACATATATATCCTAACGTTCTACAGGTTCCCGCGCAACCAACTCTGCTTCCGGCACTGGCGCCAGCAGCCCTCAATCGACTGGCGCTGCCGATAGCAACTCGGCTCGTATGGCTGGTGCTGGTCTTGCTGGTCTCCTGGCCATCTTCGCTTTGTAAATCTTACCATTTTTACGCTCTGTTTCGATCATGTACTATGTGGCGACGATTTTTCAATGATTGGTAGAGATGCCAAATCAACAAGATCAGACCGAAATGCCGGGTCCGGGGTTACTGTGGTACCTTTTCGTACTCGGTCCATGTAGACGTTGTGTACTGTTGTGTTGTTGTAATTGGATGGTGTGAATGGTGGTGGATCATTTTGATTAAGTAGTCGTGCTAGCTTAATCGCATCGTTGTTGTTCGCGCTGCAGTAAGAGTGAATGGAGTTGATCCCCACAGCTGGAAATCGGCGCCAAAGCAACTAACGAGATGGCGTGGCTTGTGTGGCTTGTGCGTCTGGATGCAGGTCAGCCGATGACGCAGCGACCGCCCCACCACTGACTGCATGCAGCCGCGCTTCAGCCCCTTCAAAATGATACCGAGAACACGCCTCTGGGGTCGCCTGAGGTGTACAGGCTATTATTTGTTCGTTCGTTGTTCAGTATCTCAAGGATATGCGATGGTATCCAGGCACGGAGGTATGGCCCAAGGCAGGGTCTCAGAGCCGCAGCTACGGTAATCACGAGCGTAGGTATTTTGTAATACCTTCAAAGTATGCCCGCCTCGGTGCATATCGAAAATCATCTACTAGACTGCGCACGCTGGAATTTGAAAAACACTCGTAGTCGCGATAGCAAATGTTGGTGTGCGCATAGAAGTAAGGAGCGTGTGAGCTCACTAGCCGGAATGCAAAGTGCAAGGTGTTCGACCTTTGGAAACACCGGCTGTACGATCACCATTATCGCATCGCAGCACCAAGTGCGGCGAGGATTCGGATCTATTCCCTCAAGTCATGCTCGCAACAGTGATACCACTACCGGATATTGAGGTGATCTGGTTGTGTTCATGCTACAGGTGGCTGCGAAATAGCCTGTCGTTGTAGAAATTACAGATTGTTTTCTCGAAGCAGTCCCATCTTGACTTAGAAGCTTCTAAAAAAATGGAGAATCTTTCAAGAGCTCAACTCAAGGGCTTGATCCAAATCATGAAAGTAGTTAGATTTTCAGTTGTGTATTTCGTCTAAATCTGGACATGTAGCTTGGCCACCTCAACCGATTGACACGTTGGGCGACCGCAGCTTTGCCACTTTCCTGTCTTCGCCTCGAAATGAAACTGATGCCGTACTCTATAGGAAAGTAGAAGGTGTACCTGCAGGCAGAGTGGGTGCAGGAGAAAGGTTACACAAATCAACGAGGAGGTTTGCGATGGAAGGTGTGTCGACGTGAATGAATGTGCTGAGTGGAGCTGGGTTGCCTCGTGTCACTATGCAAAGTAACCATTCGGGAATGGTCTATAGACGTAATAATACTCCTTCCGTAATGATGGCTCGCCGTGCATATGGCTGGGTGTGTTCGAAGAGGGTTAGATTTGGAAATCAGGAGCTGTGAAGCTGTGTAAACCCGCCCAGACCCACGTCTGTGTTTGTGGGATGGGAAAGGAGAACGGAAGAGCTTGCCGTAGCTGGTCATGGGAGGGTCCTAGGTGGATTCCAACACTACCAGCATCGCCTGGATGGGGTCCTTGCAACAGCCTCGCGAATAAATTGCACGTTTCCCGCGCACACCCGGGGCAGGAGTGTTATTAACTCGCTGTGCGAACTGATGGCAGCGAACATCGGCAGACGGAGTTTTGCATGCCAAGTGCACTTTAGCGAATTACAGCCAGGCAAGATATCGCTGACGAGGATTGGCTAGTGCAGCTCATGCTGCGAGGGGGCCAGCCGAAGACCAGGACGATTGCGAAATGGATCTGCTAGCGTCGTGTGTGTGCCCTGTCTGCTGCCGCTGGATTATCCCGGTGCCGTTCGGCTGCATCACCAACTTTGCAATGCGCTCCTCCACGCTGGTTAGTGCTGAAAGTGAGAGCGTCGTCAGAGTCAGCTAAAGCGCAAATCGGTCGGACCGTTTCAGACCGGGCTGATGTGGCCGGAACATGTGGGTGCGAACGAGAGTCAGATGCGGTAGCAGGCCGAGAACCCGACTGAAGCTACAGGAAGATCTTGCTGGACCCTGTTTAGTACGCTTGTGAGAAGGCCTGCTAGAAGTGTGGTGGAGTGAGTGCTGTGGTGAAGAATAATGCGGCCTCCTGTCTTCATCAAACGAGGTGTTGTACGTTAGAACCAAACCCTGCAACTAAACGCGCCAATCTAGTTAGTGCCCTGACAACCATACATCGCCTCCTTCGACTCTCCTCGCTGGGCCCCCGCAACTCGCCCGCCAGCCATGCTCAGACTATGTGTTGTACGGAGCGTTGGAGCGCACGGGTTTGGAAGAATATATACCCCGTTATATAATCACCCAAGCCAGACGATGCTGCGTGACTACCTTTACGATACTATGCTTCGCCACTTAGTATGTCCAAGTCAAGATTGCCAGGAGTGGGTGATTCAACTGCAAATGGTGAAGATGTATGTGTTCGACAATTGCGTGTTGGTGGTGTGGCATCAGACAGGGGTGGCGTGGGATCTTTGGTTGACACAAAGTATGCAGAGTGTGAACGTGCCAAAAAAAAAACTACCATGAACGAAGCAAAGGCAGCAGGAAAGCCATCAACAACCCCAGAAGCTACCGAGGCATCCGCCTCGGCGCGTGTGGGAAAGCGTGCGAGAGGCGGCGAGGTGATGCTAGCAGAAGCACCGATGAGAAAGATGAGATATGGGTAAGAAAAGACTAGGTCCCACGGGAGCCTTGGGCATACGCTTGGCGCCGTTAACCTCCATTCGCGATTCTATCCCGCCCTCTTGAACTCTGAATTCCTTCTACCACCTGCTCCCTTCTTCATCAATCCGCCCACACGACGCATGCTTCCGTCTACACTCGACTCATTTGCCGGTTTCGCCATCGGCTCCATCAAGTCAACGGCCCAGAGAGGTCAAATTAGCCACGCTTGATCACTTGCTTTGACGTTCTGCGTGTATGCGCCATTGGGCTTGCCCATTACTACGTTGATATCCGCATTTGACGGGCTTTTACTCAACCACCACCCTGGCGACAGCCCGTGCCTGCCCTCTAGGGGTTCTTCGCCGTCCTTTGGCCCGTCTTCTGAGGTGATACTGTTTTCCACGGCAGTATTTTGCCATGACGGACGCGAAGAACGGCGGAGGCGAGACTTTATTGTCCAAACTCGCAGATCGGCCTGTTGCAGATGGCACGCGCAACGAAGACGATGCAGAAATGGGTCAAGTCCATCACAGCAGCCCTGCAGCGGGCGTTGCGCATTCAAAAGCAGCCAGCAGGGCTCCTTCGACCAGAAACGTAACTCCCACAGCTGCATCCTTGCAGGAGGGCCGCCAGGCCGCGCTGCAAAACTCCAACGACGCGTCTTCGGCCATGGAAGATGTCCAGCCGTCGCAGGAAGGGGCCATGACTTTTTCCAAATCTGCGACGCAGCCTTCAGCAAACGACTCTGAGGAAAACGACGCGGCGCCATCCTCATATGGCACGCGGTCGCGCAACCGACCCGGCAGATCGCGGCCAAATTATGCAGAGGACACTGAAATGGACTTTGAAATGCCGGCTGCACCTGCGAATGGCAGCATGTCTGATCCGCCGTCGCGAAATTCTGTGGCTCCGGACAGCGGGCATTCTTCAAGTGTGGGTGGAAAGAAAGGTTCCGCTGCTGCAGCACAAGCCAATGCGTCGTGGGGTAGTGCCGGAGGAGCCAACAACAACAATCTCAAGGACCAGCCAGCAAATCATGCCAGTCTAGCCGGCGCAACAGCAGCAGCATCAGCATTAGCATCGGCATCCACCTCAGCAGCAGGAACTCAGTCCGGAACACCCCAGCCGACGACGACGACGACTACCACCACCACCACCACCAAACGACGGAAAAATGCTGCTTCTGCTGCTGCTACGAATGGGACCCACGCCAGTGTAGCTGCGCCAAGCCAAGCTGGGGCGAAGCGCGGAACCCTCGTCGCCAGCAGCAGCAGCAGCGCACGCGAGTCCAACATGTTGACGTTTGAGAAGACGGGCGCATTTCTTAAAAATGGCCACCTGGAAGCCGACGATGGCCAGACTGTGTCGATTAATGGTAAGCTTTTGATTTGCGCTCCCTGCAGCTGAGGGCCCTTCCGCTGCGCCCAGCCACGTCTTGTGGCTTCAACCGCGATTTCTAATTGGGCGTCTAGATCAAGTGTACCTCGTCTGCGAGCCGCCCGGCGAGCCCTACTACCTGTGCCGGGTCATGGAGTTTATCCACGTCGACAACAACCCGGCGAAGCGCATCGAGTCGATGCGGGTCAACTGGTTCTACCGTCCCAGAGACGTGCAGCGCTACAACAATGACACTCGTCTGGTCTACGCGACCATGCACTCGGATCTCTGCCCCATTGCGTCACTGCGAGGAAAATGCCAGATCCTGCACAGAAGCGAAATCAGGGATCTCGACGACTACCGCAAGACCAAGGACAATTTCTGGTTTAATCAGGTCTTCGATCGCTTCATTCACCGCTGGTACGATGTTATCCCCACATCACAGGTCATCAATGTACCCGACAAGGTCAAAAAGGCCCTGGATGAACGATGGAAATACATCTGTCTCGAGACGAGCCGCGTCAAGGAACTCACCAGCGCAGTCAAGAGCTGCAAGCGCTGCGTTGGCTACTGTGCAGCGTAAGTCTTCACTATGCCATGCTCACGTGACACGTGACTTGCGCTAACCGTATTAGTAATGACTCGGTTGAGTGCGCCGTCTGCCACAACACATATCACATGAACTGTGTGCGTCCACCGCTACTGAAGAAGCCGTCGCGCGGTTTCGCCTGGGCTTGCGGGCCATGCAGCAGAGCACAAGAGAAGAAGCTCGAGGCTCGACGGACCCCCCTTGTCGGTGCCTCAAATGAGGAAGGTGAGGAGGAAGAAATGGTCGATGAGGAAGAGGAGGAAGGAAGCGGTGACACCAACGCAACCACGCCCGATCCCGAGTCTCAAATTGACCTCCACCCTGCAACACAAGCTGAAATCGCCCTGGCAAAGATGTGGCCCATGCGATACCTCGGCATACATTGTCGAGTAGAGGACGCGTTACAGTACGATGACAGGGCCATATACCCACGCGCAAGTTCACGACTTGGACCACGACATCAAGCAAACGTCAATGTCTGGCACGGGCACGCGGTCGAGTTCGTGAAACCCGCCGAGATCAAGAAGCGCTATGTCAAGGCAGCGGGCAACAAGAAAGAGAGCAAGCTATCCAAGGAGACGGTTGCTGCAATTGAAGCAGACAAGGCCGAAAAGGCCAAACGCCCCAAGTGGGTCATGGACGAGCCACCGGGCTACGTTCGCCGTGGCGGGGATCTGCCCAACAAGGACTCAAAGTGCACAGCGGAGCTCATGTTCAAGATGCCCCCTCTAGGCGTACACTCAACACGTGGTGAAGATAATTCCCCAACTGTCACCGAAGAACAGGTAAAAGCCTACATGGTTCGAGCCAAGGCTTTGGCGAAACAGCACGTTGGAGTGGAGCCTTACAACACCAACTTTTTGGACAAATGCTTGACCCTGTTTACAAAGCATCAGTACGACGCCGACGTTGCACTCAAGCATGTCAAGAAACTCGACAAGCGGAAGGATCTCAAGGAGCCGGAGTTGACAAAAGAAGAGGAGAAGAAGTGGAACGAAGGTGTCGCGAAATATGGCTCCGAGATTAGAAGCGTTCGCCTGCATACCAGCAAAACAATGTCCTATGGAGATGCCGTTCGCTACTACTACATGTGGAAGAAGACGTCCAAGGGGAGGGAGATATGGGGCGCTTACAGCAACCGGAAAGGGCGGAGCAAGAAAGTGGAGCCGGATGCGCAGAGTCGACTTGTGGATGATATCGCGGACAATCAGGACGACTCGGCATTTGACAACGACAAGGCCATACAACGGAAGCGCAACTTCCAGTGCAAGTTTTGTACCATTCGACACTCGCGGCAATGGAGACGCGCTCCTGGTGTTACCCCTGGTCAGATGATACCGCCCGATGGTCGATCCAAGGACAAGACGGGTTTCGTTGTCGCACTTTGCCTGCGTTGCGCAAACTTGTGGCGTAAATACGCAGTCAAGTGGGAGAACGTAGATGAGATTGCAAAGAAGGTTGCTCAGGGTGGAGGCAAAGCTTGGAAGAGGAGGATAGACGAAGAGCTCCTGCGCGAAGTCTATGCTGCGCAAACTGAACCTAGTTCGATGAACGGTACTCCAGAGTACGCTGATCTGCCAACCGCGACCGCTCAACCTGTTGTGGAGCCTCCGAAGAAAAAGCAGAAGACTACTGCCACTATGAATGGAGACAGTGGGACATCAACGCCCGCCAACGAACCTGTCTCGAAAAAGAAAGAGAAGGAGAAGCCTGCTCCAGTACCCAAAGCCCCTACACCTCCGCCAGTCCCCGCCCCTCCGCGGCTCAGAGCCTTGCCTTGCGCTGTATGCCAGTCAGCGGAAGGTTCACGCCTGGAGTGTTCGGCTTGTCGATTGAACGTTCACAAGTCATGCTACGGTATTGAGGAAGTCAGACAAGCTAACAAGTGGTATTGCGACACGTGCAAAAATGACAAGAAAGAGAGCGCCTCCTATGTAAGTAGTTTTGTGTCACCACTTCTTGGCCAACTTCTAACCATTTTTAGACTTATGAGTGTGTCCTTTGCCCGCAGCGGGATACAGAACTGGAATTCTATGAGCAGCCCAAGGTGTCGCACAAGAAGAAAACCGACCGGGACAGGGAGAAGGAGCGAATGGAGAAAGAGCTCGTTGATCAAGCCAAGGATGAATACCGCCTCAGGCAGCTAGAAAAAGGCCGACCACTCGTGCCCCGAGAGCCGCTCAAACGTACAGCCGACAATAACTGGGTGCACGCGTATTGCGCACTTTGGCACCCGGAAATCAAGTTTAGCAACGCCGCTCGCCTCGACGTGGTAGAGGGAATTGGAGCACCGTCACTTCGATACGACGCGACATGCAAGCTGTGCAAAACAACCAACGGCGCTTGCACGGCCTGTCTGCACTGTCATGCGACCTTTCATGTTGGCTGTGCGCATAGCGGGGGCTATATCTTTGGTTTCGACATGACCCCAGTCAAGGCTTCGCGAAGGGACGCAGTGCCCACGGTCACTATAAATGGAGAGACCGGCACCTTGGTCGCGGCGATATGGTGCAAAGACCATGCGCCAAAGACTGTTGTTCATCCGATGAACGAGGAAGTGGAGGGAACGGACATGATCGCCCTGCAACTCTTTGCGCGAGAGTTCAAACAGGCAGATCTGACACTTACGGGCACTGCACGCAAGGCAAACTTGGTGGATCAATCCACGCGGATCGTACCCCAGCCACTCCCAACACAGATCAACCGTCGAGCGTCTGCCGTCACTGCCCCAACACCTACCTCTGCACGAGGACGACAGTCGAATGTCGGCTTGCCCTCTAAAGAAGAATCTAGCGAGCCTACAATGCCCAAGTCCGAACGTAAATGCGTGCGGTGTACGATCGACGCCAGCCCTCGTTGGTGGAGGGATGACGAAACACTACCCGCACAAAACGCGTCTCGTGGTGTGGATGGTCCATTGGGCGTGAATGGTTCCGAGCCGAACGGGCATGTCGAGAAGAAGCCAGCCGTCGAGAACGGAGTAATTGCCAATGGGTCTACTGATCACCGGATGACCGACGCGCCACCTATTACTTCAGCCACGCCACAAAGCCAGCTACGGTTGGATACCGACATGGCTGTTGTTCAGAGTACGGCCTACTTATGCCAGAAGTGCCACTGGAAGAAGCAGAATGGCGCGGTCGACGAAGAGGAGCGGCCAAGGTCCGTTTCGGTCCTTCCCGAACCACAGCACCTAGTCCTGCGATCACCTCCGGTACAGCCGTATGCACCTCCCCCGCCACCGCCTGCAATGGCTGGCTCGTGGGGTGTCCCGAGCGGCCCTCCGTCTCTTCCGCCAAACCAACCTCCCCCGCTGCCGACCTGGCATAGTTCTGCACCGCCTTCCGGACCTCCTCAGCATCCTCAGCATCCTCAGCATCACCTACTTAACGGGAATGGATATCCGCCGCCTCCGCCGCTACAGGCTCCTCCTGTCGGCCACCCGGTGCAATACCATGCGCCATACCCTCAGCCGAACGGGTACCCGCCATATTCGGGCCCACCGATGCATCCGCAGATGCCTCCAGCGGTCCTTCGCGCATCTTATCCTCCGCCCCCCGTAAGCGGGCCTCCTCAGCCACTGCATCTCAGTAATGGTGGCCTGCTAGTTAATGGCATGCAGTCGCCACGTAGTATGCCCTACTCTCCTACCCACCCACACATGCATCATTCTTCGCGCTCTACCGAGAGCCCGTACACTGCTCCTCCACCAGTAGGGTCACAGTATCCTCCTCTCCACCATGGTAGCCCCGCGCCTGGTCGACCCACAACTCCCAGGGACGTAGTGATGCGAGACGTTCCCTCTGTGACGTCGGCACCGACTGAGCGAGCCAACACGGGCGCCAGCGCCAGTCCTTCGCTTCGTAACTTGTTGCATTAGATTCCCCTTTTTATTTCCTACTTGTAAAACTTTCCATTGAGCCTTATACTTGGGGCATATTGAATCGGAGTTGGCTAAGCCTTTGGGCACATTCAGCATGGGGTGGAGGTGCGCGGATCCACTGTGGCGCATCGGGCGAAACAAGACGGATGGTTCTGTATGATGGCATATCGGGGGCCTGGGGTACCGTATGTCATTTCGTTATTGGGTATGGAAAGGGGGAGTTCCGTGGCATTATACCACAACGTTTACCTGTGTGTTTCTAATTTTACTCTCGTTGCAGTGTACGGTTAGAAGGAGGAGCGGTCGGAAGGGCATCATCGTGTACGATGGATGTAGACAGCTGGGATATAGCCATTACCTGAGCCGCGAATACTGAAGTATGCTTCAGCGTCGTCGACAATAAACTATACGTCAGTCTTGATACAAGTCGTCAATGCGTCAAAGATGATGTCGGACCGCCACATTCGCGCGTGGCCCCACAGATACCTATCGAACCACCGCCACGGCCACGTTTCCAAGCGTCGTCGTCGTCAATAAGTGGCTGTGGAATGCGTTGCGGCAGAGACGAGACGTCCGGATCACAAACAGAGTCAGCATCTGTCCTGGACCGGACAAGCTTTCGATAGCCTCGCAGCTAACGCAGCGCACGGTCTCGCTTGCGTGGCCTCCCCCCCTTGTGCCTTGCATATCATCCCGACCTCCTCCCCCAACCTCAAGTTACACCAGCCACAGCATCACGCTTCTCTCCTTTATTTCTATTTGTTTCTTTTTTACTCGCTCATTCATAGCCTCGATTCAATCTACACATTTCACTTCATCGGCACTAAACGTTCGCAATTGTTGTTGTAGTGGTTCCTAACCAACCCCATACCCTGCCTAACCGCCAACCATCACCCTGAAACCAACGCACCCACCACGACACAGCCGAAACGGAGAGTGTTGGAAACCCGTACGGCCTGCGACAGACGTCAGATTCGGGTTCGACATCGCCGAACGATAGAAGGTGGCACAGCCACTGCGCCGCAGTGTACCCCTACTCCTGGACTGCCCGCACCTTGAGAGCTTCGTCTCCCTGTCTGGCTCTCGGATCAACTCCTACCCCTCTGATCGCCTCTTCGACATTCCCGCACGTCTCGCATTCATATACCCTTCGTCTGATAATTGAATCACTCGGAACGCTGCATATAAACACATTTCAACCATGGTTCTAGCAAAGAGATATTGCGTCCAGTACGACAGTGGGCAGCTGAGATGCTACGGCGAAGACGGGTTCTGGTATACTGATGTAAGTTCTATTCGCAACCGGGTCTCGTTACCCCTCCCCACAGCCTTATCCCTACGTTGGCAGCTATGAGTAGTCGGAAACTAACAATATGCTGCAGAAAGGTTTAATAATCAAATGGATCTTCCTGGCCGTCATATTCCTGCTATTCATGTACTTCATCGGCGGCTACATCCACGCAAAGAACCGCATGAGAAAGGGCCTACCGCTGCTTGCGTATCATCGTGTAAGCCTCCAGCCCACATCCACACCAGTAAATCACGAGTCCAGCTAACACGGAACGATAGTTTCTAGTATCCGGCTCGGACCGTAGGCGCTACGGCCAAGGCGGCGTCCCGCAGAACCACTTCACTTTCTACCAAACACAGCAACAACAACAGCCGTATCACCCGAATGCACCCTACCAGCAGCGGCAAGACGGCGCGTGGGCTGAGCCGCCTCCGCTTTACCAGAACAACGATGCGCCGCCGCAGTATTTCCCCCCTCCAGGTGCGACAAAAGCCCATCCGAATCAGGCAGGTGGTGCTGGGGCCATGGAGATGCCGCAATACGGTGGTGGACCACAAGGAGGGCCTCAACAGAGCGGCGTGGTGGGAGGATCGAGTACGGCGGATGTGGAACAGGGACAACAGACGCAGCAGCTGCCGCCGAGACCGCAGGCCGCCAAGGCAAAGATTCTAGGCTTGGTAGAGAGATTTAGACGGTGAGGGGAGGGGGTGGTGGAGAAGAATATATGAGATGAGTCGACTATTATGTTTATTTTTGTTTGATTTGTTGAAAGTGCATTTAGCGACGCATTGCGTGACTGGATCATGCCTTGTAATATCATTAGAATATAGTAATCTGCATACCGATACCCATGTCCTCATGGGATCCTTCCAATTAATCAATCAGTCAATGTCCATTGCATCGTCGTCATCTTCTGCTGGTGGTATATCCAGCATGCCAGTAGTAGCTCCATGCACTCCATCTGGCTCAGTGACTGGGTTCGCCTGCTTCTCTCTGATCCTCCGGCGTGCCTCCACGATGGCCTTCCTCACATTATCGTGTTCTTCCGGCACGCTCAGACTCGTAGGCACATTGTACAGCACGAGCTGGCTGTCTTCGGGCGTCTTTGGCTCGGGCCCAAGGAGTATGTGGCGCGGTATCTTGGAGAGGTGTTTCTCGATGTCGGACAGGAAGATGGGCGTGTCTTCGTCCGACTCGATGTCGGAGAGTTCGGCGTTCAGGTCGGCGATGTAGACTCTATGCGGCGTGTCTTCGACTTGCATGACATCTTCGTCGGGCGGAGGGCGCGGTCTGTGGGAGCGCTTGTTGTGTGATATTGTGGGTTGTGGTGGTTGTACAGCTTTGGCAGCAGGCGATTGAAGCGCACTGGAGCTTGAAGAGCCGGGCACGCCAATGTAGAGGCGAGTGCCGTTGTCGTCGACTGGAGGAGCGTCAGTTGTGTACTCTGCAGCAATCGTCGACGACGGTTGCTTACGCAGGTTCAACAGGTCGAATCGCTTGCTCAGCCGGTGCTCGTGCTCCAGCGAGTTCTCGGCAGGCCGTTTCTTGCCATGAGGCGCACTCTGCAGCGGTGCTTGTGCTTGTGCTTGTGCTTGTTGTGGTTGCTGTTGCGCTTGCGGGTGGGCTGGGCTACCGGGAGCTACGACCTCCGCCATCCATGACAGCTTTGCTCGCGTTCGTTTCAGTCTTTTAGGTTGAGTTTTTGATTCTGCGCTGTTCTCTTCACGCGCTGCTTTCTTTGGCGAGTGGTGGCGGTCGTGTGTCGATGCGACGAGACATTGTGGTTGAAGGTTAGTAGTTATACATCGGGCAAGGCGCAAGTACGTGAAGCTTCTGGAAGGGTACGGTACCGTCGGTCCTCCGAAGGGCAGAAAGCCGCGCCCCGCCATCCCAAGCCCGCACTCTCATGAATGTTGCTACTCCACCGATCCATAGCTGCCCCTCTGAGTCACCCGTCGTGTAGAGGCCGACTACTCAAGACTTCCACCTGCAGCCACTTCAAGGCACAATACTCCCCCTGCCGCCCTCTCCGCCCTCTCTACACACGACCCTTCACCTGCTCACGAGCGCTTTCTATACCCCTCTACCGCAACGCGCAGGCCGCAAACATGTCGGTCCTCGAAGAGCAGCACGAATGGGGCGCCGTCCGCGTGCGCCAGACCTTCCTGGACTACTTCAAGGAGCGCGGCCATTCATTCGGTACGTCTTCAATGGCTGCTGGCGCAGTCAGAATGCTTGAAAATGTCAATTGACAGTATGCGCAGTCCCCTCCTCCTCTGTCGTCCCCCTCTCCGATCCCACCCTCCTCTTCACCAATGCGGGCATGAACCAGTACAAGTCCATCTTTCTCGGCACCGTCGACCCCTCCTCCGACTTTGCGACCCTCAAGCGCGCCACCAACTCCCAAAAGTGCATTCGCGCGGGTGGAAAGCACAACGATCTCGACGATGTGGGCAAGGACAGCTACCACCACACCTTCTTTGAGATGCTGGGCAATTGGAGTTTTGGCGACTACTTCAAGAAGGAGGCCATAGGCTTCACCTGGGAGCTCCTCACCAAGGTCTATGGCATTGACCCCCAGAGACTGTACGTCACGTACTTCGAGGGCGCGGATGGCCTCGAGCCGGATCTAGAGGCCAAGGACCTGTGGAAGAGCGTGGGCGTGCCCGAGGACCATATCTTGCCCGGCGACATGAAGGACAACTTCTGGGAAATGGGCGACCAAGGACCGTGTGGGCCTTGCTCAGAAGTCCACTACGATCTGAGGGAACCGGAGGGTGGAAAGTACAGAAACGCTGCCGACTTGGTGAACCAGGACGACCCAGAGGTCATTGAGATTTGGAACAACGTCTTCATACAGTACAACCGTGAGCCTGACAGGTCGCTGCGGCCACTACCGAACAAGCACATCGACACGGGCATGGGTTTCGAGCGACTAGTCTGTTTATTGCAGAAGAAGAAATCCAACTATGACACCGATGTCTTCACCCCACTGTTCAAGAGGATACAAGAGATTACAGGCGCACGGGAATACAGGGGCAAGTTCGGCAAGGACGACCCAGACGGTATCGATACCGCATACCGAGTCGTCGCGGATCACGCCCGAATGATGAGCTTCGCCATTGCCGATGGCGGTGTACCCAACAACGTCGGTCGAGGCTACGTCGTACGTCGCGTGCTGCGAAGAGGCGCCCGTTATGCGCGCAAGTACTTCGAGACGGAGATTGGCGACTTCTTCTCAAAGATCATCCCTACGCTCGTCGAGCAAATGGGTGATATGTTCCCGGAGATCAAAAAGAAGCAGCAAGACATCATTGAGATCCTCGACGAGGAAGAGAAGGCCTTCGCCAAGTCGCTAGATCGTGGCGAGGTCATATTCGAGAAGTATGCACAGAAGGCGAAGACAAAGGGGTCGAATGATCTGCCCGGAGGCGACGTTTGGCGGTTATACGACACTTATGGTTTCCCCGTTGACCTTACGAAACTCATGGCTGAAGAGCGAGGTCTCAATATCAACGATAAAGAGGTCGAGGAGGCCCGAGAGCGTGCTCGTGAGGCTAGCAAGGGCGACAAAAAAGCTACCGGTGTGGTCGTCAAGTTCGATGTGCACGACCTCGGCGCGCTGGACAACATGAGCGATGTCCCCAAGACCGACGACTCTGCCAAGTTTGGTCGCGAGAATATCACAGCCGTGATCAAGGCCATCTATCACAATAAGAACTTCCTAAAGAGCACAAAGGAGGTACCAGAAGGCGAGCAATTTGGGGTGCTACTTGACAAGACCAACTTCTATGCCGAGCAAGGTGGCCAAGAGTACGACACTGGAAGACTTTTGGTCGATGGCGAGGCTGAAATCAGCATCGAAAACGTCCAGGTTTATGCTGGCTACGTTCTACACACCGGCTACATCAAGTACGGCGAGTTGAAGGTTGGCAGTGAGGTCATTGCAGAATTCGATGAGCTCCGGAGACATCCAATCCGCAACAACCACACCGGCACACACGTCCTCAACTACGCCCTCCGCGAAGTTCTCGGCAACGAAGTCGACCAGAAGGGTTCGCTCGTCGCCCCAGAGAAACTGCGTTTCGACTTCTCACACAAGGCTGGTCTTTCGGACGCCGAACTTGACAAGGTCGAGAAAATCTCCTCCAAGTATATCAAGGACGACTCCAAGGTATATGCCAAGGAAGTGTCGCTTGCAACTGCGAAAGGAATCAGGGGCGTGCGCGCCGTCTTCGGCGAGACATATCCTGATCCTGTACGCGTTGTCTCTGTCGGTGTACCTGTCGAAGATCTGTTGGCAGACCCCAGCAACGAGAAGTGGCAGAACGTCTCGGTTGAGTTCTGTGGCGGCACACACGTCCTCAAAACCAGCGAAATCAAAGAGCTCGTCATTCTTGAAGAGTCTGGTATCGCCAAAGGTATTCGCCGCATCGTCGCTGTGACAGGCCAGGAAGCATACGATGTTCAACGTGTCGCCGCCGACTTTGCCGAAAACCTCGACAGAGTAAACAAACTGCCTTTTGGTGCACAAAAAGAAGCAGAGTCGAAGAAGATACAAGTGGAGCTTAACAACCTAACCATCTCGGCGCTGTCGAAGAGCAAGTTGAGGGAGCAGTTCGCGAAGATCCAAAAAGGTATCCTCGACGAGCAAAAGGCCGCCGCCAAAGCAGATAACAAGCGCGTCCTCGACGAAGTCACAAAATACTTCCAAGACGACAGCAAGAAATTCATGGTGCAGAAACTCGACTGGTCGAGCAACGTCAACAAGGCCATCAGCGAGGCGATCAAGACAGTCAGCGGGCCGAAGAGCGCGCTTAAGGATCGGTCGCTGTATCTATTCTCTGCTTCGCCGGAAGAAGGCAAAGTGGTTCATGGATGTTATGTCAGCGAGGTAAGTCCACCCCCAACACCCAACACCCAATCTTTGCAGTCGTGGAGCAAGTACTGATTTTGAAAAACTAGCCATTCAAGAACGCCGGCGCCGACGGACCCAAATGGGCTTCTGCCGTGACTCCTATTATCGGTGGCAAAGCAGGAGGCAAGCCTGGTGCGCCGACTGCGATTGGACAGGGTACAAACGCTGACAAGATTGATGAGGGTGTCGAGGAGGCGAGGAAGTGGATTGAAAGCATCAAGCTCTAGGATTTGTACTAGGACATGAAGCTTCAAGTCAAGTTATCTACGGCTGGACTTCGTTCTGTTTGAGTGAGGGCGTATGTATTGTGTAAAAATAGACTACTAGGCTTCCAAGAATGAAGTAAAGTGACTTTATTTGTTCAAACGTATCAAGTCATTGCACGGTTCCATCAGGTGATGACGATGGCCCATTCGAGTCAGCATGATACTACCTCGACAGAGCGATTGATGTGAACCAGTCACCAACGCTACTAGGATATGTAGTTTGAATGTTTGTTAATATTGATATTGATATTCATATTCTACTTGACACCATCATGCAAGCTAATGATAATGTAATACTGCCAACTACCATGTTGCAGCTACCCCCGCCAAATCAACCAGAAATACCATACGAGTCCGCACACACATACTCTAGCCAGACTGCTCCTCAGCTCATAAAACATCAAGTTCCAGCCCCTGCGTTTCTTCTTCGGCTTGGCCACTCTCGTACTAACGACGTTGCTGTGTCCGTAGACTTTGACTTTCTCGTTGTTGTAGCTGGCTTGATCTTCAGACGAGCCGTAGTAGCCTGCGTGCTGGACGAGGGGGTATGTGTATTTGGATGATGCTGCCGATGGTGGTGGCTGAGAAGTAGAAGGGACGAGGGCGTAGGATGCAGGAGAGATGCTGCGAGTCCGTGCTTGAGCGGAACGGACTTGTAGGGTGCCTCCTCGTTCAGAGGAAGTGCTGGAATTGGAGGAGTGCGCTGGGTCGCTAAAGGGAGTTTCAGCCGAAGGGTTGGAGGCAAGAGCGGCTTTTTCATGCTCGGCGGATGAAGTTGAGGGGTTGGAAGTGGGGAGCAGAGGGGCCTCGGTGGTAGGAAGCGTGGTGGAGATGAAGCCGAACGTGACGAGGTTTGCGCGGATGAGTAGTAGAGCAAAGGTGAGCCCGAAAAGCATCCCGTACGTCAAGAACGTCCCAATCTGATCTGGCAATAGACAGAGATGTGTCTGTATGGTCTTGCTCGCATCGCCCGATAGCGAATTGCCATGCGCATCGACAGGATTCCACATGCTGACTAGCACCACACCGGGAAGCCGGACGCCCATTGCCCACGATATGGACTTTACAGTAATCTCCCGGATCCCCCCTCCCCCACTTGCATACCCCCTATGCAGCACCTCACAATAATCATGATCGTCACCGCTAAACGCGTATCGGATGTCTCCAACTTTCTCGGCAATGTCGGCGGTGATCTCGCGGTTGAGCACGTTTTGGTATTGGTACCCGCCGCGCACGGCAATGGCATTGCGGTCGTCATGCTCGAGGGGGGGTTGGCCCGCTGGGGGTGGTGTTGGCGGCCAGTGTTCACGGAGGGGGCCGCAAGGTGTGCCTGGGGTGCGGTAGAGCGGGACATGGGTGAGTAAGATAGTGGGAAAGTTTGTGACCTCATTATGAGCGTGAGGAAGCTTTGCAGCTGCCAGGTCTTCAGATTTGATATCATGGTGTGGGAACCCCGGGTAGGGTCGCAAACCCTGTTGGACACGCAGTTCGCGCCGTATGAGTCGCTTCTTCTGCTCTTTTGCATTCTCGAGAAAGTCCGTTGTGTGGCGCCATATGTCCTGGACTTGTTGCGGGGAGTCTTGACCCAGCGCGCTCAAAGAGAGGCTGTCGATGGAGACGAAGGTATGGTTTGCGATGACGTCCATTCTGTTTCCGTCCCCAAAGTAGGCATTGAATCTATCCCGTACACCAACCTGGACACCTCTTGCGAAACCAAGGTCATGGTTCCCAGGCAAACTACTTATAATCTTCCGTCCAGGTTGTCCCGGTCTCGGCTTCATTCCCCCATCGCCCCAATGTTTGAAAAATATGTCGCCAAAACGGCTATACTCGTGTAGCCAAAAGTCGTCGCCATAGTGGCGGTATCGTTTCTCAGGAGAAGTAGTCGTTCGCGTGGACCATTCGCGCCCACCGTCAAACAAATCACCGAGGAAGAAGATAGTATCGGGGTAGAGGACGGTCTGAAAACGAGAATATGCGCGGCGCAAGTAGAGGTCGGTGTATTTGTACGTCAATGGATTGAGCGGCCACGGCCGGCCGGGGTAGGTATGCGGGTCGATGAGCTGCGGGTCGGCAACGAATATGAGTCTGTGAGGGTTTGCGCCGTCTTCCTAGACATGCAGTCAGCACTCCCTGCTCCAAATGTTTGAAATGCGGTATCTAGCATACCCAATTCTCCCACTTATCCCAACTGCAGCTCTCCACCGCGCCATTGAATGCGCCCCTCTCGCCCCAGTACAGCACCACCCACCAAATCACCACCAGAACCTTTACAAGCGTGAACAGACGTCTAACGCGCCATTCCCTTCGATTGAGCACACTGTGCTTCTCCTGAACTGCCGGTCTTATTCTATACAGAAAGAAAGCTCTCGCGACTCTCCAAGCTTGCACGGTCAAGCTCTCTGGCTCCTCCGAGTATGCGCCAACGGGAATGCCATACTCGTCGTACGTAGTCATCGTCTACTAGAAGATGGGGAATGGAGCTGGTGCAGCATTTCTGACCTGATGCTGCGTTTGAATCGACGGGTCGTGTTGTGGAAGAGACGTGCGGTTGGGTAGTGTCCAAAGGGGTGCCTGGGATGGGATGGGATGGTGTCGGTGGTCCGGGGAAGGTGCGACCAGGGTCCGAGGTCGCCCATCAATCTGCGTCAACCACATGAGGGGCGAGGCTGCAGGGGCACTTCTTTGACAAGCACGTCCAAGCACGTGCGCCCACATCATTGTGTTTTTGCGTCATGACCATAAGTCGAACTTGCTTTTTCTATAAATTCAGATGCATCATCTAGCTCTACTGAGTATTGACATAGCGTTTGGATCGTTGCACTTGTGCGCTGTCGTACGCGTCTCAAGTACCAACCAGAAAACTAGTTCAGCCATCGAGACATACGCCCACGCGTCTCTACGTCTCTTCCCGCCGAAGGCGAAACACATAAGTTCCACAAGTCAAAGTACAGTGGTTGAAGGCATGTAAGTAGTATATATTCCAATAACAGGCTAGAAGTACAATCCAAACATCGAATCCTCTCAATACTCCAGCGTCACCTCCTGCCCCTTGACCCTTCCAATGACAATCTCAGGCGCATACTTGGGAATAACCTCATCATCATGTAGCATCTCAAACTCCTCCGATGCGTCCTTGCCCATGTGGCTGAAGAGGGCCTGAGGACCACCAGGGTGCTCGTCTGTCCAGTTGGTAACGTCCATGACGATACCCTTTACAGCGATCCATAGGTCGTCCTTCTTGTTGTGCTTCGCAATCTCCTCAAGGGAGAACTCCTTCTCTGGGATGTTGAACTTCTTGGGCTCGTTGGGTTTCGAGACCTTGCCGGGATCTTCTGAGTCGGCGTCGCCCTTCAAAACCGGGCCCGCTGATTCTTGTTTCTGTTGTTGGACCTTGTCTTGTCCTTGACCGCCACCAGGAGCACTACCGCTGGCCCCGTTACCCCACTCGACCGAGATCTTACCGGGCGTTGATGGGTCGATGTGTAGAGAGATTTGGCCGAGACGGGAGACAGCTGAGCCACCAGCTGAGTTCAGCGCTTGTTGGAAGAGGTACTTGGACGCTGACTCTCCTGCGACACGGCCGTACACAACGCAGCCAAGTAGTGATGAACCACCGAGGCGATTGGCACCATGGACACCACCAGCAAGCTCACCACAGACGTACAGGCCGTCGAATGGCTTGCCGTCTGCGTTCAAACACTGTGCCTGGTCGTTGATCTCAATACCACCCATGGTGAAGTGGAGCACAGGCTCCATATGCGCCACGTGAAAAGTGTCGTCAATGTCAAAGGGCAAGTTGTGGAAGTACTTCTTGTTCCAGGTGTCCTTCTTTTCGCCCTTGGCGATGGCATTGTAGCTCTTGAACTCCTCCTGGAGCTCCTTGTCGCTGACGCCAATCTCCTTGGCGAGCTCTTTGCCAGTCATCTTCTTCATCAGACCGCGGCCAGAGTAATGCCTCGTGTGGAAGTCGAGGACGTTGGAGGCCTTTGAGTTGAGGACAAGACGAATAGGCCAGTTGCCCTTTTCCTTCTCGCCCCACATCATGCCGGAAACGTAGTCGCGGTGGCCGAGATCATCGCAGAAGCGCTTGCCCTTGTTGTTGAGGAGGATACCGCCCTCGCCACGGAGAGCTACGGAGTGTTAGCTGATGGAACTCGTACTCAGTATGAATCTACGCACCTTCGGCAGCCAAGAACTTGGTCTTCGCCGTAGGGTCCTTGGGATCTACCAGGCCAGTAGGGTGTACCTGGACCTTGTCCATGTCAATCCCCTGAGCGCCAATCTTCATCAGCATCTTGTGACCGTCACCGGTAGCGTGAGCACCGTTGGTGGTTGACAGATCGAAAGTGTCTGGCCTCCATTTCTTCAGCAGCGAGTCCTCTGTAAAGTCGGCAGCATAGCCACCAGTCGCAAGAATGACTGGGCCGTCCACTGTCGTCTCCTCGCCGTTGAAGAGGTATGTAACTCCGGTAACACGGTTGGCCTCCGTGTTGACCTTTGTGACCTTTGCCTTCTTGACAAGCTGGACGCGTTCTGGCTCCTGCTCGGCCAACTCCTCAAATCGCTGCATCAGCGCGTATGTGATGGCCATACCGGGGAACTTGGCATCGTGGCCACGGTGCGTTCGGGGCTGGGAATGACCACCTAACCGCGAAACAAGCGTCAAGTCGAGGTTGAAGACATCCATCAACCACTCGACGGCAGCAGCGGACTTGTAGGTGAGGACCTTGATCAGATCCGGCCGCGCCTTGTCTCGGGCGGATTTGAGTGTGTCATCGTAGAATTGCTTGACGCTGTCGGGAATGCCGTGGTCTACTTGGGTCCGTGTGAGGGCGCCGTTGATTCCAGAGGTGGCCTTGGTGGAGTTGCCTCCCATGAAGTCTGCGCGCGCGCATGATGTAAGCCTCTGCACATTTCGACCAAGTTGTTCGAAGACTCACTGTTTTTGTCTAGGAGAACGACATTGCCACCAGCAAGATAGATGGTGTGAGCAGCGCTCAAGCCGGATACTGTCGAGTATGTTAGCTGTCCGCATGACGATGGTGCACAATGTGAGGCAAATGCTTACAGCCAGCGCCAACGACAATGATGCGCTGTGGTTGCGACATGGTGACAGATGCAAATGCGAGGGAGAATGAAGGACAGGAAGAGTCTAGTGAGGGCGCAGATGCGGGAGAAGGAGAGCAGCAATCCGGGGTCTTTGTATGACGGATCGATGCACTCCGCTCGGCTTCACACTACTAGTCGAACGATTCCCCACAGCCTCGGCTCAAGCCAGTGAAGGGCGTTAGTGCGAGTCCAGCCCACAGCAAATCAGCTGCCAGCTGTTTGTCCACCACGGCGTTTCTGTCCCCATCAAGCCCGTGACGCATCGGCCGTCTTATAATCGACCAGGAGGCTAGCTGTCGCATGTGAAGATTGCGCAGCTTGGATCCTGCACACATGACAGGCAATCTGCGGACCAGTGGGCGGAATGCTGACTTCTGACCGCGGACGTGGCGCCGAGCGAAACCTGGGGCAAGTCACGCGTACTAGAGGCCATGCGCAATCCGCCTTTGGCATGTGAAGATGTGGTGTAGACGCGACTCTATAGACTGCCCCAGCCACGCGGAGTCCTCCTACACACACACGCTGATTTCTGCTTTGGTTCCTGCACTATTGCTTGCTGTTCGTTTGCATAGATCTCTCCACGCTACCACTTTTGGCAATGTCGCCCGCTTCGGGTTCAAAAGCCGATCGGTGTTTGCTCAGACTGCCTGGCACGAGCGCAAAACAATATGCGGGCAACATTGCCTCGTTGGCAGCTGAGTCGAGTCGTGACCAACGATGCTAATACGGAGATTCGGGCTATCAGTCTCTGTCAACAATCGAACTATGCTCTGATTTCGAGAGAACAACCCTTGTACTGATGCATATGGTCTGCTAAAGAAATTTGAGGCTGTTCGGGGCAATTCGCGCCGACGCGCTCAAGCGTCTGCTCGGTAGCATCTAACGCGACGTCATAGCTGTCGAGGCCTTCGTTCGTGCTCAAGAGCAGATTAATCGTGACACACTAAGAAGAGCCGAAGAGGTGCTGGGACGCGTGGGGCTGCCTGTTTATGCAACTTACCCATCAGTAAACACACAGGTTACCTAGATGCCATTAAGATCAGAGTTCTGCAGCATGTACTGATGAATCACAACAATCTCCATATTGATTATGATACATTTAGCTAGCTATTTCGCGGGGTGTGGGTACTAGCAGCCAACCTAGAGCAGTCGATCCCACTATTTCCAAGTCCCGGGTATTGCAGGAGATAGTAATCCAGGACGTGACATTTGCTACTCCCAAACCTCACACATCGCATCCTTACAAAATACCTGGACCACGTATAGTCTCGCTTGACGCGCTGTCTTCAGTGGCAAGCAACCGTCTTCGTCGAGGAAGCACCGCTGAACAGCAAATAGCCGACAAACGCGCCTACTGCGACTGCGAGCATGACCCAGCCATTGTAGGTCATGAAGAGTAGCCTATATGCATCAGTTTCACGCCTGTCATATCATAAATGCCTTGCAAGGGAACTTACATGATGAAGAAGGAATAGAAGACCTGCACAGCATACAGTATCGCCTTGATAATCTTCGTCTGCTGCTCTTCATTCCGCCCACCGTTTCTCCCTGGGCCAAGTAATGAGCTCGATTCATTCGATGTGTCTTCGCACGCGCTACTCAGCGATGGTTCTCAATGCGGAGACGCGTAGAACAAATCCCCTTTTAGTATATAGCACCCATGAGGCGCCATCACTGCGTCTCGAGGCCCTTCAGAATGGGATACCTAGGTGCTTCTCCCTATTTCCGGCTGCAAGTACGAGATTCTTCGACTCACCTCTCACATCATCTCCATCCCTCCGTCCCTCGGACAGCTTCCTCGTAGAATCCTCATACCGTCTCGAAATCTCGCGGACCGCCTCGTAGCCTGCCGTAAGCAGTACAATCGCGAGGAGGGAGAAGACGAGCGAGCCGGCGCCGCTGATGTGCCAGCCGCGGAAGACGATGCAGAGATCCGTCGTATCCCATGTGAAGAGCATCTATCGTCTGCGTTAGCAATGCCCTAGAGACTACTGCAATTGTGGGCTGTGAGATGGAAGGGGAACGTACGTTCATGTTGCACTTGGGACCTTGATCCATGCCGCCGTGGCCACCGTGGTCCATGCCGCCGTGATCCATGTGGGAGTGATCCATCGTGAGCTGTTGTGTATATACTCTGTCAAAGTGAAGGTAGACGTGGAGCTGTCTCGAGGCGGGATGCTGTCACGCGTCGCACCATGGATCTGCACGGGCCGGCCGCGTCGTCGCGGGGCGAGAGCTCCCCACATGTTGTCGGGACTCCGATGACTACATCGACGACGACAAATAGCTTACAAGAGTTGTGACTCTTCGGCTATGCGCTTCACATCATGACATCTATAATGCAATCCTTGCGACCAGCCGTCAGGCTCCTGCACAGCTCACCACAACTACTCTTGCGGACCTCCGGAGCGCTCTCACAACGCCACTTGTCACACACAGCATCGCGTAGATCGATCGGGCCGCCATTGAATATACCAAAATGGTAAGTACATTGAGGTGTATGATTCAGCATCCAGTACATGTAACCCCAAGAAACTACTAACACATGTCCTAGGGTTTCAGAAAACTCGCACATGCTCCAACCCCCAATAAACAACTACTGCGTGTACAACGACGATGTGACAGTGATGATAGTCGGCGGCCCCAACGAGCGAACAGACTACCACATCAACGAAACCGCAGAATGGTTCTACCAACACAAGGGCTCCATGCTCCTGAAAATCGTCGACCCGTCCCAACCCGCCGACCAGCAGTTCCGCGACATCCACATCCACGAGGGGGACATGTTCTTACTACCTCCGAATACACCGCATAACCCAGTAAGATTCAAGAATACGGTGGGTGTCGTGCTGGAGCAGAAACGACCGGCGGGGAGCATGGATCGGTTAAGGTGGTATTGTCAGAACTGTAGGGAGAAGGTGCACGAGGCCGCTTTTCACTGTACTGATCTGGGCACTCAGATCAAAGATGCTGTGAACAGTTTCAAGGCAGACAAGGAGGCGAGGAAGTGTAGAAATTGCGGGACATTATGCGACACCGCGCCACAGCCAAAGGCGTGATGAGGAAGACAACGGGCTAGGAGCTGTGAAGCTGTGTGTAATATAAGATTGGTGAAACGACAAGCGATCAGAGACCCTTCCACATGATTTTCGTTATGTGGTCGGTCTTCTTCCTGCTGGGTTTGACGAGACCTAGGTACTTGAGCTCGGCCAATGCCCGCTGGAAAATCGCCCTATGGCAGTCAGCAAGTTGTAAATAGACGAATGATCTGGGGGCACTTACATTGTCTTCGACTCATTCTCCTCGTCTCCATCTCCAGCAATCGCATTGAAAGCGGACCACAAGTCGCTTACATTGATCAAGGTCCCCGACTCAAGGTACATCTGGTACACAATAGCAGTCGCAGGCTGAGTGGCAGACAACGCAGCCTCGTTACCATCAACTCCGGTACAGCAGTCACAACCCAGATAATCATGGGGAGACGCGAGCGCGCGCTCGATGGCGAAGCGTGGTTTCGGTTGGAAGACCTCCGTATGTGGCGATTTGAGATCGTACACGAGGACCTCTGAGAGGAATAGTGTCCGCGGGTCAATGAACGCTGAATCGAAATACGCTTCAAGCTTGTCATAGAAGCGCCCGACCAGGTCTGAGTATGCCTTGTCTTGTTCTGATAGTGCTGCTTTATGCTTGCTGAGAAGCACCTTTTGCGCAACAACCGTTGTGCGGAGGTTGTCATTGCGGACATCATGCTGCGTCCGCAGAGGCGCATTGGTATCGTTCGTTTGTAGTAGCTTATCGATCTCTTTCTGTAGAAGACTGATGTCCATGGAAAAGTAGTCTCCTTCGAGCTGTTGCATAGCCGCTAGCAACAGTACTAATTTGTCGGACGGAATCTTCTTGATGCACAGCATCGTCTCGCGGAGAAGGGGCGAGTTGCTCAACTCCCCAGACGCTGCACGAGTCCATATAGAAGAAAGCCGGACTTTGGGAGACATCTGGAGCGCTTCCCGTGTGTTGGAGAGAACTTGCGCAGCGTGACTGAGGGTGGATAGGGCTTGCTGGCTGGACTTAATGTGCAACATGACTTGTTCGAACATGTACTCATTGGAGTTGAGTAGACTTCGTACCTCTTGCGCTTGACCCTGCTCTAGCTTCTTTTCTACCCATTGTCGAAACGAGGGAAGGTTACGTACAGCTTCGAAAGCATCCGGAGACAAGTCCTTGAAGGCGATGTCCTCCTTGAGAAAGAGACTTGGGTAGCTAGCGTAGAAATGCGACATGTAAGCGTACTTGAGCCCGTCACAGAAGTCCTGCGTGTTTTGTACGTGGTCTTTCTGACGGTCTAGCATACGACGGCTGATGTTGGGTCCGATGCGGAGGCGAACATGTGTGCTGGCAACTGTTGCACTGAAAAGCTTCTCGATGATGTCGTCGGATTGCGTGACATCAAATTTCTCGCCCTCAAGATAGCGAAGCGAATTCCCTGATAGACGATCCTCGAAGCTCTCTGCCGAAGTGGCGATGCCGAAAAGAAGAACGAAAGGAAGGCGGTCGAGCCATGAACTGTAGACATTAACGCATGTTGTGGTCTAGAAACAACGGAAGCTTACTGGAAGAGGTCGATCATATCAACAAGTAACCCGGCGTCGAAAGCTTCACTATCTTGTAGGGCGACGACGATGCTCGAAACACGATTTCTCTTGTTCCACTCTTGAATGTGGCCAAGATCATAATTGAGTAGCTTCGGCCCATGTTTCGACGAAGTGGCCGGTCGGTCCAGGTCATCTTCGTCATCATCATCCACTCGGGAAGTTGCCTTCTTGATCAGGTTCTTGAGTAGCGTCTTCAGGTTAGGGCATTCGCCAGAGGTCAGCACAACATAGGCGCTACCTGCGTCCTCCTTAATACTTCGACCGAGTCGCTCAAAGAACGGTCCATGAGACGCAATGCTAGGTCCTGCGACGATGAGCCCGGTCGGTATTACAGATTTCCGTTCATCTGGCATCGAAGACGACGCTGAGATGAAATTCACAATCTTTCCCTGCACAGCACTATCCGCCTTCTCAAGCGTATCCTGTTCCTGTTAAGTATGTTCCGCGGAATCAATAATGCGAACCTCACCTGTATACGTTCCTCTTGTTGCGCCCATAGCTCTCGATAGGTCTGCAAGCGTTCCGGCAGTTGGGCTTGAGCATTGTATCTATTTGTACGTTGGCGTTTCGGCGATCGCTCTTCTGTCTTCGGCAACTCGTAGATGTAGCACCGTTGATGTTCCATCTTGCTGCTGCTCGAAGTGTTCGTGGAGTCTCCTGATTAGATTAGGAAGTCCGAGGTGCAAGGCGCGACAAGCGCGTGAGCACGGGACTTCGTGCAATGGTCAAAGCTTCAAGGTCTATTCACCAAACGATCCGAAATAAGTAGCAACAGGTTCAACTGGGAAATGGATTATTGTTCTCTTGTTCAGGGTACTAGTGATATAGCATTTGGTTATTCATTGCCCAGCCTTATCTAAGAATTGACCTGGACAGGACAACTACGCCTTCTCCTCCACGCCTGACTTCTTCTACTGCGATATTCCGCACGCTCAAAGTCCTACATATGTAGTTATAGAGCCTGAATGCCGCGAGTTCAGCAGTTACAAAGCTATATGAGAGTAGGCAGGCATACTTTTGCAGCATGACCAGTCACGCCCCATTCAACTCTTTGTAGCAGACGCGTGGGATATTGGAGATATACCTCTGGCAACTGCTGGCGTTCGAAAACGATCATGTCTCAGGGTAGATTGGTAACAATTTGCAACCTCAGTTAAGGTAAGTGGAATATCACAGTGATGATCCTCAATCGTGATCCTCTTCGGTCAACCCTGGGCAACCTTCCATCTCGGCGTCAGGGTACTGATACCCGCAATACAAGCAGTATTGATGCGCATCTCGTAGGAAAGTGAGCAGCTTCAAAAGTCGCTCCGCGACTGGAAGCGCTTCAAACTCTGCCAATTCTGGATCTTCATCATCAAGGTCGTTCTCAAGGGTGGTATAGAATGGTGCCAGATCACGGCCTTGCGCTACCTTGGAGTCGTCGTCACCATCATCTGCATCGGCCAAGGTGGGCAGCCGCGATGCAATGCTGTCATTCAGCTCGCGACGCTGTTGCTTGTCGCGCTTGATCTCGACTCTCCTTCGTGCTCGACTACGCCACAGCACGTTGATATTCTTCAATGGCTTTTCGCCAGACTCCAGGCTGTCCTTCTCTTCCGCTTCCTTCTCAGACAGTCGTTCGGCTGTTCTCTGTGCAGAATCCAGGTCTCGCTCTGCCTTCTTCTCCTTCTGCTCTTGTCGTCGTATCTCAAGGTAGTCACCTTCTTCCTCCTTGGAGCGCTTCGCTAGTCGTTCCGCCTCTTCCCACTGCTCCCTAAACTTGCGCTTCTTTTCAGACTCCAGGCCGATGCCTCCTCTGTCGTCCTTCACGTTAACTCGGATGGGCTCTTTGCGTGCATCGTTCGACTGGCCTAGGGTATCGCCCTGCTTGAATCCAAACTTGGCCATCATCTTGAATCCTTTATTAGACTCGGGCAGGGCAGTAGCTAGCGATGCTTCTCGGGCTGCTTCTTCGTCTGCTTCACGTTCTGCTTTGGTCTTTTGTCGCGCTCTAGCCTCGCCCTGTAGTCAATTGTCAGCTCAAAGCGCCTTCGCACCCGTTCAGTGACATACCTCTTTGCGCTTGCGCGCGGCGCGCTGGAGTGAGGTTTCGTGCTTTGGACCCTTTGGCGCATCCTCAAACACCATGTTCATATAATCATCTTCCTCGTCTGATTGCGCCATGTCGACTGGGCGAGTTTGGTGGTGGCTAAAAAGTTGCGCAATCGCAGTCGCAATCGCGAGTCGCAGCCTCCAAAATGTCCATCTGCAGCGACCCACATAGCGCGCAACTTGGCGCGGTCAGGGCAGCGATCTGGTTGCTTCCCCAGACTCTTCTTTCAACGACATCTCCGTCTAGTCTCAGATATCACGCAGCAGCAACACTTTAAAACAGACGGTCGACACAATGGGAACTTTTCCTACAGACATTTTTGTGTAACTGTATGATAGGCCTAACCAACGCCGTAGAGGGGCCCCCTTGTCACCCCGCTTTCTCGGGATGTCACTGCTAGGAGCCTCACAGGATGCGGCAGACCTGACCAGAGAACATGCGTCCCCGCCCTTCACGCCGACGTAGGCACGATGTGGCTTGGGTCACGCGACATACGCCGCATTTGCGCATTGCTACGGCGGCCTTTGTCCAGGTTGGCAGACTCGTCTTTGGTTCCACTAGCCCTACAATACAGGGTCCACCAGACGCCGTCTGATAGTTGACGAGAGGAACTGTGTGTTTGTCGGCACTATATTGGAGTGTAGGAGTCTTCAGGCACCCATATTCTCTCATCGGCACACACATTTTCATGTGAAAGTGAAGTGTTGAGGATCCTCTTTCTTACTCGCTACAATCCTTACAATATTGAAAAGACTCGCTCACCTGCTACCTTGGGATATTTGCAGGCTTGCCAAGGAAGAGGCGATCAGTCTCAAAGCAGATCGATGACCGACAAACAACTGTTGAACATTGGTCGCCGCTTCAGGGGTGCTTCGGCCGCTTCCCCACACCAGAACGCATGCTAACCGTAAAGTTGCTGGGTTGCCGCAATGTCCGGGGGAGCAGCGTTCGGTCGCCTCCCGGGCCAGAGCTCTATTATCCTGCCCCTGTGTTGTCTGCCTTCATCAATTGCTCTGCCAATGAATGACTGGCGCTGTTGCGCCCCTCGATCAGGCCGGGGCCACCGAAACAAAGAATCACAAGAGGCGGTTCGACAGCTTAGCTTCCTCCTCCGCAGCCACTCATCTCTTTTCGATGCCATACGTTACAACGTCTACCACGACCCAGGGAAAAACATGAAGCATGTGCCAGTCCCTTCTTCCGTACTAGCTGGTTAGGCTGCCTCGGCTTCGTACCTAGATATCGCTTGCGGATAGGTTGGAATCATCTCGGAGGGGAACCACAACGGGCTACCTGGTAAAATGACCCATTAGTTTTGATGGGAATGCCGACCCTGTCAATGATCGTGCCCTTTTTCGGGCCTCTGATACCATCGGCAAATCGCTTGTTACGAACTGGCGCGAGGAGATCTCCTCGTTCTTCGTGTTCATGTGCCTTCTCCCCAGACCCTCTCCAGACGTTCTCCAGACCCTGAATGCCCATAAAGCTGATCCCCCGCAAACCTCCACCTCCGCTTGATGTCGGAGCGGCCGCTTATTGTGCCTAGTACTCTCAGCAATCGTTGCGTCAATCTCGTCCTGCAAATTTCATTCTACAGCTGTCCAAGACGACCTTAGGACAGAATCAGTTGCGCATAAGACACTTCCTTCAACATGGATACCAAGACTGAGCATACACGGCATGATGAGGTGTATAGTACACCACAGAAGAGAGGTGGCGTTATAAACACACTGTATCCTCCAGGGCCCCGGCCAGGCGCGAAAGGACGAATGAGAAACCATTGCAGAAAGTTCTGGTGGTGCGGTGAGTCAGCCACTCGTTATCAATATACTTAGACTGACGCATGGTAGATTGCCTCGTCCTCGCAGTACTTGTCTTGGTCGTTGTACTACCTCTCATTTATGTCGGCCTCCCAAAAAAAGCACAGCGCGAGATTAACGATTCAACTCTGAATGTTACCTCGCAAGAGGTCACCAATCCGCACCCCGGCGGCGTGCACTTGAAGATTGACACTGTAATCAAGAGTGGTAGTAGCTACCACCCTACTATTGATGGCTTCCGAGCTGGCCTCTCGCTCAAAGGACAAGAGCCATTCCTCTACGTTGATGTTCCCAAAGCCAAGTCTCAAGCGGAAACGCATATCACGATTGATCAAGATGTCGACCTTGCATCTCTGGATAGGTTCTCTACGTACACCAAGGCTGTGCTAGCTAGTGAGACCTTCGAGGTTTATCTTGACGGGAAAACAAACATTCACCTTAAAGGCCTTCCAACTATGGATGTTAATTACAACCAGGTTATAACCATGAAGGGTGGGTCGCGTGTACTGTCCGGCTTGCATTATGAAGCTAACGAAACGTAGGACTGAACAGACTCTCCGGCCTCAATATTACCGACGTGAGAATCCTTTCCGGAAAAACTGAGATTCTCCCAGACGGCTCCAACTTAATCGGCAACGTCACCATCCCCAACCCCTCCGTGATGACCCTCGACCTCGGCAATGTTACCATGAACCTCTCCGTCGATGGCAAAGCAATAGGCACCACGCTGCTCCCCAACCTCATCCTCAAGCCCGGCGATAACAAGCTCCCCATGCAGGGTCGTGTCGAACAGCTTACGATTGTGGGACTAATTCGGAGCAAGTACAAGAATGCGGTGATACCGCTTGAGATTCTGGGCAACTCGAGTGTCAAGAATGGAGAGCATTTGACCTACTATGAGGATGCGATCAAGAGTAATACCATTAAGCTGGACTTGAATGTTGAGCCAGCATTGTCGGCGATTGGTATCAATATTACAGCCTTTGGGTCGTAGTGAAAGAAATAGGGGGGTTTCAAAATAATTCGAGCCAAATTGATGGAAGGCACGTGCATTGATCTGAAGGTGTGCTCTCTTTGTACAATACCTCTTTGGCCGTTTGCTGCCAAGATATGGCTAGATGCCGTTCATAATTTCAAGTTTTCTTCATGGGAAATCAATCTTCTTTTACCGCAAGCACCTTCGAGACGCTCGCATCTCGTCGCTACCTTGTTTTCAAAGTTTTCAAAGTTTTCAAAGTTTTCAAAGTTTTCAGAACCCCTACCTCCTAGGCGGTTGCCAACCGGATGTGGCTGGCAGTCGCCTACCATCGCTTCGTTAGACGCACTATGCAACATGTGTCACCTACAGTCGAACAGACTTGTTGTTGCAAGAAAGATAGAACTGCAATGTGCAATGCTCACCGCCGCCTAGTCCACTTCACCTCAGCTCGCCACCTTCACAATACAAACAACGCTTCTTGTTTTCTTTATTTGACGTACCATTCCCTCTATTAAATTCCTCCAGAATATCCGTAACGATACACCTAGACACTAACAATCTCAAAGTGGACTCTACATCCACGTTGAATTCAATCTGCTTAAGGTAGTCTAGTTGACTGACCTCACCTGGGCACGCACAGTTCAACCAACTAACTTCAACCAAAGTAAAGCCTTGATTGACTGAACTCCACCGCACACAACGAAATTAACTGTAGCAAGATGCTTTCTAACATCTCCCCTCCTTGATATATAGTTCATAATCTACAATGTTGTTGACCTCTTCTAGCTTCAGCCGTCAATCTCCCACTCATCGACGAAGAACTCCACAATGTTCGCAGCAGCGTGTCCACCCACAGCGCCTTCAAGTCTATCCACACATCCCGTATCGCCAGACGCAGCACCCAGAGCAAGAAGTACAAGCTCCTTCAGACTTCCCACCGCATCGGTCAAAGCTATGACTTGCTCTTGGCTCAGTGGTGGTTCGGTGGTGCAGTAGGGAAGGAGGTCGCTGACTGCATTTCTTGATGTGCGCGTTTGTTGGCGAGGTGGAACTTGCGTAGAAGCGATATATTGCGCTTGATGCAGATAGTGACCTTGATCGTGGTGTTGCAAATGAGTTTGAGTTACTGTAGGCTGTACGTTGTTGGTCCTCTTGCCTGTATCGAGTACGTGCTGTTGACTGTCGGTTGCGCCGTCAACTTGTGAAAGTGAGGCATTGTTGGCAATCCGACAAATGATGTCTTCATGGCGTTTGTCGGAGATTTGGTTTTCAGCGTCTCGGGCTGACGGTGCGTTGCTGGAATTGAAGAGGACACCCATGGTAGATCGCATGTGAACTGTGCAGTTCTTAGGGATGAGATAGACATTCAAAAAGGCACTGTTACTCTTCTCAGTCAGTATGAGCTTAACTTGGATCAAATCATCCCCTAGTAATGATTAGGGCTTACCCACGCGAAGAAATGGTAAGGAAAGCGGTGGCGGTGGAGCCCTAAAGGTGATAGTCTTTAACGTAGATCGAGCGACTTGACCTCACCTCGGTGGCATCGAGCAGGATCCGATGGAATTGAGAGAAACGAGAAATTGTGATATGTGGTATCCGAGCGAACCTTGAAGGCGCAAAACCCAGTTAGGAAGGCACGTGGGTGAAAAGATGGAAGGTACTACTGTTTTGCGTCCTGTGACTAGGGACTTGAAGAAAAGCAAAAGAGCAACATTTAACCAATGAACAATGGAATAAAGCATGTCGCTAAGTAGACGAAGCAAAACAGCTAGCCAAATGAGCGACCTGACTTACCCTCAACATTTCTTGATAGTCTTATATATACATGAATACCGTCAGACCTCTATAGACCAGCCAATGACGTAGTGGGACAATATGGCACAGCTATTATACATGCAGCGTTGCGAAAGGTAATGAGTGGAGTCTTGATAGTGAGCCAAGCTTGAACTGGGTATCATGAGAGGAGAAGTTGTATAGCAGACTTTTGGTGTGATTGACCTGGTAGCCATCGCGAAACGGTGTGGCGGACCTGAAGAGGGTCCTAAAATAGACAGATGTATGACCACATAAGCGTTCATACGTATGTGATTGGGGCCAACGAGGTCATGCTAGGCAGTCGAAGCCTTCCTAGACTTGTCATCATCAGTCGGTTGCTGCTCGGACACGGGATCTGTAGCTCGCGGTGACAGCGGTATCGAGGGTGGGGCTTCGGTAACTCGTTGCTTCTCTTCGGGTCTCTTTTCTTCCGGTTTCTTCCCATCAGAGGTCTTTCCGCTGCCTTTCCAAAATCCAAGTAGTGAAGACGGGGCAGGCTCAGGGTGCTTTGCCTTAAATTCCTCAAGTTCCGCCTTGACAGCCTTTAGCTCACTCTGCATCTCCTCCAAGTCTTCCCGAATATCATCTCTCGCGTTTCTGGCTTTCCTTCTTTGCCGCCACTGCTCGAAGACGATCACCCCTATGCCGACCATAAAAATGAACGTCTCCGCAGCGAAATTCGCTCCCATCTCGATCGCTTTCTGCTCCGATAGAGGTCTTATACGCGGCTTGGTCCTTTCTTCCGCCTTCTTCTTTATTGCCTCTCTTTCTTTCTCCGTTAACGCTTCGTCTGCCTTCATCTCTTCTTCGGTCATGACTGTAGGTGTCGCAGCCTTCTTTCGCGCAGCCTCCGCTAGCGCAACCTCTTTTTTAATCTGCCGATCGATGACCGCGGGGTCCTGCAAAAGACCGAGGCGCATGTGCATGTCAATGCGATGTAATCCTTGGGCGAACCTAACGCATATCTTTCGGAATCGCTCGTGTTCGTGGGCGTTGCGTTTGATGGTGTTCTGTTGGTGATCAACAGGTGTGTTCAATGGCTCAGTTAGATGTGTGTATCATACAGCCATTGGTTTTGCTAATGTCCTCACGAACAGGGACGTGACCTTGAGCGTAAGAGACATGTCGGGCTACGGTGTAGGAGCTTCGGAACGGTTGGAGAAAGACAGCTGGAGAAATTGAGCGGCAGAGCAGTGTTCATCGCAATTATTATGGAATCGGAGGCATCTAGAGAATCTCGCAGCGGGTTGTGGAAGGTCTAAAAAGAGCAGTGAACATAATTGGAATCTTGATGATGGCTGGCCCGAAGCTGCCTTGCGCTCGCTCACAGCTCGGAGGACCCCGGCCACGAGGCCGACATGAGTCGCCCTTTCCCATTCGAGCAAACTATCAACAATCAATGTCCTTGCGGATTTCTCCAACCTCAGCTATCGCATAGCGTGAAAGGCTAAACAAATATTCTTTGCGACATTGCAACCTTGTGGCGGTATTATGTCGATTTGAACAGCACAGACTGTGACGAACGTGCAGACTCGGGACGTGCAGGCCCTGTTACCTTAGCAACCCAAGCGTCAACATCTACAACGAACTTCACCACCAGCGCTCATGCATCTCGACATTCCACCACCCAATGTCTGCCTCGTCTATCCACGCAGATGCGCCGCCCGCCGTGGTGCAAGATCCCGAGGGACTACAATATGAGACGGGCCCACAGCTGGGCAAAGGCGGCTTCGCCATCTGCCATCGCGCGAAGCTGCTGGGGCATGAGCATCTCGGTAGCAGCACTGTCGCTTTGAAGATCGTCAAGTCCAAGATGGAGCCACCCAAACTGGCACAAAAGGTGCAGCACGTTCAAGTGAAATAGATGGATACATGCTGACGCGCCGCAGTTTGTTACAGAATTGCAGATTCACTCGAAACTATCCCATCCCAACATCGTCGAGTTCTTCCGCGCCTTTTCCTTCGAAACAAGTACATACGTTGTGCTGGAGCTATGCGAGAATGGTTCCCTGGCCGATGCGATCAAGAAACGAAAGTACTTTACCATGCCCGAAATTCGACGGTTCATGATCCAGACTTGCGGCGCCATCAAATACCTACACCAGCGCAACATCGTGCACCGAGACCTCAAGACCGGCAACCTTTTTCTGGATGCAAACATGGACGTCAAGGTCGGTGACTTCGGTCTTGCCGCGCTGCTTGTCTCACAGAGCGACTATGGGGCGATCCGTCGAACAACCATGTGCGGCACACCCAACTACCTAGCGCCAGAGGTCCTAGAAAAGACAGGAAAAGGCCATGATGAGAAGGTTGATCTGTGGGCGATCGGGATAATGATGTGAGAACAGAGATACAATTGAGAATGGTGAACAGCTACTTATAATTTCAGGTACACACTCGCTGTTGGCAGAGCGCCGTTTCATGCTGCGAAGCGTGAGGATATCTATCGGAAGCTCAAGGCTCGCGAATATACCTGGCCAGACCTTGCAAAGTTTGCGAACGAGATCACCGACGACCTCCGCGACATCGTCTCATTACTGCTTGTGCATGAGGATGAGCGGCCAACCCCTGACCAGATTGTCGCACACCCGTTCTTCAAACTGGGTTACATCCCATTAGAGCTGGACAGTGGATGCACCGCGCGGATACCCAAATGGCCAAAGAACCGTCCGCCCACAGCTACGACCATCAAGCGCGGGTACACTGAGGAGTGGTGGCAGCTATGCAAATCTTCTGCTGTTGGTGAATATGAGCCGGGAAAATCGTTCGGAGCATACGGGAGCAGGAGGAATAAGACAGTAGCGCGCGATTGCCAGAAGGAGATCGAAGCAGGGAAACAACCGAACATACCTTTTGCACATGATTGTGTATACGTACCCTTCCCTGCACGCGTTCAGTGGCCACATCAAGCTCCTGGCGGGTTGAGCGAGGTATCCGAGGAAAAGGAATCGTCGGCAGAAGGGACAGCCCTTGTGGAAACTACTGGGAACGAACGAACCAAAGGACGTCTGCCCAGAATGGCGAGGAAGGAACAACCAATGCCTACTTTAAAGGAGAACGTGGAGCCAGTGCAGGAACCCGCAGCGGCGCGAAGAATACTAGACAAGCAGCCCACCCGCCTTAGAGCGGTGCGGAAGATCTCGAATCCCGGACGGATTACTGCAGCAACCGCGCCTGCTCCATTACGCGTGCCTCGAGATTCGCGAGCCGCGACACGAGCAAGAACGGCGAAAGAAACAGCGAAGGAAGTGCCGAAAGCGACAGAATCTGGCCTCCCTGATCTTCCACCACTAAGGGTCATCAAGGCAACCACTCGTGTGAACGAGAAGGTAGAACCACCGACCGAACCACCGACAGTGCGAAGTGCTCCTCGTTATCGAACTGTCAGCGCCGAAATGCCTGCTACTGACCCGGTATCAGTACTGGCTCGCTTATACACTTTCCGAGATAATCTTGCGCGAGCGCTTGATAAGAAGCCTACCAAGTCACGACGCGATCAACCTCCGCAATTACCGTTCGTTGCGAAGTGGGTAGACTACTCTCGCAGGTATGGCGTAGGATATGTCCTCGATGACGGAAGCATTGGCACCCTTTTGTCGGCGGAAGAGCAATATCCAGTTACTATAGCTTTTGCCACAGATGGATATAGCCACTTGAGGAAGGCGGGAAACAATCGAGAGCTCGCCAAAAGCGTGGCGCTGAACTACTACACAACAGTACGGAAAGATAGGGGACTTTCTCGAATCGATGTTCTCGAAAAACGACGCGTTGAGGAGATACGCACGGTCTGGCACAAATTTGGGAAGTACATGTGCGCAACTTTTGGTGACGAAGAGAAGCCCATGAGAAAGGATCCCCGTGTGAACTTTGTGAAGTTCTATCAACGACTGGGTAACGTCGGCATCTGGGGCTTTGACGACGGCTCCTTCCAGGTAAGACACCCTCGACGCTTTTCTCATATAACATGTCTCTGACAAGCTCCCAGTTCAACTTCCCTGATCACACGAAACTGGTCCTATCGTCGGATGCTGGATATGGACATTTTATGTGCCTTCCGCTAGATGCGACATCACTGCTTGAAGAAACCGGAAATGTGCCATGGCGGCATGTGAAGGCACGCGCGAACCTGCGAGGTTCTCTACAACAACTCCTCTACGGCTCAGCGGACAAGGAAGATAGCAACCGGGAGCTAACAGAAGGCAACCTCCTACGGCCGAAAATCGAGTTTATCTATGCTGTCGTCGAAGAATGGGTCCAGCAAGGCGGCCTAGGATGTCTCGCGGATCCAAAGGTGTATTCATGGACCGGCCCACAACTCGAAGAGACCAAACGGTTGGACTGGGCGAGTGTTGGGCGTTTTGGCGGTGACGTCTTCTCATGAATTTGGGCGCAACGAAATTTTGGGTACGAGCAAGCGTGGCGTTTGGGATTTTGGATATTGTTACTTGGCATTAGCATTGGCATTTCCACGGCGTCTGTCCTTCTTGACGGTATTTTGGAGTCTGTGTACGCTTTCCTTGAAACGCTCTTTGATGACAGTTTGCACATGGAGGGTACAGGGCGTTGGAATCATAGCTACAAATTTTTGCGGTGAATGAGAACTGGTTGCGACGGCCAAATGTGGATGCCTGATTCTGACTGAGCGCGCCACGTAATGCCCATGGTTATGCGTGAATTTGGGTGATTTAGCTTGCGCGTCGAATGAGTAGCCCTTTGGTGGCTGTGCATGGGGCGTTAGTTCCGACATGCCCGACCGTTGTCCGCTGTGACATCGTTGCGCTGTAGGGACACCGAGCTTCAGGAACACTGCCTGCTAATCTTACACACCACAAAACTATCGAGTAGTCATTCTTCTCGTACCCTCTGCGTTGACTTTCGCCGAATCTCAGTCTGCTCCCCGCTGTATCTTGAATTCAGCAGTACACACGACACCCCACCAGGCGACGCAAGTCACAGGCCTGACCTCGACTTTGGGCGCCAGCTATGGTACCGCCCCGACCTCGTCGCTGTGAAAAGTTTGCGTGCGCTGACCGAGTCTTTATGTAGGCAGTATCCAAGCGCGCAGGGCGCAAAAAGGATGCTGGTGGTTCCAAGCCCCCCGGCGGGGGACAACAAAAGTCCCAATTCGCGACCAAGGCCGTCTTCGAGACCACCAAGAAGAAGGAGGTTGGCGTCTCAGATCTCACGCTGATTAGCAAGATCTCCAACGAGGCGATCAACGACAACCTGAAGAAGCGGTTCGAGAATGGCGAGATTTACGTGTGTCTACCTGCCCGCGCCCGCCCCACGCCAAACCGATACACCGAGCTATATGGGAACAGCAACTGACGTAGGCGCAGACATACATTGGACATGTGCTGGTGTCCGTCAATCCCTTTCGCGATTGTATGTGGCAGCATATGCGTCGTATGGAAAGATACTGATTGTGCGCAGTGGGAATATATACAGACCAAGTATTGGACGGCTACAAGGGGAAGAATAGGCTGGAGGTGCGGCGCATATCTCTAGACGATCGCTCAAGGCTAACAAGTCTAGGTTCCGCCGCACGTCTTCGCAATCGCCGAGTCCACATACTACAACATGAACGCATACAAAGAGAACCAGTGTGTGATCATTTCTGGTGAATCGGGAGCAGGAAAGACAGAAGCTGCGAAGCGGCTGATGCAATATATCGCGAACGTGTCAGGTGGAAGCAACTCGTCGATTCAAGAAATCAAGGACATGGTGCTAGCCACTAATCCTTTGCTCGAGTCTTTCGGAAATGCGAAGACGCTGAGGAACAACAACTCCTCACGGTTCGGAAAATATCTCGAGATTCATTTTAATCCGCAAGGAGAGCCTGTGGGAGCAAACATCAATAACTACCTACTTGAGAAGACGCGTGTAGTAGGTCAGATCACGAATGAGCGAAATTTCCACATATTTTATCAATTCACGAAAGCGGCGCCATCACAATATAGAGGTATGGTTTCTCATCATGAGGACTAGAGATTATCCTGACCAGTGTAGAACTATTCGGCTTACAGCAACCGCAATCCTACCTCTACACGAGTCGATCGAAATGCTACGACGTTCAAGGCATCGACGATCACGCTGAATTCCAAGATACTCTGAACGCCATGAAAGTCATTGGTCTACAACAGGGAGAGCAGGACAATATCTTCCGAATGCTAGCGGCAATATTGTGGCTAGGGAATGTATCTTTCCGTGAAGACGATTCAGGAAATGCTGCGATCGTAGACCAATCGGTGGTTGATTTCGTCGCCTATCTCTTAGAAGTCGACTCCGCGCACGTCAACAAAGCGCTCACAATTCGCATTGTAGAGACAAGTCGCGGAGGACGAAGAGGATCCGTTTACGATGTACCCTTGAATTGCGCTCAAGCGATGTCGGTCCGAGACGCACTTTCTAAAGCGATTTACTTCAACCTTTTCGATTGGATCGTCCAGCGCGTCAACGTCTCATTGAAGGCACGAGGTGCAACTGCACATTCCATTGGTATTTTGGATATCTACGGATTCGAGATCTTCGAACGGAACAGTTTCGAACAGCTGTGTATTAACTACGTGAACGAAAAACTCCAGCAGATCTTTATCCAGTTGACCTTGAAGGCGGAACAGGAAGAGTATGAGCGGGAACAGATCAAGTGGACACCTATCAAGTACTTCGATAACAAGGTCGTGTGCGAGCTTATTGAGGAGAAGCGGCCACCCGGTGTTTTCGCCGCACTGAACGATGCCTGTGCTACCGCGCATGCGGATCCAACAGCTGCGGACCAGACCTTCGTCCAAAGACTAAACGCGCTATCATCGAACCCCAACTTCCAGCCTCGACAAGGCCAGTTCGTCATCAAGCACTACGCTGGTGACGTGAATTACGCGATCGATGGCATGACGGACAAGAACAAGGACCAATTGCTGAAGGACTTGCTGAACCTGCTGGGTCAAAGTAGCAACACTTTCGTCCATACGCTGTTCCCGGATCAAGTCGACCAGGACAACAGGCGGCGACCACCCACTGCTGGAGATAAGATCAAGGCGTCTGCGAATGATCTTGTTACCACTCTTATGCAGGCACGCCCGTCATATATCCGTACAATCAAGCCGAACGAAAACAAGTCACCGAAGGAATACAACGAACCTAATGTACTTCATCAGGTCAAGTATCTCGGTCTACAAGAGAATGTCCGCATCCGAAGAGCGGGTTTTGCGTCGCGCCAAACCTTTGACAAGTTTGTAGAGCGATTTTTCTTACTGTCGCCGAAGTGTTCGTACGCTGGAGAGTATACCTGGACTGGCGACTACGAGACTGGAGCCAAGCAGATTCTGAAGGATACCAACATCCCGGTCGAGGAATTCCAAATGGGTGTAACTAAGGTGTTTATTAAGACACCCGAGACCCTTTTTGCACTGGAGACGATGCGCGACCGTTACTGGCACAACATGGCGATTCGAATTCAGCGTGCATGGAGAAATTACCTACGCTACCGGACGGAGTGCGCGATCCGGATACAACGGTTCTGGCGGAAACTCAATGGCGGCAAGGAGTTTATTGAGCTCCGCGATCAGGGCCACAAGGTGCTACAAGGCCGAAAAGAGAGGCGAAGATACAGCTTGGTCGGATACCGAAGATTCATGGGCGACTATCTCGGCATCGGAAACAGAGGTGGCCCAGGCGAGGTAATCGCTGGGGCCATTGGTTTATCGGCCAACGAGGAAGTGCCTTTCTCTTGCAGAGCCGAGGTTCTTGTTGCGAAACTCGGTCGTTCGAGTAAGCATGAGCCTCGAAGTCTGGTGCTCACGAAGAAAAACGTCTACCTAGTCAAACAAGTGCTAGTGAATAGACAAGTTCAGATTCAGGCCGACAGGACGATACCTGTGGGCTCTATCAAATTCATCAGCTGCTCTACGCTGAAGGATGACTGGTTCTCTATTGGGGTGGGCTCACCGCAAGAGCCTGATCCGCTTGTAAATTGTGTGTTCAAGACTGAGTTCTTCACACATCTAACAAACGTCCTACGAGGATCGTTGACCCTTAAGCTAGGTGATACGTAAGTTATGTTCACTCAACAGAGATTTTACGTGACTAATACCATGTAGAATCGAGTACAACAAGAAGCCCGGCAAGCCAACTCATGTCAAGGTAATAAAAGACCCTGCGGTGCCGCGAGACGACTTGTACAAGAGTGGCGCCATACACACGGGCCCCGGAGAGCCGCCCAATTCCATGTCCAAGCCCACACCCAAAGGAAAGCAGATTGCAGCAAAGCCCATCACGAAGGGCAAGCTTCTACGGCCCGGTGGCCCAGGTGGAGGACCCTCAAAGCTCGCCAGTCGCCCAGCGCAACCGAGACCTGTACCTACACCTGCCGCCGCGCAACCGAGAGCGGTACCTCAACCTGCAGCTTTCCCATCCGCTACACCTCAATCAAGACCCGTCCCTCAGCCAGTTGCAGCGCTGTCGAATGGCACGGGTAGTCATGCACGTAGCGCCTCCGCATCTTCGACACGCGCACCGCCCCCGCCGCCACCCCCTGTCGCGCCTGCACCACCACCTGCGCAGCCGCAGGAGCCGACGTATAAGGCGTTATATGATTTTGCGGGACAGAGCGCTGGGGAGCTGAGTATCAAGAAGGATGAGATTATTTTAGTTACGCAGAAGGAGAACAACGGTATGTTACCCCTGTCGTTTTACTATGTATGTGTGCAATCTCTAACGAACACCGAACAGGATGGTGGCTCGCCTCCCGCCTCGACAAATCCGCCTCCGGTTGGGCTCCCTCCGCCTACCTCGAAGAAGTCATCCAACGCGCACCCGCGCCTCCTCCACCCCCACCCCCACCTGCGCGGCCTGCCAATGGAAAGCCGAAGCCTCCTGCCCCACCGGCGAAACGTCCAGCCGCTAGAAAGCCAGCAAACGGTGATTCTGGACGAGATTCGGGGTACAGTGGTAGTGGTGCAAGTTTGGTGAGTGGGGAAGGAGGGGCAAGAGATAGTGGTGGAAGCATCGCCGGTGGGTTAGCAGAGGCGTTGAGGCAGAGACAGGCGGCTATGCAGGGGAAGAGTAGACAGGAAAATGACTGGTGAGTTGGGTAGTTTGACGGTGAAGCCAATTTTGAGAGTAGCAGATAGTTGATATCAGAGTGTGTTTGGTGCATGTTATTGAATTCACGCAGTGGTTTTGTTATGACGGTGCTGATGAAGGGGTTAGATATGGACGGGTGGGTGCAATTTACTTTACTGGTCAATAGTTGATTAAGCTGGCGGGCTACCGTCAATATGGCGGAGAGTGTAGATAGATCAGATTGAAGCAAGGATGGATCGTTCGAACTCTACATGCGTTCAGAGTGTGCTAATCGAGTACTATGGGACATTGAGATAATATTAATTGTTGAAGTATCTGACATACACGTGGTCGGATTCTTCGACTATGCAAAGAGACTGGAGATACTTTATCTATGTACTTCATGGAGAGCATTTGCTGATAGGCGATCTGAGTCATGCACACATCTAGCAATGGCAAGCCGGCCCGAAACCAAGTGTAAACGGTACTCTTCCCTCAACACTCTGATACCATCTAGTCAACCCTGATAGTCTCGCGTCATGGAGCCGTCGGCACTGATTCGTTGAGGTAAGGTACTTGACATGAAGGCGATGCTACCTAAGTACCGGTACAATGTCTTGGTGCGATACCTGGGTAGTATCAAGTTGATGACTATCACGTGTTGCTTTCGGAAGGATGGAGTATCAAGCCCGTACAAGTCTAGAAGCGAAGGATGAGCGGCGCCGACCAACATCTGAGATGAAGTGACCATCAAAGGTCCGTTCCCGCCATCGGAGATATGCGTCGACGATTATCAAAGTGTGGTCGATGCGGGACGGGAATCTGGTAGCGAGGGTGATAATAGTGCGGTCGAATTAAGGTATCCTGGTTTACTTTCATCTGGTCAAACCCCCGCAGTATCGCGACTAGGTCGTTCACGTGTCACAGTGGATGTCGGTGTTATATGGGGCAAGGAGACTCGCCCATGTCTGGAACCTCGCGTCAAAAGGCGGACCCGCTCTCTAATGGTTGATCCTAGTTCCACATCAACGATAAACAACATCCGCTTGGCGGGCCGGCATACAGAGCGGAAACTTGTGAACGTGACCTGCACGGGACATGCAACGGTTCGCGCGGGCCTGCTTCCCGCTAACACTCCCGCGACTCCGGACGCCAACGCCGCCAACTCAACCTCTCATGACATTTCTCCACCACTCGACCACTTAATATGCGTTTCGGAAATCGCTATGATGCCTTCCAGACTAGCTCCGGGCCATTCAACCCCGGGTCGCAATTCAGGACCGCTATCACCGTCTACCAATGCCCTCAAGGCATCGAATCAGACCCAGCGCTACTTACCATAGAAGAGGATTGTATCGCTGCAAGGCCGCATTGACTCGCCCTGTATGCATGTCACGAAAGCTTTGTTGCTGTGCCTACGCGAGATGCATCTCCAGACATGCATCAGTGGTGGGGGAGCAGGCATCGAGCGTCGCACTCTCGCATTATACCCTTGAGTTTCGCCACATTCAAGCCTTCACACAGACATGATCTAGATTGGATCACCGCGAGAGCCTCTTTCAACAGCAGATCTAGACGGATCCGCGTTAACTCCGGTTCATTGTGATTCCGCCGACCAATAGCACTTCAGTTGCGAAATCTGAGACGTGTCTGCAAGCCGTCGCTAGGTTCAAGGCCTGTTCCCAATACATCCGGATATTCGAGCGTCTTCCTCTGGGCCCACGCTGCAAATGGTCTATGCGTTGCTTTATAGTCGCATTCCAGTGTTGCTCCAGTACTAAAAGATGACAATCTACTTCAAGTGACCCTCCTCCAGCTTGTCGAGCCTTTGTCTCGTCCTACTCTCTCACTTCACAACTCGTATATTTGTTGATCGCCGTCGCTACCGCACCTGTTGCAGTCGCGGTACTCGCGGCTCTTCATTTAGTTACTCCGCCGACCTTGGACGATCAAATTAGTTTGATCAATCATGGCCACAATCAGCTTAGGGAACACCAGCCCCACAGAAGGCGTCGTCAAACACATCGACTCAAAGCAAGCAACTGTGCAGGTCCAACCTGTGACAATAGACATTCCATCTTTGACACCTGCTGCAACGCCAGAGACCTCTCCATCTGACGAAGTAATGGCGGGGAAGAAGATCTACTCGCTAGAGAGGCCAGATGACCGAGCAAGAGAATTTGCCGCCAAACTGACCTTGGAGGAGCAGGTACGTACTTTTCTGATACCCTACTGAAAGAGCTTGGACCCCACACGAGAGTCCGATCCGTGGCCAGATGATTCATACAACAATGACCCGTATATGAGTATACCTACTGGGGCGTTTTAGTCCGGTATAATTTGAGTAATGGGCGCGTGCTGCAATCTGGCCAGTGGAAAGACGCCATTTTCGGCACCTACCGACTTCGACTGTCCTCCCAGACCGCGATAGCCGCACCAGGTCGTTTATAGATCCCGCCTGACTACTTTAATCTACCAGAGGAGACGAAAGTAGCATTGCGACGCGGTAAGCTGACCTAAACAGATCTCATTGCTCGCTGGAGCAGACTTCTGGCGGTCTGTGGGTATTCCTGAAAAGGGTATACCCTCGATCAAGACATCAGACGGACCCAATGGCGCTCGAGGAGAGTCTTTCACTAACGGTACACCTGTGAGTACTCCGCCTTGGCACAGTTCGATACGAGCTGATCAGACAAGGCTGCGTTGTTCCCTTGCGGCATTTCTATGGCATCCACTTGGAACTTGGACATAATCGAAGAGATTGGCCGACATCTTGGAGAAGAGACTAAAGCCCGTGGCGCCAACGTGCTACTTGCGCCCACTGTGTGCATGCACCGCTCACCCCTTGGTGGACGAAACTTCGAATCGTACTCGGAAGATCCTTTTCTCACGGGAAAATTAGCTGCGTCGTACGTTCGTGGCCTTCAGAGCAAGGGCGTCGCTGCCACCATCAAGCATTTTCTTGGGAACGAACAGGAGACCGAGCGACAGGCCTATAATGCTGTCATTGCTGAGCGACCACTTCGTGAAATTTACCTGAAACCATTTGAGATTGCTGTCCGAGAAGCATCACCGTGGGCACTTATGAGCGCATATAACATGATCAATGGTGTTCATGCTGATGAGTATGAACATTCGATCAAGGAAATTCTCCGAGGCGAGTGGGGTTGGGATGGGACCATCATCTCTGACTGGACAGGTACATATGCTACCGCCCCTTCAATCAAAGCCGGAGTCGATGTTGAAATGCCAGGACCTTCAAAATGGCGCAAAGTTGACCAAGTGAAGGAGTCTCTGAGGAAGGGCGAGCTTGTTCGAGAAGACATTGAGGAGGCAGCCGCCAGGGTACTGTACCTTGTGGATAGGACCAAAGGTCTAAACAACCTGACGCCAGAGCATCCAGAACAGTCTATTGATAACGTCGAAACACGTAATCTGATTCTTCAAGCTGGTATTGAGGGCTTGACTTTGTTGAAAAACGAGAAAAACGTACTGCCTATCAAGAGCGCAAGGAAGATTGCGATGATCGGACCCAATGTCAAGCGCGCTATTGCCAGCGGTGGAGGAAGCGCAGGCTTGAACCCCTACTACAACATTACTCCCTGGCAAGGCATCCAGAACCGATTCGACGGTGAGGTCACATTCGCTCAGGGTTGCGATAGCTCAAAGTGGTTGCCGCTGGCTTCACCATACTGTACTTCAAATGGCGAGACGGGCGTAAGATTGGAGTACTACAAAGGTGACAGGTTCAAGGGCGAGCCAGCAGTCGTTCAGCACAAGGTTAGCACGGATCTCTGGCTCTGGGATTCTGCACCAATGGAGCTGCTTCCTGATTATTCCTTCAAAGTTACAACCACACTCACTCCCCGCTCTACTGGAAACCATAGCTTTAGTTTTGCTTCGGTAGGACCAGGACGCATGTTTCTCAACGGCGAGCTGTTTATTGACAATTGGGACTGGACTGAAGAGGGCGAGGCCATGTTTTCCGCTTCTGAGGATGTGTTGAAGTCGATTCAACTCGAGGAAGGCAAGCCGGTTGAGATTCTTATCGAAAGTACCAACGAGGTCCGACCTGCGTCCAAAGTCTCCGTCCTCGGCCGTCGCTATGATTATGGCGGCTGCCGCATTGGTTACGAAGAGGAAGACAAGGTGGACCGTTTACAGGAAGCTGCAGACGTAGCGCGAGCCGCCGACGTTGCCATCTTGGTAGTTGGCCTAGACGCTGAGTGGGAGTCAGAGGGCTATGACAGACAGACTATGGATCTTCCCAAGGGTGGCTCGCAAGATCGTCTGATCGAGGCGGTTCTTGCTGCCAACCCCCGCACCGTTGTTGTCAACCAATCCGGGACACCCATCACAATGCCTTGGGTGCACAAAGCTCCTGCAATCTTGCAGGCTTGGTACCAGGGTCAGGAGGCTGGCAACGCTCTCGCCGATGTATTGCTCGGTAACCAAAGCCCTAGCGGAAAGCTTCCAACAACCTTCCCAGTGCGCATTGAAGACAACCCAGCCTACCACAACTGGCCTGGTGAGAATCTGGACACTGTTTATGGCGAGGGTATCTACGTAGGCTACCGGCACTATGAGCGCTCCAAGATTGCACCCCTCTTCCCCTTCGGCCACGGTCTAACATATACAAGTTTCGAGTATGGCACACCAACTGCCAGTAACACCATCCTCTCAGATTCAGAGGGAGTTGCCATCACGGTTCCCGTGACCAACACAGGACCAGTCGCAGCGCACGAAATTGTGCAGGCCTACGTCAAAGATGTCAAGTCCAGGCTTCCACGACCGGAGAAGGAGCTCCAAGCTTTCGGCAAAGTGTTTTTGCAGCCTGGTGAAACGAAGGATGTGGTATTGAAGCTTGACAAGTACTCTGTGGGGTACTTTGATACGAGTCTGGGGCAGACGGGTGCGTGGATTGCGGAGGAGGGGTTGTTCGAGGTATTAATTGGCGCCAGTAGCGCTGATATCAGGTATGTTCCCGTCCTCATGAGTGCATGAATTGGTCATGGTGTGCTAATGAGATGCACAGGGCAACGCTTAGCTTTGAGGTCAAAGAAAGCTTCGAGTGGATTTTCTAAAGGCGAGAAGTTGAGAGCAGCGCGTACATCAAGCGCTCTGACTAAGGCGTTCTGGAGTCAGGTGGGTGGCATGGCCGAATTAGGGATTTTTTTCTTTCTTTGGTTGTACGGACACGGCGTGGCACATGAATTATACAAGGGCATCGAATGAAATGCAACACGTTCATTAAAGGCTACAATAAGTGCAGTTGTATAGTGCTTAGCCTGCAGCATGAATGCGTTTGGTAGCATTTCGTGCGACAAAGCTTGACATGTGGAGATACCTGTGTATGTAGAATCGTCCGTGACGCTCTTGGCTTGGCTCGAAGCGATTTGCGGGACCTGACCTTGGAAGTGCATACGTACTACAGCTCGCAGCGCAGCGGTCTGATTTCTCGTCTTGCTCCACATAGGACTGGAGATGTTCGAATGGTAAACATGGCTATTTTGGAAATGCCTCGTAGGAATGGCAAATGAGCTGCCGATTGGTTTGTCGTGCTGCCAATGACGCGCTCCCAAACTGCCGCATCACCGCTTTCGGAACAACCTAACACCGGACCCTGGAAAACGGCATGATGTGCCCCCAGCTGCCACGTCCATTTCATCATCGCGTTCGACGATTTATTCTACTGTATAGCGCCTCTGGAGTCGCATCGCATGGCGACATAGACTGGCCGCTTCGATTTCCCTACCCTTGGCGTTGCTCTCGCGCAATCACGACCGCCCTTCAGCTCAAGCTGTACGCCATCCTCCTGATCAACAGCGAGCAGCCGAGCTCCTGATCGCAGCCACCACCGCACTCGTGCAGCTCCGAAACGATAGCTAGAGCTCTACTTGAGCTGCAGCTGGCCGTAATCCGTTCGAATTGCCATAACGCGCCTACCCTTTCCGCCACGCCGTCCTCCTTAACACCGGCGAATCGCGGTAAAGCCGACATGAATCCAGCACATCGCGACGGGTGGCCGCAGGGCCAGGCGGGAGTGTCTGGGTCCAATACACAGCAAACTGAACAGGGCCAAGGACAGGCCCCGCGACCCTTGGGCTCATATAGGTGCGCAGTCCCCACTGGCCGTCTACGTTCCGACTGCAATCATGGACGAAGACGCTGTCGGCATCCTCTGCACACTCCGTTTTGGTCGGCTGTATACTGACGAAAAGAGTAGTGAAAGGTCGAGCAATGCGAACACACAAGGTCCTCCGCACGCGTCACCGGCGCAAGGTCCTGGGCCCGTGCTTCCACCACCATCGGGTACGTAGCGCTTGCGAACGAGCGCATGATTCTGATGCTAATTTCGCATAGGAGCTGGGTATTACTCTTCAAACGCAGCGACTGTCCACAACCAGAACCTCCCCTCACTCTCTGGACTACCGGTGCAGCCCCCTCACTCATCACCCCACCAGTCCGCACAGCGACCGTCTTCGTCAGAAGTGGGAGCGCAGAGTCAACCAGGGCCTCAGGGGCCGCCATATTCGCTACCTGGCATATCGCAAACACTCCAACAACAGCAGCACATGTCTTCGTCGGAGCAAGTAAACGCAGACAGAGAGCGAGAGCTACGCGAGCGGGAAGCACGGGAACGAGAAATGATGGAGTCGCACGCGCTACAACATGCCGCACAGCAAGAAGACATTGTAAAACGTGAGGCGGAACAGCGAGATCGTGAACACCATGAACGGCAACAACGCGAACAAGCAGCTCTCCAGAACCATTCTGCTCCGATACAGATTCATCAGCCTGTAGCAGTAGCTCCGTCAACACGGACAATCCACGGGCCTAACGGTCTGCTTGGACAATCAGGACCTCTGGGCGGACCAAATCCACTGGCGCCGCCTATGGGCGCACAAAATTCTACTGCGCCTATATATGGCAATGCGCCTGCTCAGCACGAGCAAACTACGCCGAGGATGCAGCATGCTGTGCAACCGCCATCCCAGGCTCAGATGTTGATGCCATTTGTTGGTCCTCCAGGAGCGATGGGCATGGGCCAAGGCCAGCAACCCATTTTGAACGTATGTCATGAACCGAAGACTTGCGCAGGTATACTTACTAATAATGATAGGACGCTTTGAGTTATCTCGATCAAGTTAAGGTCCAGTTCGCTGATCACCCAGATGTCTACAATCGATTCCTGGATATAATGAAAGACTTCAAGAGCGGTGCAATCGATACTCCAGGCGTCATTGAACGTGTGTCGACCCTATTTGCAGGCAACCCGAATCTAATCCAGGGATTCAACACCTTCTTGCCACCAGGATATAAGATAGAATGCGGTACAAACGGCGATCCTAATGCGATTAGAGTGACCACGCCTATGGGTACAATGGTGTCGACTATGCCTGCGCCAAGGCCTCTTTCACCACCACGTAGCAATGCTGTCAACGGCAATACTGCGCCTCAGCATGAGGGTACATACTACGAAACTGCACAGGGTCGACCTTGGCCTCAACAGCAGAGGGCACAAGGACCTGAGGGTCAAGAAATGTTTTCTCCGAACAACCGCAACCTCGGACAGCCGCTGTACGGGCCACAACAAGGGCAACAGGGTCCCACACAACTTTCACCAGAAGTTACCACACGTCCACTTCCTGACCCTGCGGGTTCAGCTGCCGCGCTTGCTCACCAGCAGGAGCAGAGGGGCGTTTCACAGCTACAAATCGCTGTCTCTGCCGCCACTGGCCGCTCCATTTTGTCACCGGGTGGTGATATCTCGACTCCTCTTCCCGGTCAAGTATTGAATGGGGCTGGCCAGATTCCTCAAATGGGTGGGGTCGGTGCTGAGAAACGGGGTCCTGTGGAGTTTAACCATGCTATTAGCTATGTTAACAAGATCAAGGTATGGACCTGCGGTCTACATTCACTGGTATATTTGCTAATCAAGGGGTTAGAATCGATTTGCGTCACAGCCTGACATCTACAAGCAATTCTTGGAGATCTTGCAAACATATCAGCGCGAATCGAAACCTATTCAGGACGTGTACGCCCAAGTTACCACTTTGTTCGGCGCTGCACCAGATCTTTTAGAGGATTTCAAGCAGTTCCTCCCGGAGTCAGCTGCGCAGCATAGGGCACAACAACAAGCGGCTAGACATGCTGCTGAAGACGCGGTCATGTTGAACAACGTGCGAGGTGAATCTGGTTATGGTCAGACGCCAAATCAGCAAACTCCACGCGCAGATACATCTCGGCTACCCCCAATGGGTAACTTTGCTCCTACGCCTACGGCAAATCGTGACAACAAGCGCAAGCGGGAGCGACAGGGACCTGTAGCTGCCCCCATGCCCGCACCAATGCCTCAGGAACCTCCGACTTCTAATGTTCGTGGCGGGTTCGGGCAGGGGAATGCCAACAAGCGCGCCAAAACAGCACACGCGGCAAAGCAGGCGATTCCAGATGGCCCACCTGTCTCGCCTACATTGACACCAGCGCTGCCCGAGCCCATGCCGCCAACAACGACCACGAGCCCTAGTCAAGACGAACTCGCCTTCTTCGACCGCGTCAAAAAGTTCATTGGCAACAAAAACACTATGAACGAATTCTTGAAGCTCTGCAACCTCTTCTCGCAAGACCTAATCGACAAGCAGCTGCTCATTTACCGCGCACAGTCATTTATTGGTGGCAACCAAGAACTGTTTGCTTGGTTCAAGAAGTTCATGGGCGAAGAGGAAGAACAGAAGGCACGCCCTAAGATCGTCAATTCACGGGTTTCGTTGTCGAATTGTCGCAGCCTTGGTCCAAGCTACCGACTCCTCCCCAAGCGGGAGCGCGAACGCGTATGCAGCGGACGTGACGAACTCTGTCGGTCTGTTCTGAACGATGAGTGGGCCTCTCACCCGACCTGGGCTTCGGAAGACTCTGGGTTTGTCGCCCATCGCAAGAACACGTTTGAAGAGGGCCTCCACAGGATTGAGGAAGAGCGACACGATTACGACTTTAATATAGAAGCATGCAATCGCACCATCCAGCAGCTAGAGCCGATTGCCAACCAGTTGCTTACAATGAAGCCTGAGGATAGGACCAACTTTGTACTACCTCCTGGTCTCGGTGGTCAAAGCGAGACCATATACAAGCGTGTCATTATGAAGATATATGGTCGTGACAAGGGCAAGGATGTCATCAAAGAACTCTTCTCGATGCCATGGAGCGTGGTTCCTGTTCTCTTACATCGGTTGAAAACCAAGCTAGAGGATTGGAAGGCGGCTCAACGCGAGTGGGAAAAGGTCTGGCGCGACCAGACACAGAAGATTTTCTGGAAGTCCCTCGATCACCAGAGCATTACAGTCAAGCAGGCAGACAAGCGACAGTTTCAGCCCAAGTCGCTCACTAACGAGATCCAAGTCCGTTATGAGGAGCAAAAGCGACTTCAGACCATCCAGGAGATCCCCCAGCCAGACTACCAATTTACGTTCTCTTTCAAAGATGGAGATGTTCTCTGCGATGTAGCTCGGCTAATGCTCACGTTCGCGGATAACAACAATGGCGCCGACTTTGCGAAAGTCGTCCCGTTCATCAAGGAGTTCGTTCCACTGTTCTTCGGCCTCGACGCAAACAAGTTTGAACAGCGAGTGCACACATCTGGTCGCGATACGCCAAATGACTCCGGCGAAGATACTCCCAGTCCTGATGAAGATGTCTCCCAGCGATCGCAAAAGCCAAAGAAGGGCGATCTTCGTCGTGACGTCCTTGACCCCCGCAGCAAGTCGCGAAAGGATAAGGAGGACAGCGTCGCATCAGCGAGTCGGGACTCCACACCAGAGATTGCTTCAGGAATTGAAGACGAGGGAGCCGGCGACAGCTCAAATTCGAATCCTCGGGATGAACGACCCTCAGGCCACTGGGTGGAGTACTCTGCTTTTCCAACTGCGTTTGACGACAAAGAATTCGAACATGAGGAAGCTTATCGGCGCACTGAGTACAACATGTACGCGAATGCTTCTATCTACTGCTTCTTCCGTATGTTCGTTTTGCTGTATGAGAGGCTGTTGAAGCTCAAGGAGAGTGAGGAGGAAGTTCGAAAGATCATTATGCGTGCCAAGGAGCCCAAGGCGGCGCAGAGGCTGAAGATGTTGGACAAGCAGCCCGAGGACTTCTTCAAAGACACTTCACCGTCTGCGAACTACTACCAGCAGGTCCTTGACATGTTCCAGGATCAAATCACTGGCGAGGTGGACATGAACTTCATTGAGGAGACATTGCGCCGTTATTACCTGCAGATTGGCTGGCAGCTGTACTCATTCGACAGGCTGCTCAGTTCGCTTGTGCGATTCGCGCTTGCTGTCGTGAGCCATGATAACAAGGATAAGAGCCTTGATATCTGGAATCTCTTCAGGAAGGATCGCGTTAACGACACAACTACACATAAGAGCGAGATTAGCTATAGGAAAGCAGTCGAGAAGTATGCTAAGGACGCTGATACATACCGTATCACTTGCGTAAGTATCTCAATCAGACCTTCTACCATATCATTTTACTCATGTACTTCTAGGATCCCGTTAAGAGCAGAGCATTTGTGCGACTCTTCAAGAAAGATGACCCAACCTTCGAGTTCAATACTCTCGACCGCGTCAAGCGCTGGCGCGCATACGTCGCCTCGTACATGGCCGTCGAGCCCACTGAAGAGGTCGACCGATCTCGCGTTCACTACCCCTGCCTCAAGAAGCGCCTCGCGACAACCTCAGACCCCTCTGAAGATGACCGCTTCGAGCACGTCAAGTACAGCGACAAAATCACCGTTTCCATCAGCCCCGCTGCCTACGTCATGACGTTCATCAATAGCGAGCCATTTGGTAACGGCGGTGTGCAATACTTTTTGCAACCGGATGCCGTACGTGCGGGACTGAGTGAGCGCACGCCGAAGCCAAACGAGGAGTACAAGAAGCTCAACGATGAGAGGAGGGAGAGGGTGCAGGAGATTCTGTGCAGGAATAATAGCTGGATGAAAGATCTGAGTCGTGATGATGTCGATGCGAAGAAGGCGGCGTTTAAAAAGGATATCGAGGAGCCGAGGAAGGTTGACGATAATGAGGATGTGGAGATGGAGGAGGCCTAACCTGGGACTTCCAATCTCTTGTTTATTTCTTGGTCGACGGTAGGGTCATTTGGCGTCTGGACGGGAGGCATATACACGAGGAGGTTGAACGTCTGATGGGTGGGCAGGACTCGATGCTTCTGTCTTGATATTTTGTTGCGCGGGTTTTGGGTGCATGCATATTGGTTGCTGGTTGTTTCTCAGAACAGCAGCACATTTCCGTTCAGGCTGGCGTCCTGGATTTGATACACCTGACTCATCTATATCCATTTTTTGGTCTTCTAATTCCATTTTAGTTTCAGCTTCACATGCCTATTCGGCATATCAGTTACCTTGTTTTGCAGTCCTACCATTGAGCGTGTCGATTCAGAAGCTGCATGCTGGAGGTGGATCGAGTTGAGCGAATATGTTCATGTTGGCTTTTAATTTGATTTATAATACAGTATGGCTGTGATTGATAGCTTGCAGGCCTACCTTGATATACCAATTGCCACGCTCCACCAATTCCCAGTCATAACTAGTCATAACCAACAGTCCTTGTCGTGGATCAATGTGATATTTCATAACACGACTCACAACCTCTCATTGCCGCCATTCCCTCGGAACCTCTTCTTTGATCACTGTAGTTGCCCGTATCACCACTTCCAGCCTCCTCTCACTATCGTTGACTCGGAGCCACTTCACCAATCGCTGTTCAATCGACCGACTCATTTTCACATACAGCTTAGCTAACGAATTGGTCTTGTTTTGGATAGGCTTTTCGCACGTCACGAGATCGATCTCTACTCGTTGCACGTTGGGGTACATTTCTGCGAATGACACAACAAGCGGCCTCTTCATCTCGTCTAGAAACAATAGCGCGTCAAATACAGGTGCAAGAAGAGTGACCAAGTGAAGTGATTTTATGGCATGGCGTCGGGGGCGCGTAGGGAAGTTGTTACGCGGGTCGAACGTCTTGAGAGTGTCGAAGCGGAAGGTGTTCAAAGTGAATGGGAGCATTGCCGTTTCGCGATATGTCTGACGGCATACGCTTAGCAGAGCGAGGTGGTGAGGCTTTGCATCTTGGAGTGTAACACCATTCGTGTCGTTTACTCCAACCACTGTGTATGTACCCTCGGTAAGAACGTAGCTGTATATTGCGTTCCTAATCTTACTAGGAATGCGGAGTAATGGTGAGGTGGATGCATTGGGTTCAATGCTGGAGATTCGTCAGTATATACATTCTGTTCAGAGGCTATTGTACCTTACATCGGCGCATCGGTGCGTGTAGAGGAGGTGCTGTCATTGTTGTCGCACATGATGTACGACTTGAAGCTCGCTGCCTCAGACGCCATGAACGTCCGACAGCTTCGACAGCTTCAGCAATCGTGCTCTTGTATCGTGTAAAGCTCTCGAGAATGGCGGGGTGTACTTGTTGTGAGGTAAGTTGGCAAGTAGCGAAAGAGAGTTCGGAGGCAGGGAAATCTTTGTGGAAGGAGCGGCCAAAGTTGCCTTCACCTCGTAAAGCGTATACATAAGCTCTCACGACCCGACGGTTCTTTTGCGCGCACAGTCTTTGCGATTACCCTGGTGGGCATCGTCGAACATCCTTTATGTGGCAGCCTGCTTTTTCTTTTTTGAATAGAGCACCGCCTTATGTCTCCTTTCTTCGAACCCAGCAGACTCGCCACGATGCCCCTCCATCCAGCAATTCTGACAATATAGATCGCTATCACAGCCCAGACACCTCAAGGTGGCATCATCTTGGCAGATTACACACCATGTATCGACCTCGTCGTCAATACGCGCTTGTAGGTTAGACGAGACAGGTGGCTTCTTCTGCGGTGAGAAGGATGGGGCAGACGGAAGACCTAGGGAGTCCGTTTGCGATGGTGATGGAGCGGAGAGCGCGGCTAAACGTGCTGTAAACGCATCCTCAATGGCTTGTGAGCGGTCGAAGTCGTCTTCCGGGAGTGAGGTTGGTGCAGACGGAAGCGTGAAGCCTTCTCCTGTAGAATTCCCTTCTGTCTTATTCTTCTGATCACCCGAGTCTGAGTCATAGTCTTCTGGTGGTGGTGGAGGAGAGGGAGTGTCATATTTCTTGCTTATCTCGAGCTCCGCCATGACCCTTGCAATCACATCATCTGCTTCGTCTTCCTCGGTCTTCTTTTGGCCATCATCTTCATCTTCGCCTTGATCTGCTGTGTCCTCTCGACCTACGTCCACACCTCCACTCCCAACGCTGACTTCAATATTCTCCCAATCCGTGAGCCCCTCTTGTTGGCCTGGACCGCTTTGCCCAGTTCTATTATTTGGATTTGGGGTCCTAGTGTTCACTACTTCAGGCAATATTCTTCTCATATCCTTCAGAAGCTTCCCAACATCTTCTTGCTCCTTCTTCGAGACATCCCAGTCCTTCTTCTCGCCTACAGCGCCATTCAGCTCTGCGAGCAAATCTTCAAGGCTCTTCTCGTCCTCTTCATTGAACTCCACATTCCCACCTCCGATACCGTCTGCTATGCCCTCTAGATAGCTCGGAGCACCTGGCGCTACGATCGGTGCGGCGGATGCTGTTCGCGAGGGCTGCGGAGAGCTCGAGGCTGATGCCGAGCCTAGGCGCGCAAAGCGGGCTGCGAGGTCGTCTGTGGGCGTTGGAGAAGTTGAGAAAGCCTCTGAGGGGTTGTAGGTCGTCTCGAGGCTTACGCTGGATTTCTTGAGCGCGTTGAGGCGGACGAGTAGGTCGTCATCTGTTGAGCTTGGTGTAGAACCAGACATTGTTGCACTATGGGGTTTTGAAGACCGCCCAAAGTCCTAGCTTGATCGACACCATACACAGTAGGTTGCTGTATTGACTGTGGCGCGGGGCAGCTGTAGGTTGAAAGGTTGTTGACTGGCTAAGGCCCTCGGGGGTGTGCGGAGTTAAGAGGGGAGCTTGGGCGAAGCTTGGTTTGGTGGCCATCCTCGACCAAAGACGATATCAACATCTGATGGAGCTCCTGATGGAACTCTTGAGTCCCAGGACAAATATTGAACAACTGGCTTAGGCTTAAGATTCAAAGTTTTGGAACTTCATGATCTATGCTGACCTCTCCTTCGCACAGCTCTGCAAGACTTACCTGCAGCTCTAGTTCATGTGCGGTACATTCCAATCACAGCGTTCACTCGATATTGATTGAACAAAACAATCTTTGGAATCATGACTGACCAACTTTGCCTCCACCCTCATGGTCCACCCGCTCACATGCAGCGGACTAACCCGGAACACGCCCCGCTGTCGTCATATGTCGAGCTCATAGAATCTGAAGCTACCCCTCGTACCATCGAGCTTTAAGATTGCGTGCTGTACCGACCCGTTGAACAATAAAAAAGAACCGTCGGCCCTCATTCTAGTAAAAAACCGAAACTACATAAGCTCAACCATCCTACGAATTACTTTACTATATTACAGCTCGACATTAACAACAATGGCTCTCGCGCCCCAGTTCGCAGGCCAAAAGCTGGCATCGAGTGCCATCCAGCCCAAAGCTGTTCACACTATTGAGATTTGTGCGTTTTGACATCCCCTCGAAGCCTTCACATAACCAAATAATAACGCGTTTAGACCTTGATTACGTCTGCCCCTTCAGTCAGAAGATCTTCAAGACCGTCTACACAACCGGCCTACGCAAAACCCTCCTCGAAAAGTACGGCGACCGTGTCGTAACAATCTTCCGGCAGCAAATCCAACCGTGGCATCCCTCATCTACACTCGTCCACGAAGCCGGGTACGCAGTACAGAAAGTAGATTCTTCCAAGTTTTATGATTTCTCCGAGAAGTTGTTTGAGCAGCAGAAAGACTTCTTCGATGTCAATGTTGTGAATGAGACGAGGAATGCTACATACAAGCGTCTAGCTAAGATTGCTGGGAGTGTAGGGGTGGATGAGGGGAAGGTGTACGATCTGTTGAAGATTAGCGATAAGCCAGGCGAAGATGGAAGTTTGAACTCAGGCAATGGGGTCACTGATGACGTGAAGATACAGGTGAGGCAAAACCGCTTGGTTGGTGTGCATGTCACGCCTACTGTCTTGTTCAATGGAATCATCAACAACGACATCAGTAGCGGCTGGACGCAGGAGCAGTGGGAGGAGTGGCTGGAGAAGAACGTGAAGTGACTAGATGGCTCGGAGTTGGGAAAGGCTGTGAGGAACGGTTCGAAACTTTAGCATTGAATCTAATAAACAATATAATGGTATCTCAGTCCAAGAAGACGCCATTCCATGCATTGTGTGTTATACAATCCTTCAGACCTTTGTTAATTTCTCATTGGACGCCAACATCATACCCATAACTCTCTCGTACGTCCACATAGTAACCGCACTCGCTGGAGCAGCTTTCAGTAAACTGACGGTCAAGCCTCGATACATCCCTCTTCGTCCTTCGTGCTTCCATATACGCAGTACGGTGCTGATTACGCCAGAGTATTTAGGGATGTTGCGATGAATGTATTTATCTCGCATTGGCCCCTGCACCTGCAATCGTTTCCGTGTAGTGTCTAATGGGTATACAGCAGTCTTCGACAAGACGCTCGCAATAATTCCTGCTGCTGCATCTGAGCTTCCAAACGGTAGTGGAATAGGCGAATTGGCCGTGACCGGCTTTAAGCTTTCGTAGGTAGCAAAGAACAGTCCCATGTACGGCACGATTTGGCTCACGCCGGCTCCGAGACCGCGGAAGAACCCCGTCGGGCCTTCATGCTGAGCAATGTGTTTCAAGGACGCTATGAGCGACGGATATACACGGTCCCTTCCCTGGGCAGCGAAGCGCGTCCGTAGCAGGTCGAGTGGGTATGTCGCAGTCGTCGCAGCAGCACCTGCAGTAGCACCACTGATGAACGATGTCGCAGAATCAGGAGGGGTGTATGGCGCCGGGATAGCTTCGATCAGGTGCGAGATGTACGTATAGGCCGAGAATTGGATGCCGCCGTAAGCTAAGTACATCAACTCGGCAGGTATGTTCCCTTTCCATAGCCCCGTAACACCCTCTTCGCGCAGGATCTGCCTAAAAGTACCAAGTGTGCCCTTGTAGACGGGTCCATTGACGCTACGCACGCTGAGAGGGTCGGAGTGCGAGTGGATTTGGAGCTGCAGGCGAATCTTGATGACGTCGAGGGGAGCTATCACGAAGCTGTTGCGACGTTGGTACCGCACATAGATGGACGATTGAGAGAGGGAGCATACCGTGAGACTAGGCCTGCGACAGCGCCTGCAACGACCACCTGTCGCGGTGAGCCCTAAATCGTAGCAGAATCAGCTCTTGTCCCCACACTTGAAGATAACCGTGGTGAACGCGTTACCTCATGCTTGAGCTGTGCGACGCTCGCAGACATGCGCCTAGCGCCTCAATGGCGGAAGGCAGTGTATACGTGCCACAGTGCCACACGCTTTACTGACCGCTGCTGCTTGTCGGTGGGTCAATCAAAGCGAGGTGCCGAAGAAATGGTGGATGTTGGAACCTCGGTACGATGGGCAGTTGTTTCCAACGCTTCGGCGTGTGAAAAAGGAAGAGACCCCGCGACGAACTGTCTTGCCAACAACATGTCTTTGAACATCACTAACAAGCTCTCCCTGCGAAGTTTATCTTCGGGGCCGGCGCGAAATTGCTGTAGAGTCACAGCTGTAGCCCAGAGGAGACCATTGGTTTTCAAATCATTTTGGAGCAGATCACCCAAGGTTGCAGAGCAAGCCGAATGGAGCCCCACTACCACTGGTCCGACACGTCCGACAAAGCAAGAGGCCAAACAGCTGCAAGAACAGGAACTGAAACAGGCAAAACAGCAGGAGGCTTTATCATGTGAAGGTTCAAATATTGGCCAACTGGATGGAAGCCCAGCAAAATGCATCGCAGTCAACATCGACGGGGTTCCCAGGATCTTTGACACGGTGTTCCTCCGCGACAGCTGCCCGTGTCCGAAATGTAGGGACCCGGACAGCAAACAGAAAGTCTTCCAGACTTCAGACGTCCCAGAAGATTTAGAAGGAAGCTATAAGATGGTAGTCGATCAAGAGAAAGGCCCTTCCATTGAGTTGGAGTGGAAAAACGACGTGAAAGGATACGGATCAGAACACCGCACACGACATTCCATTGACTGGCTACGGAGAGCACTAAACACAGAGGTGGAGCTCAGAGGCGGTGTACGGCACGACGAAAGAGTTCTCTGGGACCGTGAAAAGATCACCAAGGACAACAAATGGGTTGATTACAAGGAATACATGTCTCAGGACGACACTCTCTTCGACGCGCTCACCCACCTCAATCGATACGGCCTCCTCTTCATCAAGAACGTCCCCGACTCTCAAGAATCTGTAGTCGACCTCGCCAGCCGCATTGGCACGCTAAAAGACACATTCTACGGCCGCACCTGGGACGTCCGCTCCAAACCGAAGGCCGAAAACATCGCTTATACACCCCAATTCCTCGGCCTCCACATGGACCTCCTTTACACCACTAATCCACCACATCTTCAACTATTGCACTCTCTCCGCGCCCGGACACCAGGCGGCGAATCATTCTTTAGTGACTCCTATCACGCAGCCCATCAGTTACAACGGCTGGCTGCCTCCCACTTCCGAACCCTCTGCACCTTCCCCGTAACGTACCACTACCACCACCCAACACATCACTACCACTTCACGCGGCCCACCATCGAAATGTTCCCGTACCCTAAGTATAGCGATCCCACCAATCTTGCTATTAAACGCGTGAACTGGTCTCCACCCTTCCAAGGGCCCTTTGAAGCTCGTATCGGGTCCCACAATGAGACGTCCTTGCGTTCGTTTATCGCAGCTTCGCATGCGTATGAGAAACTTCTGAGTGCAGAAGAGAGCTTGTACGAGTACAGGCTCAACGAAGGGGAATGCGTCATATTTGACAATAGGAGGGTACTGCATGCCAGGAGAGCGTTTGATGCTACGAAAGGAGAACGGTGGTTGAAGGGCGCGTATGTGGATGACGATGTTTTCTTCTCGAAATTGAGGGTGCTGGAAGAGAAGTATGAAGGAAAGTGGCTTGCTGAGGGCGTCGTTAGACATGCTTTGAAGTAAGGAGTTCGTAAGAGAATCTGCATAGGGTAGCGTCGAGCTGTGGGTTGAGAGATTGTCTGCATTTACTGGATTGGGGTTGCATAGCGGGCGGTAGCAAGTCAAAGGCTGGTTTATAATTCTACAAGTCATACAAAGGAGCTCGTATCTGTTGAATCCTCACTACGCGGTGGACTTAGGCCGAGCTGGGGATTTAATACACACGAGCTCCGTCGCATTCAGTATCTTGACACCATCTTAGTATATACGTTCTCTCCCCGCCCCTCCTCCTCCAATAGCTATGGCAGCACCCCAAACTCACCCGCCTTTCCCCTCCATGTTATCTTCATCATCGGCCTCTCGAGAAAATCCTCGACACCGTTTCTTGTCCTCGCATCATTCCATTCTCTCCTCTTCAATGTCTGCTGTAAAACAAAGGCCAAATCTACCTTGTTGACGGCAACTTCGAGAGTCTCGCCCTTGAGACCTGGTACTACGAATGCTATTTCAAGCTGACAGGCTTCGCGGGAGGCTATATAAAAGGGTGTAGGCAAAGGACCTGGTGGCGGAAATAGTATGTGCGTCATGGGCTCGTATTGTAAACTTGTTTTCGATTCAGGAGATTCTTGTAGTGTTACCAGAGCGTGGTGACTTTTTGGCTTGAAGGGCTTGAAGTCTTGTTGGTATTTAGCTATGAGCTCTTCTTGTCTGGAATTCTCAATTGTAAGTTTATGTTTCTGGGTAGAGAGCTCTTCGATCTTCTGCGTGTTTGCCCATGCTTGGGCTTCGAGTTTTGCTAAGCGATCGGCTGTTGACATTGCGATGTTGGTGGTTTGAGGCATATTACTGTGATATACAAATTTATAGTGGCAGCTACGTTGGAGGTCAGTTTATCACAGTAACTTGTACGTGTGAGTCAAGCAGTGCTACGTCAGCAATGACCGTGAATAACAAGCGTGAATGAACAATGTGGTTCATCTCTGAGAACATGTCTGCTCGAATTAGCAATCGTTTCTTGACGATGGCTCTGGCGACCATGAGAAAGCTAAATTTATCTTAAATGAATACTAAAGCCAGTATATTAATTACAAACACGAAGTACAAAAGCCCATCTACATCTCCGTCCCCATAACAATCATCTGCTCCTATCACACCAGTGCACGTAACTCCCCTCAAGCAAGTATGTTGAACTTAAGATACTAAACCACATGTTGACTATAGTCTAGTATAGTAACAATTAAATATTCTCAAGTCCCAGAGTATCATTATTAACAACCTAATCTCGAGACATCATTACACAACATGGCGGACAATCAGGGTTGGATTTGCAAAGATTGTGGACGGACAAATTATCACGATGGCTGGCAATGTGAATATTGTAGTCGAACATAGAGATCGAAGACATCAGCGCAGTGTTGGATATGTGTAGATGAAGAGAATATGTGTATTAATGACGTTGCCGACTTTTGGTGAACAGTTACGCCAGCATTGTGATAATGCATTGAATGCACTGTGAAAATTATATGTATTGTTTCTTGATACATAGACCAATAGAAACATGGGGGCATGGGTATAAATTCACCTAGTGTGAAACCCCTAGATTTTGGTGTAAAGCTCACCAATGTGCTCATACTCCTGACCAAGCAAGACGGCACGCCCCTCAAGACGCACTCGATTACTTTGGGAGAAGATGGATGCTGAAGTTCCTACCAATCTTTTCGGCGAGAACCATAAAACTGCAGTCCAGAATAAAGCCCATCGAGTCGAGTTTCGTGTTTGTGTCCACCTCGTTATTCAATGGGCTTGGGTGCTTCCGAGAACCTTCCTGTATCCTCGCTACATCCACATGTACGCTCATAACCCTCCTTTGCCTGACCCTTGGGCATTGTCAGACTATTCAAGGATGTCCCGCCATGCCAATGCACTTACGGTAGCATCTTGACCTCCAGACCGCGAGCACTGCCCACATCCTCTACCATCTTCATGAGCTGCGCAACCCTATCTTCTCTATCCTCCAAAGACCAATGCTCGATGATTATGGTCTTGAGATTAGGAAATGGTTCGCAAGGATCTGCAACTATCCTCGGACGCTTATTCTTGGGGTGGATATAAAACAGCATCAACGGCCTATCCACAACCATCCGCCTGAGAGCATCGCGCTGGGCGGGTTTCGTGCTCTTCAAGAATTCTTCGAAAGCTGACCGGCCAACGAAGCAGAAGCGATTGGTGCTGAAGGTGAGCGTTGCTGTCTCATTATAGATCTGTCGGCACACACGGAGGAGCGCGAGGTGGTCAGTGGTCAATCTAGTGTGTAGAGGGTTGTCTGAGTATTCTGGGCGGAAATAGGCGCCCGTAAAGGTCGAAATAAGGATGCGCATTCCACCGAGGATGTGCTCCCAGATCTGAATGCGTATCTCTGCCGGAAGTTGTAGTAATGGCGATACGCTGTTGTTCCGCACACTATAACTCGTGTTAGTTCATACCGGTTATTAATTATATCGAGGATGTCTGCTTACACTGGTACCAGGTCCGTTGGAGTCTTGTTTAGTGAGACAAGACCGTTCTTGAGACGATACACGCGCTTAGGCCCCTTTCGTGACTCCCCTAGGGCATGGCTGGCTCCTCGGACTCGGGGTGCTTCCTCTGGAGATTCTTGACGAGCTTCTTCGCGATCCTCTTCAAGGAAGTCTACCACGCGATTACGCAGATCTCCTGGACGATGTCGAGTCATGGCGTCGTTGAATGAAGGGTGATCGTGATCCAATCGTGTCGAGTTGTCGAGTTGAGATTCGCTATCCGCTGTTGAGTTGTGTGCGTTTTGAGAGGAATTTTTAGCCCATTATATTGAGTGAGGGCGACGCGCAATGAAGCGCGGGAAAGCTATCACTTGTGTCCAGTACCCGTTGCTGGGACAAAATTCTGCCAAGCCCAATCTGTGGAAGGGTGAAATGAATCCTCGAGAGGCCGAGGAGGACCAAATAAGGTTTATATCTCCATGTTGCTATCGTAACGCCACTCTTGAGCAGGCCGGGTCGAAGTTGGATTGCCTGAAGCGGAAAGCGTCATGGCACAGGTGTGAAGGATTTTCCACGTGAGCGCTAGCCCGTTCCGACTTAGATGAATGGCGCCTTCCAAGGTTCTCCGTGAACGCTCGAGTTCACCACTTTGAACGTTACCTTATGCCTATTATGCACAGGGCTCCTAGAATAGAGGTAAATCAATATGCTCTTGCACAAGCTTTGACAAGCGTTAAATATCATTGGTATTTGGCTCAACGCCCCCAGACCGCGAACGCGCATCGAAGACATGCACGGGGGTGTCGGAAACAGAAAACACGATGTTATGAGTCAGCAAACGGTCGAGTATGCCTCCGCTGTGAATACGTAGGCCAGAAACGTTCCCTCGATGTTCAAGAATCAAGAAACTCGTAAACCCAAGGCGATTTCTGATAGGACGGTGCGAGTAGCAATTCACTATACACTCGAGATGCGAGGTAGTTTCTCGATTCCATCGCAACATACCTGGCTAAAACCTCATAGGGTCGAACGCCTCGAGAGAACTATCGGCGCCTAATTCAGAGGATGGATGACTTGGAGACAGGACACTTCCAATCGAATGAATCACAGCAAGGAGAACATGAACAAACAGCGATCGAATATCAGTCTATACCACACCATCAGGATGAGCATCGCACTGCTGATCAAGGATCTGCGCCTCTTTTTGTTCTTCGAGACTTGACCACAGAGTCGGGGTTTCGGGCTCACAACTGGATGCCACCAATACTCCGTCGCGTGCCTTCTCAGACGCATTATTCCTCAAAAGACTTATCAGTCCTCAAGAAGCTTTATCCTCGCTGTGTTTGTTCCAAGAGCATTATGGACATTGGTCCTCATTCGACCCTCTCATTCCAACTGCAATTTTGTTAGAAGACGTGCGTTAGTCCCCGTTGCTGCTAACCGCCTGCTGCTTGATCGCGGTGCGACATACATCACAAGAGTTGGCTTCCCTACTAGCACCTACGTTATTCAAAGAGGCAAAAGCACTACTATCGGTGGCCCTCCTGAGTACCCCACAGCCAATCGAGTTCTTCCAAGCTTCTACGATACTCAGTTTATGGTCAACAACCATTGGGCAGATTCCCCTGAGTATGGATAGCTGGCTCTTGAGCGGGTTTGCGATTCAACATTGTATTGCATCTGGCCTGTTAGGGCCTACCACGGGTCTCGATTCGAGTTTGAACAATCATGGACTCGATCGTTTCTGTGTTTGGAACCATCTGCGTCTCACGCACCTCCACTACTGCGTTGGAACGCGACGAAAAGCCTCCATCGACAGGGACGATATTGAAAGATGTCGCGTTATCCTTAGATTAGACTACGCAACAAACTTCGAGTCACGGATGGTAACAGAAATCTTCCTCTACTAGATTATGTACGAAATTGCCCCGCTTCAGTTGATCTCGCAAATACCCAAACAGCCGCCATGCAACAAATGGCAGACCACGCACTAAGACGCAACAGCCCTGGGTATCATTTAATGAAAAGCCGACTCCAAATCCTTCTTCACTGCCTTTTGTTGTTTGATCTAATCTTTATTTGTTCACTCTGTTGTACTGACTTGGTAACCTGCTTCTTCCGCCTCTTCTGGACCCGCGTCACATGTGTGGAGGATCGTGGTTGGGAAACTGCTGAGGGTGGGGTTGATGCAAGTCGTCGCTTGAATGCGATAGAAGCAGGCGGCGATACTGAGGCGACTTGAGGCGATTGCAAGATCGTTGCCTGCTTCGCGGAGGAGAGCTGCGGGAGTGTCTGAATGATGAATCGGAGGCAACCGTGCCAACTTGGTTGTTGAATGCATGGAAGCAGCTCGTCAACCTCGGCGGGGATATTCGCATCCAAGAATACCTCCCTTTTGCTGTCTTCTAATAGACTCTTTAAGTGCTCTGTGTCGCGTTGCAGACGATCAGCCAGCACAGCTTCTAGTTTGTCCTTTGATTTTATGGACGAGTCCAACTCTAGCCCCTCCCAAATACTGGCGACAAGGTTATCGAAATCCTCACGTATCATCAACGGCACACTGTGCTGGTTGTATTATTTGTCTAATGCGTCAAGCTTTTGGCGTGGAAGGGGGTGAAAGTCGACGAGGATAGGCTGCGTGCCATTGTCGACCTTTAGGTTGTGGCCCTGGACAGGTGGTGACAGCGTGGTGGTCCTCGGCGATGCAGCAGGGCTTGGCGGTAAAGCACTAGCTACGCTCATTGCAATGGCAGTTGATGGCATTCTGTTTGAAGCAGGAGATGGTTAAAGTGCTGTAGGTGCTGGTTACGCTTGGTCCGTGTGGCTTTGAATCCTGGCGCACGTGCGCTGCCCCGCTACGAAGATGTCTGCGCCTCCATGCGCAGTTGTCTGTTAACAACTCCAATTCAAATTTCGGATGGAAGCAAACGAAGGGAAATGGCCGCCAGTGCTAAAATCCATCTTTACCGAGGGTAGTAGCGAAGATACCAACCAAGCATTCCGGAATGACCCGCTTTTCGGGGTCCATAAGCATGGCCCAACCTGCACAGGCGATGTACGGGCCCTTGTCTATCCGCTCACGCAAGAAGCGCGATATTGTTAAAATATGGAAACTGCAATGGCAGTATCTCTTCGATCAGCCTCGTTCGCAGTTTGTGCAGATGGGGTTTCATTTCGCGCAGCTCTCAAGTTATGTTCAATCGCTCAAGACGAGTCAGGAGTCACTTGTAAGCAAGATAGTCCGACTTCAACTACCAAAACCAATATTGCAAAGGCGACAGCCGATGAACGGACGCGGTATTTAACAGATCATATCTATCACATAATCAGCAGAAGACCAGAATGCTTCCATCGTCGAGCTCACTTGCGCAATGCTGCTGTGAAACCACCGTAGAATCGAGATGCCAGATGATCTCACCGGTCTGGCGAAAGATTGTAATTACGGCGGAGACACTGCGCAGTGATGCAAGGATATTACCGTCCGCGAGTGGATATAGCGAATTGATGAGTGGCCAGTGTTCTCTAGGATAGTGCGGTTGGGGCTTGAACTTTTCCGGGTCCAAATGATCGATCGCTTTCCCAGACCAGAGCAGTTCCCCCGACAGATAATCAAGTCTCTACTTGTTATTTTCACGCTTGTCAGTATGACCATCCAAGTTGCCGTTAGTCTCATTACTGAACAAAGTTCGCCTTCAGTTATCAATCATCGTAGTGCATCTAACAACTTTATAATTCCTCGAGCTGGCGGAACTTAACTACTGATCATGTCCTGGGTGCTTTGCAGTCGAAATGGGTATTTTATGATATCCAAAAGCTTCAAAAGAAAAGGAAAAGCAAGTAATCATCGACCTAACTCCCTTAAACATCGAGTGATCTTACAGGTGGAGCCCATTCTAACTGGAACTCAATCATCCGACCCATCTTCCGGCAAGCCTTGCAGGACTTCTTCGACGATGCTAATGAGTTCGTCAACATCCGGCCTCTCACTCGGCTCCAACAACAAACACTTTCTCACGACCTCCTTTACGCTCTCCGTGATCGCGTCCTCGGGGTTCTGTTTCTGCTTCCCTCTCTGCAAGCCCTCGTCGGGAAATCTCCAATCACCACCTAATACGCAAATACTCAGACTTCCGCCGGTCTCATCAGACCTTGTCTCAAACGGACTCTTGCCTACAAGACATGCATAGAGAGTACACCCGAGAGACCAGATGTCGACCTTGGTGTCGATTACTGAGCCGGTTTTCACATCGAAGAGTTCCGGGGCGCGGTAGGGCATTGTGGAGTGTTCGGCGGCGAGGTCTTGTACTTGTAGAGCGAGGGAGCGTGAGGTTATAGGTGTTGGAGAGGGTGCGAGGGAGCCGAGGTCCATTAGAATCGGGGTTTTGCCGTCGTCGTCTATCATTATGTTGCCTGATGACATTAGTATATAGCGCATTACGTTATGAGGTATGTGTGGAGGCATACCGGGCTTGATATCGCGATGTGCATACGCTCTCTCCCCACCGGGCGCAATCCCCTCTTGCGCCATCGTTACGTTCGAATCTTCTAGAAGTCCCTCAGCTTCCTGCTCATCATCGTCATCTTGCTCGCGATGTCTCCTGCTTGGCCGCATCTCCATGCTCTCTGCAGCCTCCGCATCCGCTCTCGCAGCAACTTTCCTGACTTTCTTCGCTTTGCCCTCACTCCGCGCTCCGCCAGGACCACCCTTGACTTTGTACTGATGCATAGCTTTCAGCGCTTTGCACACGCCCAGAAACAGCACCATAAGTCTCCGCTCTGGGAACTTTGTGTGATTGACGAGATTGGCGTTGATCAGGTCTTGTAGGTTTCCGCGGCGATAGTAAGGTAGGAGGATATAGACAGTCTTCGCTGACGGATCTGACTTATCGGTCTCCACGGAGTAATCGATCGAATGTATGATATTCGGGTGGGGAGAGAATAGCGTGTATGCTTCGACTTCTTTCAGCGCGAGGCTAACGCTCTCTTGACCAAAGGGACATCGGATCTTTTTGAGAGCAAGGAGTTGTTGGTTGGAATTGTCTTGAACGAGGTAGACGTAGGAAAAGCCGCCCTGTTGTCGCGATCAGTCAGTGGAGCTGCATTGTAAGGGGCAGCATAAGACAGCTTACCTCGCCCAGCAATCGTAGTATCTTGAAGCTCCGGCTGTTGATCTTGAGCTGTGGGGAGCTTGGAAAGCAGACCATGCAGTTCGTGAACGAGTAGACCACGTCCAAAAAGTATGTGCCTAGCGATCCCATCGTGCCGCGTGTTGCTATTTGAGTTGCGATTGTTTGGGGAGTTGTTGACAGGTTGCGAGGAGCTCAGTGCCGAGCTGTACTACAGTCGCGCGGTCAATGCGGCGCGTCGAACGTTTTTCAAGGTCACGGAACTTGAAGGGTTGGATATGTAGATTAATCCCACCGGCGAGAGAAGAGTAATGGTATCGTTTGGGAAGGATGACGCGGCAATGTATTCGGAGGAGCTGATGATGTGGTTGGTCCAAGGATGCGCCAAGGGTGTGGCTGTAAACGTATCCACAGCCATGCCACGCTTGTGAGCTCCACAGATTCCCGCCTGACTCAAATTTAAATAGCTCTGGAGCAAGTACCTTCCTTCAAAACTCGCTGACTATGTCACCACGTACCATAGGGATATAAATGATGTAACTTGACAAATCTCCATCTTACGTAAGAACCATCTTGGGCGTGTGGCTCAGTGGTAGAGCGTCCGCTTTGCATATTCTCTATGTCTGCGGAAGGTCCGGGTTTCGATCACCCGCCCGTCCATTTTTTATTAATTTTGCCTTTTTGTTCACCTTGTTTTCTAGGTGAGGAGTAGTCTGGTTACTTTTGGCCATGTCAGTGGCGAGGAAGGTGCAATGTGGAGGTTCTTTCCATTTTTTTGGCCGGACTGGTGCGTCTCGCATCAGCAGAATCTAAACAACGCAACATTGAGTGAGGCGAAAGGCAATGGTCCATTCACTTACATTTGAAAGGTATTCATATATGGTATGTTTTTGCTGCACTATTGCATCTGTAATAATGTAGCATGACGGCCTCGAGACACTTTCAGATCCCACTTCGGGTTTACTCTACAACAGCCTAGAGGTCTTCAATGCAATGATGAAACATATCTAGGCAGAGTCAAGATAGGACAAGCAAACTGGCAAGATTGCTTAGACCAGGGTCAGGTTATATTGAGGCGTATCGCAAGCTAAATGCAGTGTGCGTATTAAGAGCTAGTTACTATAAGCAACATATACGCGCTCATTATATATACTAAGTAGAATAGATGTGCGGACCACCTGTAGGACATTCCTAACCTTGTACCTCTACTTTCTATGTCATTATTAAGAATACAGCGGTTCTGGGGGGAAGAATATCTTACGGATTCTGAATTCTGTAGGCTCTTATTGGCATTTATGGTACGAGAGATCTACACATGAAGAGCAAATGCGACATGTACTAACTCTGCACATACAACTCAAAAGTCGACACCAGTTTTAACACTGTCCAACAATGCCATACTAGCTGGTGTGGCCCCGAGCACAAGATACGATGCACCGGGTGAAACTGGGTGAGGCCATCCTTGACCATGGTGGCATAGAATAGGTTAGTTCAATGTTGATTTACTCCTTCAAGTCATTTAAATATACAATTTCATAGACCAAGCTTGCGAAACAACCATTCCCAACCCCAAGTCCCCTATGTCACTGACGGGTAGGTTTCTGACTACCGAACAGCTAGCTCCTTACGGCCACAGATTCTGCGGCTTATTGTCAAACCCAAACTCAATCTTCTTGTCAAGCGTCGTCAGGAAGTCATTCTGCCCAAATTCCTCCACCTTCGCGAGCGCATCGAGTGTCTTCTTGGTTTTCTCGCACTCCCCATACCACTTCCTCTCAAAGTTATACTCCTTGTCCGAGACATGGGGCAGAATAGCCCACTCCGGCAGCGCACACTTGTCTTTCTCGCCATTCTTGTACCACCAGAAACGATCTTTGCCGTCCTTGCCACGCCAGTGGTCACGGTTCCAGTCATCTTTGAGAGGTGTATGCGTGTCCCAACCGCGTACAAGCCTGCGGTAGTGAACGATAGGGTGAATGTACTCGTTTGTCTGTCCAATGTCGCGAATGGGCTTCCACTTGGGTTCTTTCGACTTTTCATCGTATGTCTCGACGTCTTCGTGACCGGGCACGCGCTTGTGTGTGCCGTTGAGGTGGTACATGCCGCCGAATGGATCGACGAGCGGACCAGTGCCCCAACTAAAGTCAAAGTCCGTATGCGCGTGAGCGGGGTCACGACGCGGAGCTGTGAATTCATCTGGCCCTGGATTGATGATCGGAATGCTGGGAAGTTTTGGGACATAGCTCCACGCCCAATCGCCCCAGGTTTCGTGGTGATAGGTACATGCGTAGCGGATGCGGAAGAGCCAGCGCTTGTACTGTGCCAAGTACAGTTCGAAGGCGGCCCGGTCAATGGTCAAGTGAGGAGAAATGCATTGCAACATCCAACATAAGGTAGCTGTGGAAATATCTAGAGTAAAAATTAGCATGGTACTCGGATGATGATATATGAGATTACTGACTCTCTGAATCACCCTTCATCTCTCCAAAACAATCGTCCGAGCCACCTCCGCAGTTGATATGGACTCCAGGGAACTAAATGGTCGTCATTAGTGCTTCATTTGAGGAATAATTCGTCCTATTAAACATACCCATGCTTGCTTTAACTCCGGAGTAGGTCGATCTGGGTCGTCTACGAGGTCCTTGGGAATATACCAGAGGGTCGGACGGAAAGCCTTGCGGCGCTCGTCCAAAGCTAGAGCTTGGTATGCATGCTCGATTTCTGCTTTCTGTTAGCTGCATTCCTGCTTTGACTTGATGAGATGGCTTACGCTCGGTCAACTTGACGTTGTGGAAGCCATACTTGGTTCTGCCCCACGCCAGATTAAGGCCGACCATGTCAGGTATTCCAAGGCTGCCGACTGTATCGAAGACCCCGACGACCTTGACCTTTCTACTCTCCGGAAGGGCGATCTCTTTATGTGGACGAATCTCCCAGGCCTCGGCCAGGCCTTGGAGATTTTCCAGGCCAATGTTGTCGACATTGACGCCCTTCTTCTTCATTTCTTCTCCTTTCTTACTGAGCTTGCCTTTGGTAAACCACGACCAGGCTTCAGTTTTGCGGAATTCAATCCCTTCATCATTTGTCATGTACAGACGATACAGATCCGGGAAGAACTGCATATCGATGGGTCGGATAACTCCAATATCTGATACGAGTCCAGCTACTGCGCGAGCCGTATATGCGCCACGGGAGAACCCGAAACAGAAGATCTCATCTCCTGGCTCGTAATTTTGCACGATGAAGTTGTACGCTTCAATGACGTTCTCTGCGAGTCCAGCACCTGTTCCACCTTGTCGCTTCGACTCAGCTGCGCTCAAATTGCCGGTTCCTATACCACTATCGTAGTAGACAATCTGATGAAACTTCTTCGAGGGATCTTTCTTGTCCTCGCCGACACGAGCGATTAGACGGCAAAGCTTGGTGATGTTGGAAGGAACATTCTCCTTGCTGCTGACACTGGATTGCCAGGTGCCATCGCAGCAAATTACGAGGCGTCTTCCCCAGGCTGTGTTGTTAGACATGGTTGATGAGGAGGATGTTGTATTGGAGTAGGAATAGGAAGAGGTAGCCTGAAAAGAGGACAATCTAGAGGATTGGAGAGAGGACATATATGCTTTAAGTAAGGTGTTGGCCTCGCACCAAGGCTGAGGTCAGGTAGGCTCCTGCAACAAGGCAAATGTTGTACGAAATGGGGTAGGGTAAGCACAACTTCTACAAGGAAAGTACGTTGGGATACTAGAATGCAATAGGCAACAAGGCAGCAGAAACTCTTGCCTTTTATCCTTGGTAAGATCTCACCGCCGACGAAAGAAGCTCAGCTGGGCTCATGTTAGGCCAATACGCCTCATCGCCTAGGATGTAGCTGAAGAGCGCCCAAAGCAACATGTTCGCGAACAGCACGAGCGCAAAAAGAAGCTGCAGGTTTGTGACCGTATTGACGAATTGGCTCTGGAATGAGTCTAGACACGGCTGGCGCGAGCGGGTAGGTGATTGCTTGTATTCATCGTTTAAATGGTGGCTTCGGGTGTCCCACAGTGGGCACTGCACTTGGGGGGTGTCCAGCTGTAAGCCCTCGTTAGCCTAATTGGGCTTAGTCAACGATCTACGATGCGCTAATGGAGGCCAGAAACCTTTTGTGTCTCTTCAGCTGTGATGCGGCTTGCGTAAAATCTGAGTCAAAAGGAAACACGGCTTTCCAACAGGCTTGTGTCGAGAATTGTCGGTGCGGGGAAGCATACCGTGCACCAGCTGGTGATTGAACAACCCCTCTTTGTGTCTATCTTCCCACAGTCGAGGAACCCGATTCACCAACCACGGCAGCCAAGGTATGAACATACTCTCAGGTGAAAATACAAACAATCCCTGACTTTGGTGTATCGGCTGCTGTCAATATCACCTAAGTTTTAAGACTTGCAATTAGCCCCAGCATCGTAGATGCAGGCGCTATAGTCATCGATTATTGAAAATGATAAGCGTATGCATCCAAACAGCTGTCCTTTGCATAAGCAAGTACAGATAAGCTGCTGAGGAACGTTTCAGTAGCCCCCACGGAGAGTACAAGGCTAACAATATCTCTTTTCGCCCCGACAGGTTTGTTAGTGCATCGGTCGATCCTGACTTCGATGTCGTCTCAGGGATGATCTGTAACTGTCCAACGAGAGTGTCAACAGCAACTTCCTCCATCAAAGGGCATCTGAACTCGGAAGACGCACGTGCAATCGTCGATCATCGATCATCGATAGACACATGTCTACCTGCGAGGAGCATGCCGTTGATCTGCCAGGCCAAGCCGCCGATACGATGGGTAGACTGGGGCTCCCCAAGCGCTACCGTGACGTTGTGAAGAGCTGAGTGCGGAGTAGAGATGAGAAGAGAGGAGATGATTTGAGGTTTGCTTAGCTGCATGGGAAGGTGTGAGGGCTTAGCCCGGATGCAGCCATGTGTATGGGCGTTTGCGTTAGAAATATGATCATATCGTAGCGAATCTGTCGGTTGTAGAGGTGGAACAACTGGTCACTTGATCGATCACCTTGCATTCCTAGCTCTTTCGAGGCTTCCACCCATCTTTAACCCCAAACGAAGCTGCAAGACCATGGCGTCACAAAAATCTATGAAGATTTTAACCTAAACTCAGAGGACAAACCGTCCGGCTCTGGGGTGCATTCCAAACAACTCGCAAGGCCGGTGCCCCAAGTTATGATAGGCTTGTCCGCATTGTTCAGCCACATGGATTTGGCAGCTACAGATCCACCCCAACAGGCGAGAGTCGAACAGGGAGCCTTTCTCCAATAATGCGACTCACGTCAGAAATTCTCAAGGTGGGGTGCGAACAACTCCTAGACGGAAGAAGATGGGAGCTTGTCGAAAGACGAGACCTCCTTCCTCCACCACCGCTGCGGGTGTGTCTCCAGTATCCATTTGGCGCAGCCTTGACAAGAATACGAGGACTATGCATTTTCAGCTCAATATCTTTGTTAACGATCTGTGAATATTGCAGACGTTCCTGAACTCTCTTTTTCCAGATCAGCGGCCATAACTTCGCTTGCGTTCGTGAACGACTTCTTCTGGAACGCAGATGCTACCGGAATAGATTCCACATCTACCTCGATTGAATGAACCTCATTTGGAAGTGAATTTTCAGGGTGGGATGTGGCCAGCCAGGAAGACGATCTCAGATGTATGCTGCAGTAGTTCAGGGTCGTAGGGCTGGTGGATCTCGACCGTGCAATGCTAATGGGGCTTGGGGTATATGAGTGTGGAGGCCTTCAGTGTGCTGATCTCGGAGACGGGAGGCTCCACAAGGGCAGTCGTTTCGTGTTTGTGGGAACCTCAGGGCAAGTATCGTGGGAAACAGTGGGTGGGGGGCTCTTCACGTGCCACAGCGATTGGAAATTGGAGCCAAGAGATGACGACCCTCAGGGCCAGGCCCTAGCATCTCGCATCCCAGCAGGCCTCAACCGAGCCGACGGAGCCGTGCCTTCGAAAGTTTGATGCCTTCCATCCCACATTAAGAAGACGGCTCCTGCAGCGCATATCCCCGCTTGCACGCTTCCACACAACCCACATGGTCGCGATTCAACACATATAAATTATCCGCCCCGCCAAATCCATGTCTTTACCACTGCCCGTCACTACGCCTACAATGCCACCGAGCAAAGGTACGCGTACTCCCTATCGCGCCTATTTGCTGGGCAGGGGAACTTGTTTGCTAACAGCACATGTCATTTTGTAGAGGCCGCAAAGCACGAGTGCGTCTCGGAGGACGCGCTGCAGCACCTCAAATCCTACAAATACTCGAGCGTCGATAAATCCTTCATCTCCCGCTACATACTCAAGCACTACGTACGAGCCCCGTAACCCACGCGACCGCAACATGACCTGACCTAGCGCAGTGGAATGGCTTCGTCGAGCTTTTGCCCCTGTGGATTGCGCCGAACCTCGTCACATTATTAGGCTTCTTCTTCATCCTAGGCAACATTGTATTGCTAGAACTATACGTGCCGGATCTGGTCGGACCAGTAAGGACTACACCACTCTTGGGAGCAGTCGCGCAGAACGGGAGGCTCACAAACAACCACAGGCACCGTCATGGGTATACTACAGCTTTGCTTTTGGCATGTGGATGTAAGGAGACCAGACAGCCGCATTCAAGGTATTGCGCTGACAAGGGTTCACAGGTACTCCACCATGGACAACGTCGACGGGAAGCAAGCGCGCCGCACCGGAACATCGAGCCCGCTAGGAGAGCTATTCGAGTACGTGATGACCTAGCCCAATGCGCCAAACTCGCGAGACTGACACAGATGCAGTCATGGAATTGACTCGCTCAATTGCACTTTGGCCAGCCTGTTGGAGACAGCAGCTGTTGGATACGGCTCGACCAAAATTGGCGCTTTCACCGCCCTCATTCCTGTCCTCCCGATGTTCCTTTCCACATGGGAAACGTACCACACGCATACGCTTTATTTGGGATACTTCAACGGGCCTACAGGTATGGTTCTACACACAGATGGTTGTGAATGGTTCTAACCAGTTGCAGAGGGTCTGATACTTGCATGCCTATTCATCTGCATGTCCGGCTACTTTGGCCCTGAGATCTGGTCCACTCCACTCGCTACGTATTTTCCGTCGTACAAGGCAGAAATTGGCGACTTCACGCTGAAAGAACTCTGGATTCCTATCATCCTGTTTGCCTTCTTTGTTGCCCATTTGCCAGCCTGCATCGTCAATGTCGCACGAGCACGAAAGGCCAAGAACCTGCCTCTCCTACCCACTCTCTACGAGTGGACACCGCTGGTCGTCTTTGTTGCTTGCACCATGGCCTGGCTTGGATCGCCATACTCGAAGCTGCTGGAGGACAATCACCTCGTTCTCTATTGCCTGACCATGTCCCTGGTCTTCGGGCGCATGACGACTAAGATTATTCTGGCTCATCTCACGCATCAACCTTTCCCGTACTGGACGATGATGCTCGTACCTATGATTGGAGGTGCTCTGCTTGTCAACCACCCATACTTTACGATTCCTGGAACCACTTTCGGGCCCATCTCCGCCAACTTCGAGTTATGGTATCTTCGCGCATACTTCGTCTTTGCTGCTGTTGTCTACGGAAAATGGGCGCACCTTGTGATCACGAGCATTTGCAATTACCTCGGCATCAATTGCCTGACGATCCCCAAGGAGACAGCCGAGAAACACGCAAGATCCAACGGCGCCGCAAACGGAGTACACTTTGAGAAAGGTCGTCAAGACTAGGACGTTCGAGTGTCGAAAAGAACTACAAACGATGCGGCATCAAACCTAATTTGCCCACGGGCACGACGGCACATACATTCAATTCTTGCATACTCGCACAAGCGCGCATCGACTCTTCACGAAATAGACTATTCGGCGGCACGTTTCTCCCTAACGCATCCGGATTCCTCATGACCTTTCTTCGTTAATACATATTAATTCATATTAAAACCTATAATCATTCGGGTTAAAAGGGCGTGACCTTGGTAGGTGTCATGGCCCAACTTTGACTCTTACTTTCTTACATGCGTTGCTGTTTTGTGGTAATTTGTAACGGCTTAGCTGCATGATTCGTTGTCTATGTTTGGAATATTAAATGTTGTGGTGGAAGAAACGAAGCACAGCCGGGGGCAGAAGAGCGACGGAACGGGCAGCTGCAAAGCACAGCCCCAAGTGGAAGCTAATCAAAGCGCCGGCGCGCATGCAGATGCATGGCTGCGCCTGAACGATAGCAACCCTCAACTATCCTCTCCATTTCTTCTATTTTTATTTTAGGAGCTGTTTGCACATATCCCTACAAGTCTGATCGTTCCTGTTATATTGCCAGAGATCTTGCCAGAGCCCGATAGCCTCGTGCGCCGTCGTGAGGCTCCGCCGCCTACCGGTCAGCCGTCGCAGGGCTCAGTGGCAGTAATGGTGTACAAGCTGGTGGCTGAGTGATTGTCGGCCTCCTACAGATAAAGGCCGGCAAGTCAGCCGCTGTCTTTCGGCAATGAATGCTCATCGTTCACCCTGATCCAATTAATTTTTTCTCGTACTGACCGCTCATCATGGGTCGAAAATTGCTTGACTGCGGAGACTTCAATCCGAACTGCGCGGCAAAGAATCAGGTTGTTGAAGCGGATGCGGATATCGCTGGTATCGGCGTAGGTGCATCTGCCATAGCCTTGTCGAGTCATATCCTTACTAGTAGCAGGTCATAGTAGGCTTCCTCTCAACAACATGCCTAGCATTCCTGATAGCGTTCACGGTCATCTTCCTGGATCGTTATGAACGCATCGTAAACTTCCACAGACGATGGATATTCAAGAACAAAGAGGTTTACCAACACAATTATGATGAGCCCTACTGGCGCTCCCCAGCCTTCTGGTCGCGCGTACTGAGCAAGAACTTGCTCGCATTGGCGGACACGCAACTCCTGACGGGCCTAGCCATTCAGTTCACGGCCATGCTAAAACATTGCCGGTTGACCATTTACCACTTTCAAATAGTCACCGATCTTGCGTTCCTCACCACAATCACGCACCTTCTCACGGTCGTTGCACTCAGGAACTACTTCGTAAAAAACAGGTGGATCAATTTGCCACGTATCTTCTTTATGCTGAGTAACCTTGCACTGCTGGGATACACGTCTTTCGTTGCCTACTCGTACGATCTGGTTGGTCTTGATCTTTCCATGTCCCTCGCATGCTTCTTCAAAGGCAACCGTCCACCATTCAAGGGTGCCTTCGGCGGGAAGTGGGCAGCGTTGCTAGTAGGAGCGATTGGCGGCCACGTCACCGTCATTCTCGCTATGTATTGGTTCAAGGACCCAAAAGAAAACACGAACAAAAAGTGGTGGTGGTATGTCGGCGCCGCCTTCCGTACCTGGATCGTTGCGCCAATCTACTCGATATACGGTATCTGGATGGCTGGAGACGGTCTCAGGAACACGCAAGCTCTCGGTAAACCAAACGTGACTATGGAGGGCAATGAAAGCCAGTGGAACTTTGGGCAATTCTTGCCTATCCTCCTACTGGCGTTGCCGATATTTGCGGGCTGGGAGAGCTTCTGGGAAGAAAAGGACGAGGATCGAGATAATCGGTTCGGACGACATTCATTCAGGACCTCGAAAGGTGGCACGAGCAGTCAGCTCAATATGATCGAGTTGCAGGTACCGAATCCGGCGAGCAGTGAGCGGCGGCGATCATCGCGAGACGCATCAGTTGAAGAGCAGGAAGTCGAGAGCGATGGAACGAGTTCGGCAAACACGCCACGCCACCTGTCAAGATCCCGTGTGCGGTCGGCAGGACCAACTGTGGACGGTCAGCCCTCAACTTCTCCAAATCAAAACTCAGCGCTTGGTTCTTCCTCGCTTCTATCTGTCCCATCACCAGCAGTGAGCCCTAGGTTCGAGAGTGAGTCTAGCGTCTATGCTGGTCGTCCCCCAGGAGCTCAGGGATGAATGAACTGAGCAGCAGTCGCTACCCTCACGATCTCCCCGAATGGGTGTTGTTGACCGCGCGGTCTTCAATCCTACATGCGGCGTAGATCATCACCACCAATCTGGATCGGTGCCTTCAGCATTCGCTATCTGCTTCCACGGCCCATTCTCCCTACCAAGGACATTATCACACAACCCACGCGCGCCGGTTCCTTTACCAGAGTCGATTATTGGAAGATCCGTTGTAAGCGAGGAAGGGTGGGACCATGTACACAAAGTCGTGCTGCTTTACGATATGAAGTGTACCGGTGGAATGTCAGGGACCTGTATAGAAGAGATGGTTTAGCTGGTGAGTCGCTGTTTCGAAATACGAAGGTCGCTTTTGCTGCGCAGTAATGTGGGTATGCCAAGTGACGTTGGGTCTGACGAGAGAGGCGCATATCTCCGCCATATTAGAAAGTATAGTTTAGACTTCATGCCCCTATAAGCTAGTGAAGGCATTTATCAGATGCCAGGATTTAGATTATCGCGGTTGTAAAATCAGATAAAGGATTCGAGAGGCGAATACGAAGCAAGAAAGTCCGATGCGACGACCGATTTGGTATGTGCACACGTCCTGACTTAACCCCATCAAGGGACATCGTCATGCGCTAACCGGGAACCCACTTCTACCGAGTCACCAAAAGTCGGCGGCTCGCATCCTAGTATGTAGAGGGCAAATCAAAGCTTAAAGGTCCGACCATGTAGGCCTTCTGGTTGGAGTGAAAACTATAGGGATACGAGCTTGGTGGCCCTATACATGCCGATCGGCAGCGTTCGCTAACCCGTCAGAGGCCCTACGCCGCCGCGGCAACGTCGCGGCCGCATATACGTAAATACTCCTCCCCTTGCCTAGCTGTTTGAACTGCCCGTTGCGCATGCCCCCGCGCCCGCCCCTTGTACAAAGAGAGTTCAGCAATAATAGAACAGCTTCTCACGCAATCTGGTAAAAAGGCAGGACTCACAATATTCCTGCAGTCACAACTATTTCTCTACAGGCGACAGGTTTAGCCTGTTCATGCCGCCTTATCGGCCTGCAGTATCAGGCAGAGGAGGGTGGTGGTAGTAGTAGTAAACAAGACCTTTACATTTAGTTTCTAGTTAGCGGCTTCGGATCTTCTCCGGTACCGTAAAGGTATGTGAATCTTGATTTTACGTCTTAACAGCTCTTGTTTTTACTAGGGTACGTACAGCTTTTCCATTGCCCAGTCCCTTTCTCCGCAATAAACTTCTCGAAATGGTATGTGCATGTGTTTTCTCGTATATTGACGCTCCACAATCACCCAACCACCATGGCCTGTATATTGTCAAGACGTAGTACCTTCCAAAGGCAGGCGCATCCCCGGGCTTGGTTCCGGTAACGGCGGAATTATCTCGAGATATGTTGATGTAGGAAATGTTTGTCATCAGTCGTTGGTTTCCTATATAATGGAGTGGTGAAGTGGATTTCTAGAGGCATCATATCAATTAACTTTGATTGACCTCCTTGCAATACCAAACTCTATCCGACTCGTTTCGAAGCGCATATCCACCATGAAGTTCTCCACATCCACTCTCGCCTTCCTCTTCCTCGGGGCCGCAACGGCTGCACCCGTGGAAGTCAGTTCCGAAGTTGCTGAGCGAGGTTAGTCCTTCTCAGAAAACGTACATACCCAAGCCTCTCAATCTAACATACGCGCACAGCTGCCAACTGCGTGGTGAAATTCAACATCACCATTGGCCGCTCCACGTCATTCAAGATGGTGGGCTCGCTGCCCGAGCTTGGAAACTGGAACTACGATGCCGCAAAGGAATCTACACTAGAGAATGCGCAGTTCTCCTATGCGTACTTCTCCCGCGAGCTCAACTTGGCTCCTGGTACTACCATCAGGTACAAGTACGGACGCGTCGACGCGAACACCGGCCAATTCGCCTGGGACCAGACTGGTGAAAGGTCGTACACTGCACCGCAAACTTGCACGCAGACGATCTTCCACGTTGACTCATGGAAATTTTAAGGAGATTGTGGGATATTTGCCTGTCTTCCCTTCACTCGGAGGGGGGATGAGAATAAGATAGTTTGGACCTCTTGCTTCTGTTGGCAACTTGGATAGATACGCGAACCATAACGTCTATCGCTAAGAGGCAGACAGCTAGTTTCTAATACAAGATTTATGCTACCCTAATACAGGCACTTTTGAATGGTGTACCGGACGAGTGTATTCAATCGATCTATTACTGTGAAATACTCGAAGCGTTCGTGATGCAGGATGTGGCGGAAAGAAACAAGCAAAAAAAGGGTTACGGGATGTGTGACAGTTTCAGTTCAAGGTGAAGCTGATAGAAATGTTGTTATGGAGCTGCGAAAAGGTCTTCAAATCAAGAAGAGATGATCGGTGTGCAACGAGCTACTAGATAGTACGGAGTTCAAACCAGCGGTAGTGAAAGCTTTTGCTAGTAGTATTGAACGTAATAAGGAGAGCGTATACCGTTACCGTTACATACCTTGGTGCCCACAGTGCACGTGTTCCCTTCAAATATTGTAAAGCAGGTAGGTTTACGCAGCTTGGTAAAGGATTTTCATGATTTGGGAATGCATTATTGAAGATGCTATATTCGGGTTGTGTCGTGTAAGTAGTGGTTCGAAGACAGTGCTATAATTTCTACGATGTGAAGCCGATGCTCTGGCATGGTCTAGGACTCGGCTCAGTCGATGAGGTCTGGAGATGGCATGTTGTTTGAAATAATTTCCACCTGCTTGGACGTTATAGCTTGAATTCATACAGAGCTAACCTGTGTGTTGTAAAAGACCAGCAACGGAGCATCTACACTCGAGGCAACTGTGCGGACCAGAATCGGAGTGTCGACATGCCAACAGAATTTGATAGATCCACAAGACCCACACTCGCGCACGTTCATTCAGGGGTGGAGCATTTCGTTGCCATGAACATGTTACGTTTTAACACCGGCCGGTACTTGGGTTTAAGATAACACTATCTATTGAATGGTTTTGGTCCACAGACTGATAAGCAGAGTGAGCTCATGGGCCTGTCAAACTATGAAAATCTCTTCATTCAGTAGTCTGGCAAATGCATCATCACTAGAGCGACCATCCTTTAGAAGAATTCATACAATATCACAAGTAACTCGACTCATGTTGGCGTCCAAGACAGACAGGATCCATTCAATGGGCCCTTCCCCGCGACCCCGGACTGGGTTGTACAGTCCCCAACCCATTGACCCATCGTGAACCCATCGTTACCCAGATCCCTCTTCGCAAACCATCGGCGGGAACCTAGCAGCCTAGAGTCCCTTAGCACGTCTAAAATCCGCTTTCCAGAAGCCTGCCAGTGGTGCACTAGGCTGGCGGGGGCTGAGCCTCATCCCCACAGTCGCGGCTTCCTTCGGCTCAAATCCCCTCCGCGCATCGGACCGTCTGCAAACCACGCTTCACCCACCGCAACCTGAACAGTGCCCCTGGAGCCAACCCACAAAGGCCGCGACAATGCGACAAGACCACGAGGACGAAAGGATGAAGGAATCACGCAACGACGTGCGAGTGCGACTGCTGACGGTGACATTCCCCGCAATTTTCACTGGGCTTTGTCTATTACGTGACAGTAATTGGTTCCCCAGACCCATCAACCAGGACCAGACAGGGGACGGCAACGCAGCCATGATCCGCCCAGCATTTTCGACAAGCCCAACTTGGCCGTTCTCGGAAAGTCTCCCAAGGGAAAATCTTGCTATCACAAGTAGTCTCCATTTGACCTTATCGCGAGAAGAAAGCCATATAAGGCCTGTTCGCCATTCAGCAGGCCTGGGCATCTCAAGATCCCCGGTTTTGGCCAACCGAAAGCGTCCAACCTGAATATCCGGGACCCGACTATCGACCATGCCGAACCACCATATCGTCGACGGAAGAGACCCTGAAAAGGGCCACACTGCTGCGCCGTACGGGTATGAGAAGGAGGGCGGTGTCCATGAAGAGCCGTTTGTGCATGGAGCGGCGACCGTCGCCGAGGCTTCGGGACAGGGAGGAGAGACACATCGAGGGCTGAAGAGCAGACATATTCAGTTCCTGTAGGTCAAGTCCAAGCGCGGCTTCCCTCGGATCTTGGTACTGATGAGTGTAAAGGGCTCTTGGAGGTGCTATTGGAACTGGTCTGTTCATCGGATCTGGAGCAATTCTCGCCTTGGTCGGACCTGCTCCGCTGTTCATGGCATACCTTAGTATGATGATCGTTGTCTGGAACGTTATGAACAATCTCGCCGAGATTGTCACATATCTTCCCATGAAGGGTATTACGATCCCTTATTTTATCAAGAGATTCGTAGACCCCAGCTTAGCATTCGCAACTGGCTGGAACTACTGGTGAGTTGAACCGCCTCTTTTAACATTGAATATGATTTAATGCCGTATCAGGTACGCATATGCCGTTCTGGTCGCCGCCGAAGCTACCGCGGGAGCCATTCTTCTGGAATATTGGGAGACGCCTGTCCACAAAGCCGTATGGATCACCATCTTTCTCTTGGTCATTTTGGTCCTCAACATCGTGGCCGTTGAAGTGTTCGGAGAAGCCGAGTTCTGGTTCGCATCCATCAAGTTCATTACCATTATGGGCTTGGTCATACTCGGATTCGTCATCATGCTGGGTGGCAGTCCAAACGATCAAGGGCGACTCGGGTTCCGGTACTGGAACAATCCGGGAGCTTTCACGCCATTCATAGCAAGCGGGAACTCCGGAAGGTTCTTGGCTTTCTGGACGGCTTTTGTTCGGGCCGGTTTTGCTTTCATTACCTCGCCTGAGTTGATTGCTCTTTCTGCCGGAGAAACAATTGCCCCTCGTCGCAACATCCCCAAAGCTGCTGGCCGCTTCGTTTACCGTCTCGCCATCTTCTACGGCTTCGGTTCCTTCATCATCGGAGTCATCGTTCCTTCAGATGATCCGCGACTGCTGTCCGGTAAGGGCAACGCCTCCGCATCTCCCTTTGTCATCGGCATCCAACGAGCTGGAATCGTCGGTTTGAACCACGTTGTCAACGCCGCGGTCCTAACATCTGCCTGGTCTGCTGGAAATGCCTTCCTCTTTTCTGGATCTCGTGTTCTATACGGCATGGCTCTAAACGGCGAAGCCCCCAAGTTTTTCGGAAAGACGAGCAAGAAAGGTGTGCCGTACTTTGCTGTCCTAGCAACATGGGGATTCGGTCTTCTCGCCTACCTTAACGTGTCCAACAGTGGTGCACGCGTCTTCCAATGGTTCAGTAACATTTCCACCATTTCCGGGTTCATTGCCTGGATTGTGGTCATGATAACGTACATCCGCTTCCGCAAAGCCATGGTGTACAACAACATGCTCTCCGAGCTTCCTTACCGCACGCGTTTCCAACCCTACGCTACCTACGTTGTTCTAGGCGTCGTCTCACTTCTCACTATTACCAACGGTTTCCATATCTTCGTTCCCTCGAGATGGTCCGTGTCTGACTTCTTGGCTGCCTACATTACGCTTCCGATCTTCTTGGTGCTGTATGTAGGGCACAAGATCTGGTTTAGGACGCCGTTCGCCATCAAGATAGAGCACATTGATGTCATGACGGGAAAGAAGGAGATGGATGAATTGTGCAAGAATGATATCTCGGGCGCGCCGGTGCCGAAGAACATCTTCGAAAGGGTGTGGTTTTGGATCGCTTAGCGTCGAGGAAGCGACAAGGATCAACTGGCATGTTTCGTTATTAGCTTGTCGTTTGGAGCATAGTCTGAGAAGCAAGTAGTTAGTACCAACAACGTACACGAATTTCAGAACGAACGGGAGACGGCCGTTTTGAATGTGATGATGTATAGTTGTGCTTAATCGAGGGGTATGTAACAGCACAACAACCGAGATCCACCAACAGGCGCGTACCAAGGGAGCCATCTGCCCCCAAATACCGGGCATAACAATTACTGCAAGCAAGAGTATTTTGCAATGTAAAAGTCCGCCAACAGAACCAATGGAAGAGATAAGATGCGGGATGGAAGCATGGAATGCAAGGAGAACATGCTCCTATTCATGCAGGGTATGCAGAAATGCTAGGCGGCCGTTGAGAAAGGAGAAGTGGACCACAGGGGTAATGCAAAGTGAGAGTCGATCTTCTGGGGTTCCGACAGTCGTGAAAGGTTTGTGCCATAAAGGGATGTCGTCCATGTGTAAAGCGTTCGAGTTTGAGTCTTTGAAGTCGCATCATGGCCACCAGTTCATCCTCTTGTAGCTCTCTATGACTTCCTCGACGCTTTCTCTTGTGAGCTTCTCGTGCTGATACCTGATGGTTTGTTAGCCCTGTTCTATACACTGCTTTCATCGCCTAGCAAAACTTACTTGAAGCCAGTCACTTTCTCGAAAGCACTCCCATCCAAACTCAAATCAGCATCCCTAAGCAATTCCTTCTCCATGAACGGACTCAGTGGCGTGGATTGGCTAATCCCTGCCGCTTGCTGCAGCTCCGCCCACGGATCCAGTGTCTCATCGTTCACTTCATCAACCACGTGGTCCAGGTTTAGCCTTGCAAAGGCTGATATGAGTGTGCCGTGGAAGCCAGTCTCGATTTTGAATATGTCGTGCATGAATTGGGCTACGTTCTTTTGCGCTAAAGCAAACGTTAGTATTAGCTTAGTGATGAAGTTAGGAAGGCGAGATGAAACTTACAGGTATTGCCGTGATCTACGACATTGAAGATGGGAACTGGTTTCCGTGACGAAGGCTCCTTCATGTACCATTCCGCACCGTGCCATAGCGCGCGCACCGCATCGTCGATGTGCACCGTATTCGTCCGCAGATCCTCCTTCCACAAGAACCGCATCTCTTTACCCTTGGACTGATAAACCCTCGCCATGCACAGCGCTGTGGACAAAAACTTGCTCGTATACGGACCGTACGTATGCGCTATCCTCATGACCATTAGATTGAGCCCATCAAGCTTTGCCAGATCATCCTCAGCCTTCAGTTTCCACTTTGCCAAATTCGACCACGGTTTTAGCTTGTCCGTCTCTTTGCTGGGTGTGCTGTCTGGTTTATACACCATGCCTGTGCTCAGTTCGACAAAACATTTTATCTTGCGTTTCGCGGCTTCGCGGCCAACGGCGAGGGATAGCCCGTAGGAGCGCAGTTCGTAGACTCTTTCTTCGTGTGAGAAGCGTGTTTCGCCGCCGCAGTTGAAGACAAAGTCAAATTGAGCGCCGCCTTCGCGGTCGAATATCCGAGGGAGGGACTCTGTTCTCTGGCGTCAGTCGCTGCCTCGCCTATACCAATAAAGATGGCTGAAAGTGGACCGGGTCGTGCATATATGTCGTACGTACTTTCCTGCGCAGCGTCTGCCTGTATGAAGCGTTCTCTCGAACACGCTTCCTTGAATTCTGGTGCCAGCCATGCCAGCTCTGGGAGGTGTTTGTCGACGATGCGGATTTCGGAAGCGAGCTTGTTATCGTGGATGTACTTTGCGAGGTGGCGTCCGGTGTAGCCTGAAGGTAGCGATTAGTCGCTTCTGTTGTAGGCAGCTAGTAGTGGGGTGATGCATACCTAGCCCTCCTATTATCAACACAGCGGGCTTCTCCTGGTCTGAAGACATTTTCAGAGTCGCGCAAGTCGGACCTGCTGCTTTCTGTGCGCAGCAAGTCGCTAAGGCGAGTTTCGAGGGCGCTGTGGGCGGATGCTGCCTTGTAATCTCAAATTTGGGTGTGGGAGATGAGCGATGCCGGTGGTGGTGCTCAGACCTCAGACTCGGGCGCTTCAACCGTCGACGTTGGATAGATGGGCAACAGGCAATAGCTCGTAAACCCCAGGATCAGGATTAAGATCAGGAGAATCAGAAAGCTCCGAAATCTGTTAGACCAAATGCAGAAGAAGGCCCAAGGTGCGGCTCTGCGCGTCACGGAATGAAATCGGAAGTTTGGCGGGATGCGGAGGAAAGATGCTCAAAAGGGATAGAATGATGACACGGCAGGCAACCATGTCATATAGCTGACCTAACGCGCACGATTCATGGCCCTGCAGGAGTGGGAGTCAGGCCAATATTTGTATTGGGCAATGCAACAGCTCTGTCGGCGCAGAGCTCCCACAAAGCTTGCCCGTGGTGGACGGCATGGAAAGGAAAATACGGCGCCCATGACGGCGACGGTGGGCACTTGTGGCTGGCTCCCTGCACACCATCATGGCTCGCTCCGCAAGTGGACCAATATTGCTTTTGGTGTCGTTCCCCAATAGTGGATTCGTCAATTCATCTTACAGTCCAGTGTGTAGGTGGGTCGCCGTCTGCAGGAACCGCCTCTGCGCTGCTGCCATCAGCTCCCCTCGTTGCACAGCAGCACGGCATCATGCTTGCCGTTCTCTTTCGGGGCACAGAAGAAGAAGGGTGCCGCGCGAGACGAACAATGGAAGCGGGCGGCGGCGCGCTCCCGTAGTACAGCATCTGGCTGGCGGGTTTCAAGGTTCAAATCTTGGGTCGCATCAATAGCCCAAAGCGGGGGTGCGTTCAGGGGTTGACGCTGGAGGCATGCATATTTTCTCCACGACCCTTTTGCCTTGGACCATTCTGTGGGAAAGCAACAATCTCTGCACCCACCGTCAAGCACGTCCCTTGTACACTGGGTAGGCCTGGCGAGAAAGCAAATTGGCGACCGCGGTACGAGACTCCCAACAGGCGTTGCCCACCATGCCGGAAATGGGTTCAACGCTCATCTTGCATACACTATGGCGCGAACTGAGATCCACAATTGCAACTATACCGAGTGGACGGGCTGCAACCCAAAGAAAATAATCAATAAACCTTCAACGAGGCTTACGGCGTGCCCGACCTTCTGCGAATTTCTCCCTCGGCAACTTCCAAGTATCAAACACCATGAGTCGCTGTTCAACGCCATGTCCAAGAACGGCGACCATAGGCATCGTACCCTGCTTTGTTTTGTGTCATACAGGCTTTCAATTTCTCCATGATCGCGTGATGCAGACTCAGGTACAAAGTAGATGCCCGATCTGTGCTTCAAACCTGGTCATACTGAGGCGGGCGTAAGTGATAGGCATTGGACATCGTTCAGTGATGTTTCTGGGCTATGAACCCTACAATATCCTGATAGGCTCTTGACCAACATCTCACCGCTAGATGCCGCATGCTCTCTACTCTATCTGTTTCTCGACAAGGTTCGTGAAACGTCCATGAGCCGAACGCACGTTCTGGGTGCTGCATTGAGCACATCTAGCAGTGCCAAGTGCCTGACACTATTGTACTGTTGTACAAGAACTGATACCTTGCCATAGCGGCAAGAGAATCCTGGCATATGGCTCAGTCTGCCGAGTCGACTGTCGACATACTGTGATTGCTATTCGTGGTCAGGATAGCACCAGTGCTACAACGTCGAGGAATATCAGGCGTTCATGCACGAAGCTGCACACTATGATGATCGACCCGCTCCCGCACTCGCAGCATCATTGATTTTTGTCACCTGCATGAAGCATAAAGTATGCACATGCAGTAGGATGGTTTGCAAAAGAGGAACTAGTCGCGAGTCTATCGTATTGAAGTAGAAGCTACTCTTAGATGGAAGAATAGATCGACTACAGCTAAAGCTATGTGTAAATCCTGCAGAGAAATGATCGCCGACCCTACTGATTGTGCTGCCTATCTCGCATACAGAAGTTGTACAAAATTGCCGTGCTTTTGGGCATGACATCATCCACCCACGCCTCTATGCCTCCGCTCCTTGCCTAATGCAACCGTACGAACATGTCCGAAGACCACATTTCTCTCTAGAAATCCCACTTTTCATCTACAGACTTGATAGCCCAGTCAAACTTCTCTCGTAGTGTCTTGGAGAAGAACCTCTCGATCGGGACATCGAACTTCTTGGAGAACACCACCGTGAGACGAGGGTCGATGTAGTTCTAAAAGCGGTCAGGAAACTTTTGCGGATGTTGTACATGTGGATAGACTTACGATCTTGGAAGTGCCCAAGGCAACCTCCTTGTTGCCTTCCTTATCCTCCATCTGGATCTTCATGTTCTCAATGCGCTGGTTGATCTTGTCGACGTTGCCCTCCAGCTTGTCGACAGTGGGGCCCTTGCCCTCAGCTTCGACTTTGCCCGTCTTATTCTCCTTCTTGTACTTGGCGGCGAGCTCGTCAGCCTTCTCGAGGCGCTCGTCAAGCTCCTTTGGCTTCATCTCCTTCTCGCCATCGGCTTTCAGCTTCTCATTGTCCTTCTCGAATTTCTTGGTGATCTTCTGGCGCATCTCTTCCACTTCCGCCTCCTGATGTTGCTTCATCCAGTCCATGTCTAGGTCCTCGGGCCGCTCAAAGTACTCGGGACCCTTCTTCTTCTTGATCTTGGGGTCCAAGTCGATCATCATCATCTTGGTCCTCCATACTTGATAACGAAGACCATTGATCTACAACGTATTAGTCTAAGTGTCTGGGGCACATATAAGTGTACATACCCTTTCGTTCATCTTCTCAATTGAGGTAGCGTGAGTAGCAGCAACAGTACGCTTGTGGTTACAGAGAATAGCGACTTCACGGTTGGCATCGTTATAAGCCTTGACCTTCTCTTGAATGCTACCGGTCGCCTTCATCTCCTTGAGAAGCCTGGCCATTGTGTAGGAAGCGTTGTAGGTACGGAAGACCTTGGCGGTGAGGCCAGGCATGTAGCTTGTCAAGTGCTTGTTCAAGGCAGAAGTCTACGTCGGATTAGCATGGTACAAATATAACCCCTTGACAGGGTACTTACAGTTAGACGATCAAAGATGTCATCACCAGTCGTCTTCGGTGCCTTCTTGAAGATCTTCAGGTTCTTGAATACTTGCGGGTCTACCTTGACCTCATCGTAGAAGCGAATGCTGTCTTTACCCAAGAAGTCGAAGATGACCGTCTCCGGGGGCCTCAAAGTGACGTGCTGGAACTTGAGAGAACAGCAACCGACTGTGTCTGCTTCATCCTCGCCTTTCTCGTTACCAGCACGGAGCGCGAACTGATCGATGAGGTATATCGCGGTTGCGCGCTGGCGATCAACCATCTTCTCTGACTTGAGTTCCCTCCTGTAGTCCTGTCGAATGCCATCGATGTGCTTCTTGAGTTCGCGCGCCTTCTCAAACTTTTTGAAATCACTCTGGCCCTTGATGTCGGAGTTGGCAGCGAGCATGACATACTTGTACGCGCCGTTTATATTTTCTTGCCACATAGCGAGCCAAGTGCCTTCGTGGTCGTGCTTGATCTCCTTCCAACGATGGCCGGCTGGTGCTTCTGGAACTTTGGCCTTTTCGCCGATGTTGATGGTAATCTGTTCAGGCAGAACCCGCTTCTTCACACGGCCAGTCTTTGGGTGCTCACCACGGCCACGGAAAAGACCTGGAGGTTCAACGCGGAAGTTACCGACCTTTTGCTTGCGACCATCCCACATACAGAACATGTAACGAGCCTCTGCAGCCTCCTTTTCAGCTTTCAGCACTTTCTTCTCGGCCGCTGGGAGAGCCTTCTTCTTAGCACGCTCGCTGTCGAACCACTCGAATATGGGCTTGAAGTCACACTTCTCAAACTTCTTGATCTTGACAGTGTTGCCGTCCTTGTCCTTGCCGTGTCCCGTTTTGTCGAGAAGGGCAGTGAAATCTTCGAAAAAGTTCTTGTTGAAGGTGGGGTTCTCAACATTGTGAGTGGAGTTCAGCATGCTTCCGTAAAAGGTCGCGACTTCTTCGGCATCCTTGTGTAGGGTGACAGGTACACCGTCGTAGATCAACTTGACGTTCTTTGGTAGAGGTTCATACTCGGGCGGGAAGACGACACCGCTGTGTTCCAAAGTGTCCCACTTCTTCGTGCCATCGCCTTTGGCGGTGTTCTCCCACCAACGGTACTCGTCTTCCTCATCCTCGGCTTCCTGGTCTTGCTCAGTCTCCTCTTTCTTTGCTTTACCCTTCTTCGCCGGCGTCGCCGCTGCTGGCTTTGCTTTGGCCTTCTTTGCGGCGGGCTTCTTCGCCAGGGGCGCGTCAGAGTCGGATTCCTGCTTCTTGACACCGTTTGCCTTCTTCGCTGGTATCTTCTTCTTCGCGAGAGGCACATCGTCGTCGCTATCGCTCTCGATCTTCGGCTTGCGCTTGGCTACCGTCTTTTCCTTGCTACGGATGGCCTTGGCCTCCTTTGCGGCGGCCTTCTCAATCGATTCCTTCTTCTTCACTAGCTTCGTGTTTAATGGTGTATCGGAATCCGATGATTCCCCAATCTGTTCAGCGGTAGCTTTCGGAAGAGCCCTGGCCTTGAGAGGCACGTCGCTGAGTTCCGACTCGGAGTCATCCTTGGCCAGCTTTGCCTGCTGAGATGTCCGCCGCCGCTTACTCTGTGGGAGAGTTAGCGCAGTCAATACAAAGAAGAGCCAGTGGTTAAACCCACCAGTGGCTTGTCATCGTCCTCAGAACTGCTTGCGTCCTTGTATGATTTGCCATTTGTTATGCTATTCCGCGCTTTACGCTTTCCGTTGGCATTGCCGTTGGTGGCTGGCGCATCCACGTCCATGTCGTCAACAGGCCCCATACGAATAGAGATGCCTGGCTCGATGTGGCCATTTGAGGGGACCTGGGCGTCCATGGCTTTGTCGACGTCTTTAGAGATGCGCTCGTTAGACTTTGCTGCAAAAAGACTGCCGTTAGCTGTGCTCATAATGATAGAAATAGAAGCTGGGTTGGTTGCGTTGAATAAGGTGAGATGGAGGTGGAGGCGGAGGTAGATAGCGTCGGCAAGCTGAGAGCAGGCGATCGTCGCGTGAGTGAGAGATGGCCGTGAAGCGTGAAAGAAACGTTCGAGTTTTGGCACAAAGCAACTTACCTCCGTCCTTAGCTCTCACGAGAGGCGTATCATCGTCGGAGGAAGACATTCTGCTTGCGATACGCGCGCGCTGAGGTCGCGGGTAATAAAAAACAGAACGGTTGTATTGAGTATTGTCCGGCGCGGGTCCAAAAGATCTAGCGGCAGCGAATGAGCGAGTGCATATGGAGCGCGGGAATCGTGAAGACAGATGTCCCTGGCCGAGGCAGCTACGCAGTGCGACCGGCGTGAGGCGGGAAATAGTAGAGGAAAGAAAGAGGGTGAGAGACGAGCGGGAAAAGAGGAATGCTGGGTTTAAGTGATGCCCAGGGAGGCTCTCGCGACGAAGTCGAGTCGGCGCACGGCCGCTCGGCCTTCACTAAAAACAATCAGTAATTTTTCTCGTAACAAATGCGTTGCAGCATCATCAATTGCCGATTAGTAGCACACGACGATGAGCATCACGACAGAGGCGCCTTCTATTCCTACCAGAAGGATAACTACCATTAAGAAGTGTGAGAGTGACTGTTTGTTGGGGTATAGCTGCCCTTTGTTGCACCCATTGTATCTGCCCATGTCAGACTTCACGTATCAAATTGTAGCGTGGCCTTCACTTCGGTCTGCCCCGACGTGGGCCTTCTGGAACCTGAACAGGTATCTGTTCTTTGTAGCCCTGGTATAGCTTGGCCTTGTTGCACTACGTCCTCGAGATTGTAGAGGACTCACGTGACGACTTGGCGTCGCTAGTGCGGAGAGCAACTTTGAGCAGCCGATTGCCCGACGCAGCTTGCATCCAGCAAAGACAGTAGTGAAGCACCACCACACGGCTGTCGCCATCTCCACTCATCTCAATTCCTCGCCATGATGCTGTCTCGAGCTGCGCGTCCGGCTCTGAAGGCTGGCATGGCCGCCGCCGCCGCCCGGTATGCTCCCGCCCGACTTCGCTGCTTTTCTCGCGCCCTGAGGATGCCAATTGCCGGATCAATTGCATCTCTGAACGCATCGAGTGCTGACTGCAATTTGCGTTTCTAGGCCTGCCGCCCTCACTGTCACCAATGCCGCCGGCTACGCCACCCTTCGCGAAATCGAGGGCCGTCTCAAGTCGATCCGCAACATTGAGAAGATCACCAAGACGATGAAGGTCGTCGCTTCCACCAAGCTTACCCGCGCCCAGAGAGCCATGACCGAGTCCCGCAAGTACGGCCAGACGTCCAACACCGTGTTCGAAAGCGCCGAGACGAAGCCAATTGAGGGCGAGGGCAAACGGTCATTGATCATTGTCTGCAGCTCAGACAAGGGTCTCTGCGGTGGTATTCACTCCGGTATGTCGAGGAAGGTCCGGAAGATGTTGGCTGAGGCACCCGAGACGGATCTTGCCATCATCGGCGAGAAGTGCAAGGCACAGCTGGGTCGTTCCAGCCCGAAGAACGTAGTGCTCAGTTTCTCTGGTGCCGGAAAGGACATTCCTACCTTTGCCGACTCTCTCTGCATCGCCGACCAGATCTCGCTGCTCCCGACCGAGTACGCTTCCGTCAAGATTGTCTACAACAAGTTCATCAACGCTGGAAGCTACGAGGCCACCATCCAGGAAGCCTTCTCTGAGGAGGCCATTGCTCAGTCCGGTAAGTCGTACGGATCTTTGACTTGAAGATTACGTCTAACACAACTGCAGCGAACTTCTCGGCTTTCGAGATTGAAGATGAGGTTCTCCCCAACCTTCGCGAGTACGCTCTCGCCAACTCGCTTTTCTGGGTATGTTGCTATGTCCTATTCAGCATCGACCGTCTACTAAAAAATTACAGGCGCTTGCTGAGGGCCATGCGTGCGAGCAGTCTGCGCGCCAGAACGCCATGGACAACGCTTCGAAGAACGCTGGCGAGATGATCAACAAGTTCCAGATTCTGTACAACCGAACCCGTCAAGCCGTCATTACTGGCGAACTTGTCGAGATTATTACTGGTGCGGCTGCTTCCGAGGGTTAAGCATCCTAGGGATGATAGACTTGATATCCTGAAAATCTGGCTCGATTTCCCCACGTGGGCTGTGTAGAATAAGCATCTGTTCATAGCTCCTTTGTCACCAACCAAGTCCTTGGAAACTACTACTGTGTCTACGATATACGCGCTTCCTGTGCCAATTATTGAAGTAGCTGCTAAACGGTTTAGTTGTCATCCGAAGGTATCCTACACAGCACGTCGAGGATATTTCAGCCTAATCTTAGCGTTCTTGACGCAAGACTTAATGAGAGCTTGTTATCGCGCCACCAGTTCTACCTATTGGCAGTAGGTTGCGAAGTCCATCACCCCCCTCCACCTCTTTTGTCAATCATATCTGTGAGGTGCGTCTGTCTCAAACTTCTTCCCAATCCGAACCGATGGCACGCCTTCTCGGCTGATCATCCAGCGTCAAGACTCCAGTTGGCCAAGTGCGTACTGAAAGGCGCTGCACAGGGCCATCTAGACTGTAGGAGTCTTGCTTGGACGACGCAGGTCAAGCATGGCATACCGGGTTCAAGTGCCTAATTAGCCTGGGTCGTCGAGGTGTGCTACCAGGAACAGGCATGCTCGAGGCCGAAAAGGGAAAGTACGCTGCACCTCCACCCAACCTTTGAAACAGGACTGCGTTATTGGAAACAACCGTCCCTCTCACCCCTCCCGCACCGGTTAGTAGGGGACATGCAATGGCGGGTCAGGCACTCTTGAGGTAGGTATAATATGGCGCATCTATGGCGGTTCGCATTGTCTTTCCCACCACCCTCATCGCTTCCAGCATCAACCCTGAAACGTCTCACAGCTCATATCGTAGAGCAAGAGCATTGCTATAGGCATCGGCGACTTGGACAGCCGAGCTTCAATTTGCCTATTGCGCTATCAGTGATTACTACGTTACCATCGACATTTACCAGCAGCGAAGCTGGCTTCCCTCTTTTCTTTCAATGAGTTTGCGCCCTCCTCCCGTCCCGTCTCACGTCCGACCTCTCAACTCTTCCTCTTGTGCGCCTTCCTCAATTTCAACTTGGACTGCTTGTCAACAACGGACAACTTCAGACGATTGAGCCAAATGATTATAGAAGCACGGTATAACGAAATGAAGGAAAAAATGCAGGTCATCAAGGACCTGTACCTTAGCCGACACTATACGCAATGCGCCATGTTCAGCGAGCGATTATTGAGCGAGGTACACGACGAGGTGAGTTTGATAAACAACAATCCGACCCCAATCTATGGTCACTTACAGATCGCTAGATACACCCACTCCATCTGGCATATCTCAATTTCTACACTGCACTATCCCACGACACTCTAGCTCGAGAAGCGACACTGAAGAACCGCTACACAGAACTCAGCCTAGCTGAGAAGCACTACAGCGCCGCCATTTCTGTTCTTAGCCCGTACAATATACAAAAGCTCCAGGACGAGCAGCTAGCGTCACCTCTGTCGACTACGTCAAACGAAGACCGAATCTGGAAACGACGCTCGTCAAACGCTGACTCTGTCGACTCCAGCATAAGTTCAACCTCTTCCAACACAGAGATCCGCGATCTAGATCCAGACCTCACGCCCAAGCGACTAGCTCAAAGTCGGTACGCTCGACGAACCCAAGAAGTCAGACCAAACCTTACCACAATCTCCAATCTGCTGAAGCCTCGAAACGCCATGATCGCACCCTTATCCCTGCGACCTCAGACAACCCATGAGTACCAACTCGCAGCTGACACCTCCGTCTTTGTGCGCATGATGGAGGGTCATCTCGCCAGCGTCCAGGAGCTCAAAGAGAAAACTGATGTGCCTGTCGTCCACCTCACATTCCCATCGCCACGACTATCCCGCACGATCTCGACACCGAGGACTAGTCACTTGTTTAATGACAAGGATGCGGAAGTTGTGCGGCAGAGCAGGAGGGCGATCAAGTTCCGCCCACGGTTCGATCCTACGAGCGTACAGCGATCTTGTAGTGAGGCGCTCGCAGAGCTCTCGTAGATGCCTGTGGGACAACACCTTGTGCCTTTCTAACCCGCACCCTTCGATACGCCTAAATCTCCTACATCTATATCGTATCCCTACTTTCCTTGTACAGTTCAGCCTTCCACTATTTATACCCGGCTTTCTTTGGGTGGTTTTCTGCTTGAGTCTCATGGATGCTTGACGCGTTCCTTGGGTTCTAGTCTTCGCATATTGCAGTTGCTAGCCTTCTTGCCTCTACTTCCATGTTTGTATTAGTAATGTGTTCTCGTATGTCTGAAACGCGATGTATAGTTAAAGTGGTATGAGATGATGAAATGCTATAAACGAATTTGCATTTGGCACGTGGTCCTTGAGTATCTGAAATAGTGACCCGGTGATGATGGAAAGGCGTACGTGCATATTGGATTGAATTGCATTGCACTACTTGTGCAAACTGGATTCGCCAATTGAGTCTATATAAGAGTTCGCGCCGTGATATCGTAGCTTTTTCGAACCCACCTTCCTATACCCAAAACGCCTTGCAATGCACATCTCCATCCGCTCCAATCCTTACTTCATCATCTCATCCAATCCCCTCTTTATTCGCTGGCACTTGACCTTCAGCAGCTTTACGCTCTCTAAGAACAGGTGATCACTTTCCCACTGCCCCGTGCTCTCGATCTTGAAAATAAAATGGTCTCGTATCCGTCCCAGCTTGACCTTGTCCTTGAACTCGGGGTGTCGTAAGCATTCTCTGCTCACTGTGTCGTTCGTCGCATTATCCACCACAGCTTTCAACTCGCCCTCCTTGCCTTCAAGCTCGGCATGTTTCTTGACGTCTTCGGTGGTGACGGTATCGAGTTTGATAACGCCCCTCGGGAAACAGCGCGCAAATTTCTTCGCGTCGGCGCCGATGATCGGTTGTAGGATGTCAATGGTCGGCATGAGGCGGTATGAGGCGGTGGCAACAGGTGAGTACTTGGCGTGGTCCTGTCCAATGCCCTTCATTGCATGCATGCTCAGATGGATGCTCTGTCCCGGCCTCATCTTCACAATCAAGATATCCGGGTTCGTGGACCGGATCTCCTCACCGGGGGGAAACATTTCTCCCTGCCTACCGATAGGCTCCCACGTCAGGTCTTTTGCATATACATTGTGATTGACATATAGCTTATCCGGATCTGTTTCGCCCGCGACGGCGCGCTGTAGGCCTCCGTCCTGCCATGTGCAATCGACCTTCAGTCGCAACACAACCGTGTTATAGTCCGACGGTGAACCTGAGCCCTCATTGTCGTCGGTGGGCTTGGAATACCATTTCATCCAGTTCAGACCCGAGTGCGAACCGCACAAGGGAATTAGGCCCAGGCGGTGGGCGAGCACTTCGTCTTGAATGATGGACGTGTTCTGGTAGATGAAGACGTCTTCAATGGCGAGGGTGGGGATCTCGGCGAGGAGAATGCGACGGAAGGCGTTGGCGATTGACGTGTCGAGAGAGATTAGGGAGAAGGAGGTATCATTTGGGGTGTGGGAGTGGAAATCGACTGTGAAGGTCTGGGCGCATTGTAAGTAAGAAGAGTTGGGTAATAAGCTTGCTGGGCCACAGGTAAAGGTAAGAATAGGCGCGCATACCTTTTTGAAGTACTCGAGGTCCCATTCGTTGTTCTCGCCCGGCCAGTGCCCGGGGAAGTCTGTGGATGCTTGGTTGCTCACTGTCTCTGGGCCGACTACAAGCTTCTACCGGATGAGTTAGTAGGAGGCAAAGTAGAAAAGCTGGGTCGCATTCTCACCTTCCGCCGTATCAGCTCCTCGGCACTCGGTGTAGACATTTCTGTGGTGTTGGGCGTGGTTTTGGGTGAGTTTGGTTGCGGGGCGCGCCGTCCTCGAACTTTTTTGATGGTTGGAATGCGCGCCAAGGACGACCCGGGCCAATGGCGGAAGGGTCAATCTGGTAGCATCATCGAATCGAATGAAGCTCCCCTCCAGCGCCACTACCTGCCTCTCTACTCGACACGCCCATTGAGGCTCCAGACGCATACACTAGAGCGAGACGACCATCATGCCCGTCTCCTTTGCGCGTCTTGCCGGCCATGCGGCGAAGCGGGCATGCCTGAACGCCTCCCGTCCACAGCTACGCACAGCAATCCCTTCACGGCCCATTGCGCGGTGCCTATCGACATCACTACCTCGCAAATACGCCCAAGTCGAAGACAGCCAGCGGACGCGCCTGATTGCGACCAACGAGGACTTTGTAGCGCCCACCAACCCCGAGGACCCTAACGCCACAGGCGGAGCGGAGGACGATGGCAACTTTGTAGACAGCAGGAAGATCCGGCATTACACCGTCAACTTCGGCCCCCAGCATCCCGCAGCCCACGGCGTGTTGCGCCTGATTTTGGAACTCAATGGCGAGGAGATTGTCCGCGCTGATCCGCACGTCGGGCTGCTACATCGCGGCACAGAGAAGCTCATCGAGTACCGGACATATCTCCAGGCCCTGCCATACTTTGACCGGCTGGACTATGTCTCTATGATGACCAACGAGCAGTGCTTCTCGCTAGCTGTCGAGAAGCTGCTGAACATTGAGATCCCCATCCGTGCCAAGTACATCAGGACATTATTTGGCGAAATCACGCGGATTCTGAACCATCTCATGTCGATCTTGTCCCACGCCATGGACGTTGGTGCTCTAACCCCCTTCTTGTGGGGCTTCGAGGAGCGTGAGAAGCTCATGGTGCGTCTATAGTCGATATATGGCCTTCACGCCACCTGCTAATGCAATATCAGGAATTCTACGAGCGTGTATCTGGCGCCCGTCTTCACGCTGCCTACGTACGCCCCGGCGGTGTATCCCAGGATATCCCTATTGGCCTGCTCGACGACATCTACCAATGGGCCACCCAGTTCGGCGATCGCATCGACGAAACTGAGGAGATGTTGACAGACAATCGGATTTGGATTGGCCGCACCAAGGGTATCGGTGTTGTCTCGGCTGCTGATGCCATCAACTACTCCTTCACCGGTGTCATGCTGCGTGGATCTGGTGTGCCTTTTGACGTCCGAAAGTCACAGCCCTATGACGCATACGACCAGGTTGAATTTGATGTCCCCGTTGGTGTCCACGGTGACTGCTACGACCGCTACCTCTGCCGTATGGAGGAGTTCCGTCAATCTCTCCGCATCATCCATCAGTGCCTAAACCAAATGCCTGCCGGCCCCACCAAAGTTGAGGACTACAAAATTTCTCCCCCGCCACGTGCCGCCATGAAGGAGAATATGGAGGCCCTCATTCACCACTTCCTGTTGTTCAGCAAGGGCTACACCGTCCCACCTGGCGAGACATACAGTGCTATTGAGGCACCCAAGGGAGAGATGGGTGTCTTCCTCGTCTCAGACGGCAGCGAGAGGCCGTACAGATGCAAGATCAGGGCTCCCGGATTCGCACATTTAGCCTGTATGGATCAGATCTCAAGAGGTCATCTGCTTGCTGATGCTGTGGCCATTATCGGCACTCTTGATTTAGTATTCGGCGAAGTGGACAGATAGTGCATATTAAACTGCTTCATTTCTTATCTATGTTTGGTGAGGCCGATCGGTAAGACAACTGGCAAAAGAAGGAGTGTAGTGCGAGGATGGCATTGCTTGCAAGAAGAGTTTGAGCAACAGGAGCCAGGTGGCTGACTGTACATACTGTACTCTACCATTTTCTTTTGAGAGTCAATCTAGTTTGCACGTTCATCCGCTTCCCACATTTTTTTCACTTGTCAGTTGGCATACGCGGGTTTATCGAATGAGGTCCAGTCATTTACTGCATGGAGGTAAGCTTGTATCGAGGGAATACGCAATTGAAGCCAACAACCATACATCTAAGCAAGCAGTTGGGCATCACAAAGTTACTCAGCTGCCCTCGCTTTGGGTTTTACCCCGGTTCATCGATAACTATGGTCGCGGGGCCCGATCTCGTAGCTCACGACTATCGGTCCTTATCTGGCAACCTCCGCTTGCGTGCTTGTTGTCCAAACATCGGCCATCCCGTGCTCGAGCATAGCTTCACGATTCGCTAAACCCAAGTTGTACCCCGATCATGATTAGGATCCATCAAGCGATCCACTAGCTACCTAATAAATCGCGCAGTTAGCTTAATATTCAGCTCGACTGTTCCTGCAAGTTGCCGCACTTATGAGATCATCCCCAGAGTAGGATCCACTCTACAGATGATTGCGATTTAGTACGGCTCGTGGCAGTGCAGCACCAGTACTGTATACCGGCCATGATGTGCCGCCTACAGTTTTATGCGCCATAGCACATCAGGAGATACCCGAGCTCTAGAGCGCTCCGGGGCGCAGCACTGCGTCACTGTTCAGCTTCGCAGGGGTACAACGATCTTGCACCAGAATTGCGCGAGCTCCTGAAACTTGCTTTTGGTAGTGCGGGGTGCTATTGTTTGTTTAGTGGGGTGTTGCAAGGGAAGGTATAAAAGGAGGCATGGCCTAGTATTGACATACGACACCAATCAACTCACCACCCAACGGCTTCTCACCCTTTTATTGAACACTTTTGATTTACATATTTGGTCCATTTCTCTCAAGACCATCACTATGTCTTACAACTCCAACGAACGCAACACGTCCTCTTACGGCGAGGAGCGCAGCAGCTCTGGCTACGGAGACAGCAACCGCAATGACGACAATCAGTCCGGCTCCAAGTCCTCCAGCTACGGAAATGACAACGAAGACTCGTCCTATGGAAACAATAAGTCCTCTGGCTACGGAGGAAACAATGACAACGAGGACTCGTACGGATCCAAGAAGTCGAGCTATGGCTCCAACGACAACGACAACCAAGACTCGTACGGCTCCAAGAAGACGTCTGGTTTCGGGAGCAACGACAACGAGGACTCCTCGTACGGTACTAAGAAGACCGGCTACGGTTCCAACGACAACGAAGACTCCTTAGGGTCCTCGAAGAAGTCCAGCTACGGCAATAACGAAGACGAGAGCTCTTATGGCAGCAAAGAGAAGTCGTCCTACGGATCCAACGACAACCAGGACTCGTCTTACGGATCAAACAAAAAGTCGAGCTACGGCTCTAACGACAATGACAACACGGACTCTTACGGCAGCAAGAAGCAGTCGAGCTATGGATCCAATGACAACGAAGACTCGTACAGTTCGAGCAACAAGACTTCCGGCTCTTCTAACCGCAACACGGATGAGGACTCTTACAGTAGCAGCAAGAAGCAGTCCAGCTACGGTAGCAATGACAACGAGGATTCGTACGGCTCAGGTAACAAGAGTTCCAGCTACGGCTCATCCAACCGCAACACGGATGAGGACTCGTATGGCAGCAAGAAGCAGTCCAGCTATGGTAGCAACGACAATGAAGACTCTTACGGCTCGGGCAACAAGGCTTCCAGTTATGGCTCTTCCAATCGCAACGAGGACTCGTACGGCAGCTCCAAGCGCGATAACGATTACTAGGCTCCTGTACTGGGATTAGGGGGCAGCACGGGTTTGGAGATTGACTGTGTGATGGGGTATCCTGGATGACTTTAAAGTCTTTTGGGCTCGATGACAGACAGTAGCAAATTCCGTAAGTATATTCACGCTTCACTATCACTAGTGTGGGACGTGCCCGGGCCCTCAGGGATTGGAATAGGAGAACACCCTCCTTTGTATACACGGCCTCAGAAATGAAAGTGCTCTTATACTACTACAAAAATCAGTTCATGAAATCAGTGTCCACGTGAATTGAGTTGGGTTTACATTCCGCGCGTTCGTTCGGAAAATTTCTTGATTGTATGTTTCGCTTGACGCCTACTAAAAAGAATTTTTCAGAGCACTATTTATCGACGTCCAATTAACTACCCGCGGACTGAATGCCAGTATGACGTACATAAGCGCTGTTCCTGATGCCAATCGTAGATCAAAAGCTTGACGCGTGGTGCAGGTCTACGTCATCAATGAGGGGCGTTGTGGGGTAAGAAGCCGCATAGCCTGATATCATTTCTGTATTTCATCGATTGTGAATTTCTATCAAGACAATCCTTTCGGAACACTGAATTGAGCTCTTTACATTTTCTTGATTATCTGGTAAGTGCATTCAAAATTGTCAAATTCCTCCCTCGATCTTTCCTGGCAACATCCACGGCACTTCTTGCCAAATAAATTAAGCTATTTTGATTGAACGCGTCAATTGGAAGATGCTGTTCTTAGACTCACCAGAACCCAAGTTGTCACTTCATCTCAACGCTTACTATTGAATCACAACCAACTAACCTAAGTCTAGAAATTTCAATTGCCACAATGTCCTACAACGACTCTTCTTATAGCCAAGGCGGAGGCGGAGGGGGAGGCCGTGGATACGGAGGCCGTGATGACGACCGTCGTGAACAAGGTGGATATGCTGGTGACGAGCGACGCAATGAGGGCTATGGCCGAGACGAGGAACGTCGTGGTGGAGGTGGTGGCTACGGACGGGATGACGACCGCCGTGAACAAGGAGGATATGGTGGGGGCCGGGACGAAGACCGCCGCCAAGAAGGACACAGTAGCTCCGGAGGGTATGGCGGTGGAGAGAGACGCCAAGAAAGCGGGTACGGAGGAGGAGATGATAGGAGGGAAGAACATAACGGACGACGTCAAGAAGGGGGTGGATATGGTGGATCCGGGGGATCTGGGGGTTATGGAGGAGATGATAGACGTCAAGAGAGCAATCGCTATGACGAGCGTCCCAGCGGTGGAAACAACGACCGTCCCTCAGGAGGATATTCAGGAAGCGACAACTACAACAATGAGCGCCCTTCAGGGGGTTATAGTGGCGGTTCAGGAGGCTATGGTGGTTCATCAGGCCACCATGATGGCCAACAGTCTTCCGGCACATCATATGGTGGTGGGGGCTACGGGGGCTCAGATGAGTTCTCTTCCGCAGCTCAACACGCTCAATCTAGCGCCGGTAACTCAGGCGACTCAAATCTGTTCAGCTCAGCGCTCGGCCTGCTCTCGGGCAAGAAGGATAAACTCAAGAATGAGGATCTCGACGAAGATGATGCAGTTCGACAGCATGAGCAGATGTATGGCAGCGGCGGTCAGGGTGGAAGCCAGCAAGCTAGCTCGAACAATGTCGGTGCTGCAGCAGCCATGCAAGCGTTAAAGATGTTCAATGGTAGCAGTGGTGAAGATGCGAAGGGTGGACAGAACAAGTTCATTGGGCTCGCGATGGGGCAGGCTGCTCAGTTGTTCGACAAGCAACAGAGCCAGGGCAAGACTGTGAGTACGAATCCATGACATTCGGGGTGTCGGCTAATGTGGAATAGAATCCGGAAGCTACAAAGCAAGACGCTATTGCTCAAGCTGCTCAAATGGCGCTGAAGTTCTACATGAAGAGCGAGATGGGTGGAAGCGGCGGCAGTGGCGGCGGTAGCTCTGGCGGCGGACTCGGTGGACTGCTGAATTTGGCTAGCAAGTTCATGAAGTAAATATGGAATTTCTTACTTGAGGCTTAGTCGATAACAACACAAACATAGCTGAGTAAAATACACAGTCATATATTGACACTTCCCGCTTTTCGTGTTTTTTCCCTTACTGGTAGAGGGGATTTACCGGTTGGTTTTATTTGTGTCTATTTTGTGATACCCCATCTTGTTTTCCATATAAAACTCTATAAAATATATTGACACTTATCAATCCTCATCATGCAGTTTACGACATTTTCGTTAAGATGATTTGCGCGATGGACTTTCTTTTTCGTATTGGGCGTAGCCTGAACTTTTGGGTAGGTTACTGATATGATTCTCGAGCAAAGACATAAGTAAAGGAAAGCTCGACATCCTATTTATGGGGATAGTGACTAAGTCACTCTAAAGAAAGAAAGATATTGCTTAGAGTATCACAGGCGATACTTGAAAGTCGAGCTGATCGACGAGCGTCATGCCATTAAATATCTTTGAAAGCCTCCTGCAGGAGTTTCACATCCTCCTCGAATGTATCAAGCATTTTCTGTCCACACCATTCTGCCATCTTAATAATCGTCTCCTTAGTCTTCCATGTGACATAATAGTACGCAGCAAAAGCCGGGAGGGCCTTCTGGAGTTCCCGCCAGGCTGTCGGGGTACTAATCATCTTTCCATCGCAGATTGAACGAACCAGACTTTCGAGAATTGTCTGACAGCTTGTCATGAGCGTGTCATAGCGAGGGTTTGTGTCAATGTAAGACTGGCCTGTTTCGTTTAGCACTCGCTCCCTTCTAGTACCGCGAGGGCTTCATACCAAGCGCGCGGATCTTATCGTCATCCGCGGTTGTCTCGCCAATGTACGTGCATGTGAGCCAATGTCCGATGATGGTGTCTGTGACTTCGTCGGCTCGGAAATAATTCTTGCCCCATTTCCATTTCTGGTCGCTCATCAAATCGTAGCGCCAGCACATACCGCGCGACCGGTGTATGACCACAATTGACCAGTGGCATGCGGCCTTGAGACTAATGCCCAACGCCCGGAGGAAGTATTTGTGGGTGTTTTCTGATATCCTGTACTTTTGTGGGCCGATGTTTTCAGAAACTAGGTACACAACTCTGGTTGAACAAAATGGGTCCCAGTCGAGCGGCGGCGTTGGCTCTTCTGTTCCCGTTGTCTTGTTGCTAATCAGACGCAGAAGTGCTTCCTTCTTCAACTGCTCATCGTTTTTAAATCTACCGTGCGTCAGCTATACGTGTACGATATGGCAGAGTGGCTTTTTACGTGATAGTAGGAGGACTGTCGTAACCAAGTGCACGCCTGGTTGCAGGGGCGTCGTAGAGATAACCTGCTGCGGCTATAACACTTCCAACAATCACCTTCTGGCCAATCGATCCGTCGGCATCCCATAGATATCCGAGGAATTTCTTACTGAGTTTTGCACCCTCATGCATCTTTCCTGCAAGGCAACGGCAGAAGTACTTTGGGTGTAAGGATAACCCACAAGGCTACGAAGGAGCCACGTCCACACTTTTAAGTATTTCATGATACCGCTTTACCCTGCAACTTAGACCAATAAAGTCTCAGTTGAAGAACTACAGCTCGGTTAGACGTGTATTGCGCGACTTCATGAACTGGTGGGCCACGAAAGCCGCCTATTGGCGATGTCTGTGAACATGGCTTGACCGGTGACTTCAGCTGCTACACATGGCCTGATTCGCACACCGTTTAGATCAGCTAAGAGCGGCCCTGCTCAGGGATTCCAATTCTAGCCTTCGTGGGTGAAAAGCAACCTCTTTAGAATGAAGTTTAGCGTCGGGAGATCTAACGATGTTGGAGCGTATACATCTTCTAACATCAGAGGGAATCCGAGAGATACTACCAGAACGTGCAAGATTAAGACGGCCATATCACTAGTAGACATTTGTCTAGATGCGAAAGTCTTTATCGCTAGCATCAGGTGTCGACGAGAGATTCGACTTCGAAATACAAACTTAGTACGCGATTTCCTATATTGATTTCTCGGTATTCAGGAACGTAGAGTTCTACTTCCTGATATTGAGGATGTATATTTTTGATTTTCAAATGAAGGTATGGAGAGGTGATCGAAACCAGCATCAAACATTTGAGAGAAAGAGGAGCGTATCTGCCTAGAGCCGATTAACCGGCCGACGGCCCGAGAGCTCCCAAAGATCCAAAACAAACGCATTCCCGCTAACTTATGGTAATGTTTGCATCGTGCTTATCTTTCACGATCCAAAGGACCAGATTATTCAACATGTATTCATATCATCTATTGTTGTTCAACTACAAAACCCGATCTGATCCATGACCGACGGCAAACCCGCTCAGGCACCTCATTTCGAGCTTCCACCTGCTGCGTTGAATGCGCACGCACCTACTCCAGCGCATCATGACTCCGAAGAGGTTGTGCGATATGAGAGACGGCGCGTTTCGAGAAAGCTAGACCCCATCGTCCGTCACACGTCGTCCAGACCAAGCACCGGTACCCCGCCTACATCACAAGCTACACCGAGCTTCGTCAGTCTACGCTCTCGCAACGCCTCTCTGAGAAGCCCATCGAGTACTTCTAGAGAAGACCTGAGGCGACACGTTTCCGCAATTAGCGGTGCGAGTACCCAAGCTGATATACCGGGCGCGAGTGAGGATGGCGGGCAGAGCTCCATGTCATCTCTGAAGGTACCACATTGGTATGATCCAATCGTCATGGTTTGGTCTAGGCATATTTGTCCTACGATAGACGAGGGAGCGTTTAGAGATCACTTGGGTATGTTTGCCCTCTTGCTTTAGCTCTGCTGCCTCATACCCCCCTGCTCTCAATATACCTTACCTATATCTAACGACCACCAGCACTCGAGCGCACGTTTCTCGGCTACCTTCGCACCTCTCTCATACTCGTCATGACCGGCGTACTAATCGCACAATTCTTTCGCCTCCAACGCACCGCCAATCCTAACCCAGTGTTCGGGTTCTATACCATTGGACTGCCGCTCAGCGTCACGTTCATTAGCATGGCCATGGTGGTAATGCTTATCGGGGCGGTGAGGTTTTGGAGGTTGCAAAGGGCGTTAATTGCGGGGAGAGCACTTGCTGGTGGATGGGAAGTGTTGACAATTATGGGGTTGAGTGCGTTGGTAAGTGGTGCTTGAAGTTGATATTACATCGAGGGACTTACTTGAGGACCGCGGACAATGGCTAACAAGTTTAAAGCTTCTGATAGGGACCTTCGCTTTGGTGCTTGGGGTTGATATCGACAAAACCTACTTTAATGGCTAGTCTAGCCCACACGAACATCGTAACCTGCTTGAGAAGCAGAGGTCCTTGCATCTAATGCATCATTTCCCCAACGCTGAATATACATTTAATATGGCCGTCAACCTCGGTCGCCACATAAGGCCGGCGAACCCCAGAATTGAAACGCGTGACCTGAAACGCCGGACTAAGAACCATTGTGGCAAACTGACTTGAGTTCCTCCAGATTACAATTTCTAGATATGTGTATAGGCACGCAGGAGCTGTTATTGGTGGGTTTTGGAGGCATTCCAGCCGCCAAGTCAATCTACCTCAATGTCAAAACCTGGATTAACCTAGCATCACCCGAACTTGAGCAAGGATTGCGCATCCTGGTCACCCCAGAGTCTCCTTGTATCTAGGCAATACGAAACTAGTTTCGAACTAAGCTACCTATAAGAGAAGGAGCAACACGATGCATCTGTCAAGAAGTAAGGCAGACTATTCACACAATGTTCTCGTTCGTGTTACTCGCCCTTGTGGCCACGGTAGCGGCCCGCAGCCATCACCTGCGCGATTCAGCCTCTTCAATAATTAGTAGGCAAAAGACAACTCTTCCGAGTACTTTTAAATGGGCATCTTCCGACATCCTCGTCGCCCCCAAAAATGATGCCCGCAATATCGCAGCTATCAAGGACCCTTCTATTATCCACTATAACAACGCCTACCATGTTTTCGCTAGCACGGCGGTAACGTCGGGGTATAACCTCGTCTACTTCAACTTCACCAGCTTTGCCACAGCGAATGCCGCGCCGTTCTACTACTTAGATCAGTCGGCAATAGGAGCGGGATATAGGGCGGCGCCAGAGGTATTTTACTTCGCGCCGCAGAAATTGTGGTACCTCATCTATCAAAATGGCAACGCGGCATATAGCACCAACAAAGACATCAGCGACCCTCATGGTTGGACAGCCCCGAAGAATTTTTACAACGGAACGCCACCCCTGATTCAACAGGGCCTCGAAGGCGGGTACTGGGTCGACATGTGGGTCATCTGCGACGAAACCGACTGTCATCTCTTCTCCTCAGACGACAACGGCCGCCTGTACCGCAGCCAAACCCCAGTTTCAAAATTCCCCAATGGCATGAGCGAACCCGTCATTGCTCTCAAGGACAACAAAAACGACCTTTTCGAGGCCTCAAACGTCTACGCTATTGGTAATTCCGCGAAGCCTACTTACCTTTTGCTGGTAGAATGCATCGGTGCTGGATCGTCCCCCGGCGGCCAACGCTACTTCCGCTCGTGGACGTCGAGCTCGCTCTCTGGACCCTGGAATGCCCTCGCAGCGACGCAGCAGAATCCATTCATGGGCGAAGCGAATGTGAAGTTTACAAATGGCAACAAGTGGTCGAAGAGTATCAGCCACGGGGAGATTGTGCGGAGCAATGTGGATCAGAGACTTAGGATTGGGGACTGCGGGTGGGAGTATATGTACCAGGGGATTGACCCGGCCGCGTCTAGTGCGAATTATAATAACTTGCCGTGGAAGTTGGGTGTGCTTAAACAAGAGGGAGGCTGTTAAGGGGCGAGAGCGTGGACATGTCAGTAGTGTTTCGAGGGGCCGGTGCTTGAGGGTGCGACGGAAAAGTAATCAAGTTAGTCACACTGCGTTACACTGAATTTGATCCCAGAAATCAAGCCTTACTCTGGAGTACGATTACAACATGAGAGAGTGCGTAGTCTTCCAATGGTGTCTTTGTCCATGTGCCCTACAGCCTAGTCCATATTTGAGCCAAGCACTGTGTGGTTGCTAGAATTGCCGCAAAACTACGAAGTCTTGAGATGCAGCATCATGATAATTGAGTTTGTCAAGACATGCATGAAAGAAAACACTTGGAACGAGGTTTGCATCTGCAAAAGAACATGAGGGCACGTGAAATTCCGCCACGTCTGAAAGCGGAATAGTTTGCTGTAGATTTCCCAATTCAGCGTGAGCTTGGGCCTTGACGCAATCAATGGCGCCCGCTTGTATCAAACTCTCAGTTCGCGACGTGCGACAGGCACCGATCGTTTTCTCCTCTTCGTACCACAAGACCCCTCCGCAGAACTTGCACTGCTGAGTTCCTCGTCGACTGAGTCGTCTTATCAACAACGGCCTGAAGGCCTCGTACAGTTCTCGTCGCGCAACTACAACACGGAGGCATACGGCTTTTGGCCCTCCGAAGTCGCAATCATGGGGCTCTCCAAATCAACGCGGATTATGATACTGTTGGCGATTGATACAGCCTTCTTCTTCTTGGAACTGATAGTCGGATATGCGGTGCACTCTCTGGCTCTCGTTGCCGACTCGTTTCACATGGTACATTCGTCCCGCCTCATCTAGGGAGTGAGTACTAACAGTAAGCACAGCTGAACGATGTCATATCCCTCCTGGTCGGACTGTGGGCAGTCAAAGTTGCGAGCCAAAAGACCAACTCAAAGACGTACACATATGGGGTAAGTGAAGCTTCGGACAATACCATGAATACATGCTGATCATGGGTAGTGGCAACGTGCGGAAACACTAGGTGCTCTCATCAACGGCGTCTTCCTCGTCGCCCTGTGCCTCTCGATCTTCCTCGAAGCGATCCAGCGATTTGTCGAACCGCAAGAAGTATCGCACCCTAAACTCGTTCTCATCGTCGGCTCCTTTGGTCTTGCTTCAAACATCATCGGTCTCTTCCTCTTCCACGACCACGGTCACGGCGGTCATTCACACGGCCATGACGAGCATTCGGCGGCTGAAGAAGGACACTCTCATGGTATCGATGCGCATGATCATGCCGTTGCGGATGAAAGGGGCAACGTAGCAGATGTGCTGCCTCAGAACCGGATCGGCTTCCCCTCTACGGTGACCCAGTCTCCACAGAAGTCTAATGAGGGTGCCTTTTCTCCTCAGGTAGAAAGGGTCCGTCGTTCATCTGTGTCCGGAAAGAAGGGCAAGCGCCACAATCGATCACAATCGCGGAATTATTCTACGTTGGAGGACATCTACGTGCACCCCTCATCGTTTAGGAATAGCATCATTGAGTCTTCGCGCATGCACGACAATGACGAAGCGGATGATGAAGAGGATGATGCGAATGTCGAGGATGTGGAGCCTACTGAGCAGACTTCCTTGCTGGCCAACCCTAAGAGTCATGGTTCGCACGATCACGAAAACAATACGCCAAAGAAGAAAGATTGCCACCAAGATCACAAGCACAGCCAGCCTAAAGACCAGAAGTCTGGTGGTGGTGGTGGTCACGGCCACTCGCATGGGGATTTGAACATGCGCGGTGTCTTCCTCCATGTCCTAGGCGATGCCCTAGGCAATATCGGTGTCATCGGATCTGCGCTATTCATCTGGCTTACGAACTTCTCGTGGAGATTCTACGCTGACCCTGCCGTCTCCCTCATCATTACCGTCATCATTCTTCTTTCTGCAATCCCCCTCTGCAAGGCCGCATCGCGCATCTTGCTACAAGCTGTTCCCGAGAACCTTTCTATCGACGACATCACAGAGGATATCACAGATCTCAATGGCATAGTGTCTTGCCACCATCTGCACGTCTGGCAGCTCTCTGACACTAAGCTCATCGCCTCGCTGCATGTTCAGGTCGACTTCGATTTCAAGGGCGAAGGCTCAGCTCGCTACATGGATTTGGCCCGTCAAGTCCGTCAGTGCCTCCACGAATACGGCATTCACTCTTCTACTATCCAGCCCGAGTTCTGCCTCGACGCAAGCCACGACCATTCGGCCGCTGGATCCGATGAGAGCAGCCCCGAGGATGGTGGCAGCAACAGCAAGAATCCCAGCGTAAAGGACGGACCAGACGCTTGCTTGCTGGAATGCCCAGACAGCTGTGGAAATGCGAAGCAGTGTTGTGAACCTGGCAACAAGAGCTGCAAGCGCAGTAACCACGGCTCGTCTTCGTAGTTTCTCGCGATGACCACCTTTTCCTTGTGTATGCATGTTTGTTAACTGTATGTATGATACCTCTCCTTTGTTACCATGGTACCTCTTCGCACGTGTCGGCGTAATAAGCTTTCGTTTCCTGTAGCTAGTGCCAGCGGTATGGCATGTCTTCTGTGGGATTGGGCGATCTTATAAGATGTCCTAGGGTAGAACTGTTAGTGTGAGCGGGTCGGCCGTAGTAGATAGACGGTGCCATAATGCACATATTTCCAACCTCAATCGAGAAGCCATATTGGAGGTTTTCAGGTCTCTGGAGTTGCAATGTGTTGGTGTCGTACAGCTGACAAGGTTGCATGCGGGTAGAGAGGGTCTTGTCCAAGGCTAGGAGGCATAGTTGATCTATGTGTTGCTGTCAGCTCACATGTCAGACTATCCAGACCTTGGCATAAGGTGACACTGTGTAGTGATCGGGACTCTTCGACTCTTCGTATTCTTATCTCTTATTAGGCGTACTCTGTGCCGCCCTTCCAGAACTTGAGTGGGTCGAGGGATCTCATGTAGCGGCTCGCTATAAGTCGCTGCACCTCTTGCGCAAGCTCGAGACCTTCTGGAAGCCAGGATGTCGACACGGGTTTAGAGCGGGTATAGGATCTCGATAGACAAGCTTTTGGCGCACTGCTTCTTCCGCCCCACCTGTGTCTGCGCCTTCCGCTCTCGGCGCCTCTAACGAACGTGCCCACAGCGTGGTGGACAAACTCCCACACATTTAGGCGGGGCCGCGGCTGTCCATGACCATGGGCCGGAGTAATTTCTAATAATTTCTTTCGATTGACTCGAGGATAGGATGGGCGAAGAGGGCTTTTGGCAGAAGCCCCGGTGAGAGAGCGCATCATCTATCTTGGGAAGGTGCAGGCAAATAGCAAACGCTAGGAAACTAACAATACGAGCACCGAGCTATGAGTGCGTCAACGGCTGCCCTTTGGGACGATCCCTCTCCTCTTATCAATATAGCATGGCGCTCCTAGACCAATAGCAACCGATGTGCATCATCCGGCAATCTCTGCGCATGTCAGATCATGGTCGTGTGGCAATAGGGTTTCTGATCAAGCCAGTTCAGGCGAGAGGGCGAAATGAGATCTGGTGATATTTTGGCTGTCCGTGGCCCGATGCGAAAAGCATATCGGTCGCGTCCGAGAAGCCGATGTCGTTACGAGAGTCCGATATCGTTGCGAAGTCATCCCGAGGTGTCAATTTCAGACCTCGGTGTGGATTCGGCAAGGCAAATTTTCTCTCAACACCACCAGAGACACCTTGGACAGTGTTCTGTTGGCCTTGGAAATGGAATAGAGAATGGGTCCTATCATGTGGCGTTTCCGAAGGATGCCTATCTTGCCCTCCATCGTACCAATAACGTCACCACATAATATATGGGATGAGCGAGTTGACATGCAATGCAGAGTAAACGAGTCTGGGGTCGCTAATGCTTATTATTTAGCGTATCACACGGCCTTCGTTTCAAACCAACGGCAAGCCCGGCACTGCGTCACGCCTAGATAAAGGCGTAAAAGCGTAAACCACGGCTTCTCGAAACGCGGACGTAAGATCACCATGTACATTCACCATATCCGGCAGGTGCTCTGCAGACCCTCTAGATTGCAGCGAATCTGGTGCAAAGCGCCGAGCAGGATGCGGCGCAACTAAGCCGCCAAGGGAAGGCTTCGGCAAGCTTTGCAACGGAGGTAGCCTCTCTTTGGACTAAGTGCGCCGCTATCAGAGCGTTACATTGGCGCCCTAGCAACTGCTGGCCGTCCTTGTCGTCCAGGGTTCCGTGGACAGGCGAACGTCCATGCCGGTTGGTAGATGGGTGTGGCAGGTGGATATTGTGCGAGGAACGGAACGGGTGCGTCTGATTAAATAAATATGGATGAGTGTTCCGCATGCTGGGGGCACGTTCAGCTGTCTGGTATTTTACTGAAATCCACCCCGTCTTCCATTGACCAGGTCTTTGGTTGCAGTTGAGCTTTGAAGCAACCATGGCATCCGCAAATGAGACGTACGCCAATCCAAATGTCTACATTGACCTGAATGTAACTGATCGATCTGATGTAGGCCGCAGCACTTGCAGCACGCGCAGGCGGAAGCAGACCAGAAGCCACACCTGTACGGTGCTTCGCTGAATGACGCCAACGTTGGTGCTCATGTCGATCTCGAAAAGCCCCATGGCGCCCTCGAAACGCGCGCCTCTCCTTCTCTCGACATTGGCGAGGAGGACGGCCTCGGTGGTGTCAGGCCCACTGCCGAAGAGTTGAGGACGCTGCGTAAAGTTGGCGAGCCTCTCCCCAAATCTGCCTTTTTGGTCGCCATTGTCGAACTGTGCGAACGCTTCACCTACTATGGTGCCTCTGGTATCTTCCAGAACTTCATTGCGCGTCCGCGTAGTGGTGAGGAGGGTCGTGGTGCGCTCGGTATGGGCCACCAAGGAGCCACTGGTCTTTCTACCTTCTTCCAGTTCTGGTGCTACGGTATGCTATTCTTTGGGATCGAGTAGATGATTCGAGCCGTTTACTGACATGCTTTCAAAGTCACGCCCATCCTCGGCGCCATCATCGCTGACCAATACCTCGGAAAGTACAACACCATCCTCATCTTCTGTTTCGTCTACATTGTCGGCCTCCTCATCTTGACTTGCACATCCATCCCAAGCGCTCTCGACCACGGTGCCGGACTGGGCGGCTTCGTCGTCTCCATCATCGTCATTGGTCTCGGAACTGGTGGTATCAAGTCCAACGTCGCTCCCCTCATTGCCGACCAGTACAAGAGGAGACAAATGGTCATTGGCCACGACGACAAGACGGGAGAGCGCGTTATCATCGACCCAGCCATCACCATCCAGAGAATCTACATGATCTTCTACTTCTGCATCAACGTCGGTTCCCTCTCAGCGCTTGCCACGCCTTACATGGAGCGCGATATCGATTTCTGGACTGCGTATTTGCTGTGTCTCTGCGTTTTCTTCGTTGGTACCCTTGTCCTTGTTCTCGGCAGGAAAGCGTACGTTGTCCGGCCGCCCCAGGGCTCCGTCGTCACTGATGCCTTCCGCGTCATCTTTATGATGATTAAGAACCGCAGCATGGACGGCGCAAAGCCTTCGTACCAAGCCGGACTTGGAAGAGACGTCAAACTCCGCTGGGACGACCACTTTGTTGAGGAGGTGAAGCGCGCCCTCGTCGCTTGCCAGGTCTTCTGCTTTTATCCCATCTACTGGGTCGTCTATGGAAACTTCTCCAACAACTTCGTTACCCAGGCTGGACAAATGGCCGGTCACGGTATTCCCAACGATCTAATGCAGAACTTCGACCCTATTGCTATCATCGTCTTCCTTCCTCTTATGGATCAGTTCGGTTTCCCGCTCCTCCGCAAGTGGAAGATTCCGTTCCCACCCATCAACCGTATTGTAGCTGGCTTCTGGGTCGCCTCTCTCGCCATGGTCTACGCCGCTGTTATTCAGTACTACATTTACCAATCCGGGCCTTGCTTCGACTCGCCTCTCTGTGACGCCTCCAAAGTCGATGGAGTCGCCCAAGGAAACAATATCCACATCGCCACTCAGACTGGAGCGTATATGTTGATTGGTATCTCCGAGATCTTTGCCTCCGTCACAGGTCTTGAGTACGCATACACAAAGGCACCGCCTAGCATGAAATCCTTTGTGCAATCCATGTTCCTCTTGACCAACGCCTTTGGTTCCGCTATCAACGAGGCGCTGAACCCCGTCTTGGTTGACCCTAAGATCCAGTGGATGTATGTTGGCTTGGCTATTGCCTCGTTCATCGCTGGTTGTCTCATCTGGGTCATGTTCCACCACCTAAACGAGACTGAGGATGAGATGAATTCGCTTGACAAGGATCTTGACAACGACCCAACCCTGCGGAGAAGCAGTGTCCATGCCGACCGCACCGTAGGACTGCATCACGATGAGAAGGTATAGAGCAATACCTTGCGATCGGAGGGATAGTAGAAGATGATCCTATCTAGCTTCAGAGATATGAAGTAGAATACCTGCGCGTCGAAGCCTCGCAACGGAATTAATGCCATTCAAATGTTCAACAACATGCGCTTGCACTTTTGAGTTTGACTCGTATATGACGTCTCTTTCTCCTGACTTAGCCTCGTAAATCCTGCGCTTATTCCACTTACGTCCAATTCGTTGGTCGATCGCTCGACTATTGAAAGATAGGATAGTCACGTGCTGCAAGCCAAAGCCGAGCCATTAGGCCCACAGAGGTCTGTGCAGCGCCCAATGGGCCATAAAAGAGGACATGAGCAGTTTCACAATATTGGAAGGGTAAACACATTGCGAGAATAAGAGAAAGGCGTTAAAGTTCAGGTGCGGTGTTGCGCTGTCGAGGCGCTATGAATAGCTCAATACGGATGACAGGCAGTCACTAGTGGCGCGCTAACGGCCAATACGATCTCCGCGCGTTCCATCTCGTATCCCAGGCACAGCACCTGACATTCCCCAGTGGTCCATATAACAACACGCTCAACGCCAGTCAGCATAGCATCAAGGTCGGCCCTTTCTGCTTCAGGCGACTTATTAGCAGCAACCCGTGAAGCCAGTCTTTTCTCCATCTTGCTTATTGTACTAGGCCGAGATCCGTCCAATCACCTTCTCGCTTTGTCTTCAAGCCGTTTTCAGCTATCTTTTGGAGTCTATTTTATCAAAGGTAGGCATTACTCTTGTGTATACAGCATCTTCTTTAATTCTCTTCTCGTCAACCTATCTCTCTGTATCCAACTGTTACACGTACATCCACCGTATATAAGCCCCTTATTCCCGTTCATTGACCCCTGACCACTTCTGTCTACACACCGGCCAACTCATCCTTACAGCGTTCATTCGACAATGACGTCCACTGCGGCAACGACAACGTATCCCTTCACGTTCACTACCTACTCGAACCCAACCCCTGTACCATTCACCAAGCCCACGGCCTTTCCCTCCATCTTCTCCTTCGGCAGCGCCATAGGCTGCGCAAACCCCACCGCATCCGCCTTGCCCTCGAATCACCCACTCGACCGCCCGAATGGCATCCAGGGCGCTTGCGTCATCAGCAATGCTGCCGAAGTCAACAACCACGCCTTCTGGGATCTCTACGAATGCTGCAAGGGGAAGGACATGACTGCGTTTGGCAGCCCAGGCACCTGCACCGCGCAGTGTAGAGCGGAAGATGGACAGACATGGCAGGAGTTGGGCGAGTGTCTAAGCAAGCGCGTGAACATTGTCATATGCAAGCCGGAAAACGCTGAGATTGGAAAGAACGAGACGCACTCCACTCAGAGCTCAGCGAGTGGATCGAGCAGTGGAAAGGCCACGAGCAGTGGACAGGCTTCGTCCAGCGGGAGTGCACAGGTGTCGGGATCATCGGGTGCGGCGAGCACACTTGGTGCGGCGCATGCGACTTTCTCCAAAGCTGGGGTTGTCATGTTTGGAATTTTGGCGGTTAGCTCTGCTGCAGGCATGTTCTTGTAAGAGGAAAAATAGTCGAGGGCTAGACGTGATCATGATTTGTTTCTGGCAAGGCGATATGGCTATCTGGAGTATTGTCTTCTCATCACGACCACGACGCTAAAAAGGCATGGCGGTGGCTACTAACACCGCACTTAATGGTAAAAATGTGATCTCAAAAATAACCATGTATTATCGATTTATCTTCAAGATGAATATGGTGCGGAAGATACGCCGCTATAACTCTCCCAGACCAATCAAGTTTTGGGCATATCCTATCTAGAAATAGCTCCGACTTGTGACCAGACCACGAATATATTCTCCGACAAGCGAATGGAAATAGGTGAGACTGGTTTCCACGACATCAATTCTGCTGCGTTGATGTGCTGCAATGATGGAATGTTGCGCATATGGTCTAAACGGCGTGCCATGCCGCTCGTGCATTAGCGTCGCCGCCTTGCCCGCCAGCTACTGACGAAACCGCATCAGTCACAAGCACTAGATCGCTGTTGAGGTTCAAGATGTCTATATTTTGAAGCTTCCGAGGCCGCTGGTCCCCGCCTGTCCGCCAGAGAGCGGACATAAACGGAATGGCGAGGAGTTTAGAGCAGTGTGTTAGTCAGGCCTCGCGGCAAGAAGATTTGAAAGAAGTACAAGAAGTATAAAAGAGAGCGAGAGTACATGCAAAATTTGAGTCTCTTTACCAAGATCAGACATCCTCAATTCGCTTCCAATTATCTTCTTGACAGACTTGATACTTCAGACTCATCAACCTCAACCCACACCACAGAACCATCCTCTCTCACGATGGCTCATGTTGACCGCCTCGCAAATACCCACGTCCTCGTCTTTGGCGGCACGTCAGGTATCGGATATGCCATCGCCAACATGGCCCTCCACTACGGCGCACGCGTGACGATCTCCGGCTCCGGACAAGCAAAAGTCGACACCAAGGTGGAAAAATTGCGCTCTCTATATCCCAACACGCCAGCCTCCAACGTGGCCGGCTTCGCAGCCGACCTCCTCGACAAGGAAAACCTCGAGAAGAACCTAAAGAGCCTGCTTGACCAGGTGACAAACGGTGGCAAGAATAAAGTCGACCACATTGCCTTCACAGCAGGTGACCAACTATCGCTCCCTAAAGTGCAGGAAGTCACCATAGAGACGGCGCTGCACGGCTTCACGGTGCGGTTCCTTGCCCCGGCCATCATTGCGAAACTTCTCTCTACAGGCGCGTACATGCCGGTCTCTGCCAATAGTTCCTTCACCCTCACGGGTGGCACTAATACGCACCGACCGATGCCAAACTGGACCTTCGCTGCTGCCATAGGGGCCTCGGTCGAGGGTCTTACGCGCGGTCTTGCGGTAGATCTGAAGCCCATCAGAGTGAATGTCGTGCTGCCGGGTGCGATTCATACCGAGCTGTTCCAGGGCTTGTTGGATGTGAGTACACCGGAAAAAATAGCGGGCTTGAAGAAAGGGTTTAGTCTGTTGGATGCCTTTGGGCAGCCGGAGGATATTGCTGAGGCGTATGCGTGGATCATGCGTGATCGGTTTGCGAATGGTGGGTTAGTGACGAGTGATGGTGGGAGGCTGCTTGTGGGCACCGAGAGCCTGGGCTGAGAGAAAAGACCGAGGCAGTGCGGCCTCCGGACCAGCAGTTACCCATTGCCTCGTTGTTTATCTCGATCTAAAGCCAATAAACTTCTTTTAGTCTCATGATATGTCAATGTCGATGCCTCGCCGCTGTACCTCCTCTTTGACAAAGTTCCATTTCGAGCAGTCAGCTAGCAGACCCCTGAAGCCTCGCTCTCTCAAGCTCATGATACTCTCTTGATTTCTCTTCAGATCATGCTCAAGCGCAAGTTTGAACTTCAGGCCCAGAAAGATGAACACCTCGTTCATACGTTCGAACACAAGCTCGAAAAGGTCTATATCCTCTTTCAAACTTTCATCTCCGGCAATGCGCCACTGGATCACGAGAACACAGGCGGCGATGTAAAACGACGAACCGATATGTGCGGACAGTAGGAGGTCAACGGAGAATCGCGTAGTGTCTCTGATGATTTGCGCCGTGTTTCGCGCTGCCGCTACCGCGAAGGCGAACTGTGCGGGCGCGTTGGGTACAGGAACGCCTTCGGCGCAGCGGTAGTGTAAGAGTATCGCCATTATATTCAGGGTCACATTGAACCACACCACATGTCCGCGATCTTCTGGTGGTGCCTCAACGACCGATGTAGCTTGGCGCGGTAAACTTAGCCGGAATTTGACGATGCAGGAGTCGAGCTCCTGGCATTCGTCTGCATACTCTTGCGTATCGGGCCTGTCGTGTAGAGAGTGGATGAGTTCGGAGATTCGGCCAAGAAGGACATGAGCAACTGATATGTAGTAGAACATGTTCAGCGATTCTTTCGCAAAAGATGATGAGTGGATATGGCGAGTAAGGTTCCTGGTGAAGACTGTGTTGATATACGGACTGGTCACAGTATCTGAATCTAGGGCCTGAAACAACGTGTCGGCGACTGGTATGTCAACCTTGAATTGAAGCTCGCTGATTGCATGAGGCCAGCCTGTCGGCCTAAGGGAACGGCGTAGTTAGCGAACTGACTTAATGAGCAGACCTCAGATACTCAAGTACGCCTCAATTTGCTTCCAGAAAATGCATAGACTGTAGGTAGGAAAATAAATCTAGGGACACAACAGTGTGGGCTGTACGTACCATGCGTGGGTTCTATCCATAATGAACAGTAGCCACAATGTTCGTCGATACTCTTCCCTCTCCACAGCAGTTTTGCCCCTGCTTACCTCCAGATCAAAGACATTTTCAGGGTCAGATGCCGAGCCCTGACCTGTTACACGTAAAACTTGACCCGCATCCATACGGTTCATGCCAAGAGCGACGGCCTGTCTCCATGCTTTTCCGATGAACAGCCAGCTTGATGAGAAATCGCCAATCGTGAAGGCATGATAAACGAGTAGCAGCACAGCCTGAATCGTACGAAGTCCCCGGTGAGGAAAGCGACGCGTGAGGTCATATGAGAACTTCGCCTGCTCGTACCAGTCGCTCTGGCGGCTTCTAACCGTAGTGTCGGAGTGGTGTCGCGACGCTATACAGCAGATTGCATACAAGAGCAGCGGTGCTTCTTTCTGGAGCTGTCCGTTCTCCACCTTTGCCAGGAAACTCTGCTTGTGGAAGCATGGGAAGGTTTGGTAAAGGTGTTCGAAGAATAGCCTCACTAATTCATTGAGTAACTGATCATCGGGTAATTGAAAATCGGCTAGGAAGTCATGCTGGTACTCTAATGTGTCATCAACTGGCACGGTATCTTGTCCTGAATCTGGCGTCGGATAGCCGACAGGGTGGTTTGCATGTGTTGGTAGCGCAGCAGTAGAGATATCAAAGTTCATTCCCGGAAACCGCATAAAGTCCAGGTCATGCCCCTGCTCAAGAGCGAATGTGGGATCGACGGGTAAATCCATGGACAGAAGAGGCTCTGGGATGTGAAACTGGGGAACTGGCGTGCTATGGGAGCCTGATGCTGTGTACTCGCATTTGGTGCCCAATTTCTTGCATAAAGAGCATACTGGATGCTGTGCCTGTTCATATCAATATCAGAAGCCGCCTCCAATATCTTGCATTGTCGTACATAACCTACATCGCATTTCCTTTTTCGCTGTCGGCAGCTTCTGCACGCTTGCTTTCGTTTCGAGATGGAGGCAGGAAAGGTGAGGGTCTGCATGTCTGTGCCGCTGGAGCCTGGGAATCCAGAACATGTTCTGTAAATCTAAGTGTTATTATCAAAGAGTTTCTTCATTTATAAGTGCTCAGAGTCTTGGTTCAACACGGGTTCACAGGTAAGCTGGTCGTTGGTCGTGCCAGTCTTCAGTTCAAGTTCCACGAGGGCCGCTAGCGGGTTTAGCTCGGATTTAAGCGTCACCACTTTTCGATGAGGGATTGGGGCACAACGCCATATTAATAATCATCATATTAAGCAGACTACTACACATTAAATTACTCCACACGTTTGTGTTGATATCTCTCGTGTAAAGTTGTCTAGTGCCCAATGCTTTAAACTGGTCCACTCACCAGGTACCCAGGAACCCTTCCCGAGTCAGCTTCACCATTCTCTAGTCTCCTGCCTTCGCGTCTCACATAACCGGCTACCACAGCTGGATCAGTGGGGCCGAGTACTTTTATGCTCTGCTTGAGCTTATCGTGTCTCAGTTCCCTTTGGTGTCTCCTCCACGCATCTCGCGCCCCTCTTGCTTTGCTCAAAACCCGCTGCATGTGGTTATCGTGATCGTCTTTGCTCTCGACGGGCTTCCTTTGGATGTTTTCCTCAGAGTGGCGTGGTAGGGGCGACGAGACGAAAGGTCTCTTTGGCCTGCGGGCTCCGTGTGGGGGAATAGGTGGTGGCGTACGTGGTAGCGAAATCTCCTGCGCAAGTGGAGAGGTTGGCGGGGATGAGGTGCTAGATCGAGAGTAGAGTGATGAAGGCGAGCCGAGTGAGTTGCGCTGCCGTTTGTTGGTCGCTACTGTAGGCGCTACTAGGACCTGCCAATGCTGACTGTATGATGATGACCGTCCCTGAGAAGTGTCGGAAACCGACACTGGAGAGGTTGTATTTGACCTTTGTCGTGCGATCTCAGCTGGCGGCCAGACTTCCTGAGAGCTAGCAGCCTGTGATTGCGGCGCTTCAGAAGATTTTTGTCGTACCAAGACGAAGCCTCCAGGGAGCCGTAGCAGTGGTGTACGCAGCTCAAGTGGTAGTGTTGGTTGAGAGGAAGACTCAATATGGTGCCCAGCTTCAGCAGTTTTCGCACGCCTCTTAACAGGTCTGAGACCTCTGGTGTGAGCTAGAAAGCTGGGGAGACGGATATCCTTTCCTAGCAACCGATCTACTTCTGACTCGGGAATCTGCTTTCGCCGTGGAACTGCTGAATCGCTTGCAGACCGCGGGTGGAGCTGACTTTTGGTAACATGGCGATTTTGTCCGGCTTTGAGATGGTAGGGCACCCACGATGTCGTCGTCTTCTGATCTCTCTTCTGCATTTGCTTTTTAAATGGCACCTTTGGCTGCTGAGTGTGCAGTTCGTGGTACTGGTCTGCCAGTACGTCATGGTAATCTTTCGAGAAGCTCAGTTGTCGCATCTTAGCGGTCAATTCGTTGTTTTCCAAGCCATTGTCCACTATTGGGCTCCCTCGATTTAGTGGACGAAGTTGCTTGCCACGTAATGATAGATTTGCAGGAGCGTCATCATCTCCTTCCATAGAGCTTGGGCTAGTCGCCCGGTTGTCCCGTGCGGACTCCGTGTTCCCTGGTGGATCTATGCCTAATGATGCGAATGCCTTCGCATTCGTCGAAGACTGCGGTGATTTGTTCTGTGGCCGTAAGGCTGCTGGATAAGCGGCGTATGTTCCTGAACCGGGCAAGGAGCTTGGAAGACCATAGCGGATTGAAGGCGTTGACATCTCAGATTCGTCCTCACTAGACGATGTTCGATGTAGTAATGTCCTGGAAGGATTACGAGGTGGAGGCTCTGGCCTGCCATTCGAACTCTCTTGTATTGGAAGTAGTTGCGGCTGCTGGAAATGGCTCTGTTCGAACGGCCGTAGGCTTAGGTCAAGAGACATCTCGGAGCGTGGTGTTGAAGGTTCAGGGAGTAGCGGAGAATATTTACGAGCTGCAAAGATAGATGTACTTTGGAAAGGCTGACTAGGAGGGATGGGAATTTCCCATTTCCACTCTGCTGGTGCTCTCCAAGAGGTGACGCTTGATGTACGCTCCAAAGAGGCTAGGTCATGCGGCCAAGATGGGGACGTCGGGCCTGTGGGCGTTGATGGTGTTGGTGGTAATGGCTTTTCGTCTTCGGAGCTTGGATTTGGGGGTACAGTTTGGATGAACGACTTGAACGATCGTACAGGTTGCTCCATTCCCTTGAGTGGCGAAGACCATAGGATGTGCTTCTTGACCGGAGACGGTAGATGCTCTCGTCTTTCGTTCATGCCTCGACTGTCGCGAACAGCGCAAAGCGAAGGCCTGCATACTTGGAGTTGTTCTAGAAGATTTCCGAACAAAGAAGCTCACTGTCGACCATGGCACGTGGCTAATGACAGAAACGGAAATGCATGGAGGTCTTCATTGCTAGACAAAGGCCAATTAGGATATACATTCCTTTCAGGAATGTATGACGTATGCAGTTAAAGCCCTACTCAACTACTGGGTGTGTCGCAGATAGTGCAAAGACAACTTTGTACGGTTACAGGTCGAAGAATAAAGTGGTCGATCATTTTCAAGGCTGCTCGGGCTGCTTCTACAGGGAACTCGAGTAGACGCGCTGGAGTAGAGCGACAGTGGTTTGTGGTGACTGGGACACCTAGCAATAAAGCTTTCAGTGACACGTGCCTGTATCCCGAAAGAACTACAAGTGATTTCTTTCATGGTAGCAGACGATATGAGACCTGTTGGTACAGAAAAGGATACAGGATCTAAGGTTGTGGATGAACGCGTTGGAGACGAACGCGTCGTGGAAGTTGGTCCACTGTTTTCGGTAGGCCAATCTGTATTGGGGAGGCATGCTGAGTCATCTCGCCAACGAACACAACACTCGAGGCCATCGCTCACGCTCTGCAACCTTGTACTCACCCACGTGCCGTCGCACTGTCGTATTTGTCGCATATAAGCGTCGCATGCAGGTGAATAGGCACACAATGTCTTGACGAGTGTCCGGAAAGACTCATCCGGCCGGCGCATCTGACTGACAATGGCGTCGAGTGTCGAGTCGGCGTAACTATCTGTCCGTCTCAACCACCGCGGATGGCAGGACTGATTAGTTAGTCCCGATACGCCCCGATGTACCGGATCTCTTGTCCAAGATGCTATTAGCTGCAAGAACGATTCCACGCCATTTAGTTCCGTTACAGACGATGTCGTGCTTAACGTTATGCCGCATCGCAGATTTTGTCCATTTGAGCCTCCTTGGTTAGTGGAACAGGGTAAGGCTGAGGCGAGAACAACGAAACGAACCCTTTTCGGACACCGAACGTTGCTCCGACCCATTCATAATCATATAATCTAGCGGACTCCACGTTGTAGCAACGTTGGCCCGACTTCAGGATGTGGCTTGTTATGTCGTCCGTTACGGAGCTACCGAGTGTATATCTTGGGCCAGGCTTCTCCCTGGAAAGGCACACATTTTGACAAGCACTGCGCAATAACATACATTTACATTTAGATCTCTAATTTTTTGTCACCTCTCAAGACCGCTTTCAAATCTCCTAGATATCGTTGGCGACCTCCATCATTATGTCGACTCCTTCATCTCAGTCCATCGTGGACGACCCGAAGCTAGAGATACCTCCATCACAGCCTCATCGTGACTCGGCATCAGAACAGTCTCAGACGTCAATACCCGAGAAGTTCCTGCCGGGATGGCGCTTCATGGCTGCCTTTGGCAGTCTCTGTGTTATCGTACTCATGTCGGCTCTTGATGCTACATCGCTATCGGTGGCACTACCAGTACGATATGTGAGGCAACTACCCTGCGTACAACAGCTGATTTTCAATAGATCATGGCGAAAGCCATCGGTGGCTCAGCAATCGAAGCTTTCTGGAGCGGTACCTCATTCCTCCTGACTTCGACCGTTTTCCAGCCTGTTATCGGATCCTTCTCGCACATTTTCGGCCGCAAGTCGTTGATCTACGTCAGCCTGGCATTCTTTCTTGCGGGTTCCATAATCGCTGCAGTAGCGAACAACTTCACTGTTGTACTCGTCGGCCGTAGCATTCAAGGTGTCGGCGGTGGAGGCATCATCTGTTTGACTGAGATGGTGGTTGTCGATACGGTCCCTCTTCGCGAGCGAGGCAAGTGGTTTAGCTTTTTTGGGGCTATGTGGTCTGTTGGTACTGTAGCTGGACCTCTTCTCGGTAAGCAAACCTTTTACCTTGATGGAGAATCAAATCTAACTATACACAGGTGGTGGCTTCTCGCAGAACGTGTCCTGGCGTTGGGTCTTCTGGATCAACCTGCCATTTCTCGGACTCGGCGCCATCTTGATTACATTCTTCCTCAAGCTCCACCAGAAGCACGGCTCCTTCCTCACTAAGCTTCGAGAGATCGATTGGCTCGGCATGTTTCTCTTCCTTGCATCTACAACAGGCTTTTTGATCCCGGTCACATGGGGAGGCGTGCAGTACCCATGGGACTCATGGCGGACACTTGTCCCAATGATTCTCTGTGCAGCCGGTATGATTGCATTTGTCGTACATCAGGAGTGGTTCGCTCCCAACCCACTCATCCGTACTTCTGTCTTCAAGAATACATCTGCCGCGATTCTGTTCGTGTCGACCGTTTTCCACGGCATCATTCTCTGGTCTATCCTATACTACATGCCTCTCTACTTCGAAGCGGTCAAAGGCATGGGCCCAATTCTTGCGGGTGTCAGCATGTTCCCGTGGACTTGTAAGTAAAGTCGGTATTCGAGTTGCATGAGAGATATACTGATTTTGTACCCTCCAGTCACTGTCGCGCCCGCCTCTGTTGCAACCGGTATCATTATCGCAGTCACCGGCAAGTATCGTTGGGCAAACCTGGCAGGATGGTTCCTCGCGACCCTCGGCTTGGGTCTGCTGATCGTGCTCAAGCCCAACACGTCGACTGTGTCCTGGATCTTTTTGAATTTGGTTGGAGGTCTAGGGACAGGAATTCTTTTCCCAGCCATGGCCCTTGCCGTTCAAGCGTCGGCGACTGCAAAAGATCAAGCCTACGCCGCGAACATGTTCTCCTTCTTCCGCGCTTTCGGGCAAACCCTCGGTGTCGCGATCGGCGGCGTCATCTTCCAAAACCAGATGAAGAAGAAGATGCTGACATTCCCATTGCTTGCTGATAAGGCGAGTGAGTACTCAAAGGACGCCGCTGGCCTTGTGCAGATTATTCAAGCAATGCCTGCCGGCGACATGAAGGAACAGCTCCGGGAGAGTTATACGGACGCGTTGAAGTACATTTGGATTGTTATGGTGGTTTTCAGCGCTGTTGCCTTGATGTCGAGCTTCTTTGTGAAAGAGTTCGATATGGACGGCGCACTGGAAACGGAGATGGGGTTCAAGGATAAGGATAGGGTCGCTGATGTCGAGAAGGAGCAACAGTGAGCCATGGTGGAACACATGAGCTTTGGCATCAATGGGCACATGGCCGCGGGAGGGATCTTTTACATTTTACAGCATCGACGCGGCGTCAGATTAGATACACGATATAGATGCTTAGATCGCGATTACATCCAGAGAGTATTATTTTTAATTATTGGCAGTCACTCCACTCAAAATATCTCGTATCCGCATCCACCGACTATTCTTGTGCTACGCCAATCCATGCTACCTGAGCACAAGCAACCTCAAACCCACTTTTTCTGACTTAGCTGGTCGCACGCAAACGAGGTCATCGCTCGTAGACTCGGATTCATGTATGAATATTGAGGTTCAATCTACTGTCATTACTGATGTTGGATTGCTCACGACGCCATGCCGGAAGACTCATTGCCGGATTCAGAAAAAATGGCTGCGTGTCAGAAGAGCCCAAGGGGCGGACCAGGATGAAATGTGAAACAAGCCGTTGACAACGAACGAGCAAGGGTCGATGTGGAAGAGCAAGGGTTGGAAGGTTGGAAGCCGCGTGGTGACGGGGTGGGGTTGTGTCTGCATCATGGCGACGATGATGATCCGCGGTTGACTCTAAAGTTAGTGAATGTTTCTGCTCTTGACGGACAGAAGTTGGCGAGTTACAGGCCTTCAGGCCTGGTCATAGCACGGTACGCTATGGGGGTATGACATAGAGTACCGTGGTAAATTGCAAATCCGCGATTCCAAAATGACGGCATATCCCAAGCCACGCATGCCAAACGACCCGAGTCTCGAGATCAACGACGTTGAGTAGAGGTGCTGGCGGATGTGTCAGTGTGTGAAGCTGTTGAGCCCCACGATGGGTTTTGGTACAGTGCTACCAAGAGTTGAATGGCTGCACACTGCACTTGTACTGAGCACGCACTGATGCCGACGCGTGTTGTCGTTGTGGCTATGGCAGTGTACCCTGCTCGCGATCCGCATGAGATCAGCGTGGGGATGCGAGGAGCGAGGTCGCAATCATGGGAGAGGAGACAAAAGAGCAACCATGGTTGCACAACCGGCTACGAGGACTCAGTTCACATTATTGGCACCGTGTTACCCCAGCCACGATTAACGGGAGGGTGCGCAACGTGAACTGGCTGCGAGGGCTCGGTAGGCTATTGTTCTGTGTCAAGGTGCATGTTCCCGGGATAAAGGGGCAGAAGGGGGAGTGATTGCCAGCCGGGCGACTCTCCGGCTGCTATCTTTTTTCTTTGCCATCAGCGGCGTACAGCTGCGTCGCTCATCAACTGCGATTGTCCTGGAAGGCGGAATTTGGTGTTGCTGCTGCCATCGAATCGAACCTCACCGTCGACGAGTTTCGTTCATGCAGCCTACCTAGTGCGAAGGCATTAGTGTAAATTCCTCGCCAATCACCCGTCGCTACGCCAACTCCACCCAAGCTCTCCTCATCACCGACCCGAGCGACGGCAGCAGTTCCTGGGCGCCCCTTGGACGCGGCCCACACTCGACAGATCCTCTGACAAGACCCTCACAGCCGCCATCACGAGGTTGCTCTCACAATCATACTGCACGCCGTATCCCTCACCTCAGTCATTCGTTTCAAGAAAACAGCTGTCACTGCATGCAGTAGACTGCCTCTAATACTCCTACACCCCATCCATACCCATCACTAGCAAGCCGTGCCGCCAAGCGACCATTTTCCCGCCTGCTCTTCACCCGCAAACGCCATCGTCATTTCCAGGAGCGCGACCTCAAACTGACCAGCGCAGTTGCCGCACAGCCAGGCCTGGAGACCTTCGTGTGGACCAGCCCAAAGACGAATTGGCAATTGCATCGGGCGCTCAACACCTCTACAACCCATCGTCGTACCTACCCTACCCGTTAACAGTCGTCGCGACTGTTTGTCAGCAAAACCTCGACCAGCGACGCCCATCCTCATGCCTTAGGTGGCCACGTCCTCTTCTTGACCATCAATACGACTCTCGTACACAAGGTCGTAGTATTCTTCCGAACCCACGTCGCTGTCCGCCGTCGCCATGAGGGAGTCCTTTGCTGCCCTCCTGCGCACGGGGGCTGGCAAGCTCGCTCTCTCGTTGCTCGTCGCGTCGTCACAGACAATGGCCTTCACCTTCACGCCTGTCCCAAGCCCTAATCTTAATCTGAAAGATCTCGGCCGGATCGCCTTCGCAGGCGACTTCGACTCCATATCGTTATACCAATACGAGGGACAGAGCCAGCAATATCCAGGCCGCAACGGCGCCCTGCTCTCCCGCTACCCCAATGGCGTATTTGCGACCATCAACGTTACGGATGCCGACATCAAGGCCATGTGTTCTCTGCAAATAAACGGCGCTGAGCGCGTGGTTTTTGCAGGCAACTTCACGGGTGTCGGTAATTTGCCTACCCCGGGAGGCATTGCGCTGCTCGACCCCACAAACGGCAAAGTCGAAGCCTTGAAAGGCCTCACCGGAAACGTCAACACGCTCTATTGCGACAGGGAAGGTGGCCAAGTCTACGTCGGAGGAGGACTTACCGCCAGCAATTCGAGCAATGCGATTGTATGGAAAAATGGCTGGGAGGACCTGTCCTTCGACGGCTTTAATGGACCTGTCCACTCAATAACAAAGGCACCCAATGGCAACATAATATTCGGAGGCGAGTTCAACGGCCTAGGCGGGAATGCGACGGTGGCTACTTCGGAGAATAGTACCCAGATTATTCCTATCGGCAGCGCAATCCTCTCTGCCCAGACCAGCTCTAGTGTCGCAGGCTTCGCCGATCCCAAGAACATTGCCTGCAAAGCCGACTTTTCCAAGCAGGGAGCGGACCAGACGTGGCTTCTTGCCGACAAGTCGCCTGGCTCCTGGAAGGCTGACTTCGGCTTCGGCTTTGAACCGACCAGCCTGAGGCTGTACAACACAAACTTCGAGGGCCGTGGCAGCAAAACCTGGCGCTTCACGGCGCTCCCAGATGGAGGCATCATGAACTTCTCCTACGTTGACCCCAATGGACAAAAGGCCTATTGTGACGCCAGATGTCCCCTACAGGAGGGCAAGACCACGGCCCAGGACTTCACCTTCGTAAACATGGTGGGTATGAATGCTTTCAGGATCGACATCTCCGATTGGTGGGGCGCTGGAGCTGGTCTGAATGGCATCCAGCTCTTCCAAGACGGTACGTGAATCCTGCGCTGCTCTACTTCTCAGCACTGACTCTTCTAGCAATGTACTCGTACGCCGTTAATGACTTCAACGAGCCCAAAAACTGTGGTCCCTCCACTGCGAGGTCTGAGGCAGCGTCTACTGGCCCATGGCAGATCTCGCCATCCCACAGCAGCAACTCCCAGTACCTCACAACCATATTGCAAGGAAATCCCATCGATACCGAGGCGGCCACTGTCACCTTCTACCCCGATATCAAACAGTCTGGCAATTACTCAGTCACACTTTACACACCAGGATGTCAGGGTGACGGAAGTTGTGGCAGTCGCGGCCGAGTCAACGTGACGGCAAAAATGGGTGGCCAGAACGAAGACACCACCCTCTGGCAGACGAACAATTTCGACAAGTACGACGAAGTCTACAATGGCTTCATTGACGCTAATAGCGGCTCTCGCCCGTCAGTCGTCCTTCGCCCTGCACCTGGACAAGGACCCGCTCCTCTGAATGTTGTCGCGCAGAGGGTACGCTTCACGCTGCTCAAGGCTACCTCGGGGAATCTCAACGGCCTCTTCGAGTATGAGCCTGGCCGGCCAACGGAGGAACGTGATTTCTCAGATTCCGTGATCAACGCCGCTGGCGCCAGCCTAACTCCTCGAGAGAAGGCCTCCATCACGAGCCTTGCTACGGATAGCCAAAACCTCTACGTGGGCGGGAACTTCTCCACCGATGATGGCCGAAACAACATCTTCCTCGTGCGACAGGGCGGTACAGGACCCACTGCGCTCCCAGGCAATGGGCTGAACAGGCAGGTCATGACTCTATTCCACAATGATAGCACCCTTTACGTTGGTGGCAACTTCACCAACACCAAGGATAACAACACACCGGGACTGAATGGAGTCGCTGCATTCTTCAACAACGAGTGGCGACCTCTGGGAGCAGGTGTAGATGGTGTTGTCTTGTATCTCGTGCCATTCTCACTCAACGTCACCGCCAACACACCAGAACAGGTCCTTGCCGTCAGTGGGTTTTTCAGTCGTGTTCATGCTTTTGGCAACAACCCGGCCACCCGCGTGGTCGACTTCGCGGTCTGGGTTCCGTCTCGGGGCAATTGGCTACACAACCTAGACTTCTTTTCGCTTGCCATGTCAGGCCGCTTGATGACCTTTGCTGATGTGCCTGGAGCCAATCGTTGGTTTGGTGGATCTGTCTCGTCTGGCTCTTTGCTGGCAAGCGGCACTGCTGAGCTGAAAAGCGAGAATGGCGAACAGTCACTTAGCGCAATCCCTATCGATATCCGAGCCCAACAGCAGACATCTTCTCGCAAGCGAGCCATTCTCCAAGGGCAGAACATGAACACCACTGGAGTTCGCACCGGCACCTTTTACAAAGAGAACGGCATGAACAAGACTATCCTGGCGGGTCACTTTGCGACAACTGGAACAGACGGACAGAACATTACTAACGTTATCATTCTCGACGGAAACAATTCAGACAAGGTTACTGGTTTCGGTGATGAGCTGAATGCGAACTCGACCTTCGCCGCCGTTGCTGTGCACGACAATGTGCTGTACGCCGGTGGTAGGGTCACTGGACGGCTTGACAACGACCGCGTTGTCGGCATTGTCGCTTACGATCTTAGTGGCAGCAAGTTCGCTACGATCCAACCTCCTCCTCTGCAGGGTGAGAACGTCACTGTCAATGCCATTGCCCCGCGACCGAAATCCAAAGATGTATATGTGGCTGGTCACTTCCAGTCAGCTGGAGCTTTGAGCTGTGCTGCTGTCTGCATCTGGAACACCGAACGGAATCAGTGGAACAGCCCTGGCAACAACCTCGCCGGGGAAGTCTCCAGCTTGATCTGGGTCGCAGACAATAAGCTACTGATTGCGGGCAACCTGACCTCAGGTGACAACAGGACCACCATCATGTCGTACGATTCAACCAAGAACCAGTTTGCTACCATCGCTGGTGCTGGCGACTTGCCTGGTCCTGTTACCGCACTTACTATCGCTACGAATAGCGGAGACGAGTTGTGGGCCGCTGGTCAGGGTAGCGATGGTACCGCCTATCTGCAACGATTCGATGGCGGCAAATGGATGCCTGTCAAGGATGCCATGTTCGGTAAAGATACCGACATTCGCGGCATTCAAGTACTCAGCTTGTCTGAGAGCCATGACACGTCCGATATCATCGACAAAGCCCAGGATCTTCTGCTTATGGGGCAGATCAACATTGCTAATTTCGGTACTGCATCTGCGGCGCTCTTCAACGGCACTACGCTCACTCCCTTCCTCCTTGCCACCAAAGGCCAGGACGGTTCTACTGAACCAGGGAGCCTATCCTCTGTCTTTGTAGAAAACCCCAATTCCTTCTTTAGGCAGTCTAGTAAGTCAAATTGATCTCTACCCTACGGTCGATGCACAGATGGACTAATGAATGAACAGAGAAACACCTTGCACTTTGGGCCATTGTGCTCATCGGTCTCGCCATCGCCCTACTCCTCACCTTCCTACTCGTTGTCACTGGCATTATCCTCGAATGGTTCCGCAAAAAGGCACAAGGCTACTCACCTGCCCCGCAGTCTTATCCTGATCGGTTAGGCAACGTCGGCCGTCTGCCGCCGGAGCAGCTATTCGGGACTTTGTCGGGACCTCGGGCTCCAGCGATCTAGTTATTCTGAAAGCCAACCTCAACGACAACAACCCCAATGTTCCTTTAGGTCTCGGTAGCGGAGTTAGGCAGGTTCTGAGGAGCAACGTTGACACTATCGAGAGGAATACGAACACATGGACAACAAGTACTACTATGACTTTGGCAAGCACGAGCACTGCCTATGATTTGGAGCAATGTCGATCTACCGGATCATATGGGACAGCAGAGCGATGCGAACAGTACTAGCAACTTCAAAAGCATGTACAACATGCTAATGGATGGGATGGGTGCGCGTTGGATTCCGGGACTCCCGTTCTTTTCAATTCGATCCGGCCCCCGGACACCAGGAACTGTGTATAAAACCTTAGAGCACCGACACCCATTTTCGGATTATTTTGGCCACTCCCATAATGGATGCCTTTCACTCGCCGCAACGCTTTTAGCTCGCGAAATAGCATGGGGCCAATCGCCCATGTGGCGTGGATACCGGAAGCTTTGGCCGTAGCGAAGCATGCGAGTGTCGAAGGGATTCTTTTTCATTCTAGCTTTCGGGACGGATCCCTTTTTTGTATGTTTTCTTGATACCACTGGCGCGCGTGTAGCGAAGCCTCAGATTTTCCTTATCTTTCACAGTGTCTCTCCTTTGGTGTGTGTCTATCTGTGTGTGAACTGTTTAGACCATATCTACGTAATGTGTACTCCTAGCGAGTCTGAATTGTAATCTTGGTAGGTCGCGCGCGAGTCGCGTGGCAGATAGGGGAGGAAGGCTCTAGAGGTGGCCTCGGGAACGGTGGAAGGAGGGTGGGAAAAGGCAGGTATGTAAATTTATTGTATCTACGGAGTGCAAGTGAGAGAGTTCTGCTAGGTAGAGAACTAGTTTGGAAGTTTATAGGTGAAGGATAGGATCAGAGCAGATTGCTGTAGTTAATTTAGCGTAGTCCTAACGTGTCTTTGGCCCATTGTCTATTCGTGATGTTGACACTATAGTGCCGCAAGTAGCTCTTACATAATCACACTTGGAGCAAAGATAAAGTCAGCACTAAAGTTAACTTCCTCGAGGTGGATCGGATTGGTCAGCAAGAGTATCCATCCCCTTGCTTGAACGCTGATACGGACGCCTTCTTGGCGCTGGAACGTGACAACAGAAGATCTTAAAGGGCTTACGCCCCGGGACTAACGTGGGGCATAATCAAAGAGCTCAACTTGACTTCACCACCCATTGAGCATCGAATTACCATTTTTATCACGACACACGCTACTTGGATAAGCCCCCATCTCCAAACCTCGATACCTGGACACACCTCACCGCCATTATCCCAATAAAGAAGTAAGAGAAAATGGCAAACCCCACCATCCTCATTGTCCCAGGCTCGTTTGCCGGGCCCGGCATATACGACAATATCGTTACTTTACTGCGTAAACAAGGGTATCCCGCCTTTGCCGTCCAACTTCCCTCTACACAGAAGAGAATGCCACTTGAGCCAGCAGGCATGCAGGAAGATGCAAGTGTGATCAGGAGGGCGGCGGAGGCGTTGCTTGCGCTGGGTCGAGAAATCATTGTTCTGTGCCACAGCTACGGCGGCACACCGGCGACCGAGGGCCTGGCTGGACTCGCGGTCAAGCGCATCATTTATTTGACTGCTATTGCGCCGAAAGTCGGGCAGAACCATGTTGAAGCTATGGCGCTGCCGGAGGGGTTTTTGCCGGAGAGTACTGTACGTTTTGTCTCATCTATCTATCTGTCTATCATTGCATAGTTTCCATGCGTAGATATATCAAGTATCAGCGGATGATGATAGTGATAGTGATGGAGAGATGAAAGCTACTAATAAGTGTCTCAGGGCGGATACATGCACATGGACGCAGTGCAAATGGCTGGTGCAATCCGCAACGATCTCCCCTATGAAGAAGCATACCCATTCGCACTCCAACTTCCATATCACTCGGCCATCAGCTTCCAGGAGCCTATCACGCAGGCTGCGTACAAAACAATTCCTGTGAGCTACATTGTGTGTGAACGGGATATGATTATCAACCCGGACACGCAGAGGCGGTTTATCAAGACGATTGAAGAGGAGAGTGGGAGGGAAGTCGACGTTTTTGGTTTGGATAGTGGGCATTGTCCGAATTGGAGTCAGCCGGAAAAATTGGTGGAGATTATCGTTACGAATGCGGATAAACAGTGAGGCCATTTGTTCAAGGTAGGGTGTCTTTGCTGTCATATGTTAAACTATCTGCTGACTTAGGCGCCTATTTAGTTTAGCAGAACCTACAAGGGTGCATATATCAGAGACTTTCCCTACTGTAGGTGCGTGTGTTTGTGAATAAGTAAAATGGTCACTTTGCCTGCAAATTCTCGGTACAGTTCAAGGACGTCTGCGTAGCTAGCAGTATGTTCGTTCCAATACCCAATCTGTTCCCGATCTAAGCCTCTAGCTTATACCCATAGATTCCAGGTGCGTGTGCAGCGTCACGTCATCACGTGGCCGCGCGCTCCTTCCGCTCAAAGAGGAGAGAACGCCCCGCTCCTCGCTCCTCGCTCGATCTTGTAACGCTCACTTCATTTACCCTTCCCTCCTACAACCTGCCACACACACACACACTCGCCTCCCATCACTTACGTGAGTCGATATGGCGCCCACACTGCGCAAGAAGACGCAAGAGAAAACTGAAGCCAGCGCCAAAGCTGCCCAAGATGCAGGCTTCGTACCTAGGCCACGAAAGACCTTGACTCGCAAACAACGCTACACGCGCAACAAAGGCCTAGTCAGCATGAAGACGCCCATGGCCTTGCAAAGCATGTAAGTCAGCACTGGCCGGGGAGCCGAGACAAAAGCTAATATGAAGGAAGCACTGTCGACAATGCTACGAACTCACCTCTTCTGCGCCTCCCACCTGAGATCCGGGCCATGATCTGGAAGTTCGCTCTCCGTTCAACCTATGGGTGGATTGACCTCTACTACAACAGTATTAAGCAAATTTCACGAAGCGGGACTTCAACCCGAGCTTGCGAGACTGAACTTCAGGATCTCTCCATCAGCCTTCCTCGGGTCTGCCGTTCGATCTACTCTGAGACGGCGACCATGATATACAGTGAGAACACTTTCGCCTTCCAAGCTGAGCATTCTATGAAGAAGTGGCTCTCTAAACGCTTGCTTGCACAACGCGAAGCCATCCGTTACATGATGCTCCCATGTATGGTCTACGACGGAGAGGACTTGGCTTTCTTAGACAGCAAAGCGGAAATCCAAGAGCGTGTAGCTTTGATGTGTCCGAACTTTGTGGAGATGAAGGAGGATGACTGCCTGGACGAATGTCTTTGTTATACACCTGCTATGTACATCATGGATCGACGGAGCCGAGAGATGCATCCAAGCTCTGGAGACGAAGAACCTTACGATCACAGTGATCTTGATGAAAGTGACAGCTGGTAGGACTTTGAGTAGAAAAGAGTGTGGATGTATCGATCCTGTGAGTAAGAGCACAGGCATCTAAATATGCACGGGAAACTATTATGTCGAGGTGGAAGTTTTAGATGATTTCAGAGCCAGCTCGTGATCAACAATAGTCAACAACATATACCTAATGCAATTCTCAACGTCCGGAGTTCCATGTCAGGATACCAGCCTATATATGTCCCCATTGGTCAACATCTCCCACACTTCCCCCTTCCGGCCGCCCACCACACTAACAACATCTTTCTTGTCATCCAGCATCTCCCATACTCCTGGACTTCCCGTATACCGCCAGACCGTCCCATCGCGATGCCTACTGTACAGATAGTCCCCCTGAGCATGGATCGCCACACTCCCCACTGTCTCAATAATCACCCAAAAATACTCCTTGAGATTCAACCAAACCACTGTGCCATCACTCTGCAGCTTGTAAAACTCGTCGCCACCAGCAGCAATGGCGACGTTCCCGGCGTTCTGATCGACGATACGCCATTCGCCGTTGTTATACGGCCAAGTGGAGCGAACGATATCGCCAGTCGTGAGCAGGTTCCAGAGAGTCTTTGAATCGGTGATGGCTATTTGTTTGGAGATTTGCGCAGAGGGCTGCTCGATGCTGAGCCAAGTGGTGCCGGACCCGGACCAGCGAGCCACCCAACCGTCTTTGCGGCGCGAGTAGAGCTGGTCCGAGGCGGCGACAATGTCGATGACGTTTTCAGATGCGGTGCCGATATACTGCCAGTCTGAGCTGCTGCCTGTCCATCGATATGTGCTTCCGTCTGCGTGGCGCTGGTAGAGATTTCCACCTGCACCGGCGATTTGTACAGTGTCTTTGTTATTGTCTACGCTCGCCCAGCTGCCGCTGGCGTATCGCAGTATCTGACCGCTCGAGCGCATTTGATAGAGACCGTCGTTCGCTGCCGTGGTGTCTGATATCGAAGTGACTTGGATCATATTCTTCGTGGCTGTGTTCGAACCGATTCGACTCCACTTTGGACTCTTCCAGCCGTAGATGCTATGTATACCCATCTTATCGTCAGGATGTAGAGGCCGAATGTTACCGACGAAGTATGCGAACATGACTGCAGATTCAACTGCACTATGGCTCAGGCCGAGTGCGTGTCCAATCTCGTGCACAGCTGTGTAGTTGAACAGACGGTCATCGCTCCACTGGTAATCATCATTGAAGGTCAAGTTGATGTTACCTGTGGAGAGAGACACGCCGTCAGAGACCATGGATGTATAAGCATATCGGGTATCGTCGCGTCCGAAAGGTGCAAACCGTATGTAAACATCAGCGTTTGCGTTGCTAGCTGCCGGTACGATGTTGAGAGGCGCGTAGTTCATCCACTGAGCGAAGGCGGCGCTATGTGACGGTCAGCAATATAACAACAACGGTTTTCTCTGCAAATTTGTGCCTTTTTATATGCTTGACGTGGAAGTGATGATTGCTGAGTGGTGAATACGTCAATATGTAGGGCAACATGGCAACATGTATGGCATGTGCTTACTGACCTGATCGTTGACTGCTGTTCCGCTACAGACGTATCAGCAGAATAGTTGATGAAGCGCCACGTTAAAGTAGTTTTTGCCCATTTAGAGCCCCAGAGTACATATCGCTTGTGTAAGTCCGGTTGTGCCTTCGCATCTGTTTCGTTGTACGGTTGTTCCGTTCCACAACGTGGTCTGGTCATGACATCCATCATCTTGTCACTGAAAACTCCGGTGACCGGCTCTTTCAGCACTTTCTGGATCTTGCGTATAGCTTTTGGGAGCTCCGAGTCCGGTACTGACGTCCCGGGCTCGAGCCAACCATAGAGTTTGAAGAAGTCATTGACATGCTTGGAATGTTTCTTCGACTCGGCTTGCGCAGTGGCGGATGGCACCGCTGACCGCGTAGGCGAGACACTGGGTATGAGATCGATAGTGCCTCTTGCAAAGTTGCGGTGGTCGAAGGCGAGACAGAAAGAGATGACTCCAAGTAGGAGGAAGGAACCGAAGAGTGTCATCTTTGGATTGTCTCAAGGGTCATTGACCTCCTAGTGCCACCGGTATATGTTGCAACCCTGGGTTTATCGATAGCTCGTATATTCGAAGGATTGCAGTAGACATCTGTCATCTAGGAATCGACTGTAGCGAGCGCGGTGTGTGAAGGTTTGATGGCCGTCATAGACTGCCTGTTCGAGCACTGCCCGGAAAAACTCGCTCGCTATCGCGTTTGTATTTGATTCCTTTGAGAGAGTTTCATTTGCGGAACCGAGTTGAAAGTGAGCGCATACGCCAGATTGCTGCCTATCAGGTAGTTGGCCTTATGAGGCTGTCATTGTGTTGCGAGTAGTGTACATATTGAAAACGTGCTCTGGTTATCTGTGGCTGTTCTTTGGAGACTGATCCCTACTCTTCTATGATCCTATGGGGCTGTCGTATAACGCGTTGTAGGCTGCGATTTTAGCTAGCTTACCATGTCGAGATACTTTGACAACGGGATGAGCCCGCTACGCCTGACGATCAAGGAGTGTGGCAAGTAGTCAATCTGCGTACTCGGTGTCAGGAGACTCAATTAGCTGAAAACTGGGTCGGACAACGAGGAAGCTCTAATTATCGTAGCGATTGTAGAGTATCGTAGATTGGGCGTTTTTGCGGAGGAGGCGTAGCAAAGATTGCATGCATCTAAATGAAACTCCCGGAAGTGCAAGGCTGCCGAGATGACTGCATGAGTGTTACTGGCTCTGAGATCCAACCCGGCGTCTAAGAGGTAGATCAATTTGCATGCTCTCACGAAGCTAGCCGACATTGATAGGTAGGCTGCTGCACGTACGGAGCTATGATGCTCCTGGCACATCTTAAAGACGCAGATGATGTCGATGGTAAGGCGAGTGAATGCTAAACAGTGGGGTTCGACTGGTCGTGGACCGTATTCGAGATGGCTACAAATTAGAAGTCTAATGGGGGTCATATACCCGGTAAGATAGCAGTGGGGCAAAGATGAGGTACGGAAGATCTGCGCAGCGAGGTAACCGGAGATTTGCGACGCCTAGGTATGTTTCTACCGATGCGACTTAAATAATGTTGCGCAGCCAGCATTCAGAAGACCTTGAATGCAAATTTAATAATGGGAAATGAAATGAAAAAGGTGCTCTATGTCGATGTGAGAGGGAAACACGAGAGGGAGAAGAATGGGACGGTCGCGTCCTCCAGGGCTGGCCGCACGGCGATGGAATCGACGCCAATCCACTTCGGGAGTTGGCACAGCATCTTCGCGAAGGCGTCGAGGCACCACACCTATCAGCACTTAATTTACTAAGAAGCTGTGTGGCTGTTCAGCCCATTAGGATTGCTATGCTATGCTCATAATTATCTGAACATATGTCTTGTGATCTCCATTTCCACAGTCAGAGGTACTGGGCCAACACAACTTTGTTCGAGAAAAGTCACGGAAGGAACTATACAGAACGTTGTAATAAACCCGGTTTTTGTATTGTGGCCTCGAGGCACCAGGCATTCAGTCAGTAACCTGAGCGGCCTGTGGCACTTGATATTCATTTGCAGTCGTCCATGTCGTTCATACTGCCGCGCCTGTAAATCGCAATGGATCCTACCGACCCATGCTGTTGATCATCTCCCTCTGTGTCGCCCGATCTCTATTCGTCTGACTTAACGGTGGGATACCTATGAACTCTGTCAGCAAGATCATCTACGTCAGTGATTCATGTGGTTCATACTTCGCAAATCACCAACAACGTCCTTCGCCTTGCCAAAATAGACTTCTTGCAGTAGGTTTCGCATCTTCAGCTCCATATCTTCGACCATCTTGCCAATGTTGGCAACGTGCGAGGTATCGTCCTCGACGGCCATGTCGGCTTCCACTTGGCGGACCATGTTGCCCGAGAGGTCTAGACCGCCGAGCGCTTCGGAGTCGGTACCGAGGGAAAGAATGACAGTGGAAGTCAGCTTGTAGTGGGCGGTGCGAGCGCGGTCTTGGGCATCGAAGACGTGTATGCTGTCCCAGCTGCCGGAGCTCTTGGGGGTGGGGTTGACGGCTGTTCAAGTCAGCATAGGCATAGTTGTATGGAAATTATGCACCCACATTTTTTCAACAGCACACAGCCTGCAAAGCCATCATCCATATCCCAGAGGTAGACACTCGATATGCCGCCCTCAAAGTATCTACCCACGTCAGCCTACACTGTACGACGCTCCTTCAGTATTGTATTGAAACTCACAGCTCCCTATACACATCGAATGCCTCATTTGCCTTGACTTCCATCTTACGGACACGATCACTAGGCGTGACACCCTCTTCGATTGGCGGCTCAAACTCATTGCTCCATGGACTTCGCCAGCTGTCGCCGTCACGGTTGTAATCGCAGCAAAGGAAGTCGCGTTTGGTCTTGGAACATTTCTTTACGGTAAGCGGGATGTCGACGGATTCGAGGAGGTCTTCTTCGAGCGCAGGATTTAGCTCAATGATGTGGTCGACATTGCGCTTAACGTCCTTGGGGTTGAGTCGACGGAGGAGGTCGCTGGAGTGGTTAGCTGGGAACACCTTGCAGAACAAAGCTTTGAGCTTACAGAGCGCTATCTATAGGATCCGCCATGCTGCTCGTGTATGTGGCGTGTCTCTCTGAAGTGTTTAGGGTGGGATGTACTGGATACTTAGCTCCGAGACCTGGCCCCTCAATCTCCCAGGGCTCTGTTGTCGGCGGCTCGGGCGTCTTGGTGGGCCTGCCGTTGCGCGAGTCATGGGGAAGATTGCCCATCTTGGTATCGCGTCCAACCGCTTCTCAACCTCACCTCTTGTCCTCTTTATGACACCGAATGAGGGATTAGGCGTTGTTGATAACCTTGGAAGATGAGCTGCCGAAATGAGATGGGGCAGCACGGCCTCGTTCACGATTTCCTTGACGGCGATGCGTAGTTGCCCACGTCTACGCACCTCAGAACTGGCTTTCACTCCACCTGTCTAGGACACCCCCTCCTGTAAATTGCCGGTAACATATCGATCCGGCTTACAATGGATCTGGAAGAACTAGATGGAGATTTCTCAAGGTGATCTATATGTCTTAGGAGCTTGTGTCGCTCTTTACAGAACTGCGCCCGGTCTCAATTCATGTTCACAATCAGAGCATAGTATGCGACATGACAGGCCGTCCTGAGGATTTCAAAACACTATATTCCTTCTTGAGGGAGACGGTCACCGTGGGCTCATACACGTAGAACTATCGTATGGAACGAACTCACCATCCTCACCCTCCGGCTAATTAACACCACCTGAAACATGCAGCTGTTCCTACACATTGCTCTGTACTTCATCATGGTAGTGCTCTACGTGGGATGGCGACATTAGACTCACCTTCACTTTGCGCCATGCACACCTGTGCCGTGGATTTGCAGCATTTTCTCTGTCAGCGAGTCATCGGGCTTGAGGTGAAGCTGTTTTGAAACGATGTCAGCAGCCATTCGATGGCACTTTTGCGCATTCACCTTCACTTACTACCTACTTGTAGCATCACGTTAGCGAGCTGCTCCGCACACATATAAACCTCCATTTCCCTCTCATTCGGCGTCTTCTCTCTTCTTCCACCACCGTACTCAGACCGTCTCTCACCGTCGGCGCTTGTCATAACTTCAGATCCTTGCATCTTCCAACATTCTCCTACAATCTCTATCATCGACAGCAACTATGTCTGACAACGACAAGTCTAGTGGCGCTGCTTCTCCTCAATTCAGCGAGCGTGAGCTTCAGCTGCTTTGTTGGGCCATGCAGTCCCTCAAGTCCGGTCCTCCTGACGTATGTTTTGCCAGCTTGTTCCACCCCCACAATAGGCTTCACTAACAACTGCAGATCGATTACGATAAGCTGGCAGCCTTTGCTAGTATGGGCAACCCTCGCTCCGCCAGCAACGCGTGGGCCAAGATCCGGGCCAAGTTGTCGGCAGGCACCGATGCTATTGCTCCTACTACCCCTAGGAAGGGCGGCGCCAAGAAGACGAAGGCCACCGCTGCGAACGAGGAGGGCGAGGAGGGCGAAGCTACCCCCAAGAAAACCCCTCGTAAGCGCGCTGCCAAGAAGCAGGACGTCGATGGCGATGCTTCTCCCAAGAAGAAGGGCCGTGGCAAGAAGGTATCCGATGACGAGAGTGAGTACACTTTTCTCCTACGCGGTTGTCCAATGCTCATCCAATAACAGCCAACGTCAAGTCTGAGCCTGAGGAGCCTCAGGACGTCAAGCTCGACGTCGCACCCATGGAGGATATTGAGGACGAAGTCTAGATTCCCCTGAGTCTCGAGGTAAGCAGCATTTTCGCCTTATTAGCCCCAGTTCTAATGTCACAGGCACATTTCGACGTTCTCGCTATCATCTCTCACGATCTGATGCTCTCATGGCGTTGAAATGGTAAGCCCTCTTTTCTCTTGTCTACCTTTCGCTCTTCGTTCTGCCTGGCGTTTTTGGAGGTCTGCACTGCTTGAGGGTGATCAGGGTGGTTGCATACTTTGGGAAGGCTTGGTGGTGACGAAACGGCTGGAGGCATTGGTATGCATATCAAAGAGAGTTCTTGGCGTTGACTATGCAGCGGCATTGCACGGGGATGCGGGTTTCACGATTGGGGCAGTCGACGCGACATGACTTCATCAACGCAAGTTGGCTACTCTCACGATTATCAGCCGCGAATCAACGGACTTCAATCTTCAACATCTATTGACCTTTTCACTGTGATTACATGTACGCTGATTACTGCAGATAATGGATGTCGCTATATGAGGGGCAATATATTCATGTACAAGGGTGCCCTGATCTGGATATTACCCCGGACTCTCAAACCTGCATCACCCGACTTGAACCCCTCACACCTCATATAGCTACATAACGTGGGTTTCGGGCTACTGAATTCTATCCAATGCTAACGCGAGTAGTCCGTTACGTGTTCCGAAATAACAGCCAATGTGTCTCTTTGCCAAGCAAGGGCAGAACAAGTTACCAAGCGGCTTCAAGTACGGGCTTTTGTACTTGCTGCAATCGATTCCATGTCGCTCCTTGATTCTGATCGAATACAATTGAATGCTGTAAACAGCTGAGATGGCGAGGCTCAGCCATGTACAGATGAAGTCACCGAACGGCGCAAAGCCTTCACGTTCGAAGGCATGGTCACGACCTGTAAGCTGTATCTATCATCGTAGACACTTGCTCTCTTACAACCCTTCAGTCCTCGTTCGGAATCCCAGCACTCTTCACCCTTTCCCTCTTCCCTCTCGCCCTCTCTCTATACTGGTCCGGTCAATTGCAACAATGGCTTCTACCGACTGTCCTGCCGTACTTACCTGCACATTTTCAGCCCTACCTCACAGAAGCTCCTATTCCTGGAGGTGCAGTGCATATGGAAGAGCAATTGAGCCCAGACGAACTTCTCAGAGCATGCGAGAAGCATCAATATACAAGCGAGATCATATCTCTCGACCCGCTAGTGTTATACATCAACAATTTCACGTCTTCTCAGGAAGCCGAGGAGCTCATCATTCTAGGGTACACACTTCCCTCCCTTCTAGAAAGACTGTTTGCAGTCTCTCGCTAACAGCGCACCGCAGCTCCAACGAGTTTGCAGAATCCTTCATATCCCGCTCGCGCGGCGCCAACACCCAAGTTACAGGCCGAACCTCGCAATCCGCCCCGTTGCCTATGGACAATCCACTTGTTGAGTGTATACTGGGCCGCGCGCGCACCTTCATGGGCAGCATGATGCTCCCGCACGAACCGTTTTCCGTCCCGCAACTGGTGCGCTACTTCCCTTCCCAAAAGTACGACCTACACACGGACTTTTGGCCCGAGCACCAGATCATGAACGATGGCTCGGATCGACTATTCAATCGCGTCGCTTCGTTCTTCGTATTTCTGCGTGATAACTGTACTGAAGGTTACACTTACTTCCCGCTCGTGGAACCGTCGCACTCTGACCCTCACGCTGCTCGTGACTTGGAGAAGCTGTACGGCGGGAAAGTGGCGAGGGGCGAGATGGGTGGAGTGGAAAAGGGGGTGAAGTTCAAGCCTATACAGGGTAACGCGGTGTTTTGGGTTAATCTTGATGAGCAGGGGAATGGGGATCGGCGATTAGTTCATGCCGGTTTGCCTGTTGGGCAAGGAGAGAAGATTGGGTTGAACTTGTGGCCGAGGAAGTTTTATGGGACTTCAGGTGAGCTGAAACAGGAGCGGCCGAAGAAGGAGAGGAAGGCGTGGAGTGGGAAGTGGAAAGAATAGATTATGTCAGAGAGTAGGTTTGGGGTGTCTAGGTTGTGACACTGGCTTGGATTATGTGGTCAGAACGGACGCCCTTTTATCTAGTATCTATGCAAACGAAACTCACGATCTGATTTATTCCTCAATAAATTTTGTAGCCCCTCATTTCATTTCGGTCTCAACCATCTTCTAACCTCCCTTTTCAAAAAACCGAAGTTCCTCTTTACACCCTGCACACCTTCTCGCTTACACGGATCAGGGTGCTTCAGCTAGATTCATTCTGTAAGCTGGAGCTTCTGACACGCCGTTCCCGAAAGATGCTGTACAACTTGAATAGATCCAGCGGGTTTGTCTTTCATTCCTTAGGCCGTTTTGGTGGGGCTAGGTAGGCTCGATGTAACGGTTCCTCAAGCAAAGCCTATTCAAAAGCCTGTGGCAGAGAAGGAGGGAGGAAAATGGCAGCTATGTTACGAGGTTGGAAGCCAAATGTGAAGATCACTACTCGCGTGTAACGTGAAACAGAAGAAAGTGCTGTGGAGTGCTGAGGCATAGACTGATGTGGAGGTAAGCCATATGGAAGCAAAAGAGAAACTTCGCAGCATGGTCTTTAAAAAGTGAGATCTACATAGGTATTTGATGGGGATTGCGCTAAAGGGAAAGAAGTGAGTCGAGCAAGCTCCCTGCCTAATCATCAAAAGCTGAACCACTAACCGTTCGTATCCTTACCCGTGTCATCTTTCTTTGACTCTCCAGGCAGGGTTTGCGAATCCTTATCGTCCACTTTTTCCTTGCCCTCATCTCTCTTTGGCTCTCCAGTCCCAGTCCGCGAATCCTCTTCTACCACCACTTTCCTGTCCTTCCTTTTCCTACATTCATCGCAATCCCCCGTTATCGTACCATTTGGCAACCGACGTAAATATCCTATTACTGGTTTGAAGCTGAGCGTGAAAATGAATGTGACTGGGTTATAGTGACAGAGACAATATGGATGGCGGCCACAGCGATAATCGAGGGCCTCCTTGAGGCATTTGCAAGCGGCCCAGTATACTTTGCCTTGAAAGCAGATGAGAGGGATGATCATGGCGGGTAAGCTTGAATAGGTATGCGAGTGGTATGCGATTCTCGAAGAGGTATTGTGGATCGAATTGGAGGACTGATATGATGAAGAAGAAGAAGATGAAGTGAGAAATATCAAGAAACGGCATTTATAGTTTGTATTAAGGTATTGACTGTGCAAAAGGCTTTGAGTCAAAGGGATAGATAGAGGTATGAGTAGAGCTTGCTGACGCAGTTTAGAGATTGTGTAATAGAAACAAGCCCTGGAAGGCGATGTATGAGTATGTTTCGCTGACTCCAGTCTGAGCAATCAGAGAAGATGCAAATGGGCGGCTTATCTACCACAAACCAGCTTGTCTAAAGAGTACCGTTGAAGGAGTGTTGATGTATGATCATATTTACGACTCTAGTGACATGATGATCGAGTGGACAGTGCTGTGATGGTTAGCTGAATCAAGAGAGTCGCTAAGTCTAGCTGTGTAGAAAAGTGAGCGGTAGGTCGGGCGCGGGCATGCAGAGATATGATAGTTTGTTCTGCGAGAGAGCCCTACTTTTACTCTGTAACTGTTAAGCTTTGAGAGTGACGTCGTGAAGTGAAAGGTTAGCGTGGCTGCGGAAGGCGCTCCGCTCCACAGTTGAGCTCGGACCTACCAACTCATTGTCGCGACTTCCGTACCACGCGTAGCGACTCTGCCAACCGACAAGCACAACCATCGACCACGATTCTCAACGACCGAAGCTTTGGGAGCAAGTTCGCTTGCGTCGCCCATGATGGCGCCCCTCGAGATGGCCTCCGCGCTGGATGACTCCTCGACGGGCGACTCGTTCACTCTGCTGAAGCAGCAGGTTGAGCTCGACATCAGCTTTTCTCCGCGCCGAGTCAAAGGAAGGACCACGCTCGATATCCAGCCCGATAAACCGCATTTGCGAGAAGTCGTACTGAACTGTCGGCAGCTCAAGCCAACGGGCATCAAGGTCGAAGGAGAGAAGGCGGCCTTTAGCTACTCGAACCTCCACCAACGCCTGACGCTATATCCCGGCACCGGCCTCGAGCAGTATCACTTTGCGAAGGAGCGGATAGCGCGACATGTGGTGGACAGGGAGGATGAGCTTGTCATTATCATCCCCACCAAAATCAAGATTCGGGAAGTGAAGCCATCAGAGGCTGGCATGGCCGACGATGCTCAGGGCACTTTTTATGCGCCGCTGAAGCTGGAGATTGAATACGAGCTGGATGACTTCCGGGACGCGCTACATTTCGCCGGGGTCGAAGACGGAGATCCACGCTTCCCCCACGCCTACACCCGCAACTCACCCTTTCCCGGCGCCTCGTCGTGCCTGTTTCCGTGCATAGATGATGGTGAAACCAGGTGCCTTTTCGAGGTCTCCATTCGCTACCCACGGACCCTTGGAGATGCGCTCTGCAAAGCTCCACCAACGGGCGCAAGTGGGCAACCGCTGACGAACGGGGTTGAGAAAGCTGACAGCGTAATGCTCGATGCGGATGATGACCACGTGGACCTGTCTGAAGAGGAGAAGGCCATGGAGATGTCAGTCATCTGCTCTGGTACACTGACGGACGATGTAAGTACATGCAGAATTGTATCCCGTTTGGCGCTAACTATGTATAGATTTCAGATCCAGCCGATGCTTCTCGAAAGACGGCAAGCTTCAGTTGCGACACCCTAGTCCTTCCCCAGCATATCGGTTTCGTCATTGGGCCCTTCGAACACGTCGATCTTTCCGAATACCGCGACCTTGCCGACGATGAGCGCCTGGGAGAAAACGCAATCAAGGTCCATGCTTTCTGTCTGCCAGGCAAGGAAGATGAGGTGCGAAACAGCGCCATGATGCTAGCTAGGGCTCTTGATAGCTTCACTGAGCGTTTTCAGAGCTATGCATTTGGGAATTCATACAAACTCGCATTCGTGGACGACCTAGAATGCGATACGACGCACACGGCCTCTTTCTCAATCTGTAGCTCTCGACTACTTTTCCCGGAAACTGTTTGGGAGCCGATGGAGCACACTACAAGAGTCTTGGTGCATGCTGTAGCCAGCCAATGGATAGGCGTAGATGTTGTCGCGCACAATCCGGAAGACTACTGGATAGTTGTTGGAGGCTCCTGGTTCATGGCAGAACTCTACCTCCGCGAGCTCTTCGGCCGGAACGACTGGCGCTTTCGGCAAAAGCTCATGGTTGACAAAGTCATCCAAATGGACCGGAAACGGCCGTCTCTGCTGCAACTCGGAGAATATCTGCAGTTGGACCCTAGCGAACAGGAATTCATGGAGCTCAAGTCGCTGATGGTTCTCTCAGTTCTTCATAACCGACTGGTCAAGCAGAGCGGGAAGAACGGCGTCGATAGGTGCCTCTACCGTATGCTGTTCAATGCTCGTCAAGGAAAGTACTCCAATGGCGCTATTGCCACAGATGACTTCCTGGACATATGTGAAAAAGTTGGCCACCAGAAACTCGAATCATTCTTCAATCAGTGGGTCGTAGGCTCTGGATGTCCCACGTTCGAATGTTTCCCTTCCTTCAACAAGAAGAAGCAGGTTGTACAACTCCAGATTCGACAGACTCAGGCCGACTCAACAGTTACCACAATCGAGCCGCCTCTTGCCGCGGAAGATTTTATGCGAGAAGCAAAAGAGAAGGCACACGACTATCGTCCACCGAAAGAGTCTTCAACCTTTGTGGGCCCAATGACCATTCGGATACACGAAGCAGATGGAACACCGTACGAGCACATTGTTGACATTAACTCGTCCAACGTCAAGGTTGAGATACCCTACAATACAAAGTACAAGCGGCTGAAGAGAAACCGTTTGAATAAGGAGCGCATGGCCGCAGCCGCCGGGCTTGACACCTCAGGCGAGACGCAAGAGGATGTCACCTTCTACATGTTGGGTGATCTCTTCACAACACCAGAAGAGCACAACGAGTGGCGGCTCGATGACTGGCCCGCTGAGGATGAAGCCAAACAAGAGCAAGAAGCATACGAGTGGATCAGAGTCGATGCAGATTTTGAGTGGTTATGCAAAGTCAACATCAACGACATGCCATCGTACATGTATGTCTCGCAGCTGCAACAAGATAAGGATGTAGTTGCACAGGCCGAGTCTATACAGTTTCTTGCCAACAAGGAGGGCCACAAGCTCATCTCCACTTTCCTTGTCAAGACTTTAATGGACGGTCGATACTTCCACGGCATACGAACCATGGCTGCCGAAGTTATGGCGCAAAGCGCGCTGAAGCGAACGGAATGGGTTGGCCTTTTCCATTTGAAGAAAGCTTTTCGCGAGCTGTTTTGCTTACCCGGATCACCGATGACACGCTCGAACGACTTTTCTGATCGAAGCTTGTATCTCATTCAGTGTGCCATCCCTAAAGCTATTGCCAAGATCAAAGGCGAGGACGGCAAAGCTCCTATGGAGGCCAAACGCTTCCTTCTCGATGTCGTGCGATACAATGACAACCGCGGAAATGATTACAGCGATGATCACTACATTTCGACGTTGATGCGGTGCCTGGCGGAGTGTCTTACCAGTGCTAAAAGTAGCACAAATTTCGATCTTAATCATCAAGAGTGGGCCGAGGAACAAGAGTTCACTGATAAGGCGATCGGAGAGCTCACACGCCACCAGCGCCTCGATGAGTGGATTCCTACATATCAAAACATCTACACTACCACCGCCCTCGATTGTGCGATGAAGCTGACTATCAATCGAGTGACACCTTTCAGACCTACGGAGTTTCTGCAATATGCCCAACTCGGTAACGCGGACAACGTGCGCCTAAACGCGTGGGAATGTCTTATTCGCTTGGGATTGTTCCGCAAAGACACTGTATTGAGGTTCTTCATTCACGAGATCCGGTCTGATCCCTCGCCTTACTTCAGAAAACAACTGCTCCGCATCTTTGGCATTGCCGTCGGACAGGTTGCTACTGGCGACGTTTACGCACCCGAGAAGCCAGCGGATACTTCTGCCGATTCTCTTGTTGTCGAGAACGAAGTCGACAGTTCCGATCGCGCATCGGCCCTTGCCCGCCAGAACTTGTCAGGTGCTCTTAGGGGCCTGAAGAGCGATTTGCAGAACAACCAGACACTCCGACTGGCACTGGAAGAAGCCTTGAACTCAACAACCTTGTCCACGAGCAACATGTCTGAGCTTCTAGACTTCTGTGACATGGTGTTTGATAACCAGAGGCGGAACATGCTTCCAGTCAAACTACGCCTCCCGCGCTACTGGAAAGTGGAGCATCTCGGAAAGGCAGAGATGCGCTTTTGGCAGACTGACAAAGTCCGGTATAGGCCGACGCGGCCACTGGTCGCAGAAGCTCTGGCTCAAAGACCTAGGGAAGCACCTGCTCAACAGCCACAGCCACTGCCCGTACCGTTGCCTAGGTTGTCTCTTAAGATTAGTGCAAACAAGTCAAAGCCTACTGCAGCATCTCCGCCTCCGCCGGTCGAACCAGCTCTGGTAAAGTCTAGGGCACAGTCTATAGTCTTTTCACCGACGATTCATCATTCTCCATCTCCTGCACCGCTGTCGACAAGGGCCTCACCTGCCCCTCCGCCTGTCGCTGCTATGACAGAATCTCGAGCGTCGACCCCAGATATTCCGCTTATGCCACCGAAGAAGGCAGCGACTCCAGCACCAGTCGTACAGACCCCCGTGCCACGCCCGACAGTCCCTCCTCCGGCACCTACGACTGCACCTACGACTGCACCGGCGCGACCAAAACCGGCACCAATCAACGTGCCAGCGTCTATTGCAACACCTCCGATGATCCCGTCTCCCATCCCTCTTCCTGCGCCAAAACTCAAGATCAGGACCAAGACGGCCAGTGGTTCGGCCGCCCCGTCCCCGCGGCCGAGCGCTGCCCCCTCGCCACGACCGAGTGTGCCTCCTCCTTCGCGACCTGCTGCTCCTCCGACTTCTACCTCGAAAGAAAAGAAGTCCAGGAAGAGCAAGGTTGTCAAGCTACGCCTTGCACCTGAACTGCTGGCTAAGTTTGCTAACGAGGGCAGTAGGAAGCGGAAGTTGCAGAACGGAGATGACAAGCGGCCGTTCAAGAGGCAGAGTACAGAGCCCAATGGGCTGCTGAATGGTTCAGGTGCGGCGGGTGGGAAGAGCGGAAAGAGTGGGTTGGTGAAGGTGGAGAAGTATGGTGGCGACAAGCCGCGACTGCTGGTGAAGATGCGTGTCGGGAGGGGAGCGTTGCCCAAGGAGTGAGCACATTATCCGACCACATGCACTTTTCCCTTCTATGGCGGCCTTTTTTTCTTTCTCCCAGCGCACTCACGGCGTTCGTTGAAGCGACGAAAAATGATGAAAATCCCAAAGAGTATGAGAGTTTGGAACATGGCGGAGTACGCATGGATATTACGGAGTATAATAGTTCTTCTTTTTTGTTTCCCACTCGAAAGACGGTATAAAGTGGGCAAAACCTCTCTGTTCGTTTATAGCATTTTCCAGCGACGGCGTTTTCCATGGCGTGGGAAACTTGGGTGGATATTATACCCCTTTTCTCTTTAAGCTTTTATTAGGCTTTTAGAAGAAATCCGAAAACTCAGTAGTCTGTATTAAATGAGAAGCATTAGTTATCATCGCACAATGTAGTGGGCTGGCTGTCTCGATTGTATTTATAAATGTACCAATGTTTATTATTATAATGCTGTTGATGCTACTGTGTAGGATCCTTTATGCAAGAGCATGTCGTTGCTCTTCTTAGTGACTATACTTGTATTTAACTAATCCGAAAGCTTTTATTTTATAACTTTTCATCTGAAAGGGTAGGTCGTGAACTTCATACGTGGCCAAGGGAAAGAAAAGCACCCATTACTCCAGGGGGGTAAACGCTAAAAAGTGCAGGGAAGACAAGTCCCACTGTACTGAAATGGGACCGGAAAGAGATTCTGTTTTTCATCATTATGAGAGAGCTACCAAGCGCCGAAACCCCTCATGAACCAAAGAGAAAAACCACCAAAGTGACAAAATTTGGACTCGGAACTAGCATCGAAATGGGAAATGGCTAGGTGCACAATGTGGACGACGGCTGTCAAGTTCCTTTTAATTTATTGAGTAGCGCTTTGTAGGGACTAATCTTGCTGTACTGTTTGGACGGGGTATCATTGGGCGGGAAACTAGTGGAAGAGGATATGGTGTTTGCTGGAGTTGGTGTTGCCGACTCAGGTTCCGCTATGTTGGTCGTTGGCTCAGTGGTGCTTGTAAATGGCGCGGGCGGGCCGTTGCCAAATATTGAAGAGACCAAGCGTTGAACGATGGGCTGTTCAGAGCTGCTCGCGGCTGGGGCAATAGTGATGTTATCCAGTTCCTCCTCATGATGCTGAGGCGGGATTGGAGCTGTGGACGCCGGTCGTTCTGGCAAGTGGTCGTCAGCCTTCTCGACCGTCTCCTTGCAAAGGAGGCATTGCACGTCGACGTCCCACTGCCGATTCTCCTGGCCTTTGCGCTTGTGTGTGACGGTAAGTGTGGTTTTGCCAGAGTCTGACGTGACGAGTTTGGCGGTAAAGGGTAGTGGAGTGGAAGATGGGTCCTTTGTGCGGCCTTTGCCTTTTGGTTGTGAAAGCATGTACTGATTGTGCGCGTCTTGCACAGACTGTTCTTCAAGACAGCGTGCGTGAAGCCACTCGTTACAGGAAGGACAGTGGACGAGTGGCTCGTCAGGGTTGCATGGCGCCTTGTCAACGCAATATGTTCTAAGCGTCTGGGAGTCTATTAGTTACAAACTGCAGGTGTTGGAAGACGCGAGACTTGCCGTCAATCGCCTGCCCCGTGGCTTGTTGATGTCAAGGCTCTGGCGCCAAAACAATTGATCTTTGTCAGGCCACTCGTTTTCTACATCTTCGTCCCAATAAGCCACCTGGGCAATGCCGTCGACAGACAAGGCGTCGATGATGTCCATGTGGTTACTGACTATAAGCTCATTGGCGCCATGATGCGATTGCCGACCTCCTGGCAAGTCTTGTGGGCGGTAAGCCCAGTACACCCTCAGGAATACATGCGCGGCGTCTCCACCGCGCACCTCAAGAATGTAGGCAAACCACTGGGGAATCGAGGTGGGTGCATCGTGATCTACTTCTTCTTCTCTTTCCTCGCTATTCTTGACGTAGATAACCTGTCCGGTTTGAAACTCAACTCCATCGACTACAGCTTTGAGATTAGCAAACCGTACTGTTTGACATGCAGTGCAAAGCTACACACTGGTAAATTTGCGGTAGCGCCTCGTGCTCTCCCACAATGCTGCAGGGACTACCTGGCAATATACCTCACTCAGCTTCGTTTTTGGGTAGGGGTTCGGCTGGACCATGTCTGCCTTTGTTGGCGCGTCTGCGTTTCCATCGCTCGGTCTACTACGCGGGGTCGTCGTCGTCTTTTGCTTTTTGTGTGACGACTTTGTGGGTTTCTGCCGGGTGCTGAGAGACACTGTCTTGACGGTGAAGCCATCAAAGCTGCCGTCGGCGTCGACTGCGGCCCAATCGACCTGGCGCTTCCGGGATGCGGACGTGTTTGCGATAGAGCTGTTCCCTTGGGATGGCACGTCGCTGCTCGCAGGCTGCGGCCCAGGGCGTTCGCGGGCCATGGTGTGGCAGGGCACTTCTATCAACAAGCTACGAATCGTGGCGACGGCTTGTTTGCCGAGTGTAGTGAGCAGGTTCTTTTCACGGCATTTACGCGTAGGAGAAGAAGGGAAAGGTTGCAATCGTCCCCATGAGCAACAACCAGCGCGTTCTCTGGGTTGTAGAGTGCAATCAACGCGCGCGCGCGTTGAGGAGCTATGGGCGCGGGGTCAACACAGCTCGGCTGCTGGCGCCATGATCACGTGTGCTACTGTTGTCCTGGTATGGTACCACCACCCGGTCAGAAAAACTCGGACAGTTGGCTTAAGCTTGCATTACCCCGCTATATTATTTTTAGTAAAACTATTACTAAAAATAATATTATAAATTATTATAATATATATAAAACTTGATTTTTGAGCTAGTTTTAAAGATAAGGCTATTATATTATATATATATTTTAATATATATTAATTTTTTAGTATTGTAGTTTATTAGAAGCTAGTTTTAACGCGCTAGTTAAAGTACTTAAATATTTAGCTATAGTAAAATTATATTTTATTAATTTATTTTTAAATTTATTTTTGCTGTATTTTTTTTTATTTAAATTATAAAATTTTTTTAAGCTTGCTAATAGTATTAATTGCATAAAGCTATTGCTGTATATACTTTTTTATAATATTTTAAATACTTTTAATTAAGTTAAAATCTGGCAAATTTGCTAAATAGTTAAACTATAATATTTTATTTTTTTTATAAAAAATTGCAGGCATAAAATTATTATTTCTAGTACTATAAAAAAAATTATTATTTTTAACTATATACTAAATATAGTAGCAGTTGCAGCGTATATAATTGCAGAAGTTATTATTATAAGCTTAAAATTAATATAAAGCGTCGCAATATATAAGTAAAATTTTTTTTATATAATATAATATTTTTATAAAATTGCTAAGCTTTATAATTACTAGTATTTTTAATTTTTCTGCTTTTTAACGCCGTACGCAGTTATAGTATTTTTTTTTTATTTTATAAATTAAGCGCTAGTATAGCTTAAAAAAAAAATAAATAGGCTTAATATTATTATATTTATTATTATAAAAAATAAGTTTTATAGCTTTAGTATAGTAGTTAAAGGAAGGCTAAAACCGCTTAGGCAGCTATTTAATAATAAAACGACAGTATATTATAGACTAGCTTTAGGATTATTCTATTCTAAGTATAAATAATAGTATTATATACTTTAAAAAGGTACAGAGATTTCTAGCTACTTATATAAGGGTTTATTACTAAAGTTTGCTAAAGTTTTTAGTTTATAAATACTAAAGCTTAAGCTAAAGCTTAAACTATAATATACTCTTTTACTTTTAAAAAAAGTTTTTTCTTTTTTTTAAGCTTTAGGCTAGTTATAATATTATTAAGTTTTTATAGTACTTTTAGTATAGTTTTTTTTTAAAAAAGTTTTAAATAGTTTTAAAAATTATTAGCTTTTACGCACTTATAATAGTAGCTTATACTAAATTTAAATAAATTTTTTAAGTAAAAACTTATAATTTTTTTTTTTTAATTATTTTTTTTTAGAGCTACTTTTATATACTTTTTTTTTACTTTTTTTTATGCTTTTATTTTATAAGCTTTTTTTTTTATATTAGCCTTATAATACTACTTATTTTTTTACTATAGTAACTTGCAATTTTATTTCTAGCTCTTAATTTTTTACTTTAAGCAGTAGTAGTAGCTTACCTAGTAGTAATTATAGTAGTTTTAGCAGCTATTGCTAAAATGTATACTATTTTTTTATATAGCGCTATAGTAAAGCTAATTTTTTTTTAATTAAGTATTTTAGCTAAACTAGTACGCAAATCTAAATAGTATATTACTAAAAATAATTTTAATAATAAAAAATTTAAGGCAATGCTTACTTAAGGCTAGATATACACTAAGTATATTAGTATTATAAAAAAATTTAATTACGCTAAATACTAAAATAAGCTTAGTTAGTTATGCTTTGTTTACTACTAAAGTAAAAAAATATATAAATATAAAAATATTTTTTTTGCTATATATTTTAACTTTTACTAAATTTTTTAAGCTTAGTAAAACTACTGCAACAAGTCTAATTTTAATAATAATTTATATATTATTATTTAAGGCACTTATAGTACTAATTTAGCGTATTATATAGCTAGTACGTACTACTAGTTTAATTTATAATTTTATATACTGCACTATTACTATAAGAATATCTACAATACTACTATTTATAATATTATTACTTTATTTTTATTTTAAACTGCTTATAGCTTTAAATAAGCTATAAGTAACTTCCCTTGCACTACTATAAAAAAAGTTTTAGCTATTATTTTTTATATTTTATTTTATAGCTATACTAGTTAAGGACTAAATGTATATATAAATAGTATAATAAATACTATAAATTAAGCTATTAACTTAATTTATACTTATATTAGAAGCTAAAATATTTATTTTAATACTTTTTAGGCTTTTATAAACATGTTACTTACTAGTATTAATATAAGTATTTTTTTTTTTTTTTAAAATTTTTTTTTACTATATTTAAGCTAGTTTATCTGCTTTTATGCGTTTTTTTTAATAAATTAGGTTTTATAAATTAGCTTTAAAATAGTTTTTTTAGCATAATAATATAAAAGCACTCTAATATGTTTTTTTTATTAGTTTTATTAATAATAGTAATAAGCTAATTTTTTTTTAAGTTTACTAAAAGCTTCTTAAGCTTTTCTGTAACTATTATAACTAATTATTTATTATTTATAATTAGCATTTTTTCTTTATTTTTTTTTAGTACTAGTATAAGTATTTTTTTTTTAAAAAGTCTTTTCCTTTTTTAGTATAAAATAAATTAATAAGTTTACTTTAAGTTTAACTTTTACTTTAAATTTAACTTTTATTTTAAATTTAGCTTTTATTTTAAGTTTAGCTTTTACTTTAAGCTTAGCTTTTGCCTTAGTTTTTTTTAGTTAATTTCTACTAGCAACGCTATTTTTAAGCTAGTTTAAATTTTTTTTTTTTTATTTACTTTTTTAGCTCTAAATATTTTAGCAATCTATTATTTAGCTTTTTCTGCTTTAATTTTTTTTATTTTAGTAATACTGCGTCTGCCTAGCAAACTTAAGCTTTAAATAGTATTTTTTTAAACTACTTTATTTTAGGCTTAAATATTTTTTTTTTTTTTTTTTAGTAAAACTGTGCTATGCTTATTTAGCATCTTATAAAAACTTGCTTTTACTATAATTATAATAGTAAAAAGTATTAATAGTTTAGCTATTTCTATAATAAAAAAAAGTAAAGTTTTTTTTTAAATTTTATATTTTTTCTACTTTTTTTTTATTTAGAGCTTTTTATTGTTTTAATTTAGGCTAGTTTAAAGTAGCTACAGTATAGCTTTTAACTTTTATATTTTTTTTATTTTTTTTTTTTAGAATTTTATTTTAACTTAGGCTAGCCTATTAGCTGTAATAAAGCTTTTTACTTTTATATTTTTTTTTTTATTTAGGCCTAGGGCGGCCTTTACTCTTTTTTAGCTAGAAAAATATATAGTACTCTACCTTTTTTAGCGTGCCTTTTATTTCTATTAGTAATATATTTCTTTTTTTTTTTTTTTATAATAGTAGTTTAATACTACTATATTTTTTACGTTTTTTAAAGGTTGCTAAGTTAAATTTAGCTAGCTTTACTATTTAATTAAAATTTTTTTTTTATTTATTTTTTTAGTATTTTTAATATTAAAAATCTTTTCTATTTCTTATTTATAAAAGGAAGAGTTTTCTTTTTTAAAAATAAACTTTAAACTTAGTTAGCTATTTTTTTTTTTCTAGTTTAGTAATAAGTTAGTTATAGTTTGTTCTACTAAGTCTATATATACTATTTTATAAAAATCTTTTAGTAAGTCTAAAGTAACTATTAAAAAAGTAAATATTATTATAACTATATATTAGGCTTATAGCTAGTTAAGCTTATTACTAAACTAGTTTATTTTTATATTTTATAAAGAAAACTAAATGTAGTTTTTTATTTAAAATTGCTTTACTAGCTAACGCACTTAGTTTATTGCTTTTTACTAGTATTATTATATAAATAAAATAGTAGTTTATACTAGTTTTATGCTTTATTTTAAGTAATTTAAAAATTATATTATACATTTTTTAAGTATAGTCTAGTTCTTTTTTTTTATTAGCACTTATTAGAGCAAGTCTGCTATATATTTATTAAAAAAAAAATTTAGGCTTATTTTTATTACTATTAAATTTTTATTATTTAAGGCTAGCTAGTAAGCTAAAAAATAATTAGATTAATTAATTTATTTAAAGCAAATTACTACTTTTAATACTACTTATACTTTTTAATTTACTTTTTCTGTACTACTATTAATTTAAAAATAATAAGCAGTAAAAAAAAACTGCATTATACTTATAAATTTATATAGTATAGTCTAAAACTTCTTTAACTAGTCTAATTTATAGTTAGTAATAATAAAAAATAAAAATTTATAAAATTTTTACTATATATTGCAAAAAACTACCGCGTAGTACTTAGCAGCTATAAAAGTTAATATTTTTAATTAAATATATTTAAAAAAGTAATTTATAATAACTAATAAGTAGTATAGGGCTTTTTTTTTTTTTGCTAGCAGGTTTACTATAAAATTTATAAAAATTTATAATTAAAACTAGTCTGCTATTAATAAAAATTATAATAGTTTTTACTGCTTTTTTTAAAATATATAAGTTTTATAATAGTAGTAGTTTTAAATATACTAGGCAACGTCCTTAGACATGCTATCCTAATAATAGTTATACTATATTATTTAAAATATTATATTTTTTTCTAAGTATTTAGCTAAATTAAACTTATAAGCCTGCTAAATAATTATAGTAATAAATAGTTTTTATACTAGTACTTATATTACTTTTTTCTATAATAAAATGCTATGCGCGCTAATTATATAGTTTTTAATTTACTATAAAATTTTTACTTTTAATAAAAAATATTAGTTGCTTTTTTATACTACTTTAAGCTAAATATTATATATTTTATTTTAAATTATAGTTTTGTCTTATAAGGCTTATATATAATTATTTATAAAAATATAACTTTTTTATAGCTTTAGTTTAGCTTTTATATCCTTACTACTTTAAATTACTAC